GCCTGGTACCATTTGAAAGGTAACCTCGTAAGATTTTAGCACGGCAAGTTTCAGCTTTTTTGCAATCAAATTACGCCCGCCGCAGGCCAAACACTCTGATATTATACCAGGCACCAGTTTTAAAAAAAAGTGAATTAGTGATGTCGGAGTGACGGGATTTTTCTGAATTTTTGGCTTTTTTGAAACAATCACAAATTTGATGGTGATGAGAGTGGGGATACCACTATCATATAATTATTTACAAGGTGTCATCCCAGTAACCTGACATATTATAATTACTGGACGAGAATTAAATTTACTAGGACCTGAAAATATACATTTTTTCGAAAAAATACGAAGAGAAAATTGTAAAATCGGGCAAAAGAATATTGCTGACACAGTGGACCAACCGTTGGTAAGGCTAGGACATAAGAAATTTTTAATTTTGAGATTTTAGTTTGTGAACGACCACAACGATCATATAAATGTATTTCCAAAGCCTTTTACTCCAATTTTCTCATTAACCTAGTTTTATTTACAATTTTTTGGAACAAGCAGTAATGTCTAATAACTCATAACCGATGACTGGTAGAGCCATAAAACGACCGTGGTAGACGTTTTTGGATTGTAGAAAATCAAAGGACGATTTTCAAGCCGCCAGGATTACTGTAATATAAGAAATCGGCGTTTTGGCCGCATATAACCACTTTCATAAAACGGCCATAACTTTGCCCAAACATAAATTAGGCAGCTAATTTTTCTTGCGTTGTGCACTATTTTTAATGCTCTTTCAAAGTATATATGTTTCGTTAAGATTAAAGGTTGCAACTATTTGCCGATCCCTTGTAAATCCATTACTCAAAAAAAATTTTTTTTAATTACTAATTAACACTATTGTAAAACTCAGAAAAAATGGACCCCCCCCCTCCCGCCCTCCTTTTTTCATTTTTTAGCGGACCTTTCCGTCCTTCGTGAAAACAAATTCGTGGCATACCGGTATGCAGACCGTATACGGTTGTTTATGCAATTTCTGAATTGTCTGGTTTATTTCTGCAGTGCACATCATTCCGATCTTTTTTGTGAGCAAAATCCGGTGTCAAAAAAGCAAAATTTTTTGTAATGATTTTTTTAACAACTAGAGACGCCTCAGACATGGCGTAATAAAGTGCGGAAAAATATTAGAGCGATAAAACACATTTCGCTCTCTGAGATTATGCAAATTTTAGGAATTTTAACGGCTTACAAAGGCCGGGAAACATATTTAAAAAATGGTATTTCACACTTTTGATGCCTCAGAACTGCACTTTACAGTACACTTTTGAAAAAACGAAAGTTCCTATTTTGTAGGAAATTTGATGCTGTGTAACATAGTTGGGAATTATGTCATTCCCTCCCATGGTTTCTTCTTTTTATGGCTAAAGCCCCCACTTTTAGGCATAAAATCGCGGTTTTTTTGCCTAAAGTACAAAAATCGAAATTTTTTTTGCAACATATTCTTCTTCTCCCTATCAAGGAGTAGTGTACCAAAAATTTCGTTTCATGCCTTTCAGGTCGTTCTGAATTAGGAAATTTCGTTCTCAGACGTGAAATGGAGAAAGTTTTGATCGCAACTCAACTACATGGCGTTAAATTGATGCTTGTTGATAAAAAGTTGTCATCCGGCTTGTACGATAATAAACAGTAATTGTCATCTTGACCATCGGTTTGCTTGTCGCAACGAGAATACGAAATTTCCTAATTCAGAACAACCTGAAAGGCATGAAACAAAATTTTTGGTACACTACTCCTTGATAGGGAGAAAAAGAATATGTTGCAAAGAAAATTTCGATTTTTGCACTTTAGGCAAAAAAACCGCGGTTCTATGCCTAAAAGTGGGGGCTTTAGCCATAAAAGAAGAAACCATGGGAGGGAATGACATAATTCCCAACTATGTTAAACACCACCAAATTTCCTACAAAATAGGAACTTTCGTTTTTTTCAAAAGTGTACTGTAAAGTGCAGTTCTGAGGAATCAAAAGTAAGAAATACCATTTTTTTAATCATTTTTCCCGGCCTTTGTAAGCCGTTAAAATTCTTAAAATTTGCATAATCTCAGAGAGCGAAATGTGTTTTATCGCTCTGATATTTTTCCGCACTTTATTACGCCATGTCTGACAAGGGATCGGCAAATGGTTGTAACCTGCTTTCTTAACGAAACCTATATCATTTGAAAGAGCATTAAAAATAGTTCACAGCGCAAAAAGAATTAGCTGCCTAAATTCACTTTGGACAAAGTTATGGCCAAAATACAGATTTTAGCCTAATTTCCGCCTCGCTTTATAAGCTCTCGGAATGGCAACAGAGTTGTGTCCAGTTGGCCGAGTGGAAGTGAGCCCACTTCCGGCGCAGCGAGTCCTGGTTTCGAATCCGGTCACTGTAAATATTTTGCGTTTCGTCTCTTATATGCCACAAACATATAGCCCCTTCCAAAAAGCGGTCGTATCTATGCCCTAAGGTAATTTAGGCAGCTAATTTTTTTTTGCGCTGTGCACTATTTTTAATGCTCTTTCAAATGATACATGTTTCGTTAAGATTAAAGGTTGCAACTATTTGCCGATCCCTTGTGAGGCGTCTCTAGCTGTTAAAAAAAAATCATTACAAAAAAATTTGCTTTTTTGACACCGGATTTTGCTCACAAAAAAGTTCGGAATGATGTGCAGTGATGTATTTATTTTCTGCTGTGATATTACGACGTTTCTGAGGAGAGAAACACTTGACCAAAATGGGCGGGGAAAGACTTGACTCGATCAATTTTTTTCCATTTTTTATGTGTAGACAAATTGGCGTGGACCGTACCATCATGAACCAACAGAATACGATTTTGCGAGGCGTTGCTGAACAAGATGGCCAGAAGAAGTCAGCTTTGACTTCAACCGTTTTGGCCGTTTTCTTTGACCGTCAGAAGTTGGGCGCTGCCTGTTACGACGAAGCTGAAAAGACGATCCAATATCTCAATGACACACCTGATGACGATGAGTTTAACACTCTAAAGTATCGTAAGTGGTTCTAGTCTGTGGTATCGTTGTTTCAGTAATTGAGCGAATTAAACCAACTCATGTTATTGCCAATTCTGGATGTAAAAAAGAGGTCCGAAAAGCTCTTCAAACAATGTGTGAGTAAAAATGAATGTTCATGTTTGCTTTCAGTGAATTGTTATATCGATGACACCATTGTAAAGACTATAGCTCAAGAATCGACTGAGGGAGAAGTGTCGAACGAGCCTGATTTGGTCAGACCTTTTGCTTCCGTAGATGAACAATCAGATGGGGGAAGTAATCGTGAAGACAGAATTGATGAGGTTGAGATACAAAGCAACGAACAATGGACATGCTCTTTACAATTTATCTCCAAGAACTATTTTTGTAGGTTCCGATGTTTGCGCAACCTTTCATCTGGGGCAGATCCGATTTTAACATAGATTGTGATGGATACCGTTATATTAGTCGTAATTTGTTTTACTGCATATTTCATCGGTCCTTTGACAATTGTAGTGCCTAAAAAATGCCATCTTTGTTGGCAAAATCTACAAAAAATTTCCAAAAAAAGCTCAATTTGACAATCAAAATGACACAAAGTGACTGACGCGTCAAGTTGACGACTTAACAACCCTAGTAACTTTTAGTCAATTAATCCATTTAAAGGGTTAGAATAGTTGCCAAAAACGTTACAGAACCTCTCATTTTTTTTGACTGCCATTTTAACCACGCAGATAGCTTTATGCGCCGATCGGCTGCCATTTCCCCTAATTGAGTAGATACCAAGAAGGCTTTCTAACCCTCATTAACTTTGAGGTATTTGTCAGCCATTATTTGCTACGACTTCGCTAGCGAATTACGGTGTCCGGAACCAACTTCAATCTATTGGATAACGACGTAAACCGCTTTTCTGCAATCCTAAGCATTATCTAGCTATTAAAAACGTTATTCGTATCGACCACTGAACTTCGGTCAGCCTCAAATAAATGGCGGTCGATCTTTTTTATATTACACATGCTGAACTTGTCACTTTGAGAAAAATTTTTAGCGAACGAAATTGGAATGCAATGGTTGGCTAAAGTTTTGGACTTTGATGGTCGTGATGCAACAGTGAGAACACGAATGCTATTTGAGGCCAAGGATTCTAACATGGTAGTTTATTCTTTCTTTTTTTTATTTTAGCCTTGTTTAGATTGGTGCGTTGGGTGCATTGTTGAGACATATTAATCAGGTACGGTTGGGAATCGAATTCGATGATCCTACGACTTTGGTACCTGTTGAAGCTTTTCGAGCAATTGTTTTGTAGGTCATTACACCATGCATATTTATGATAACTTCAGGGGCGACATAGTGTATGTTGATCCGGAAACCAAGAAGTCGTTAGCCATTTTTGATACTGGCCCAACACGCAAACGGATGAATATTCGAAATAAAAAGATCGGTAGTAAGGCCAGGTCTTTGTTCGATCTCTGCGACTTCACAAAATGTGCTCCTGGAAGAAGAAAATTACGGTATGCATGATTGATTAATACAATTTTATTTATTTTTTAAGTTTTTGGTTTTCTCGGCCCTTGAGAAACAAAGAGATTCTGAAGATTAGACAAGAGGGGATCATGTTCTTCACTCGGGATGCGAACTTCCAATTGGTGAATTTCTTGCGTGGAAAGCTAAGAAGTGTTCATAGTTTATTGGTAAAGATTATATAACATTGCGTAGTCCTTTTAGACAATTCTGGTTAAATTATCAAACGGAAGGTTGTCTGTCAATGAATGGTTGTCACTTTCAAAGGTAGGACTGTTATGATTACTATGTAGTTCGGTTAGACGATAAATTCTTTGATGGATATGGGTGATTCTCTTCGAACTTGTGAAGTTAATCTAGCAGTACTTGGCCCAGGGGAACGAGCAATGAGTACAGATTTGGCCAGATTGGGAGAACTTCTCAAGAAAACCTTCAACCAATTGGAATCGCTGGAAGAAAGTCGTTTTGTTGTGAATGAGGGGGTCTCTCCCGAACTAGATCATCGTGAGTTTTGTTTTTTATTCCACTAATATTTACAGTTAAATCAACATTCTCTCAGTTAGGAGATCACCTGACTCAAGTTGCCGAGTCCGAGATCAATACTTATGATATTCCGAGTTGTTCTGTCTGTTATTTGCCGATCATTGGGTACATGGTTATGATTCCTACACACATTGGAGCCAAGATTGAACATGAGGACTTTGAAAAGGTACCTTATCACATCAGAATTATGATTTTAGGTGTATTCGACGGAGAACTCCATGGGATTTAAGACACCTGGAATGCTTGAATTGGATCGCGTTTATGGTGACATTAGATCGAGAATCATCGATAGGGAAACAATTATTGCAAACGGGTAATCTATTTTTCTGGTCTTGTAAGTAATTTTTTTATAATTTTAGTCTTCAAGAGCTACTGGCCAGCCGAAAGAAGGTGATCACCGACGCTCTGGAAGTAGCGGCGACCTTGGATTGCCTGATCTCATTGTCTATAGCGGCAAACAAATATGATTGGGTCCGACCTCATTTTAGTGATAAGTGTGTTCTAAATATCGAAGCGGCCAGACAGCCATTGGTCGAAATCGGACAGATGGAGTACATTACAAATGATATTAAGTACGGTATATTTTTTTATTCTTTGTATAATATTTTTTTCCAATTCAGGTCTGCCTGTCCCGATGAAGTTGAAGGTTACAGTAAAGTAAGGATTATTTCTGGTCCCAATGCCTCTGGAAAAAGTGTTTATCTCAAAATGGCAGGTTAGTTTATGGGGTAACATACTTTTCAGGTTGGGGTGATCGTTTATCTTGCACATGTTGGATCATACGTTCCCGCCAAGAGAGTGGAGATCGGTCTCGTTTCCCAGATCATCTCCCGAATGTATACTGTAGACTCGGTCCTTGATGGACTCTCCTCATTTGCATCTGATTTGAAACAAATGTCCCATGCCATCAGAAAGACGGACAGGAATAGTCTCGTTATTATTGATGAGTTTGGAAAGGGTACCATGACAGTAAGTCCTGTCATTCTTTTTTAACAATATCAGGAAGTCGGCATTGGTCTTTTAGCTGGTTGCTTGAACTATTGGTTGGAAAAGCCTGACAATTGTCCTCACATTTTTTTGGCCACTCATTTCTGCGCTCTCAACAACTTCCTTATCCAGAGCGCACTTCTGTCGGAACATGTAGGCCTTATTTTTTTATAAAATGTTACCAATTATATTAAGAAAATGGAGGTTCTGAAAGACGATGATAACAATTTGACATTCACATTTCATTTCATCGAGGGTCGTTCTACTCATTCATTCGCAAGTTATACAGCGGCAAAGATGGGGATACCTCAGAACGTGATCGAAAGAACGGATGAGGTAGGCTGGGAGGTTAAAACATGTCTCATCTTTAGATATACGCAAATCTGAAAGACGGAAAAAGCCTTACAGAAGTTAAAGGAAAGAATGAGGACGAAGAGCAGGAATACAATCGACTGGTTCAACGAATGGAGTCATTATACGACGACTTCCAAAGATGGGATATGAGAAATGATCCTAATGGATTCGTCGAGTTGGCCAAGAACGCCTTGGCTGTTCCAGCTACAGAAATGATCTCAGAAGATAGGATTGTCGTCGATTGAGTCAACCCCGTCACTAATTATGTTGTTGGTTAATTTTTTTTCGTTTTTATAAAATTCACTGTTAAAATCTCCTCGATTTACTTCAACGTAAAAGAAAACAACAAAAACAATCCTAACGTAAGGTTCCTATCGTTCCCGGTGAACCTGGGAGTTGGCCAGCTTGACTAGGGAATCACCAGATCCACATTGGCCTAATTCTTTTGCCTGAAAAGTATAATCAATCATAATGACGCCCTCACCATGGAAACAGCGGTCTCTGTGTGATGCCTGATGAGATCTCGAGTTTGTTCGAGGGCCGACGATTCTAGTACAATACGATGAGCTTCCTCAACATCTCCGTTTTCTGAGAATCGACGATTTATCATTAAATTCAAGGCCGGGAATTCCTGAGCCGCAAAAAGAACAGGAGCAGTGGCCAGACCTTGTTTCAGATCAGCTACCGACGGCTTTCCTAATTCCGATGAACTGGCCACATAGTCCAACATATCGTCCACGAGCTGGAAAGAAAGACCAAAGTGTCGCCCGAATTCGTAGGCCTTCTGTTGGTATTCAACTGGACATTCTAAAGAAAATCAACGATAAATAAAATAACAAAGGTTACCTGACAAGATGGCGACTGACAAACAGGAATTCGCAAAGAGACTGGCAGTCTTGTAGTAAGTCTTCTGCATGTAATGCTGAAATCGTGTGATGGCATCAGCTGTGGGATTAACTTCCAATTGCATAAACTCTCCATCCACCAAGTTATCCACAATAGATGCCATCGTCGAGATCACATGAGGATCTTTTGTCATACAGAGCAGTTTGGTAGCTCTCGCTAAGATCCTATCTCCACCCAGAACAGCCTTGAAATAAGTTTCTCATATTTCATACTTACTCGTTTATTTCCCCATTTTACATTGGCCGTTGGTTTTCCCCTTCGCGTTCCGGCTTCATCGATTACGTCATCATGGATGAGAGAGGCGGTGTGAATCATCTCTGCCACCATGGCAATCCGATATTGGTTCCTTTGAATTTTATCGAGATCTGCATCATGTCTACAATATATTTCATCTTCATCAAATGTACCAAACTCACCCCGAATTCTTGACTTGATGATTGCAAACATTGCTCATAAGAAGTGCCACCTTTGGCCGGATCAATTTCCCGGACTTCTCGAAGTAGTACTTGGCCATGTCTTGCAATCCCTTGACTGTGAAGGCGGAGCTGGTCTCCTGTCCCATCGACTTTCCCTCCAATAAGAAGGTCAAGATATCTGTTGGGAGGTTCTCAAGTTTCTGATCAACGTCCTTCGGTGTTCGGCCATGATTATAGACCACATCATTGGACTGGTTCTCTGTTGCTGACAATGTTGTCGCAAATCTTAGTGGGCTAAACGAGCCCGCTTTGAACCCGTTGAAACTCCTGAGCAATATCATCGACCTCACAGGCATCTCTTGTCCTAGATTAAGGTAACTCTCTTATCCATATTCAAAAATAAGTATATGTAATGGTCACAACCACCACGAAAAACTCTCAAAACAAAGTAAGTAATTTACTTCAAAGTAGAAAACAATATAAAATAAATATAAGTTAATGAGTAGGCATTGGATGGCTGGCTAGACGACTAGATTCCTTGTGTTAAGACCGTTTAGACTTGACGAAAGAGTTCCCTGATCAGAGTTCATCCTTGAGTAACGAATATCGGTTATCCGACGGTTTTAATTTATTGAAAACACTTTCAGGAGGGGGAGACTGTGCAGGCTAAAATCAATTATCCCTCAGCTTGGACCTACCTGTTTGTCCGGACCATGATGATATTCCCGATGAAGCTTCCCCGAATGAAGATCCTCCACAAATTGTCGTAGATTGCCGGGAATGCTAAAAGGGGTGTTAAATGCTATAATAATATTGACTTGCAAGATATCATTGAAACTGGAGAAAGGAAACATATGCCTGAAGGAGTCGATGGCTATGACCGGGAGATCCGACTCCTTCTTTCCCAAATGATAGAGCGGATGAGCGAATTTCTTGCCATCGGCCATAAGGACGTTAACCGAACCTTAAAATAATGTGGTTCCACAAACAACCTTACTCTTCTGATCTCCTAGCTCCTTCAAAACTACGGATGCAAATTCTTCCTCCGATTTCTTGTCTCCAAGTGTCCGGAAAAGTATTAAGAAAGGGATTCCTTCTTCAGTCAGCTCTTCGGCATTCTCAAAAGTGATTTCTCTGATCAAGGGCACACAATTTGAATTGGCCCAATCCAGGAGATGTTGGTATCCCGCAATAGGCCCGTTAAACTCCTTCTCTCCATTACGGTCCCTAAAAACAATGTGGTTTCCAGCAATGTTCTTCTTCTTGGACCACTCGCCAATCCCGATGTAAAAATGACATTCATCCCGAAGGACAGAAGCAATCTTTTGGAAGTTATTATATTCTTCACCCTGAGGGGCGTTAAAGTACCCGATTATGTTTCGTGATTTACCCTAAAAACAAGACATCTCACTCCGTCGGTAAAATATTACTTACATCTAATAAAGTATCAAGGTTGTCTTCTTCACTGATATGTTTGACGGTGGATTCGATTTGTTTCTTGATGAAATCAGTAAACGCATCTACGGATCGTTGCCCTCTAAAGAAAAATTTATACAGTATGCGTCATAATTATAACCGCACTTTAAAAATGAGTGTAACTTTTGTGATTGCGAATAGAAATGTGTGATATTTGGCACCAACGTGCATCAGCGTACTAGAAATGATGTCCCAAAAAATTATTTTGAAGAGTTTCCGTATTTTAGAGAAAAGCTGGAAAAACCAAAATTAAGATACTTTTCGGTGTCGCAAAATTATAACCGCACTTGCGAATTTGGGGTACTACCCTAATAAAAACACAGGATATCAATAACTGATGTTTAGTTACGCTCCCTGAGGCCTCAATAACGCCCATCACACGACCCGAAACCCTCTGGGCAAATTTTTTTGGCGCATACTGACCCATCTTGTCCCTGAATCGGAAAACGGCATAGGTAGCGATGTAATCAAACGGGCTAGGAGGCCCCACAAGTTTCCTATCGGATTTAAACCCAGGGAATATGCGAGCGAGTCTATGGTGGCAAATGCCTTGCTGTCAAAGGAACTGGTATGTCGACCTGCTATGGTGGACGTGGGCATTCTCCAACAAAAGTATAGCCAGATTGCCAGTACGGTACCAGATGTTCGCCTAAGACTTCGTAGTACTCGAAGCTATTCATTTGAGTTGCTGTGGCCGCGGACGGAAGGCCTCCGGCTTTTTTGAAGGCGCCCGAAGTCATCAACGGGCGGCCTCTATAATTACGACAGGAGAAGCGACGCGATACGTTTTTAATGTCATGCCTTTGGTATGTAAAACCGTCAGGGCATCGTGTGACTACGCAATCCACAAAGAATATGGTATTGCAACGGTCTAACGTCGGTTTCAGCGACCTTCCACTAATCAACCTCTGTTGTGAATGTCTCCTTGGCAAATTTCGGCTGTCGATTGCCGTAAACCGGGGTCAGCTGGGGTCACAGCTTCACATAATACCTTATGATGACGTCGCTGTGTTTTCCGACCCTCATCACGGTGCTTCCGCTACTAATGAAGCTCAGTTTCGATTTAAGTGAACCCCAGATATGGCGGAGTTAGAAGTCCGGCGGATTATTTCTCTTCAACCAGAAGCAGTGGTCAACTTTTGTCTGCCATAACATTTAGATTTGCTAAAGGCTTCCGAGACGACCAGGAAGTTCCTCACAACTTGAGCCCAACGGTCCAACTGAGCGAAAATCTGCCGTTTTCCGATTCAGGGACAAGATGGGTCAGTATGCGCCAAAAAATTTTGCCCAGAGGGTTTCGGGTCGTGTGATGGGCGTTATTGAGGCCTCAGGGAGCGTAACTAAACATCGGTTATTGATATCCTGTGTTTTTATTAGGGTAGTACCCCAAATTCGCAAGTGCGGTTATAATTTTGCGACACCGAAAAGTATCTTAATTTTGGTTTTTCCAGCTTTTCTCTAAAATACGGAAACTCTTCAAAATAATTTTTTGGGACATCATTTCTAGTACACTGATGCACATTGGTGCCAAATATCACACATTTCTATTCACAATCACAAAAGTTACACTCATTTTTAAAGTGCGGTTATAATTATGACGCATACTGTATAAATTTTTAAGACTCACCGGTATTCTTTTTTGACTAATTGACCATGTCTGAACAACTTCAGAGTAGGATATTTGTTTACTTTAAAACGTTGTGCAATTACGGCTAAAACATAAAGGGCTCAACAATGCATAAGATACCTTACGTTGTTTGTCACAATCGACGGATCCGAAAGCCACTTGATTTGCGTTATCCTTGAAATTATATACGAATGATTTGACAATACTTACCTTGAAATTCTGACTGGCAGATTCAAAAATTGGTTTCAAAATTTGTGAGAAACGGCACCATTCCGCATAAAAATTTACAAAAACGAGCTTATTGTTTGCTAAAAAGTAAACCAATTGCTTTTTTCGCTTACCAATGACGCCGTCAAAGTTCTCGTTGTTGAGTATCACCACATCTGCCTTGGTTCCCACCACAAATAGACACTAAAACATGTTTTTATTAAATTATTTGAACAATAAACTTTAATCTCTGGTGTGTAACTTACAAAAATAACTCCCAATTGCATCTTAAACTGATTGCGGGCCCACGAACCCCAAGGAGAAGATCTATTCACAACGTTTTTTCACGGAATTCTGGTCGCGTCACGCCACGAAAACAAATGTTTGGCGTACTGTTAAATAATGTTTTTTGGCTTCTTCGAGAAATTACAAAAATTGTAATTTAGCCCAGTATTGAACAAAATCTTGACAGAAAAAAGCTATAGACCCTATCAGTGAATTTTTCTTGTTATAGTAGGTCTGGTTTGTCTTTCAAAAACACCATGCTTGATGAGTTTGATAATTAAAATATCTCTAGTTGCGGAATGCCAAGGATTTTGTCATTTTGCGAAAAGCCCGGGCAACGATTTCAATCATTATAATAGCAGGAAAGATGTCTCAATAAGTCGAGTTTCGAGCCAGAAAAAGTTCTGAAACTTTGCATGATGATTGAGAATGATGTTGTAGTGCTGATCGACCATTTTTGTAGGATTCGTGACTAAACGTCGCCCGCTAGGCGATTGCAAAGTTCTCAATTTTGGGAAGTTTGAAGTCGAATATCTCAAAGACTGAATAACACATACAAATTTCTGAACCTCTAACAGAGAGATAACTGTCTACTCTTTCCAATTCACCATTTATCAAGTCGCTCAATTTTGGATGACCGGGTGAAAATATCGTATCTTTAAGACCACCTTTTTGGAGCGAAGTGTCACAAAAATTCGATCGATAATGGCGCAATTTTAGCTCGACTTCCGCTTTTCTAGTAGAGTCTAAACGTTGTGTATTCTATTTTATTTTTCAATTCCGTTATGTATAATATCGGGCGCAAGTTGCGACCAACCTGCGCCCAATATTTGATAATTTTATATTTTCGAATTCAAAAAATTTTGTTTTGGTCAAATTACGGTGGAAACAAACTGGAATTTTCGAAACACATGAAGTCTGGCTGTTATGGCGCGGCTGAATAAGATCGTTGATGAGCTCGTGGAGACAGAGAAGAGTTTTGTGACTGATTTATACCGCATTACTGTGGTAAGCTCGAAGGGTTTGTTATAGCATCCTTTTCAGGGGTTTTCTGACTTCTTTATCAGCCAAGAGAAACCTTTCATTGAAATTCGGGAGTTGCTGAGCGTCTTGAATAAAATTCGGAGATTCAATCGTAACCTACTCAGGGAATTCAAGAGAGCGGATTATGATTATGGAGCGGTAGGTGCAATTATCTGTGGAATTGTTGCATTTTTTTTATTATTTCTAGATTGCTACGACGTTCTTGAAGAATCGAGAAGGATTTGCCGTTTATTTCATGTATTGTATACATTATCCACGGTAAGAGAAGGTTTTCATCACATTGTTGGTGTCTTTAGGGCCATTGATAGGCTGCTGCTGTTGAAGAAGAAACCTTCATTTATGGAACTCCTGATGAGACAGCAGATGGAAGCCGATGTTATATTACCCTTGGAAAGTTATCTTCTCAAACCATTTCAGAGGATTTTGAAATATCCGTTGATTCTTAGAGTATGAATTATGTTTGATTTTCTAAAATTAACCTTTAAAAATTACATTTGAAACCTTTTATAGAAGATGATGGATTATTTTTATGAATCTGAACAAATTTTTTGGGATGACTTTTCTGACCTGAAAGGAGCTCATGATCTCATGGTCAATCTTTCCAGCCAACTTAACGAACACAAACGGAAATTGGAAGAGGTAAGACGCGGCCTTTCTGTGAATAAATACAATAGTCACGGTTGTTGATTGATACTAGTCCGTCCGGAAAGTCGCCGGACGGAAATCGGCGACGTGCACTGTGCAAGAAAACTCAGGGTGCGAGCGACAGCTGGAAAAAGCCTATTGCGCAGTGCAAAAAGCCAAAAATTGCACAGTGCAAAGTGAACTTTCGGTTTCGCGGAGTGCATGTCGCCGATTTCCGTCCGGCGACTTTCCGGAAGGACTAGTAACATTGATTCATGACTTCAGAAACAAAGTTCTCTTATTCGCTCGCTGCCTCAGAAGTTGGATCTGCCTCGTCGATGGATTGGCTGTTTCAAGATTTCTTCCAACCTCGTCAAGATCAGGCGAACCCAATCTGCCGAGTCGTTATGTAATCTCACCGTATATGACATCTCCTGAACAAAATGTTATATTTCTGTTAGCTGTTAAAATAAAATACTGAGGATATAAGGATGGTGACATACGCATCAAATCGGATGTCGTGGCTAGAAACCGCGATTTCTTGTCTGACAAGGGATCGGCAAAAAGTTTGTAGACCCCGGATCCGAAACCAGGACTTGTTGCGCCGGAAGTTGGGACGCTACCACTCGACCAACTGAACACAACTCTGTTGTAATTTCAAGAGCTTATAAGTGACGCGGCCGCAATTCCGCGCGCGGAAATTAGGCTAAAATCTCTATTTTGGCCATAACTTTGCCCAAACATACATTGGGCAGCTAATTTTTTTGCGCTGTGCACTACTTTTAATGCTCTTTCAAATGATATACATAGGTTTGGTTAAGAAAGCAGTATGCAACTAATATTTGCCAATCCCTTGTGAGCAGAGAAAAAAAGAAAAAAATCTCCACAGGGAGAGCAGAAATTTGCACAATGTTGCGCAATTTGAGACAAGAATTACGCATTTCTTGTCTAGAGGCCTAACAGACAAGAAATCGCGATTTCTGGCCACGAAACCCGGTTTGATGTGTATGTCACCATCCTTATATTATATGTCTATAAAACTTTTAAAAAAATTATGGCCAAGTAAGAGTATACAAAAAAATTGACCTGATTCACTTCCAACTTTTGGTGACAACGCCAAGAAATCGACAAAAACTTTCCGCGGAATTTTTTGAAACGCCCTGTACATTTTTACTTTTCAAATTTGTATTAATCACATCAAATACACATTCTTTACAAAGAAACTAAGAGTATTGTTATTTTCCATTGATTTTAGAAATCTGAATATTATGGCATCGGCCCATTGTGGTTTCTGCCCATTATGGACAGACACGGAGCGTGGCTGTGGTGTCGGCATGAATTCCAAAGTTGTTGCCTGGCAATCTTCTGTAAATTTTTTTAATTACCGGGCGATCTATAAGTTCCCCCTATCCTATTTGCCGTGTCCAGAAACTATTTTTTGTAAACAAGGCCAAGCCTCAAGCCTAACGGAGAAAATTGAATATTTATAATTTTTGTCATCAAATTCAGTTTTTGCTAAATGTTCCGTTTATTTTCAACTCATTAGCAGATTTTTTTTCGAGTTCGGAAACTAGAGGTCTTTGCGGCTCGCATGAGTCTATGTAACAATTTCAAAATATGTTTCGATACGGTTGCAAAAATGTATTGCTCTTTTCGCACAGAATGGATTCGCCCCGAAGGTCGTTCGCTCCCACTCTTTTATTGTTTTGTATTGATTCTCGCCCTGCCCTAGGCTTCTCGTTCCTTTCGCCAAAAAAGGCATTTCCTTTCTCCGAGAGTGCGTGCGGCAAAAGCGAAAGGGGGTTTGAGGCCATCTGTACGGCCAAAGCGCCGTCGTTTCTCTCTTCCAAACTGCTTTCGGCTTTGTTCGCGGCCTCAACTCAAGCATGGCTGGAGGCGGAGAATCTGAACTTCATAAGCTTCGGTCCAATGCTGAATCCCTATCAGAATGTCTGGAATCGCTGAGACAACGGATCGAACAGCTCGAAGCCAAGCCGGATAACCAACAAGAAGTAAGAATTCAGTCCTTCGTGTCATGTCTGACGGGAAGATAATGAGCGCAACGTCGCTGCGTCAATCGCGTCGCTGAATTGAAAAGCAATTTGATTTTGCTCCAACACAAACAATTTTCTCGACGACGGTGCGAAATTGTGCTCATTATTTCCCGATAGACTGATATTATTTGAGAGCTCACATATGCAAATTTTAAGTAATATCCGTCGTGATTTGCACATCCCAGACTTTCCTTTTAAGTAAATCTAAATAAGGCAGACTGAACGTAGTCCTGAAAGCAAGTTAAAACAGGCGAGCGGCACGATACGCAACGTTCCAAATGCCATGTTTAAAAATCCTCGACGTTTATCGTTTCCGGCTTCCCCAGAGGGCACGGGATTCAAAATAACAGCCTTGGCCCCTTCCCCTTTGGCCTCACGTTTTCGCCTTTTTATTCGATTTTATTTCAGTCCATCCGCTCCGAGACCGTCCACACCGACCCGGTTACCGGCATCACTAAACGGACGGTCGTCACCGAGCGAATCACCCGCATTGAGAATTGTCATCGGACTGTCAGACTGCCACCTTCAATCAACGAGCTGGCGTCCAACAAGGACTCGGCCCTCGATGGGAAAGACCGTCTCCTGGGTCCGGCTTATCAAGCCCGCATCATTGCCATCGATAGCGAGGAATTGGGTCAAGTGGAAGTAGAACCAATCTGCGGGGAATTTGTGGTGACCAAGGTGAAGAAACCGGAATTATGCGAACTTATACATCCTGGAGACACCATCGTTGAAGTGAATGGACAACTCCTCGAGAGGAAAGCAGCTCTTTACGGACAAAATGGATCCGTGAAATTAAAACTGGTCCTCTCCACAATCTATGCAGCTCCAATGGTAAAGTCTAACTTCATAAATAACTCTTCTTTTTTTAGAAATTTGCCAAGATAATTGAATCCACCAAAACTAAGCAACCCAATGGTCAAATACTTGCCGATCCCTATCAACTTCAACTAAACAAGGGCGACATTGTTCAAGTGTTGAGTAATGACTCGCAATGGATCCAAGCTAGGAAAGTGAACGATCTATCAAGGGCCGGCTTCATAAAACCGGGCCTTAAAATGGAAAATGTGGCCATGTTGTGTCCTTATGGGAGAAGGACTTTAGCTATCCTGGGAGCCCCTGGAGTGGGTCGGAGGACTTTGAAAGCAATGCTGCTAGTTCAGCTCCCTCACAGATTTTCTTCAGTTGTTCCTTGTAAGCATCATCAGTCTCAATTATTACTAAACATCTCGTACAATACACTTCAAAAAATAATCTGATTATAGACACTTCAAGAGCTCCTAAACCGGGAGAACAGGAAGGCCGCGAATATAATTTCGTGACCAAAGAGAAGATGAGAGAGATGATCCGAGAGAAACGTGTCATCGAATGGGGCGAATATGACGGTCACATTTACGGGACATCGGAGGATTCAGTTCGAGAAATCGTTAGGTATGTGAGGTTACAAACTATGTATACGAATTTTAAGATCCGGACGTGTTTGTGTCCTCGATTGTGCTGTCCAGGCGTTAAACCATCTTTACAATGGAGAATTCATGCCGTATGTAGTGGTGATAGCTCCTCCAGAATACGAAGAATTCGTTGAAATGTGTAAATTGCGGAAAGATAAGTGCATGAAAACAGAGAAGGAGATAAAACACACATGCGAACAACATCAGAAGCTCATGGATAGCGATTATTCAAGACATTTTGACCTTGTTTTGGCCAACAGAAATCATGACATAACATTCCGTCGACTACTAGACGCATTAGAAGGCCTCAAAAATGAACCCCAATGGGTACCTCTGGATTGGCTCAAATGAATCTCTGCCCGAAAACCTCGCAAAATAATGTAACAAAATCAGATCTCAACACCTCCGACTTTCATAATAAAGAACAAACTCGTGTATCTACACTTCGCATTGCAATTCATTTATTACTATCACAACTAACAGTAAATTGGATAAACGCGATATCGCGTTTATTCGCACGAAAAATATTTGCGAAAAAAGTGTTTTACACTGTTGTGCACTTGCGTCCTGACGCGAAAATCCTGCGTTTTCAATCCAAGCCACAGGCTAGACATCGTGCATTTTTTAACAACGAAGAGTGCAGATTAATCAGCTCACCGAGAGTTTGGTTCATCACAACTGCTTGGTTGCTACTTACTTTTACGTAGGTTTCGTTACTTACCTTGTTTTTAAAATGTCTATGGCCTCTGACTTTTTATTGATTATCTCAGAGGGATTTTAGTTTTATTTTTTAATTTTGTTTTCAAATAAGACTTGAAAAAAAGTTGTTAGTTTAAAAGAAGCCAGAGGATTTGTGAGCTTAGGAGTACTTTTACTAAGTACGTTTATACGTTTCTAATGCGCGAATACCATCCTTTTATTTGTTAATTCTCTGAAGATTAATATTTCATTTAGAGTAATGTCTCTCCCCAAGAGCCTGTTGTTCCCCAGACTTGCACAGGTCCAGGTAATTCACCGGGCTTTGCAAACCAGCTCTGTTCGCCCATCAGGTCATCACTTGGAGTACTGGTGGGGTCCTGAGAAGGCTGCGGGCCGTGTTCAAGTCGGTCATGGTGTTTCCGGTGAACCCGTACGTTGTTATCGAATTTCTTGAATTTTTTAAAAAACATTTTCCTTGTTGTATAACGTGTAACTTTAAGTCGTACTTCGACCGTCTGGATTACTGGTACCCAGCTATCAGATTCCGTAAAGAAGACGATGTTATTACCCCATTGAGATCCAAGGAACAAGGTGACTGGAAGAATCTCAGTCTGGAAGAAAAGAAAACGCTGTACAGGTACAGCTTCCGCCAAACTCTGGCCGAGTTCGAGGCTCCATCTGGATACTGGAAGGTGATTACTGCCCTCTCGTTCTTTGTTATCGGATGTGCCACTCTCTACGCTACCTTCCTCAACCACTTTGGTATGTTTTTTTCTGTCTTGAAAAGTTACTGTTATGTTTAGTTTACCCTGAACTTCCACCAACCTTCCAAAACGAATTTAAGGAAGCTGAGATTGAACGTAACTTAGTCCTCCAGAAGGGACAATTTTTGGGAGCGCCCAAATACTTTGACTACGAGAACAACAGATGGAAGTAAATGTATTTCTTTCCATTGTTCCAAACAGGACTGTGTATTAGTGAACATAAATTTGAATTTCAAGTTTGATCGGACTTTTAAGTTTCGTAAATTACGTTAATAACAGCGTTGTATCGTAGAGGGTAATAGAGACAGGAAGCGTAGTGCAAACTTACAGTCAAATTTAGTCTTTGAAGCATAGTTTGAATTGCACTTTGTTGCAGGGAAGGTAGTGGACTAAAACGAAATGCAAACAAGGTTAATGTGAATAAAAGCCTGCACATAATCAGAGCTGACCAGTGAACACAAACTTCGAAATTTACAGTCGTCCTTTTTTCACGTCCGGACGAAGCCGATTTTTTTGCCTAAAATCTTTTTAAAACTTTGGCAGTCCTTGTTTTTTCGTATATTGTTGTATCTTTTAACCTGGGAATAATTTCGGTTTTGGTTCGGCTGTTGCGCGAGAAAATTACAATTGAATTATCTGTCTGAGATCAATTTATAGAAGAGACGCCAATTTCCCAATCAATTGAAGTTAGCACAGCAAAGATAACAACAAACGTGTTGTTTGGTCGCAGAAGAAGGGGCGGCGGCACACATGAATGGGGTGGGGACGGGTAAGAATTTCTTTTACAACATCATTCCGGCCTCCAAAGAGAGTTCGGCTTCCGCAACGTGACCGAAGAGAGATTCATTTGGACCGTAAAGAAATGTCGGCGGACCTGGCCAAAAGAGCTGCAGCCATCTGTTGTGCAAAACAGGTTCTACAAAATGGACTGAAGGTTGGGGTTGGAAGCGGGACAACGATCAAGTATCTAATCGACTACGTAAAGGAGAAGAGAGATCAAGGAGAACTCCAAGACATTATTTGTGTACCTACTTCATTCCAAGTAAGCTCAATTCGGAATTATTGTCTACTGTTTTAGACCAGGAAGTTACTTCAAGATGCCGGAATTCCAGTCGCCACACTGGAAACACATTGGGATCTGGACATAGCTATTGATGGGGCTGACGAGATGGACAAGAATTACAATTGCATTAAGGGTGGCGGCGGATGTCTGACACAAGAAAAGATTGTCCAAAACTGTGCCCGAGACTTCTTCATGATAGCCGATTCCTCAAAAGCATCCAATGTCTTGGGTGAAACGTTCAAATACATTCCTTTAGAGGTCATTCCCTTTGCATATGTTCCGGTACAAAAACAGGTAGAAAGGATTTTTGGTAAGAGATTACTTTTTGAAGTATTTTTTCAAAACTGCCTCTCTTTCTGCTTGATGATTTTCAGAGACATGTTATTGTAGGTGGAAAATGTGAGCTTCGGATGGCGAAAATGAAATGTGGAGCGGTGATAACGGATAACAATAACTACATTATTGATTGGTACTTCCCCCCTGAGTTAGGGAATACAGATTGGAGGGTGGTGGACCAACGTCTCCATTTAATTCCGGGATTAGTGGAGACGGGCCTCTTTGTTGGTGTGGTTAAGAAGGCCTTCTTGGGTAACAAAGATGGCGGTGTTCAGGAATTGACGCCCTAACCGAAGAAATCCTTTACATCTTTAAAAGATCAGGCCATCACTCACTTACTTTGGTCAATAAATTTTTATCTTTTATCCGATATTTATTGTGACATTTCGTTCCCTTCGGTGGCATTTCGTTTAATCTTGAAATTTAGTCGAGATCCGTATTGACCCGCACTTTCTTTGCAAGCCGGCTTTTGCGCGCTTGAACTGATGTGTTTGGAAGGGTTGTTGAAGTTCTTCTAGTGTTTTAAGTGATCTCAAACCTCCGGATCATGAGGTTTCTCTTAATATTGTCCTATTTCTTTGGAACCTTGGCCATATTAGTCCAATCTACGAATCTCTACCAGGTGCTTGGATTACCTCGAACAGCTTCGGTGAAAGAAATTAAAAAAGCTTACAAAAAACTTGCTCTTGAGTTCCATCCGGATAAAAATGATGCTCCCGATGCCAATGAAAAGTTCATGGAGATTAATGCGGCTTATGAGGTTCGTCACCAATCTTGTAATTCGGACAGCTGTGAATAATTCCAAACTCATTGTCTTTGATTTCAGATTCTAAATGATGCTCAAAAGAAGGAGCAATATGATAAATACGGAACGGTGACTGACAACGGCCACATGGGTCGAGGCGGGGATAATTTCTTCAATGGCCGGCAATTCGATGATTGGGTATGTAGAAGTTGGCTTTAATTTGCATGTATTTAGTTCTTTGGTGGCCATGGAGATGGTTCTCGACGACAGAAGCAATCAGTATTTGAGAAACATCGACTAACCCATCACATGTACATACACTCGGTCTTGGAACAGTCGTATTACAAGCCGTATATTATATTTGCTTACTCTACGTACTGCATGTCGTGCTTTACATTGCAATCATATTGGACTGATGCCGTCAACGACTTGGAGGCATTGGGTAAGCTGTTCATATTTTTAGGTACCTAAATTTGTTAGAAACAATTTTTGTTATCCGGTATCTATATTATACAAATTAAATTATGCAGGATATGGTGTGGGGACGGTTAATTACATTTTCGACGGAAATCTCTTTGAAAAGCTGCGAATTGGACGATTGCCTTCGTTATTGGTACTGGTCGAAGGGAAAGTTGTGCATTATCGAGGGAATTACGCTGATCTGACTGCGCGGACTATTCGAATGTTCGCTCGGGATGCGATTCCGAACACTTTCATGATGAGGGTCAATAATTATAGCGGTCTCAAACGATTCTTAGATCAATGGCAGAATACAAACAAGGTAAGTCATGTTGTTCAAGGTATTTATTTCTCATTTTAGCCATCAGTCTTATTCCTTGGCGCCAGCAAAGAACCTAGATTGAGATATCTTTTGCTGGCCATGAGATATTCTCATTTTGCTCGGTTTGGTTATGTTAATGCTCTCGATAATTCGAATGATGTCAGAGAAATGAAGATCGCTTTGGACATCAGATGCGACTCCTGTGAAAATGTCATCGTTTTCAAGGAAAATCCAGAAGTAAGTAGGAGGATCTCAAGTCCTACAGTGGCGGTAAAAAACGGTCATCCCATAGTGATTCGCTGTAGCTCCGGACCGTTACATTTCGCCGAGTCTCTCCGATATTGAGGCAAAGTGTACAGTGCAATATATAACTACTTTTAAAAAATAGGTTTTGACAGAAATACTACATTCCAACTAGCTTTCACAACTCGGTCCCAGATTTTTTGCGTATAGAAATTATCCCTAATTTTTATTTCAAATTTCAGAATGGTGAAATTGCGAGATTACAAGGTTCTGGAAGTCAATTTACCACCGAACAATTGAACGAATTTATGGAGAAGAACAAGTTTTTAGTGTTTCCCAGGGTAGGTGATAGTCATCATAATGTAGATGTTCTCGTTCAGATTTCTTCCATGTCATATATGGACCAATTATGCCCAGTATCGTCAAGATCTCAACGTCATTTCTGTTTTATCTTCCCCGTCGAAAATTTTGAGGGAAAATTCTTGAATTCGATTAGAGATTTTGTGAATCAGAACTCTGGATTTCTGGAAAAACATCGAGTGAAGGTGGTTCAGATCTCAAACAAAGCCCAATCCGACTTCATGAAGCATTTTGAGAAGCCAGGACATTTAGATTCAGAGGTAAGAATTAAAAAAAATATATATATAAGCCGTTGTAAGAGTAGTAATGAATTGAAATTTGCAGCACAAATCGTTCCTGGTTGTCTGGCGACACGAATATGTAAAAGCGAAATACGTCTGGATCCCCATTAATCCCTCATCATCCATTTCTCGTCTAAAGTCCGAGGTCGAGAAGGTGTTTAGGGGTGATGTAAGGATCACCGAATTAGCTAACGTAGCCAAACTAATCGATGAATTTGAACCTTCTTTCTTCACGAAGTTTTCAAGACATGTGGTGAGGATGGCCTTGACTCTGTGGTTCCATCTGACGAAAGAGGACATCCTTCCCATTGTTAGTGTCATCGGAACCATGTTGTTTATTTTAGTCGTGGGATATCTACTCAATTACATGATTGGAGATAACAAAGTTAGAGCATTTGATCAGGTAAGGATTGTTTTCTGTTTTTTATTCTGTCTTTTAGAATTCTGAAAAACCACCACCTTATACGTCTGAAAGTGATTGGCATCCAGAAGATCCAAAATCCAACCTGAAACGACCGGAGCCTTTATCAAAGAAGAGCAGGGCCTGGGCGGAGATGGAACCCATTATCCACGAGTTGAGAGCCGAGACTTATTTTGGTCTTATCAGACTTCTGAAGCCGGGTTGCAGGTCGATTATTGTGTTGGTAGATGCAGAGTCCAAAGACACTATGCTTCGGCAATTCGCTCGTTATGTATATTTATTACGAAAGTACGTTTTTTCGTTTCTTTTCACTTAATGTAACACTTCTTTAATTAATGTTTGTTTAGGAATAAAACGTTCTCGTTTGGATATCTCAATGTAGATAAGAATCTGCATTGGTTCAGAGCCCTATTAGAACACATCTGCCCGGCATCTGAAGATGGAACAAACGAACAGATGGCGAAACGTCTAAAGGTAGGATTACTATGTAATCTTCTTATTTATTTGCCAGGATATCAACCCAAAACAAACCCTTGGAACTGTCTTGGTGCTTTGTGGATACAAATTATACTTCAGCATGTATCACCCGCTTCACAAAGGATCCAGACCAAAAGATTCCGAAGATTCTGAGTCGGAACCTGAAGTCAAAGAGGTATTAACAAATAGTATTATCTATCTTCATTTCTTTTAGAAGAAGAAGATAAGTCAGCAGAATGTCCTCGATGGTCTCCCCAACTTCTTGGACCGGCTTCTGGAAGGATCCATTCGAAGATATTACGTCCCAGAATGGCCAGACACCTTAAAATAAGCTCGGAATTACAACTTCAGTCAACACTCTAGTCTTTCTCAAGTCTTTTAAAGATGCTTGCGCAATCTCTATTGTATTTTATAGGAGCTAAAAAGGATTTATAAACAAGAGTTGTAATAAAGTTTTCTGATTTTGCTAATGGTATCTTCCAATAACTATTTGAAATGATTCGTAAGGATAATGTAATGTATAGATGAACAATGTCGGCATATTCAAGAAGGTTTTGAGTGCCGGAAGGGGGCCTTTGCCCGATTATGTAAAGGATACCAAGGTTTGGATTGACTTCGAAGTTCTGATGCCAAAGAATGACACCATTAAAGAAGGGTTCTCCGACGATATGGACCAGTTTATTTCCATTGATAATACCAAAAATAAATGGCCAGATGGATACGGGGAACCTCTTGAATTGGTGATTGGGCGGAGGTTCCAGTTACCCGTCCTGGAAACCTGTGTAAAAAGTATGCATCTGGATGAGGTAAGAGTAATATTTATAAAGAAGGAATTTGCATTTCCAGGTATGTCAATTTGATATTGAAGCAAAACAAATGGCCCCATATCCATTGGTGGCCAAGAGATTGAGAGATATCAGCCATTCGAAAGTCGACCCGAGATACGAGAGCCATGAACATCATCATTGTGCTGGGATGGGGGTCCCAAAGTAAGGAAATGTTTGCAGAGATTTAATTCTAGGACTGGATACGAAGCTCTGGATCAATTGATTCAGAATCCGAAAGATCTACGGGTCAGAATTCATGTAATCAAAATAGAACAACCAAATGAATATAAAGTTGATAACTGGCAACTCAACTCGGAACAGAGATTACAAAAGGTCAATGAACTCAAAGCGAGGGCCAATCAATTGGTTAAAGAAGTAAGCCATGAGATAGGGATCTAACATTGAGCATAGGGGAAGGCCGTTGCGGCTATTGATGATTACAAACACGGCCTCACTTTGTTGGACCAGCTGATGTTGATGGAGAAACCGGGAGAGCCTGAATGGAAGGAATTAGACGCTCAGGTGTGCAATGCATTCGGAAGTTAATAGTAATTTCAGACCATTCCGTTTTATTGCAACTTATCCCTTTGTTTCCTAACTATTAATAGCTGCCGCGAGGCTGAAAACGCGGCTTCGGAGGCGCTGAAAAAGGATCCCGACAACGAAAAAGCACTATTCAGAAGAGCTAAGGCACGAATCCAGCTCTATGAATTTGATGAAGTCAGTCGATTTGATTTGTTCTTGTCATAATATTTATAGGCAGAAGAAGATCTATTGCACCTTTTGGAGAGATATCCAAATAATTCAAAATTAGTTCAAGAAGAACAACACCGACTGGTACAATTGAAGGCCCAGAAAGTCGTTAATGAAAATAATCTGTTCAAAAAGATGATTAATAAGTGATCATGTAATGTTTACACTTCTCAACGGTTACGGTACTTTCCACCTGTGTATTTAAATTAACGTTCCTAGTCATAATTTCACAATAATAATAATATTATAACTCATTACTTCATTCCATTTTTTATTTCATAAATATTCTCCTTTACCGGGTTCATGTAACATTTGCTCAGTTCTGTTTGACGTGTTTCACACTCCTAATGCTAAAGATGACCTTGTATCGGATGTCGAAGAAGGCACAGCAATGATAGGCGATACTCAAGAAGACGTCCACGTATTCGGTGATGGCGAAGATGTCGTACACTGAACAGTGGATTACAATTACTCATCATAATCTTACTGTAGGTGATACATTTCTTCCAATACAAAAGAAAGGCTCCGAGTAAAATGGGGACCGAGATGAGGTACACAATCAGGATGACCACCTTCAGATAGTATGAGAAACGACCCTGTAAAGGGAAAGGTTACTGTAGCACTGCTTTACTGCTACTTACATACGGATTGAGGTAATACAAGGAGCTTCGATGGCAGATCACATTGGCCAAGAAAAACCCAATAGCTGAGAATCCAAAAGCGTAGAAAAAGATTACATGGAAGCCTGAAAGGATACTGTAACTTGTAAGATTAAATTTTACCGATGTATTCTCTCTCTCCGACCACCGATAAGGCCACCATAAATACCAACTCCAGGACACCCACAATCAAATACATGTAGCGAGCGAAGGTGTAGAAACGGGGATAAGAACAATCTACACTTCTGAGACGGCCGTAACGGAAAACTAAACAATAGTGATTAAGTACGTTTCAATCGGTTGTAATTTACAGCCAACTCCCAATTCGATGAGTCTCAAGGGAACATGGAAGAGAAACGTAAATTGCCAGAAGATCCGTTCCATTGGGAGGTTAATAATACGAGATAACGACGGTAGCCGGGCTCTCTTAATTCTTGATTAGACCTGTTTGTCCTTAACTTACTCCACATTGCCAGTTATAATTACTGATCTCATCATTGTGGAAGATCAGAGCAATTATAATACTCATCACAGCCCCGAAGAAAGGGGGAATGAACCCGATGAAGAAGAGATGGGAAGGGTTCGGCCGCATCAACTCTTTCACCCTCAGGCCGTTCACTCCATCGACCCGTCGAGGATGGATCGGCGGGGTCCGTTTCATCGACGGGATAACATCCGTTTCCATCATCTCCCATGCCGGATGATAGGACTCGGACTGGTAGCCTGAGGGCACAGGCACAGTTTTCATGGGACCTGGAATTAAGCCAGAGATAATGGACATTCGATAAAGAAGATAACTCGCTGAATCGACGAGTCAGCGACAACACGATGTCGCAAATCCAGTCCCTCGTCAAATGGATGACGTTGATGGTTCTATTCTGATGATTACAATAAATTATCAATCAAAGCGAGTATCAATGAAAACATTTTGTCGTATATACGGAAAGAAGAACATCCTTCCCAAGGTCGATGAACCTGTTCGAGTCGGGATGACACCAGTCAAGGTGATTTACAGCGAGAAAAACAAAACTCTGGAATTAATTCGGCGGCATCAAACGAGGATCCGCGACGCTGAAGGAAGAAGAAGATCCGACGAAAGGGAAAACGGCTTCAAACCGGAACAGAGCCGGCGCTGATCGCGACTTCTTATTCTGAACGGATTCTAGAGACCAGTTCTCATCGGAAAGCGCCGCTTTCTCTTAAAGGTATTCAAATTCAGCGTCGACTCATGTGGTTAGAGGGTCATTGCTGGTGGGATATCAACATTTACGGGTGAATCTTTGTCCCCAATCTGACTGCAAGTTTCGTCATAATAATTTATTCGAACTTCCATTCGGAATAATATCCGATCAAAACGAAACCAGCGACCACAACCAGAGTTACGAACACAAATTCCAAGGCCAGGATTGTAAAGTACCAACGATAGTTAAAATCAAATTCCCTGATCTCATTCAAGATCTTCTCGGTGGATAATGGGGGGATTGAGGGGTTCTTCTGAAAAGGTTACCGTGGCTCTCAAGTAACGTTTGAAATTTCGTAATTTGAAATGAAGCCTTTTTTACAGAGTGAAGCAAGGCCCCGACATTCCCAAAAATCGACCACTTCAGAATCTTCTGGTAAAGGAGGTCGGGAAAAGTTGGGTGATCGCTTATTCGGGTTCCGTATTCGGGTGGCGCGTATTCGGGTGATGGATCTTTGGGGTGAATGAACTCTCGGGTGATGAAGAACATGTTGTATTGGGGGCTACTACTATATGATATAACACTGTAAAACTTTTGAAATTTTTTGCAATTTCATTCATTTTTGGGGGTTTCGACGGTCAGGAATCCAAAAATGAAATCTGTTTTGCGCGTAAACTTTGAGAATAATCCTTTTTTATTCACGTGATATTTAATAGCATTACAACGTTGCCCATATCACCCAAGAAATCGTCCACTCCAAAACGGACTTCGTTTTTTAATTACACATGTCAGGAAACCTCAAAATATTCAAAAAATAAGAATGTTCTCAAAATTTACGGTAAGTTTCAGTATTACATACATTTATAATCGGGTTGTCAATTTGACCGAATTTTTCAAAATGACGTCAAGTTGACGTCAAATTGTGTCAAAATACCCTTAATATTATTAGTCAAACAATATGTTTTTACCGCTTGGTACTGTATAGTACGAGGTAGTACTATATTCCGCGAGGTAAAAAAAGTTATAACGCGTGAATGCCGTTGTTTTGGTATGCAATACTGATCAGAAGTTCATTTTGTGCAAAAAATCGTGCATATAGTACCAAGTGCTAAAAACACATTTTTGAGAAGGCTTGGGGACAAAAACGTCCTGGCGACAAAAAAAAATATAAAAAGTGGGGACAAAACCGTCTTGGGGACAAAACCGATCCCAATCGCCTTTAGCTAATTATTTTAAGGACGAAAAGAAATACGTCCGCACACGACCGAAATCGAACCCGCATCTTCCGGCGCAAAGTAATCAAATGTTGCATCCTACAACAAAAATGTCCATAATCAAAATACACCCTTCTTGAGTATCAATCAAATAATTCGACAAATTGTATCTAACGTAACCGCGGTATACGGTAATTTCCGAATCTTAAAATTCGCGTTCTATTTTAAAAAACAATTATGCAAAATTTTGGAAGATTCTGAGAGGGTCGATTCTTGCAATGATCGGCCGTTGCTAAGAAATCTATAAAAAATATATGTTATATAAAGATTGGAGAACTTGCCGGTTCCTGGATCTTCTCAGAGCTGGGCGCTTTAATCGATTGCATTTTATTGGCCGAGGAGGTTGGCCGAACCTCGTTTCCTTCCTTCTTGGCCAAGGATTCAATGGTGATTTCCTGCATCCTCCCAAGTGACAACCGATTCGGAGATTACCGTCAAGGAAATTGGTGTTAACCCAAGGTTTGAAATAAAAAAAATGACATAAACTTTATTTACAAATATACAAAAATTGAAAAACAATTCCGTTCTCTAGAGTCTGTTAAAGCTGGTTTATTCGTTGAACGGATTCCAAAGTTGTGATAAAACACCTCAATATTACGTTTACACATACATCAGGCAAACAGGTGGGGCGCTCTGTATACAATAAGAGCGGTGCATAAAAACAAAAACCCCGAGAAGGTGATGAAGCAGATTCTGTCCACCACCATCGCCGCGAACATCCAATCTTCGTGGATCTCGTTCAGATATTCCTAAAACAGTATGACTTTAGCTTTGTCGATTACCTCTTTCTGAACCTTCCCGGATAAGACCTTCAGATGCACCATTAACGCCTCGAACTGGTCATTGCTCAAGAAACTCGTTGCCGGTTCTTTCTTCTTGTGCGGAACATGAATTGTCTCTGATTCCATTCCAATCTAAACTCGTCTCGTATAATATAAATACGAAATTAAACTGACAGGAGTGGACAAGAGCTTTGTCCTGGCTTCATCTGGACTTCTGAACTGCATAAATCTTCCCTCGATACTCTCCGCCATCCGTTTGTGACGCGCCATTCTTTTCTCGGCATCTGAACAAATGATGGCAGTTATTTGAAACAAAGGGATTACTGGTAAAGGCTTACGATAAACCGAACTGTTAGGGTGTTAGCAACCTCACCTTTCCTCTTTTGACACTTCCCAATATGAAAGTCGGCTCCGTTAGTTGATATTTTATATTCATTTCCGAATCCATTTTGAATACTGCTGTAAACCTGAGGGTGGACTAGAAGTCGGGAGTCCACCTCGACTGTGGGAACGATCACATGGGAGTTGTTCATGGAGGAGTCGTTGTGGATAAAGGTCATAAAATCCTTCTGGGGCTCGTCCTCTTCACAATCGCCCACTCGAACCCGACTGGGACGATTCATTCGAAGCATCCAGGCACACCAATCCAATAGAACTATCCTCATCTGCAACATCGATTTAGTGGGAAACCTGACGTTATATTATGGGGTTGTTAAGTCGTCAACAACAGCAAGGAATTGCTACCCTGGACGGGCCCATGTGTCCCTTTGGTAGAGAACGTGTGAGGCTTTCTGGTTTGTGAATTACACTCGCATTATTTTACCGTAAGTGAGCTAAAAAGGCACTTTTTTCCTTTATTATGTTATTCATAATAAACCAACTTCGTAAGTGGGGTTATAATTTTGTCATAAAGAGAACTTAAAATTTACAAAATAATTTTTTGGCACAAGATTTTTTGTAGCACCCTAATGTATATTGGTGCCATATATCAGACATTTCTATTGACAAGCAAAAGAGCTACAGTAATTTTTCAAGTGCGGTTATAATTTTTCCAGCAGTGTATTAACGGTATTCATCACAGTCTACGTTAAACTCGTCCTTCAAAACTTCGTGTATCAGAACTTTGAACTCATCTAAAATGACGGCAAATTAACGTCATTTTGAAAAATTCTGTCAAACAACCCTACATATATGCATATAATTGTAAAATGAGCGACAAAACTGCGTCTCGCAACGAAAACGTTAATAAAAATATATTTTTTAAACTTACTAATCTCGGCATTGGAAAGTAGGCCTCGGCGTTCCGATGATGGAAGTTGAGGACGACCACCGTGCATATTACACTCGCACCGACTTCAAACATTACACATGTGAAATATACCTCGATCAAGGGTAAGGTATCCGAGGTCTGAGGCATCGTCTCTGCTACCATCAACATGAAAACACACAAGGACATGAAGATAGTCACGCAAAGATTCAGCTTCTCTCCCGAATCCGGAGGCAGTGCAAAGCCGAGAAGGGCCAACGAGGAGATCAGAATCGACGGAATCACTAGATTTATCCCATAATACAAGGTTCGCCGACGGACAGAGATCCGGAAAGTGACGTCGTTGTAAGGCTCGGGACAGCATTCGTAATAAATAGTATTCCGATGGGAAGTTGCACCTACAAAGGTATTACTTTCAACCAGTTTAGGCAATATTGGACTGGATTATTGAAGAATTTACTTAATAAATGCCATTCCCCATTGGGAGTGTAGGGGTCAAGGGAGACCGTAGAGTTGTAGAGGTCCGTGAAGAATCCCGAATATGTCCAGGAACCGAATTTCATAGAACAATGTTGATCATCGAAAGGGAATGAGGTCACCTGTGACGTAGCATGACGTAATATTACGCAAAACTCACATCTATCCGGCAAGTTGACTTTACAATCGCCGGTGGAATCCAAGTAACGTTACCCGTGAAAGTTACAATCGCATTAACTGGCCACATAGCATCGAATCTCTGGTCCACAGAGTTGTAAAGCAGAACATCCGGTTTCCAGATATTGTTTATGGGAAGGCGAACCTCCTTTATATTCCCGTATTCTGAGGGATCCCAGGTCAAATAAACATCATGCCATTTCTGAAAACGATGCTTCCAATACAGTGACGAATAATTTTTAAAAGTTTCAAGATTTCCCCTACAATATTGAGCCAGACGTTCGTCGTGATAGTCTGGGCTTTCTCGTCCACATCGAGAATCTGCTGTAGATCCATGCCGAGGTAAACGACCACAGCTTCTGACTCGTTCTTCACTGGTCTGGCCAAGACATTGTATCCATGTTGGAGTCGATCGTACAACAATCTCTCATGATCACCCGCCCAAACAGCTGTAATCAGATCACCTTACACCCACACCAAAAATAAGGGTCTAGAAGAAGCAGGCTCACTTCACACAGAGAGGAATCGAGTCGATATCTAATTCACACGTGGATAATATAGCCTAATCTTATAAAAATTCTACAGATCCTACCCCGTGAGCGTTCCAGATTGCTCCGTTCTGGATGTCGGGTGGGATCGTGGAGACGTTCCAAGTGATCGTTGTTCCACTCATTCGTACTCTGATGTCGATTCCGGTGTTTCTCCGGCAGAATGGGAGACTGGGCATGCCGGGCCAACCCCACAAAATTCTGGTAAGAAGCAATCGCTCGCTTAGGCCCAAGCCCAAACAACACGGCCAACAGCAACATCCACAAACCTGAACACAAAAGAAAAAGTGCAGAAACAGCAGACAGTCCGGACTAGACTGGATTCGACTAAAGAAGGACTGGACTGGAGAGTGGAAAAGAAGGAAATGAAAGGTGCCAGCAACTTTTCTTTGGCTTTAAATAATAAAGGCATCGAGGGACTGTTTGCGGACTGAACGGACAGCAAGAAACTGAGAAACAAAGTATAAGACTGAACATCACCCAGTCCTCACCTCTGTTCATTTCCAGGGTAAAAACCATATTGCTGACAAAGGACATGATCAGTTGTCCCAGGGTCAAATCTCTCATGGCCAGAGCATGCGGCCCGAACCTGGAAAGAAATTACTTTTTATGGGTTACTGTAGATTGACATCACAATTCTTCCTATCTCCCACCTAGATCAAAATGACCTCTCAAACATCATAGAAATACGTGGCGATCGAAAGACTGGCAATATAATATCAGTGTGCGGAAAGATGTTGCAGAACAAAATTTGTGTCCGTTTCACATTCCCGAGACCAAGAGACCTTAGCGCTCGAGGTCAAGACCAAAAAAGAGCGCGGGAAAATGGATAAGTCATCCGTGGAATCGCGGCCTGAAACTGAATACCTCCTGCATGAAATGAGCACTAAAAAGCATGTCCGCCACGTCTGGCACACCTGCTCTTCAGACTTTGACTCCTGGAGACAAAATACGGAACAAAATAGCCAAAAATCATAAATGGCCGGCCAAGCATTTGACTGTTTGCAAAAATATTATAAAAAATATACAGCAACAAAAACAGCTCTACAGTACACCCCTTATAATAATAACATATTTATTTTCAAACAATAGACCTAAAAAATGAACTCTTTGGTTATGACACCCAGGCCCATTCCTCTGTATCCCTAACTATAACATTACACCTTGGACTCAGAAAATGCCCTTGATGGCTGCGTTGACACGAGATGTCAGCCAGACCGAGAGCGTCTCGGGACGGAAGAAAGTGCTACAACTTAAAACAATTACTCGTTAAGCCCGTCAGTTTCAGACTCTTGAGAAAAGGTGCGGGAATCCCCTCGAGAAGTATGTTTTCGTGCACAAAAAGCCCTCGACGATCTGCCTGCCTGGAGTGCCCACAAAGCCGCGATTATTAAAATTTGGGAGCTCAATTTAAATAATCAACGGGAGAAACTGTCATTTACAGTAACACTTCTTAGTAATCAATTTGCAGGACAAACTCACTTCATGATGGAGATTACTTGTACCTTCGGCGACCGGCCTTTGCGCACTCGGCCCGACAACAAATGCAGCTTCTGACCTCCGGGTTTCGAGTTTCCGGAGTTTTTCGAATTATGCAAAAAGGTTTTCCGAGTTCAAAGAGGACCGGGAGAGACCTTCCTGATCTCAATGATGTACTCTCAATTCTAGTAGATATATATATTTTAAAATAATTTAGTATGTTCACATCACAGTTATGTCAGCAGAAGAGAAATCTGTTCAGCGTTAGGAACCGATGCAATTTGTTGTTGTTCGGGAGTGAACTTTTGAGAGACGTAGTCTCGGATCTTGTCGAATCCTTCCTGTATTCCTTTTCTGACTGGTTCCAGAAGTATTTCTTCGGTTTCTCGCCCACCTATGTATAATTTATAAGCAGCTTGCACCTAAAACAAGTTCTAGTTAAAACCTTGCGTAATCAAAAAAAAAAAAAAATCTCTTTGTAAACTACCGAGGCCCAGTTCTGTTTTATATTCTTGAAGGCTTCTCCCAAACCTTCCCCCACCTCTTTCTGGTTTAATAACTGTCCATCTTGTTGTTGATCCTACAATTATATCAAGTAAAACTTTAAATTTTTAAAACATACATTTATCTTCTCCAAGATTTCTTTTATCGGGCCAGTCAAGAATCCGATGACAAACCGAATCAGTTTGTGACAATGCTTCTTCAAGTGTTGTTCGAGGATCCTCCGGCTGTCCAATTGGACTTCACTAATATGGACCGGTGGCTAAAAATATTTTAAGAAATTGTCGTCACGAAAGTCTCTTACCGATATCAAAAAAGAAAGCACGGCGTTGTTGGAACTGAGCTCAAAGAGTTTGGAACGGTCGTGAAACAACTCCCCGACTGTCTCTCGATACTTACTCAGGTCCAAACTGTAATTAAACTGTGAAAGAGTACTCGAGTCGGGGGATTCGGGACCATTCACCCCCAAATTGGACAGAGTGTTAACCTTGAAAGGGGCACTCTGTTCTCTAAGGATCAGAAGATGTTTTACGAGGAATAATTGGGCATCTAGAGAACGGCCTTGCCCCTTCAGAGTGGCCTTGGCCGAGTCGATGGGGGTGTCTTTTATCTTCTGGGCCGCCACTTCCAATGATTGACAACAGGCATCCAGGATCTCCCGGGACACATGGGCGTACACGGAAGGCTAAATAATTGACTTATAATATTCATAATTTATGCCTAGAAATACAAGCATCCTCAATTTGTGTTCGGTGCTCACCTCCAGGCATCGATACAACTTTCCCAGACAGAGTACCGTCCTCCGCACTGTCGGATACCACAAGCAATGTCTGTCGACGGCATTCCTCTGTTCTTGAGGCTCTTCTTTATTCGCTGATTCCTCTTTTATTTCAATTTGTTTCTTTTCGATATCCCTCATCATCAGTAATATCTCCGGATATTGGAGATCTCCCACGGCCGCATTGTAGAAAAGAAGATCATTCCGAGCAAATATCGAAGCTCTAAATCGTAAAATATACCGGCTTTCATCTCGTGTGCGTACCTATAGACAATCCTCTCCACGATATCCCCGACCAATTCTCGCATCACCACTGTGAACCCGCTTCTCGGATTCACCAAGGCTTCAAATGTGTCTTGAGGTTGAGCGGATTCACAACGCTCTTCGATCATCTCGACTCTAACCAATGAACAGAGTTGAGCCAGCGTTTCCAGATGTTGATTATGGATGACTAATGGTCTCAGGGAGTCGTAGAACACTCGGCAAATTCCTTCGATGAATTTGTTGAAATGCAAGGACACACTGGCCCAGAAGTCATTGATCACCGGAGATACACGGCTCACTGAACTGAAGCGGCGAATACTCGAGCGGCTAAAACACAAAAAAAACAAAGATGATAAATTCAAAAACAATCCAATTGATTTAGCCTAACCTCGGAGCCATTGATTCCACGACCGAATCCACTTCGGCTACCATGAAGAACTGCTTGTAAAGTCGAAATTCATCATCACATAATTTGAGAAGGAAGAGACAACCATCTCTCGTCAAAGAACATGAAGAATCTTTATGTCTATCCATCAAATTATTCAAAGTCGCACTGAAAACGGGCTGAAGCATTCGGTCCCTGATATCAAAGTATTCAGTCTCACAGTCAATGAACATCGATTGGTATTCTTGATATTCAGCGAAAAATTGGTGGGCAAGACAAATGTGCGTTCTAAAGAGAGAATCTGTAATAACCCTGGAACACATACTTAACAGAATTGGCTTTCAAACCAAATACTCCATAAAGAAGAGTAAACGTGTCCTCCTCATAGTTCCCGCTTGTCATTTGTCTTTCCAAAACATCTTGTCTACACTGATCCAACAACAAGAAGACTCCTTCCTTGATAGCTGTCAACGCCTTACTTATACATTGTTCATACCTCATCAAAAACACAGGCGCTTCTCGATGTTCTGGATTGTTCTTGATGAAAGTGATACATTCATGGATTGCCGAAAGAATTTGCGTGAAAGTAGTTCCAGTCAAAGACAATTTTGTGGATTGAAGTTTCTAAAGAATAATAGACGCGCTTCGAATACTTACTTTTATGATCCAGTCGTATTGCTGATAATAATAAAGATTCGTTTTGATCTGTTCGCATCCTGCCGCCAATTGCGTTTGCTCAGACATCATCCGATCACAGGCATTGTGGAGCTGCGACGTCTTTTCCGTAACCGATATGTATTTGGCTTTCAATTCATCTAGGTTCTAATGATTTTATAACTTTATGCATCTAGACATACCTTATACAACGCATCTCGATGTCCTTCTAACGCAGCAATCTTCTTTACACATAGCTTCAATTGATTTACAGATGTATTATTCTCATCGTCCGCATCCTCCTCGTAGTCGTACAAAGGATTTGTTGGATCAAGTGTAATTGAGGTTAAAAAATCCGGGTTTGAGTAATTCTCAGAGGTCTGAGCCGAATTCCCTTGAAGCTGGGCAAATCCGTGGAGATCGGCAGCCTTCTGAAGGGCTTCTATTGTAGATGAGCGACTTGAAAACATAATCTATGAGCAAAATCTGTTTTCATTTTTCTCAAAAAAAATTTTACAACATTTTTGCAACGTCTAAATTTATGGTCTCGAAAAGAAAAACGAATTCGGAAAAAATGGATAACTTGCTTCACAGGGAACTCAAAATCACTTATAAAAACTTTTATTTACTTATAAAAACTTCAAGTTTTTATAAGTAAATAAAAGTTCTTATAAGTGATTTTTAAATCACTTATAGGTAATTTTTATTTTCGGTGCCCGGGAAATTCACTTATAGGTAATTATAAATACTTATAGGTAACAGAAAATTATGCACAGTGCAGGATAAATAAAAATTTATCCAGGTGAATATTATCAACATACCTGAGGCATCCGAGAGTCATTTTTTCCAGACATTGTGTGCACGTTGCCCATTTACTTCCTCCACGAACATTTTGTGATTATCTGAAATAGTGGGTTCACCTGGACCTAGTACAACATAAGAAAACTATGTCTTGAAAAGTTTATGGCCTTCTGATATGTGGAAGCAGTTTAAAAAACCTACCAAAATCGAGGAAAGAGTTCTTCATCCAAATTCTTGATTGATCATGCTTGTTTCTAGATCTTCCCAGGCTCTCTGCTCTTCCATTTTGACATGTTTCCTAATCGGGAAGTTTCTTATGTTCCGGATTTTTCATCTACCCACTTTCTACAGTCCTGTAAAAGAAAAAACTCACTAGAAACCCCTTACCTTGTTCCATCCAACGTTTAAATACCCTCTTTGACCAGTACTGCTACGAAAAACTTAGAATTTCTAAGTCTCGCCCATGCGTTCAAAAAGCCAAAAGCGTCTTTGGCGCTCAACTGTTTTCTTTTCGGAGTCCTTATTGGTAATTATAAGTATATAAAAGTTCTTATAAGTAAATAAAATTTCTTATAAGTAAATGAAAATAGGCTCCGCCTTTTTTTAACTTATAAGTGAATTTTTGGGAAATATTTTTACCTATAAGTAAATAAAAGTTTTTACACAGCGGACCCAAATTGACTTATAAAGACATATAACGACTTATATGAACAGATAATGACTTATAAGTCAAAATAACGTCAAAAGAGGAGGGGCTTATCTCTCTTTACTTATAAAAACAAATAAGAACTTATAATAACAAATAAGTTCTTTGCAAAGAAAACTTTTGAGCGCCAAATACGCTTTTTGCTTTGTGCACGCGTGAGCTGGACTTGTGAAATTCTAAGTTTTTGGAACGTCGCGACGTATTTCTACCTTGGATCGATCAAAGTAAGATGCTTTTAATCAGCCTTTTTTTGTTTTGCAAAAGTTTAGAGTGTTTAGATGAAAAGTCCCGAACGTGAGAACCTTCCCGTGCAGGGAGCATGCCAGCCTGAAGAAGATCCATCCCCAGAAGATGTATAAACATGCACGATCAACAAACGGATTGCTAAAGGATCCATTTGCTCAATTTTGGTAGGTGTTTTTTTTTAACTGTTTTCCACATTTCAGAGGTCTCGAAAAAACTTCAAGACAAAGTTTTGTTATATTGTACTAGGTTCAGGTGAACCCGTTGGGTTTTAGATAACTACAAAAATGGTCATGGAGGAATCCAATGGACAATGTATACACGATGAATAGAAAGATGACATCCGGTAGCTTCAGGTATGGTTGATAACATTCACCTGGACCTAGTACAATATCGCAAATTTCATGTCTAAAAATTTTTCCGTAAAAATCGAGTTTAAGCCGAACTCATATTATAGTTTCCCGAAAAAAAACTTTTCTAATATCTCCAAATATTTTCAGTGAAACCAGAAGCATTAGAAGCAATAATATACATCTACGGCCGCCTACAGAAGCGACGAACGCCCCATCAAAAAATCTCAGGTCCTTCGTGCATTGAAGTCTTATTCTACTTGTGCCGCTTAATTGTTTGAGTTATAGATTGAAATAAATCTTCATTTTTTTGCACGGTGCGGTTATAAATAAAATGACTTATAAAAACATATATGAAATTATAAGTCAATTCAACAAGAGCGCACAGAGAACCCTTATAAAATCATATATGAACATATAAGTCATTTAAAATGACTTATAAGAACAGATAATGACTTATAAAAAAATCATTTCATTATAAGTCATTATATGTTTTTATAAGTCAATTTGGGTCCGCTGTGTAGGGTTCGGAAAATTCGGGTATATTCACCACGCGGGTATATACCCGGGTATATACCCGAAATCTCGGGTATATTCGGGGGGTATTTATAAAATTAGCCTAAATTAGTCAAATATAGTACCAATATGAAGTCGTTAATGAATAAGTGGCAACTTATTCATTAACCTAATCATGTTTGGAATGATATTCTTTATTTTCCCAACTACAACAAACAAAACTAGTACTTTAACAATGAAAAAGTTTAGCAATCCAATAATTGGCAGTCAGATTTCGAATTTTTCCCCGTCCATTTTCCCACTCCGGCCAAGTAATTTTCAACCATAGAACCAAGTTTTGAGCAGCAAAAAAGAAATTATGACAAAATGTCAACATTTATTAATTTTTTTACACAGGGGACTCGGATTTACTTATAAGTACCTTTATTTACTTATAAAAACTCGATGTTTTTATAAGTAAATAAAAGTTCTTATAAGTAAATAAAAGTTCTTATAAGTGATTTTGAAATCACTTATAGGTAATTTTTATTCTCGGCGCCCGGGAAATTCACTTATAGGTAATTATAAATACTTATAGGTAATAGAAAATTATGCACAGTGCAGGATAGATATAAATTTATTCAAACAAAGAAAAAACAACCTGACTGATATATTACCAGTAAGATATGTGGTTAGCGCATCTTCCGTGCTCCGGGTAAGCATCTGTGTCATTTGTCCTGGCGGGGCAAGGATTGCTTCTGCGCGGGTTTTCTATGGGTACTCCAGCGGCTAAATTCACTGAAAATATTCAAAGATAAAGAAAAATTGAATAAAATTTTCGGAGATAGTTTACTATGAGCTGTCCTTGAACCGATTTTTTTCTCCTTTTCCATCCCAAAAATTAGTTTGAGGATCAGGAATTTGACAATGAAAGATTTTGAGACATGAAGTTTGTCATGTTGTACTAGGTCCAGGCGAATATTATCAACATACCTGAAGCATATGGGAGCCATTTTTCCAGGCATCGTGTTCACGTTGTCCATTTACTTCCTCCATGACCAATTTTGCGATTATCTGAAAACTAGCGGTTCACCTGGACCTAGTACAACATAACAAAACTTTGTCTTAAAAAGTTTCTGGCCTTCTGAAATATGGAATCAGTTTAAAAAACCTACCAAAATTGATGAAGGGGTTCTTCATCTGAATTCTTGGTTGATCATGCTTGTTCCTAGATCTTCCATGTTGACATGCTTTCTATTCAGGAAGTTTCTTATGTTCCGGATTTTTCATCTGTCCACTTTTTACAGTTCTGAAAAAAAAACTCACAAAAAATAAACAATTATTATCATCAACAACTGACTGTAAGCACCTTACCTGGTTCCATCCAAGGTATAAATACCCTTATGCACCTTCTTTGACCAGCACTGCTCCGAAAAACTTAGAATTTTTCCAAGTCCGCAGGGGTGGTCGGCGGGCCGGGCCGGCCCGGCCCGGCCCAAACGGGCCGGCCTGCCTCAAAAATGGAAATTGACAAACGGGCCGGGCCCGTCACGGGCCGGGCCGCGGGCCTGGGGTTTTTTCCGGCCCGGCCCGTCTAAAATACAATGCCAAACCGTTGGCATTCATTGTTTTCGCGCCGGGAAAATTAATTGATGTTGTTATAGTTGCTGTTTCTCAAGTTCTAACACGTTTACAAGTCTATAGTTCCATTATAGAACCACAAAACTATCACATTGATCCTTTACTAGCTAGATCAACGCCTTTTTTGCCTCAGTTTAGATCCCGAGCCTGGGCGCAGTTCGCAGAACCCTCTATAGACGGGCCTGCACGGGCCGGGCCGGGCCGGGCCAGGCCCGTCACGGGCCGGGCCGGGCCGGGCCTGGAAAAAGACTAGACGGGCCGGGCCGGGCCGGTGATTAGACGGGCCGGGCCGCGGGCCGAAAATCGGAAAAATAGGGTCTGCTGACCACCCCTGCAAGTCCGGGACATACGTGCAAAAAGCCAAAAGCGTCTTTCCCGCTCAAATGTTTTCTTTTCGGAGTCGTTATTGGTAATTATAAGTAAATAAAAGTTTTTATAAGTAAATAAAAGTTCTTATAAGTAAATACGGTTTTCTTATAAGTAAAGCAAAATAGGCTCCGCCTTTTTTTACTTATAAGTGAATTTTTTGGCACCTATAAGTAAATAAAAGTTTTTATAAGTAGATAAAAGTTTTTATAAGTAAATCCGAATCCCCTGTGTAATGACAAAACTCGACTTTTTTTACATTTTTTGAATGCAAAAGTACTTTGAATATACCCATAAATACCCGAAAATACCCGGCCTCTCGGGTATTTTGGTATATACCCGGGAATATACCCCGGGTATATACCCCGTCCGAACCCTAGTTTTGAGGTCGAAAATTAGTTGCCAGTTCCCGGAGCCGGAAGATGAAAGGGAAACAAGTTTAAAATCTGACTGCGAAATATTGGATTGTTAAACTGTTTCATTACGTTTTGTTTGTTGTAGTTCGAAAAATAATGAGGAAAAAGTTCCCGGGACAGATTCATCGTGTAACACGAAACCGCAGTCTGCAGCCGTTTTTAAAAGGGTTAGCCGGTGCTCAATAAAAGGTACCTAACCAGGGGTGGTCAGCGGACCCTATTTTTCCGATTTTCGGCCCGCGGCCCGGCCCGTCTGATTGACCGACCCGGCCCGTCTAGTCTTTTTCCAGGCCCGGCCCGTGACGGGCCTGATTTTATAACTTTATGCATCACTTGCGGGCAGCCTGGGACACTTGCGGGCAACCGACACTTGCGGGCAGCCGACATTTGCGGGCAACCGGCACCTGAGGGTTAGGAGGTGGAAATATTACTGCGATATTTTGGAAATTTGCCGACATTTGCGGGCAGCCGACACTTGCGGGCAGCCGACATTTGCGGGCAACAGGAAAAAACAATCACACAGACTGTATTGGTACTTTTGGAACTGTTGCCCGCAAATGTCGGCTTCCCGCAAGTATTGCCTGCCCGCAAATGTCGGAAAACTTTCAAAATATCGAAGTAATTTTTCCACCTCTACCTTGTTATCATCAAGTGCCGGTTGCCCGCAAATGTCGGCTGCCCGCAAATGTCGGCAAATTTCCAAAATATAATATCATAGTAATTTTTCCACGTCCACCCTGTTACCCTCACAATCAGGTGTCGGCTGCCCGCAAATCTTCCAGGCTGCCCGCAACTGTCGACCCTGCCCGCAAATGTCCCAGGCTGCCCGCAAATGCCGGTGCAGGCCGCAAATGTCGGCTGCCCGCAAAGTGGCTGCCCGCAAAAAATTTGCCCGCAAACTGGTTGCCCGCAAGTGTGCGCCCGCCACTACATATATTACGCTAATTTTATAAATACATAATATGTATACGGAAGTACCCCAAGTGCGACGCTCAGATTTTGATGAAACCTGGCACAAATTTAGAATGATTTTTTCTAAAATATGTGCGAGAATCCAGCTCGCGCTTTGCAGAAGCAACCAAGATTTCAAGATCGGAAGTCGGCGAAAATTTGACACTTTTTGCCGAATTCCGGCACGAAGTTTCATGCCTATTTCTACCATAAAGGGGTAATGTTTCCACAAAGAATCATTTTTTTCCGCACGAAACTAGCAACGTTATGGCCAAAAAGTGTTTTTCTCTATGGCCGCTCTCTGCGTTTGGCGTACTCTCTCGGCAGCAAAGATCGTTCAGTTCTCGGCGGCGCCTGAAAAGCGCGAGCTAAAGCTTTCAGGAATTGATAATTAGCTCATGACCGAGGTGTGTGCAAAATTTAAAGAAAATCGGAGTGTCGCACTTGGGGTACTTCCCTTGTGAGCCAAAATGACGCAATTTGACATCGTTTTGAAAAGTCCTCGAAATACAGCCCTACTTATTATGCTATTCCGGATTGCGTAAGTGAAACAGAACGGTAAGCGATTTAAAACGAGTAGAAACGTTATGCCAATTATATATCAGTGTCCACAGAGAGTAAACACAATTTACTTTTGTTACGTCAAGTGATTCAGAATGAAAAAGAATAATACAAAGTATGTATACTGTGAACCTCCACATAGTTTGATTATTGCCACAATTCCTCCAAACGGCCGAATTTGTATACCAGAGACGCGCAGAAAATGAGGAAATTGTTCAAGAAGAGGGCAACGCCTGGCCAGTTGGGATGATCACCCTTTCTAAGGACGTAGTCAGAGAACATCAGCCAGAGGCCAGCAACTAAAGATGCGAAGGATAAAACAAAAGCAATCATCAACCAGAGACGGGCGCCTAAAACAAGTTCAATTAATGTTTAAAAGCTATCCTTAGATACATCAAAAAAACATGAGGGGAGGGGAACTCACCGCGAGTGCCGAGAATTCCCTCGTCGTAGCTGATTCCTTGGACTGTACGGTTTGAAACGGCATTCACCATGAACATCCCAACCACACTAGCGATGGTGACAACAATGTAAGCATTGGTCCAGTCCTCCTTCCCATAGACTACAGCCGTGTCAACGTAAATCCAAAGGCCGAGGAAGAACTAGAAATGATTAAATCAACCCTTAAAAAACACCCATACCAAGAATCCCGAAGCCACAGACGCAAGATGATTCCTTCGGGTCTCCCATTCGATTTCGCGTAGGGAATCCAAATTGAAGTTGAAGCAAGCAGCCATTCCACACGCCTAAAAGACTTGACTCAAATTATAGTGTAATCAGTATTAACCGTTAAAACGAATGTATAGCAGTTCGAAAGTTTTTTTGAACGTTTATTCCAATAACAGCAAGGTAAAAAGGATACCCATAAACAATATATATATATTCATTCCTAAGAGACGACGGGTTCCAGGTACATCTAATGATGATCGTGGGCTGGAATAAGGCAACAGAAGATCAGAAAAATATAACATCAACAGCAAATTTGTAAAAGTGCAAACACCGGTAAAAGTAAATGGCTAAATAAAAAATCTGTTAACCTGACAATGTTAACGACCACCGCAAAACCGGGAATGAGCAGGAGCAAGGATACATAATCTAAGGCTTGGGTCAATCTCACTGTTCAGACTTTGATTGTTTTAGATACCCGGGGACTCCCAATCATGTTAGTCTAACGATTGCAATTACTTTGTCCACAACACTTGTCCAACTCCAACTGATTCAGAAATTCGTTCTCTTCTTGTCGTTGCTGTGCCGCCTTCCGAAGTCTTTCTGCCTCCCATCCAAATCGATGTTGACTTCTCCACAGCTCCAAATATTTTCCATTAGGCCTTGACAACAGATCCGAATGGGATCCACATTCCTTGACAACTCCGTTATCCAGAACATAGATCACATCAGCATCAACAACAGTGGCCAGTCGATGAGCGATGTAGAGGGAACTGCGGCCAGAGATAGCCTTTTTTAAAGAATTCATAATGTGTTCTTCAGTGAGGGCATCCAACGCGGAGGTCGCTTCATCATAAACAATCACATTCGCATTCTTGAGGATAGCCCGAGCAATGGCGACGCGTTGTTTTTCCCCACCGGATATTTTAAGACCTCTTTCCCCCACCATTGTATCGTATCCGTGAGGCATTCTGAGGATGGCATCATGCAGATCGGCCATCCTAGCGACGTCATATACCTAAAAACCATCATATTCACAAAATGGTATGAATACGTACCTGTTCTTTTGTTGCTTCGGTGTTTCCGTAAAGAAGATTGTAATATAACGTGTCGTGGAAGAGGACGGCATCCTGAGGGACAACGGAGATTGACTTCCTGAGACTATCCAAAGTAAACTCCCTGATATCTTCGTCGTTTATCGTAATCCGTCCCTTCTCAGTGTTGTACAAGCGGTATAACAGTCGGACGATAGTACTTTTTCCCGAGCCAGATCCTCCAACAATGGCCACCTTCTTTCCCGTCGGGATCTCAAAGCTAAGGCCATTTAAGATTGGAGGAGCATTCGGAACATAACTAAAAAAATACAATGAATCCACCCAATGCTTACCCAAACACAACATCTTCAAATTTCACGGTAGCTCTGTCAGAAGTTGTAATCAATTGACGAGCATTCGGTTTCTCAATAATCTTACTCTTGAGTTCAAGTAGAGAGAACATGGTCTGCATATCCTGAAGGCCTTGTCGTACTTCTCGATAGACTGATCCCAGGAAATTTAGAGGCATAGATAGCTGCATGAGTAATGCATTCACCATTACAATATCTCCAACAGTCATCATTCCATTGGCCACATTCTGAGCGGCCAATGCCATCACTGCGATCATTCCTGTAGAGAATATAGCGTTCTGGACAAAATTCAGGAGCGCCAAGCTAGAGGAAGTCTTTAAGGAAGCGTCCTCGTATTTGCGGAGGTAATGATCGTATCTTGCCACTTCAAACTTCTCGTTCGTAAAATACTAAACACCAACAATAAAGTATAAAATAATCATACCTTGACCGTCTCATAGTTAATAAGAGAATCCACAGCGCGGCTTGAGGCGTCGTTGTCAGCCTGGTTCATGTGATGTCTGAATTTAGTCCTCCACATTGTCACTCCAATAGTAGCCGCTGCATATGTTGCAACGGTCGCTGCGGTTACCATTGTAAAATCAGACCCACACTTGACATACTAAAGAAACGATATACACCGTATTATCATTGCTTACAAAGATCCCTGACACCAATGAAACTTCGAATATTGTGGGCACAATATTAAACACCAAAGCACTCATCACAAAACTCATCCCTCGAGTTCCGCGATCGATTGCTTTGGACAGGGCACCCGTCTGTCTCCCCAAATGGAAAGAGAGATCTAATCCATGAAGATGAGTGAAGATCTGCTTGGCTATATTCCTCACAGAATGTTGGGCTACCCTCGCAAATACGGCATTTCTAAGTTCGTTAAACAGGGAACTTCCGGCACGGGCAAAACCATCTAAAACATAAACCTAAATTCAATTCAAAAATTTAAAAGTAATACTGTGTATCGAGAATACTCACAAGCAATAATTAATGCTATTCCAGTTGTTATGACAGTCGATGGTCCAGAATCTAGATTCAGCCTAAGAGTCTCCGGAGCCTTGTTGTTATAATAATTCACAACATCCCTGAGGAAGAACGGGACAAAGGCATTAAGTGCTTTAGCTGCTACCAGAAAAGACATGGCTATTATTACTCTACGTTTTATCGACCAATTTTTCTGAGGCCATACAAACTGCATCAATCTCCGAGCAATTTCACGCGCTGTCGGTGGCTTGGCATCAACACCCTTCACATTGTAAAGATAAATTATTTTTATATTGCACTTACGGTTATCGGAACTCCTGGTGCCGGGCCCGAGTGCATAAATCTATTGATCTGAGCATTCGAAGGTAACTAAATAAAATTCGAGGTTATTCGCCTTCCAAATTATAGATTTTTTGAGAAAAAGTAACTTACTTTCAATCTTGACATTTGAGCGACCTTCAGAAGCGAACCGTATCTCACGGCCGTCCGCATCGTACTTAAAACCATGGCTTTCGTTATAAAATAATTAGAAATCCAGTATCCAAATATAAAGAAGCATCTATCCGCCCAATTGATAAGAAAACGTTGGTTCGCAATTATTTTTACCGAAAAATAAAATAAAAGACAGAACGCAGGGCGCAGCTTGCTGAGGGAGTGGTATCAGGTTATAACGGGGTTCTGATTACCCTCGGTATAATCAGCACTCTACATGTTTTTTTTATCAAAAAACGTTCTTCACGAAAACAGTACACGACTAGTAAACATACTTCAATTGGTATAAGCGCGACATCAATCACGGCTTAAAGTTGTTTCCGGAATTTGTCATCACCGATTACGGTATTCTTCACTTGAATGTTAACAGTGCCATTTCTGCTTCGATATGTGTTTTATTTTTGTAGCTAATAGCTTTTATTCGTACAGAATATATCAATAATTTAACCGGTCGATCAAAGTCTCTTGTCCGGAATGTCAAATGTGGACCCAAGCTTGAGGTAAGAAATCTTTATCTTTCAACCTGTCTTAGCCGATTAAATTTGCCTCCTGATATTCTAAACCAGCTGCAAGCACTCGTTGACAAACCCATTCCGAAGGCTAACACAGGATTATCAGACGTAGGCCCCCGTTCCAGATACAATACCACTCTGCTTGCTGCAGCCACATTGGGAATTCTAAGGTAAATATTACTCGGGGTTTATACGGACTTATAGCGCTGTACTTTCCCAGTTATCTCTGACCGATTCTCTGATCGCTGGATATCTGTCTTGTATCGTCGGTTTACTGTCCATGGAATGGTACAATCTGCATGGTGCAGGTCTGACAAGAAGAAGAAGGGCATTTCTGAATGTCAGAAATGTATTGGACACCTATCAAGTCCGCAACCGAGAGATGGGCCATCTTTTTCAACCCGAGCCTGATACTCCAAAGCCCGAGATGCCCTGTTGCGGACCACCACCGCCACCCGGAGAAAGCCCAGTGAACACTATCGGAGAACAAATAATCAAGGAGAAAGCTACGATCGGAAGCTCTAAGGATGCTGGTTTTGATAAGGTAGCCCAAAGTGCTTTTTGTATTCTTTTTTAAGGCCGTTCAAGATCATTACGGCGGAATGTATGATGAGATTAAACGGATGAATGCTGAAATGAATACCCTCAAACACAACAACCAATCGATGAGTCCGGGAGCACTTGATTGTAAGAGTACTTATGCACACTAGCCTGTCCAGTTTAGATGGAACCAATCAGCCTCTGGTCCCAGCCGACATTCCTCTTGGCGGAAATGACAAAAGGAAAGAGAAATCCAAGAAAAACGAATAAAATTTTATCAACGAAAACAGTAACTAGAATAAACAAACGTATAACAATTTTAGTGGCTTTCTTCATTAACAAAACGCCCAGGAGCGGAGACACCCCCGCCCACCTCAAAATTACCCTCTAAACGGAATTCCTCCATTTCCTCGTAGAAATAGTTATCTTCGTACTCCTGTTCTTCATCGTAGATAACATTTCCATGCTCGTCTTCCTTCCATTCCTCAATAATGTACCCTTCCTCACCCACAGTTGCCTCTCTCCCTTCGACATCACCAACAAATTCTGTTTGCTCATCAACATGCTCGTGGATAATTTCTTGATTCACAACTTCACACATCTCCATCTCATGTTTTAACCGAGCCGAATTTGATCTGAATATCTTCCCGCAACCATTTAAACAAGCAAATCGACGTTTCTGTTGATGAACTTCTTTTACATGGAGGTTCAGAAGAGCTCCATTGATGAAAGATGACTGACATCCATCCATAGGACACACGAAGAGACGGGTATCCATATGACGTCGGAGATGCATTCTTAAGGTCGTTTGTTGCGCAAATCCAGTATGACAAATGGGACAAACAAAGGGCTTTTCCTTGGTATGAGTCCTCATATGTTCCTAAAGACATAACAACTCCATCAGAAACCTCTTACCAATATTCTAGAGGGATATTTCAGTTTCTTCCCACAATATTCACATTCTTTTATTGTGGCTGGTCTCTTTGATCGTGGCAAAATATCAGATGGATCCATTCCTCGCGCAATTGCGTCGACCACAATATTAATCGTGTCTTCCTTCACTCCCTTGGGCATCGGTTTCTTCAACTTCATAGTGTTTAATCCCGGTTTGCTGAAATTCTTTGGTCGAGGAGCGGCCATGTCATATATTCTACTGTCCACGACAACTTGCTAAAAGAAACGAGATAAAACGGGGAGTTCAACGCTTACTTTGTACTCATCAGCTCGTCGCCTTCGTCCCTTTACGGGCGGGAGTTCGTTGGCAAACACAACTTCCTGATATTCTTCCCCCAGATGAGCTACGGATCCATCAATGGCACGATTCTTCACGAACGTTCTCTGACCTTCCCGTTCACTGGCATTCTTCTTGCCTCGAATTTCAGTGGGATTGTCCTCTATAACGATCTCGTTTTCAATGTAGTTGGATTCATCTATTAGCCTTGGCTGAGGAGATAAAGTTGGTGGTCCGTCATAAGCGGTGTTCATCAATTGCGACCGGAAAAGGTCTGCGTGAACAGTTTTCTCATGTCGAAGTCTATGGGAGGACGTGCTGAATTTTACGTCGCAAAACCGGCATTCGTAAGGTCGACTCACAGTGTGAATTCGAAGATGGGACTAAACAAATATATTTGGAATGCTTAACTTACTGTTAAGGAGTTTTTCTGAGCAAAAGAACAAGAACAAATACTGCATTTAAATGGTCGCTCTCCCGTGTGAACTCGGAAATGTTCTCTAATTTTGGACGGATGTGGAAACTCTCGGCCACACTTTTTACACATGTAAGTGGTCACACATCGTCCAGTACTTGTAATCTAAAAACGTAGAAAAGTCATAACGCAACTTACAATATTGTTTGCCACGCAAATATCATCGAGCCATTGCTTGTCGTCTTGAAAGGAGCTTGATGGTTCTTCAATAGTTGAAGTATTTCCCGAAATGGAGCTAACACTGAATGAACTGGAGGTACCAAGCCCCACCGGTATTAAAGGCATATCGAAATGGCCTTACTTCTCTCTGTTCACGTAAAACATGTAAAACTTCTAAGGAAAGTACTTTTATGGGGGCTCGAATTTTTCGACGTAGCATAGCTCAAAAAATCCGAAAAATTGTGGCGATCAACAATATGTATTTATAAATTAGCTCTCCAATTTTGGGTTTATCAGTGACTTGTGCGGAAGTATAGGAGTCAAAAGGGTGAACGCCGCACGGGTTGAATTTCTCTTTTAAAAGCTCTATAGATCTATACATGTAGAGGTTTAAAGTCAACTTGCGAATGATTTTACACCCCTAAAACCCGAACTTGGGCAGCTAATTCTTACATATTCTTAATCAGTATGACTTTACGCATTTTTTGTGACATGTTCCGTCTAAAAGTATGAGCCGAAAAAAAGTAATTTCCTTGTTAAAAAAATTTGCAGGTAGAAAAAATTATTTTTCCCATTTTATTCATTTTTCCGTGCCCCACCACGATTTCTTTCGAAGCCAAATTCCAAAGAGAACATGAAATACGCCAAAGATAAAGTGTGTGTGGTTTTTGCTTGCCGAAAAGGTTCTAAATGGATGTTGAGAAGTTGTCCAACGAAGAACTGAACCTGGCATTTCAGAAAAGAGGACAAGGACCTTTTCCCATTACTCCAAGCTCAAGAAAAGTTATCGAAAGAAAACTTCTTCGGCTCCTGGAGAATGAAAGCGTCACAAATGGTAACTCAACCGCTGTAAGTTTTTTGTTTTGGATTTCGTGAATACTATAAGTTTTTTTCAATCTTTTACCATTGTAATTCCTCACAATGTACACGTTGACTTTAGGCACCAGAGAATGATACCAATGGAACTAAAATAAACGGTCATCTGTTAAAGAACGTCCACCAAGCCAGTCCGTCGAGAGAAAGTCCATTAAGAAACGTTAGCCCTCCAAGAACCAGTCCACTTCGGCAACTCAGTCCACCAATTGAGGACCAAGCGCAAGAAGAAGAGGACGACGATGGATTTGATGGGGAAACGTCGGCCCGATACTTTTCAGAAGAGGAAAGAGCGTCTTTAACTTTCTCTCATCATCATCCACCCAAGGCTCAGCCAGTGCGTTTTTATGGCTCTGGCTTTGCCATTTTGGGTCTTCTTGTTCTTCTGGGTATGATGTTCAAAATTGTAAACGACAACATCGATAAAGTGTATCACAAAGAGTTGTGAGTCGTAGGTCTCAAATATTATCCTTGGTCTTCGGTGGTCCTCGAGGACTGTCCTTCACTGTTTTTGTCCCTATTTATTGTTGTCATATTCCTACTCATTGTTTAATATAAGGTGCATTCATTTAACGTGTTGTGAAAGTAAATAATTTTCCTATCTGGTAGTTGATTTAACATCCGATTCCTTTTTAAATTTCTTTAGTTTTCTTCGATATAAGAGAGAACACAACATCTCAAAAGCAAAAAATGGAAGTTGAGTCTTAACGGACAAGAAAATAGTCGGAAAGCAATTTTCATAGGAGAAATAATAATACAGTAAAAGCGAAATACGAAGGTTAAAACAACAGAAGAAATATTTAACATTAAGTTCGCTGATCCTTAGGGGACTGGAGGAGTTGGGGTAGGGAGAGCCCGTCGATGTCAAGTTTTAAACATTTATTTAAAAGGGAAGAAAGAGAGCGTTTCATCCAAAAAAAGCCGATTCCATCAAACAACAGACGATCCGGGGATCGTTGGTGGCAAGTATTTCGTCTTGGAAATTGTCAGAAAACCTAAAACAAAGTCTGCCTCGAGGGAAGGAAGAGAGAGAACGGAACCGGCACAATGGTCAACATATATTATATACGCTTATCTTATATACGCTATGGGAACGGCTAATGAAACGCAAAAAAATCGACCGGAACCGCTACGAAATGGCAGTGCCAAAGGCCAGGAACAACCACAATATTAAAAGAGACATCGAAATTTACATGGCCATGGATTCTGAAGGAGTGGAGCGGCAGCTAATACAGACAGGGAGATAGTAAGAGAAAGAGGAGACGGCAGAGAAAAAGAGTCGTGGACGCGCTTCTCAATATTTTTACAGAAATCGAGAATCAAGACAGATAGAACTGACCAAGACTCCTGGGTCCAGCCGGTCTGACAGTCCATCCTGATTGCGACTAGTCTAGACTAAACCCTCAATTGGCTAGCCCATTTTCATTTAGCCTAGACTAACAATAAGATGCAGAGAAGGATTTAAGCGAACCGGACTAAATGGAAATCGGACTAGAGAGACGTGTCGTATATGGAGGTTGAAAGGGGAACGAAGCAACAATAATATAATGGAATAAATAGTCAACTAGGGAAGCATCTTAAATAATATTAATTATTCCGTTCTGGTCTCAGCTTTCTACGCTCGAAACAATCAAATAGTCTGAGATCCAGAAGTCTGCCGTCGTGACATGTTTTCCTGTGTGTTGATGCTGTTGATGGATGGGTGTTTAGACCAGATTGTACTCCTTGAGATTATGTTGCAATATCGTATCTTTGACTGCCGCGAACACAAATCGGATGTTTTCAGTGTCTGAAATTAAAATTACCGTAACGCTCACGTAATCTGTTAAAATAAAAAAAAGTTTTTTTTCGCATACCTGTCGCACATGTAAAATGTGAGTAAATTATTTTTTCGGCGTCTGGATTCAGATCGACGAACATCTTTAGGATGAATTCTCTAGCTGCAATGTCATCTCGGGGAGGCCCTAAACAGAAAAATTTAATTGTCGTCATTTATTTTTTTAAGACTTACCATCATATTCAGGGAAATAGTCAGCCAAGTGGGAGTAAAGTATTTTTTCAGCCAGCAGATCTTTCTTGTTAAGGAACAGAATCACAGATGACTGTTGAAACCAGGGATATGTAATTATCGTCCGGAACAGCGCTTTCGACTCTTCCATGCGATTCTGAAGATACTCTGTTAGTTCTGTGCAAATGACTTTTCCCATCCAACGTGTGCCAACTTTGTCCTTACGTATATAATTTGCAAACCTAGAGTGCTACTTAAAACGACTTAGTCAGTCTTATTTCAAAAACCAGGCCCTAGCCTAATGTTGTTTTCACCTGCCCTGCATAAAACCCTCCAATTCTCTGTTCCTCTCTCATTTACCTCGTTGTCACACTCAACAAGTACTTGATCATATTCTGACAATGCAACCAGGAACATGATGGAGGTCACATTCTCGAAGCAATGGATCCATTTCCTTCGTTCAGATCTCTGACCTCCCACATCGACCATCCTGTAATTATTTGCGGTTGTTGGAATAGGACGGAATGACTGATACGATGAATGGGGTGACCTTACCTGAATACAATCTGCTCCAAATCAAAAGGATATTCGATGATACCAGTGGTGGGTACACGAACTCTGAGAATGTCCTGCTCTGTGGGAAGATAGTCGGGCACAGCTAACCGTCGGACATCGTTCAGATAACTAAAGGGAGACGTCTTAATCAGAAACGGAAACTTACTATTTGGCAGAATCGGTAAGTTGGTACTCTCGACGGCGATCGTAGGCTTCCTGGATGCCAGGATCCTCCCACAAGTCGGCTATGTAGGACACATAGGGCTCCTCGAACGATGTGACGTTCTCGTAATCGATGGCTCGCACCACATTTGCCTTCTCCTGAAAGAAACGCGTTGATGATCGGTTTATGATGCATACTACATGAGCGATGGCAAGGGAAACTGACCTCGGACGCTCCATTCCCGTACTTGATTTCCAGTGTGTCCATGGCCCGGATCATTGCTTGCATGGCCATAAAGACGTTCTGGTAGACCAAACGTATATGTTGGCGCTTGTCCTCTTCGGAGTACCCATTTCCGTGAATGATTCGCATTTGTTTAATAAACGTTGATTTACCTGATTCACCCGTTCCTGAAAGAGATGTTGTATTATTGGACCTTATTCCATCAAGAACACGTTTTTCGTTCTTGAACCTAATGCACGAATGCAGACTTACCCAGTAACAGAAGTTTGAGTTCGCGACGCGCATTTCGCTTATCCCGTTGAAGTTGCTTCTCGATCTCCTGGTTGATGCGCTTTTGTTCCCTCGCTTCTTCACTGAGGCAACAGGCCATTTAGAAGCGGGGAGGGGTGCCGCGATGTCGTGGCGTCGCCGTAAATCGCGACGACGTCCACACAGCCGCGGGCAACGGAACGGAGAAACAGGCGACAAGCGGCGGTTGCGTGAAAATCGGCCGAAAAAAGGGCGGATAATCGTTGATGGTCGATTCTCTCCGGTCGATGGGTTCGATGCTTCGCGAGGCGTCGACCTACAAGCGCATAGAGTAAGCACAGTCGATGAAAGATGCTGCCAAATTTAGGACAGAGCAGACGGAGAAACCACTTCGGCCGCGAAGGAATTCGCCGGCAATCGGTTTAGCTAATCGACGGAAGCGCTTTTGTTTTCGTCGACACCCGCAAATCAGAAAGGAAGGGGGGGGGCGGTGTTGTTGCTGTATCGCTAGAGAGATCCGTTGACGGGTAGCGACGTGCTGGAGTTAAAGGGATGGCGTTGGGGTGCGGTTACTTTTTGTATGCGCGAAAAGAAAATTTGGGGGAAAGCGAGAGAAAGAGAGACAGCCGGGGATGGAGATCCTCTTTCCTCAACACCGCTCTCGGGCATTCGAATCGGCCGACAGACAGACTAGACGTTACGCAAAGACCTCTGCCGCTGCGTGAAGCGCCAGGTCGGCAGAAAAGTCAGAGTGTGTGGGACCAAACCCAAAAACCGCAGACGATTTTGGACAAGCCCGGGACGGCTCAGTCTTCGTCTCATGTCGGCCCCCAACAACTGTCGTCGTGGGCCCATGTTGTTCTCTTCTCCCATTCTCTTATTCCCTCTCCATTCTCCCATTTCCCTACGCTCTTTTGGCCTCTAAAGAAAAAGCGGCGCTGCAATCTTAATGTTGACAGCGACGCAGAGGGGAAGGGGGCACGGGAGATGACTAAGACTGTCTAACTGTTTCCGGCTCGCTGCAATCTCTCCTCGTTTAACTCGGGGAATGGTCGGCTCCTGACGGGGAAAGCGAAAGGCCTCCGGGCAAGGGAAGGGGGGGGGGCAGAAAAAGACGAAGGGAAACCCCACAAGAAAAATAAATTTGGGAAGAAGCACTAGTTCAGAAATCTCGACTGGTACCCAGTGGATGATCACCTTAAATTTTCGAGTGAGAAACATAAACAAAATACCGATTAAAAAATGAATACCTTGATTGGCAGTGAGATGTTCGATCCTCAAGCAGCTGATAAGCAGTTGGGGGCGAACGGCTATGGCACGACCGTGACTTCGGGCTTGGACTGCCTGTCGAGCGAGTGGATCAGCTCAGAACGCCTCAGGGAGAGGGGCGAAAGGTTTGGTTTATGCTTACTATTGTTGGTGGTTGTTTATGCGTGTATCGGGGTGGACGCGTAAATTGGGGCTAAGCGCATCGACCGAACGACGCGACTTCGGCGGGCTAGCACAGGCGTACCGACTAGATCTGGGGCCGAGTCGATGGAACGTCAGACTGACGATGAGATAATTCGCTGAGGACTCTGTTGTCCCTCGAAGCGTCCGGCTGGTCGAAAAATGGAGTCGCTTTTTTGCTTCGGGCAATGATCGCCTCGTCGTGTGACCACCGCATCCACAACCGCGGCTTCTAGAGGTGCCTAGGGGGGTTGAGATTCGACTGGGGTGGAACGTCGGAACCTTAAGCGAACTCCCTGAAATCAGTTTGAAGTCTCTCAGGAAAGCATGGCATTTTAAAACAGTTCAACGAAGTTAGTGCAAAAGGAAATTATTGCGCATTGAAATTGAAAGAAATCACCGCTAAATCGACTTAAAAAGGCCCATAAACCTGAGGGTGATGGCGGACATGGGAATGGCACTTTGCCAGCCTAAATCGCATTGGACAGCAATAGAAAGGCCGGGCTCAAGAAAACTAAAGTCGGCCCGAAAAGAATCATGCCTAAGGGCCGAGCCGGAAAAGGGATCGGGTGGATGCGGCTGATGGACGAGACCCAGAAATACGCGGGCTGCGTCGTTCTCAAACGCACGCTGCACTTTTTTGAGTAGGGCCCTAAAACCATCAGCACCGGCTTCTTTTTCCTCCTTCACCGGCCACTGCACTCTGCTCATAGTTCCTAAGCCTTCCAGTGTCCGTGCAGACCTCGTTCCTCTGCACCCTCTCACGTCCACTGTTCTCCCCCCACTTTCTTCTTTGCCACGAGACTATAAAGAGACCCAGTAGAAAAGAGACCAGTAGCCCCTAAGTCGTCACGGTCTTCAGAAGAAGACTGCAGCCGTATGCCCTTAAGCCAGTCAGCCAAGCCTCACCCTCCTCGAGTCGAGGCCGATGCGACTTGGCCGGCAAAAAAGCAAGGAATCGCGTAATGCGAAGATGGCTCTAGCTCGCATTGCCAGATGTCCAAAGCGGCAGTCGAAACATTCATTTCGGGCCACAGCCTCATGATTCGACAGGCGGCGAGAGTAAAAAGAGTGCGTCTCTTCGGGCAGTGACTACGCTATGCCAAAGGGCCGAGAGGATAATATCCAAAGCTGGACGTCCCCCCTCCCTCTCGACTGCTAAACAGGAGAGCGTAAGGGACGCGAAACAGCCCGAGTTATATGTCTGCAAAAGATTCAGTGCAATACTGGGCAACTAGGCCGTTACGAAGAACAAGTAGAAAAGAGCACACGCCGCTTTTTGCTCGGGATTTGGATGGTTAGCCGGAAAAAGACAGACTCTCCTTAAAGCATCCAAGCCCTGCTGGGTTCATTTGGAGCGTCTGGACCGCTATCTTGGCGAATCCACAGCATCGTTACCAAGCCTTCCCCCAACCCTGTATCTTTCCTAACCAGCTAAGACCAACTCAATCAAGCACTAAAGGAGCACGCACAACTTTCATGCCCCGCGTGTGTACCTCTTTGTCTTCTGAAGATTCAGACTCCATTTAACCACACCACTAGGCCGAACAAGCATCAGCATAGAACGTATATATAACAAAGATTTATAACAAAACAAATAACTCGAATTTAAAAACGAAGTTTGGTGAAGAGCCACTTGTTCTTTCCGGTCTTGTAACGTGCCTCCAACTCCTTCTTAGTTGAGACAACGGCCTGCCTCTTTTTGGTTGGGTTCTTCAACGATTCCTTGTTGACCAAATCCTTGTTCAACTCGATATCAACGGACAACCTAGACATAAATTTGCAATTAGCGAAGTTCCTACCTCGTAGGAAGGAGATGGGAGAAACTTTGCACTTTGACGAACGGACGAACAGTGCTACGCTTGGCGACCTTCTTTTTTCCCATGGACTTGGTAACCTTCCGTGGGTACTTGTCGATTCCAGCAACTAAAGCATGACCATATGGACGATCGTTGCTTCCTTCTTCGTAAGACTTCACAACGACGGCCTTTCTGCCAGCAAAACGTCCACCGAGCAAGATGACGACACGGCCGGGTTTCAAGATGCGTCCCATACCTTCTAAAAGAAAAACAATAAATACCAAAGAAAATCAAAGGACGAAAAAACGGCGAAAAAAGACAAAAGATATTGCAAGGTCTATGACCATGGTAAACTACACAAATATCAAACGAAACAAATATATTTATATAGTAACAAGTAACAAATATAGAGATCATGCATCCAAATCATTGTGTATCCTCCGCAACTTGTCCTTCTTCCCCTTGAAATGTTTCTTGCCACTTCCATCCTTATCACTCTTTGCCGATCTAAGATGTGCGCCACCACTTACATTCTTGTTGAAGAACCCAACGTCTAACGCATTTCCCAAAGCTCCATCCGTAACCAAGTAATTTTTCTTCCTCAGCTAAAAAATGTCAGCGAACGACAATATGACATACCTGGTCTAACAAAACCTCCCCGCTCTTCCCAGCATCAGACTTTTTTATGTCTCTATAAGTAAACTTGTCATATTCGGTCTGATCGATTCCTGGAGGAGCTGCTGTCCATTTCAACTTTCCATTGAAGACGTCCTTCACAACGACTCTTGCTACTCTTGACCCATCAGGAACTCCAGCTTCTGTCATAAATCCCCTCATGAAAGCCAATGTAGTCAGGAATTCATGAGCAGTAGGCGGTCTATTTGGATCTTCAAAGTCGGCAGGTTTAGGCAAAAGTATAGAATACAATGACTCCAATGCCTCCCTTGGAACTCGGTTGCATAACAGTTGAATCGGAGGAATACAGTCCCGCATTTGGTCGACAGGGAGGATGCCTAAAACAAAAGTTTAAAAAAAGCTATAAATGTTACCGTTCAACAACATTTCCGCTGGAGAGAAGCCAAGTGACGGCATTACCAGCCCAGGACAATCACACAGAGTAATCTCTTCATCCACAATCAGAGTCTGGAAGTGCTTCGTCTTTCCAGGGGTAGCCGAGACAGAAGTCTTTTTGGCTCCGACAATCCTATTAATTGTAGAACTTTTACCAACATTGGGATAACCAGTCATCCCCACAGTAACGTTGCTGCCCCCAGGCTTAGCGTCAAATGCAGCTTTCTTCAGGGCACTTATCAACTCCTAAAATAGGAATATTGACAAACAGTAAGGCACCAACCTCCGTTGAATCGACGACAGCTTCCATTTTTGACCTTTCTCTCTCTTCTACTTCTTCGTTGCTAGCAAGTGCAGCTGACCAAAATATGGCTTCAATCCCTTGTTGGGAAAAGTATTCCTTCCACAATACGATTTGTTCAGAAGTTAGGAGGTCAGCCTTGTTCACCAAAAGAATGCACCTTTTCGGATGTACAAATTCACTTGTGTATACCTCCAGATCCTCATTACGAAATAAAAGCGGATTCCTGGCATCGACAATCTGAACCACAATATCACTTCTCTCGACAACGCGCCACAACTGCCTCCATAGTTCTAGGTTACGTTCGAATGGAGTGAGGACAATTCCGTCTCCCTAAAAACTTTCAACATTATTTCCGTACTAATCCGTCCTCCGTGCAATGCATCATCATCGCCTATACCTATCAAAACGACAGCGTTAAAATAACACTCAAGTTATTAACAGAAACTGATTTACCTCCGCAAGTTGGGCAAGGGATTTGCGCCATTCTAGAAAATTCCTCATCTCTTGGGTCTCGAGACCTTCAGGTGTAGAATAACTATGCGGATCCGGTCTTCTCGGGATTTTCAACAGATGGCCAAACTTCTTATTTAGGTCTTCGAACGTCTTATCTTGCAAACTCTGCACATCCACCACGGAAGTTGTACTAAACAAAAAAGAATAAAACGACACAAGATTTACTCACGTTTGTAACAACTGAAAATCGCCTCTGTTTGCTACAAAATCCCGTCCAGCCAGCTCAGCATTGTTGAAAAACTCTTCGTATGCGTTTTCATGTGTCACGGACGCCAAAACTTTTGCAGACTTCGGCTAAAAAAGAACTTAAAAACATGAAAAACTGACATAGAAACAATTTAATTACCTCAGAAACGACGGGAGCTGTACTAGAAGTGGTGGCGAAACGATTTTCGGCACGATTCTGCAACGCATTGCCCAGAGATTTGTTTAATCCAGTTGGTTTAGCGTTTTTAGCTCGACGTTTGGTCATGTTTCGAAAATATAGGAGTGGAAAATACCGTATCTTTATCATTACGCCATTCTTCCATTATTTTTCGTGGCGGGACGCAACTGGAACATTGATGAAGACAAAGAAGACAGTTCCCGTTTGAACTTATTTTTTATTGCAATCAGGCAAACGGGCCGGCCGATCGGCCCGGGCGTAACAGGGTACATCACTCTTTTGAGAAAACAATGTTACAGCAATCCATCATATGGTAATCTGTGGGAAGAACAATGAAGGTCGTGTGCCTAAGTAGGGAAGTGTACAACCTGACCGGAACTGGGACGATTGGGGAAAAAGACGATTGGGGAAAAGTACGATTGGGGAGACCGAAAAGTATTATTTTCCTTCCATGCAAATGTCGAAGTTAGGATAATCGAGGGTGCTCATTTCGAAAATGACATTCATTTTTTTGATTCTTACTTTTTTCCTTAACAAGGGATCGGCAAATAGTTGCAACCTGCTTTCTTAACGAAACATGTATCATTTGAAAGAGCATTAAAAATAGTGCACAGCGCAAAAAAAATTAGCTGCCTAAATTACCTTAGGGCATAGATACGACCGCTTTTTGAAAGGGGTTATATGCGGCCAAAACGCCGGTTCATTATATTACAGTAATCCTGGCGGTTTGAAATCGTCTTTATTAGTTTCCTGGTATGCAAAAACGTCTATCACGGTCGTTTTATGGCTTTAACAATACTGGGTTATATGTTATTAGACATTACTGCTAGTGACAGTAAATTGTAAATAAAACTAGATTAAAGGGAAAATTGGAGCAAAAAGCTTTGGAAATACATTTATATGATCGTTGTCGTCATTCACAAACGAAAATTTGAAAATCGAAAATTTCTTACGTCCTAGCCTTACCAATGGTTGGTCCACTGTGTCAGCAATAGTGTCTTTGGCCGATTTTACAATTTTATCTTCGTATTTTTTCGAAAAAATGTATATTTATAGGCCCTTGTAAATTGAATTATCCTCCAGTAATCATAATCGGTGATTGACTGGCATGAGATCCATGGAATTGTACGATAGTGGCATACCCACTCTCATCACCATCAAATTTGTGGTCGTTTCAAAAAAATTCAAAAACTCAGAAAACTTGCGTAACCATGGATTTTGTCAGCGGAGGAACAAAAATTATTAAAAAATGTCAACATACCATGGTTTTGTGGCATATAAGAGACGAAACGCAAAATATTTACAAAGACCGGATTCGAAACCAGGACCCGCTGCGCCGGAAGTGGGCTCACTACCACTCGGCCAACTGGACACAACTCTGCTGCCATTCCGAGAGCTTATAAAGCGAGGCGGAAATTAGGCTAAAATCTGTATTTTGGCCATAACTTTGTCCAAAGTGAATTTAGGCAGCTAATTCTTGCTGCGCTGTGCACTATTTTTAATGCTCTTTCAAATGATATAGGTTTCGTTAAGAAAGCAGGTTACAACTATTTGCCGATCCCTTGTAAGTAGTACTGTAAAGTAGTAATTTTTGATTTTTTTTCATAAATACTCGAATTAGGGGTTTTCGAGGGTGCTGATTTCGAAAATCATGTAAATTTTTCCTCTAGTACTACATAGTACTATTCTGATACTATATAGTACGAAGTGAAAATATGGCTTTTGACGTTAATGGTGTTGTTTTGATGCTTAGTACTCTTCAAAAACACGTTTTAAAGACTTGGTGCTATATAGTACTACCTGATACTATGTAGTACGAGGTGTAAAGTTGGCCTTTAGGCCGTAGTGGACGTTTTTGTCCCCACCCCGGTTTTGTCCCCAAGACGGTTTTGTCCCCAGGACGTTTTTGTCCCCACTTTTTTCGAGCCTTTTTGTCCCCAGACCGGTTTTGTCCCCACTTTTTTTATTTTTTTGTCCCCACAACGGTTTTGTCCCCAGGACGTTTTTGTCCCCAAGCTGGATAGTACGATTAAAAATTATGCACTCAGATGTTAATGCTATTGGTTTGAAGCCCAGTACTTCTCAAAAAATGTGTTTTAGCACTTGGTACTGTATAGTACAAGGTGGTACTATATAGCACGAGGTAAAAAGCCATAACACGTCAATGCTATGGGTTTTAAGCCCAGTACTTCTCAAAAATGTGTTTTAGCGCATGGTACTATATAGCACGAATTGGTTTTTGTACAAAATGAACGTCTGATCAGTACTGCATACCAAAACAACGTCATTCACGCGTTATGGCTTAATTTTTACCTCGTGCTATATAGTACCACCTTGTACTATACAGTACCAAGTGCTAAAACACATTTTTTGAGAAGTACTGGGCTTCAAACCAATAGCATTAACATCTGAGTGCATAATTTTTAATCGTACTATCCAGCTTGGGGACAAAAACGTCCTGGGGACAAAACCGTTGTGGGGACAAAAAAATAAAAAAAGTGGGGACAAAACCGGTCTGGGGACAAAAAGGCTCGAAAAAAGTGGGGACAAAAACGTCCTGGGGACAAAACCGTCTTGGGGACAAAACCGCGGTGGGAACAAAACCGGGCCCAATCCTTTAGGCGTTCGTGGTGTTGTTCTGGTGCTTAGTACGCCTATTTTTACTTCGTACTACATAGTATCAGACAGTACTATATAGCACCAAGTCTTTAAAACGTGTTTTTGAAGAGTACTAAGCATCAAAACAACACCATTAACGTCAAAAGCCATATTTTCACTTCGTACTATATAGTATCAGAATAGTACTATGTAGTACTAGAGGAAAAATTTACATGATTTTCGAAATCAGCACCCTCGAAAACCCCTAATTCGAGTATTTATGAAAAAAAATCAAAAATTACTACTTTACAGTACTACTTAAGGAAAAAAGTAAGAATCAAAAAAATGAATGTCATTTTCGAAATGAGCACCCTCGATTATCCTAACTTCGACATTTGCATGGAAGAAAAATAATACTTTTCGGTTTCCCCAATCGTCTTTTTCCCCAATCGTCCAACTCCGAACCTGACCATCACCAAACGAGAAGTGATGCACACCTTGTAAAGCTTTTGAAAGGTAGTACTACAGAGTGCGCCGATAAAATAAAAAAAATACTGCTTTAAATTGAAAGTGGTCTCTAGTACTACTTTTCAAAGCTTTCCAACCGTGTACAGCGCTTGCCATTTGGCTATGGTCAGTTTGTAACTTCCTAGTAAGTGGAAATTCCACATTCGTCCAATTTTCCGTCAGATTTTTAGCTTCCAGATGGTAGTACTTTAGACGACTTCTTACTTGTGTTTGTAAAGACGTAAGAATTATAAAATTGATTTAAAAGAGTTTTTTTACAGATTGAAGCTTCTCATAACAAGGGCCGGACATTTCGAAAAAGCGACCGACCCAGAATCTTTTGATATTTTGTATAGTTGTTGTACCATGATAGCTGAACGTCAGCACGAATTTTTAGTTTCAGAAATTACCGTATACGGGGTTACGGTAGATACAATTTTTAGAAAGATTGGGTTCGTATGTAAAAACCTCAAGGAGTAAAGGCACAAAACATCGCCGTTTTACGTTTTTGACGGAACATTTTCATAATTGACAACTTTGCCGTAGGATGTTGCCTTCGACTACTTCGAAAAATACCAAGGTACCAAAAAACCTTGCCAATATACGTTTTCAACCATGGGGAACATTTTTGTAATTGACAGTTTTGTTCTAGGATGCAGCCTTCGACCGGTTTGAGAAATGTCAAGATACCATGTTCAATATAACTTTACGGCATTCAACTTGTCTCAACTTTTGAAACCTTTCAAAAACACCTTGACATATGTGTAACAACATATCAAAAATTTAGGAAATAAAAGGGGGGTTTTGGAGTTACGGTACTTTGAATGTTGGACATACAGTACACTTCGATTTATTCTCGGCTTAACTTTACGTAGATTATTTTAAAAACAAAATGTAATGTTTTATCTATGTTGTACGACCCTCACAAACTATTTTCACTAAAAAATTCAAAAAAACTAGGCCTAAGCATACTGTAACATATCGTGCGCAGATAATTGGTTACTGTAACAGCGAGATCAGTGATTTCTTAATTTTTTTGTATCAATTGCCACGGTTTAGGGACGTGTGTGCCATACGACGGTGGAATCTATCAAAATCGGATGTCAGCATCACAGAAAAAGTTCGGTGTACTGTATGTCCAACATTCAAAGTACCGTAACTCCAAAACCCCCCTTTTATTTCCTAAATTTTTGATATGTTGTTACACATATGTCAAGGTGTTTTTGAAAGGTTTCAAAAGTTGAGACAAGTTGAATGCCGTAAAGTTATATTGAACATGGTATCTTGACATTTCTCAAACCGGTCGAAGGCTGCATCCTAGAACAAAACTGTCAATTACAAAAATGTTCCCCATGGTTGAAAACGTATATTGGCAAGGTTTACGGCTGTTCTACACCGATTTAAAAAAAATAAAATTTTGAACTACGGTACCGGGAACATTTAAAGTACCGTAACTCCAAAACCCCCCTTTTATTTTCCTAAATTTTTGATATGTTGTTCCATACATGTCAACGTATTTTTCTGACAAGGGAAGTCACTTTTTTCGCAGACGGACTTTGGAACGGCACCTAGTAGGTTTCAAACGTGAAGCGTCTGCGATCATAAAACTGATTTCCAAAAATGTTTACGGGGCTTCTCGGCCGAGAAAATCGACCACAAAGTTTAGCCGAAATGAGCGAATAGCCTCCTCAAAAGAAACAGCTTATTTCATCTGCAGTGGTGGCCGAGTGGTCAGCGCGCTTGCTTTTTGCGCCAGAAGACGTGAGTTCGACTTCGGCCGCCTGCGGACGCATTTCTTTTGGCCATTGAAATGAATAGCGAAATGCCGTTAATGTCGCAAATGCTAACTATTAGCAATTTTTAATAAAACACAAATTAAGAAAGTATATCTTCATCAACCCAGCCCTGTTTTGACTTTACAATATTCATGAACATTCAGCTTTGAATTTATGTTTAAATTACTGTAAAAAATTACAATTTTATGTTTACATACTAAATCAATATTTACGAACCAAAAAGAAAATAAACTGCGCAAAGGATCGAACCCGCCTCTTCTGGCGCAAAAAGCGAGCGCGCTGACCACTCGGCCACCACTGCAGATGAAATAAGCTGTTTCTTTTGAGGAGGCTATTCGCTCATTTCGGCTAAACTTTGCGGTCGATTTTCTCGGCCGAGAAGCCCCGTAAACATTTTTGGAAATCAGTTGTATGATCGTAGACGCTTCAGGTTTGAAACCTACTAGGTCCCGTTCCGAAGTCCGTCTGCGAAAAAAGTGACTTCCCTTGTGAGCTTTGAAAAGTTGAGACAAGTAGAATGCCGAAAAGTTATATTACACATGGTACCTTGCCAATTTTCGAAGTAGGCGAAGACTACACCCTACAGAAAAAGTGTCAATTACAAAAATGTTCGCCATGGTCGAAAACGTATTTTGGCAATTTTTGCGGGTCTTCTACATCGATTTTGAAAAAAATTATTTTTTGATATACCGTACCGGCAACATTCAAAGTACCATAGCTCCAAACCCCCCCCCCTTTTTCGCGCATTTTTGATATGTTGTTACATACATGTCAAAGTATTTTTAAGAGGTTTCAAAAGTTGAGACAAGTTCTCTGCAAAAAAAGTTATATTGAATATGGTACCTTGGTATTTTTCGAAGTAGTCGAAGGCAACATCCTACGACAAAGTTCTCAATTATGAAAATGTTCCCCATGGTCAAAAACGTAAAATGGCGATGTTTTGTGCCTTTACTCCTTGAGGTTTTTACATACGAACCTAATCTTTCTAAAAATTGTATCTACCGTAACCCCCGTATACGGTAATTTCTGAAACTAAAAATTCGTGCTGACGTTCAGCTATCATGGTACAACAACTATACAAAATATCAAAAGATTCTGGGTCGGTCGCTTTTTCGAAATGTCCGGGCCATCCTTCGAGTTGTAAAAAACTCTCTTTTAAATCAAAAATACCTTCTAATAATTATACCTATACAGAAACAAAACACATTAATTTATTTATAGATTATGTTAGTCAAATTTACAAAGTGAGTGTAAGTGATTTCTATTACTTGATTCGGAAACTCCTAAGCAGGCTTGTCAAGTCAATTTTAAAAGCCTTATTTTGCATCCATCTTTCCTTAGCGATGTCTGACATTAACCCATATAGATGTTTCATCTCTTGGAAGTTCGGAGCTGTTTCTATCTTCTTCTTCAAGTGGGTATTCTTGCATTTGGATATGAACAGATTCAAATCAAACAGATAACTGAATGTCTGCTGTTGTTCGCAGAGTTGGGCCAAATCGTACTATAAAACTTTGGTATAAAAGAATTTGTACCGATATTACCTCTTGCGTTAGATTAGAAAAGCATTCCGGACAGCACGGAACATACTTGTGACTTCTCCACATCAATCTGTTCATGTCCGTTTCAGTGTATTCACACTTCTCACATCTGAAAGGAGACTTGGAATTCCGTGATATGTATTCATCCATGAGTTGATGGCATCGGGTAATGAGATAGGGCTGGTCCGAAATCAAACCATGGCCACATTCCAAACACGTTTCAAGTGTAAATGTAACAACATCATCCTTAAATTAATCATTTGTTTTTTTTTTTTGCTAAATGGTCTAACCTGAATAATAACCGGCGAGTTTATTATAACGTTCTTTTGGCAATGAGGACATTCGAAACTGAATCCATCATACTCCGTATCATTCCTGTTAAAATCTCCAGATGAGTAGTTGGTAGGCTTTGGGCGACTTCGATCCTTCGATGGGTCCAAACCTAGGGCTTCAGAGATTTGGTAGACCTCCAAGTCTTCCAATGGTTCGCATATGGTACTGACTATCGTTTTCAAACTTTCTTGGTAGTATTTGTAATCTAAGTTCCTCGATAACAGCAATAGTAGAGTCGAACTTACCAACAGCGAGCTTTGGCCGGATGGGTTCTACATTTTCCTTGTCATCACTGGCTTTGTCCGTAACTATAGTCTTATTGGCCTCTTCTAATTCAGTTATGTGGTACAATCGCTTCGACGAAGAATTCCCACTTCCATCCTGTTGTCGACAACTATTTAAGGACGATAAATACTTACGTTACACACGATATATTTGACCATATCGCCGACTCTGAAGTTGAACTTTCCCGTCTGATTCAACCGCTTTGCCATCCCAGAATGCTTATCTCCGTCTCCATACTGGTTCAGATCCTTGCTTAATTTCTGATAAATCTGGAATTCTTCCAAACTGAACTGATTGCCCAATAATTTCTCCTTCCATTCAGTCAGAAAGGCCAATATATCAACCGATTTGGAGTCTGAGGGGCCCAATACAATATCCAGAACATGTCTGCCAGCCTTTTTGACGACATCGCTACAATCTCGTCGGACAATTTGTAAGCCTTTTATCTCAGTCTTCACGTCATTCTCATCGTTTACGGATACAGTCAGAGCGGCATACGTCTTCTTCTTCAAGAGGAGAAATTTCTTGAAGAGGCCATCTATGTCCATCTCGATGTGTTTGAACTTTCCATTCAAGTCTTTTTTTAATCGGTTGGCTATCTGGACTGCTTCTTGATGTTTGCTGGTATTGGAATTGACCATTATGGAGTCGGTGTCTCCATAAATAACTCTGTATGACCTCTCAGCGATTTCCTGACTTCTTGCCAACAAACTTCTACCTTTTAGTGTGATCATGATCGCCAAGAAATTTGCGTAAAAGCGGAAATCTGTAGCTCCAAGACATCCATACATACTGTTCGCAGTCAGTTTGAGACCCAATTGCTCAACATCCAGCTAAAAATACTTCTTAATTACCTGATGTCTTACCTGAAGGTATCTGTCCGAACCTCGGGGGACCCTCTTCATCTCCTGTTTCACTGCTCTTCTTTTCCTGACCAGTTCTCCTATCTCTTTTGGTAATATGCCTTGTGGAACATCGCTGTCCGGAATTGAACTCAAAACGTCTTTTTTGTCCTTAAATGCGTAAAACATCAGTTTTTTAAACATACAGCGATCCGATAACATTTGTCCACCGTCGTAAAACATATGTTGAATTCTTGGATGATGCTTGGATAAAGGGAGTTGAAGTCAAGAAGGACGATGTAAGTCTCGTAAAGCCCGGTTTTGGGATCGACAACGGTTCCTCCTGAAGAATCGCCTTGCTTCTCCTTATTTCTCTTCTTCTTGTCCCAGGGAACATAACCCCGTTCATAAAAGGCGTGGAGGAACAAGAACTCATTCCGTTGTGACCGTCCTCCCACTAGAGTTCGGGACTAAAGAGAATAATCAGAAGAAAATAATGTCTTACCATGACCCCACCGACGATCTGGGTGATTCGAACAAACAAAGGAAGGGCATTCAATTGTAGCACAACTAACAAGGAGAGATATGCCTCATGCCATGACCACTTCAACAATTTGAATATAGAAGGGACTCCATTGGCTGAGAAAAAGGGTTCCAGTAATTCGGGATTAGTCAGTTCGGTTCTCTGAATTGTGGGATCATTAGGTGTGAGGAGTGATGGTACAAGATCTTCCATGTTTTGACTTTTACTCTTTGTGTCCAATTCTGCCGCTGCTTCCCTAAAATCGCCAAGATAAACACATAGTTTCTCATGATAAAATTGTTTTTATATCCTTACTTTGAACACAAAACAAGACGTCCAGCAGTTAAACAAGTCAGATTCCATCTCCCGATTTTGTCGATTGGCGTTGTTTTCTTTAATTTGCTAAAGAATGAGAACGTCGAAATCTTATGTCGGGCCAGTTTTGTCTTCAACAGATCCAATTGTTCATTGGCTCCATGCATCTGCAAGAAATGTTAACAGAGCAAGGAAGACGCTTTGAGAGATAGAAGTAATGACACTCACTACAATTAAGTCGGGATCCAGCTCTTTAACCTTAACTAAAAACGCGGCCAGCAGAGCCCGTTCGTTCTGATGCACAAACACCTTGTTCTTCATGTTCTTCTGCGTCAAAACATCGTTCAATGTAATCGGAAATGTTCCTTTGGTGGGTTTTGCAATGACTGCAAATACAAATAGAAGACCAACATCACTTACAGTTTAAAGAATCATAAGCCGAAGCATTTTTATCGTTTGCACGGTCGAGGGAAGCATTCTTTTTAAAAAGTCCATTTATGGCGATAATCTGAAAAGTCATTTATTGCCTCTTGACACCTCTCAATTACCTCTCGGTTGCCACCAGGAAGAAAAACACTGGCTACATTCATCACTAACATCTTGATTTTAGGAGCAAATCTTGGGCCAGGAGCCATGATTATATTTTTCATACTTCTGTTATTGACCGTAAATTCCAATTCACAATAAGATTTCTTGCTTTGGGCTTCTTCTGTTCTTTTGTTGTAACTCTTAAAAATTCGACTTACCGATATTTGAAATTTGAACAAATCCAGGAGTCCTGAGGTTAGACTCCATCAGAAGCCTCTCCAAAGGCGACGCATTGACGTTTAGAACTCGTTTAAAATAAGTTCCGGTTAGCTCCATACTCAAAGCAGGCAACGTCGACTGAAAATATAATTAGACGCCGACCGTTGTCCTTACATCATAAGCGACCATCAACGCCTTCATCTCCTTCTCCATGTCATCTGCATCGGGGACATACTTTATGTTCGTTTCTTTGCTTCTAAACTGATTTATTCCCTCCTTTTTGAGGATATTTGTAACTTCCTTTTTCAGGTCTTCCATCTCCTCCTAAGACAACTATTAAAGTAAAATAAATTTTTTGTTACCTGAACCGGAATGAAGTAGACCACTCTTTCGATTCCCTTCACTTCTATGCAACAACTTTTCTGGCCTATCTTTCCAAACATGAAGACTGTACCTTTCGCAGTTTCGTAAAAATCGAGGCAAAACAACTTCACGCTTTTGCTATCACCATCTTCTGCTTCTAATTCTTCATCTTCTTCCATTGGGTCCTCAGTGTCCTGACCTCCAAAAATTTCTTCAACAACCGACTCTTCCACTATAGGAAAGTCCTCGTTTACATTGGCACAATCGGGCTGAACAAAATTTGCGATCTCAGTCGTTGTTTCGAGATCAGGCTTTTCTGATTTCACTAAAGTTTGATCGAGTTTGGCCACTTTTGAAGCACAAATCTCATCTTCCGAAATACGTCGTACTCTCTTGATAGTTGCACTAAACCAACCATATACCATGCTAAAAAACATACGGCTTAAAGACCTCCGGGGTGGAAGGAACAGCTTCATCTTGACACTGCCAATGATCCTCGACAGCTTCAGCATTATCCATGAGTGGGCCTGCCAAGAAGTCGAACATCGGAGCCCCATTGTCGGCAGTCTCATCCAATTGAGCCAAAGCTTCGGCCAAAGCAGCCTCATCGTCCGCTTGACTTGTATGAGTTTTCTAAACCCAGTTTAATACAACGAATAAACAAACCCTACTTCAGAATTTCTGATATCAGGTCTCAAGAATTGGGTGATATCGCCGGCCTTTTTTCCCTTAACCTCTTCTCTTTTGGTAACCTTCTTTTTATTTTTCGATGTAACTTGAAGTATATCTTTCTCGTCCTCATCACTATCTGCATATCCAGCACCATCATCATCATCCACAAAATCGGCAGCTCGATATCGCCGGTTATATTCTTCCTCATCCACATCCACCAACACATCTTGAACCATATCATCAACCTTTAAATAAACTCATGAGATAAATCGAAATGCGTCCTACCCTCGCTCGGTAAGACCGTTTCCCACTGAGCCTGGCTTCCTTGAGCCTCTCCAAAGCACTGGCTTTGGCATCCTTCTCTTTGTTGACGGGCCTTCGGGAACTTCTTCTACGGTCACCTTCGCCGTCCGACATTATAACGAACCTAAATTACTAACCTTTTAGTTCATAATGTCAGCCGAGGCATCGTTTTGTCCTTATGACTCAAACAAAAACAAAATCTCAAATAAGATTAATTCAATAGGGATATTGCGAAGCCTTGAAGCAGTAGATTATACTTGACTTTTGGTGGATAAAGTCAATTGGCTTCGTGGAAATTGGACAGAGTGAAATTCGACAGAGTGAAATTGGACAGAAATAATTTGGACAGAGCGTGGAAATTGGACAGAGTGAAATTGGACAGAGTGAAACTCGACAGATTTTTTTTCACTGCAAAAAATAATTATTTGATGATTCAATATTGACATTTCGTACGATTGCAGCGAAAATCTGTCCAATTTCAATCTGTCCAATTTCACTCTGTCGAATTTCACCCTGTCCAATTTCCACGCTCTGTCCAAATTATTTCTGTCCAATTTCACTCTGTCCAATTTCACTCTGTCCAGTTTCCACGAAGCCAATTGACAAAATATTTCCTTGAAAATTTCATTGATTTTCTCAAAAAAATCTGAGCGCGCTCAAAATGTTTTCGTGTTGGAACTAAATTAAACATTTTTATTTCTAATATTTTTCGCGATGCCCGGCGCACATCGTTCTTTCGTAATTGGAAAATGTTTTTTTAACGGGGCGGCGCTATTATTGATTGAAAAAAGAGGGAAGAAGCGCCGAAAATTCTAATTTACCACAACCTAATTTACGCAAAAACCATCGGCACACATACTCATTGAATGATATTTTCTGAAATTTCGATGGACTAAGCTCCTTTAAGAATCAACATGACACCTGTTATCATCTTAGCCTTTCCATATTCATCTAAAACATCATGGGTGTTTCAGTTAAAGATTCGGTCATATCTCGCAGTTCCAACGAAACTTGGGTATACCCGATATGCCAGTTGATGCGGAAGAATCCAGAGAAAATATGTGTTCAGTTTCAGAATTTTCTGTACGCGAATTTTTTTCAATTCCCGGATTATGTTATACTAAGAGGTGGTATCGCCGAATATCAGATTAATAAGATTATTAGTATTGTTGACGCTCCTTAAATATATATTCATGTATTTTTTGTTAAATATGATGCTATTTATGCTGTTACACATCACTTTATGCATGTGGCCACAACAAAAGGAAAATTATAAAAAATGCACAATGCCACATTTTTTTGGCAAAAAATGTTTTTGTGGTGCAACCGGCAAAAATTTTTAGCTTCGCAAGCCAAAAAAAATTTTAAAGCATTACGCCAAAAGCTTGTTTTTCGTGGCGATACAAACCGTAATTAGCAGAAAAAAACGACGTGCGGCGGTTTAAGTTTCTCTCGATTTGTCTTTTTTTGAAGCCTGGCGGCAGCTCGCGGAGGGGGAAATTGTGATTTGACGACATTTTAAGTCATAACTTTGTTGGTAACAGCCGGATTAAAAATCGACCAGAGATTAAGAAAGAGCATTACTATACTGATATAATAGCGTAAAGATTTCCAAAATTGATTGGATTTATGGGTATATTGTCAAACGCCGGAAAAACCGTTTTTACAACTGGCATAGCATGCGCATGCATGCGTAAACGGCAAACGTTGGAAAAATTGACGGCGTGGTTACAGATGTCAGCTGTTGACGAAGCCAACAACACTTAAGTAAAAAACGGTGGGATATCCGAGCAGTTGTAATCATTTGAAAAACACCAAAAAATCAGAGGTTTGATAAATTTTCACAAAACCTACAGTGTCTTTTAAATGGCACATTTAAAAAAATCGACCAGAGGTTTAGAAACTAAATGTAAGAAGGATGGTTTCTACATAAAAGGTTTCGATCATAGACTTTACGTCATTTTTTAATTACGTTGTATTCATGCCGTCCAAGTTACATCAGACTTATGACGAAACGGTACGATTTCTTCCTAAAAATATTCGACCATATCAGTATGCAGACTGCAGTCTGTCGGAAAAATAATGAACACAATGTCGCCGCGCCTGTCGCGTCGCTGAAGTGAAAAGAAATTTGATTTTGCTGCGACACGCAATAACCCCAAAAAGATCCTGTCGTATAAATTGGTGCCGCAATTTGCGCGCACTCATTCTTTTCTTTTACGAAGATAAGAACTCTTTGAAACCGCCGTGAATTTAGCGCTGTAGACAGTTGAAAAAATTCTTACAACTGTTGGCCAAAGACTTATGTTTTGTCAATTTTGTCCAATTTAGCAAGGGTCGCTTTGTTTTTTTATGAATTCGCGAGGAAATTGGTTCCACTAGACCTCGAACGAAAATGTAAACACTGACCTTCTCTTTCTGTTTTCCAACGTATATTTTAGTGAGTGTTGTCGTAAGAGGGTGTATAAATGCCCCAGATCAGACTCCGCTCTACAACAGGATGGAACAACTTGCTGGCTTTTTGGTGAGGGCTTTGTAACTAACAGGGGAAGTACCCCAAGTGCGACGCTCAGATTTTGATGAAACTTGGCACAGATTTAGAGTAATTTTTTCTAAAATATACGCGAGAATCCTAGCTCGCGCTTTGCAGAAACAACCGAGATTTTTAGATTGAAAGTCGGCGAAAATTTGACACTTTTTGCCGAATTTCGGCACGAAAACTTTCATGCCTATTTCAACTGTAAAGGATAATGTTTCTACATAAAATCAAATTTTTCCGCACGAAACTGCCAAAGTTATGGCCAAAAAGTGCTTTTCTCTCTGACCGCTCTCCGCGTTTAGCGTGCTCTCTCGGCGGCAAAGATCGTTCGATATCTCGGCGGCGCCCCCAAAGCGCGAGCTAAAATTTTCAGGAATTGATATTTAGTCCATGCCCAACGTGTGTGCAAAATTTAAAGAAAATCTGAGCGTCGCACTTGGGGTACTTTCCGTGTAAATGAACTTTGATTTTTAGGGTCTTGGGATTATGCAGCAACTTTGCATATGTGATTATGCTGTCATCGGCAAAGGATATTTTGGATATCGACAAGAAAAGCAATGATACTGATAATGAAGTCTGCATTGTAAGTTGGTCTCTTTTTTTCGAGATTCACAGCAAACGTGTTCAGCCCGACATCTCAAAGTTCAAATGCTCATCAATTTCGACCGGTGCAGTCTTATTAGCTGACATTATTCCCTCTCTGGTGATAAAAAGTCTGGCCCCAATATTCTTGTACAAATTAGCATACAAGTAAATAGCAAGATTTTTTGTGATTGTTTTTTTAGTGTAAGGATAATATTAACAGTGATATTGATGACAGCGAGTTTCCTTGTGGTGGCCTTTTCAACGAGCGTAACTATTGGCCTGTTTGGAGTTACTTTAGCCAGTTTAGGAGCAGGCCTCGGAGAAGTTACTTTCTTGTCATTATCATCAAATTTTAAAAAGTAAGATGGTTTTTATAATTAACGTTGATTTAGTGACGTCGTCTCTACATGGTCTTCTGGGACAGGCGGAGCGGGGGTCTTTGGAGCTCTAACTTACGCAATGTTGACCGAACGTTCGATGATGGGACTGGCCCCTCAGACATCTTTAATGGTCATGCTGATTGTTCCCGTTATGTTTTTTCTTACGTAGGTTAGTTGTTTCTTTATCTACATTCTGCCAACCATTTCAGCTACTGGAAGTTGCTAATATCTCCACCAGCTATATACAAGGCGGTTCTGTGGAAGCCGCAGTCTTATTTAATACCTCAAGATGCCAGATCACGACATCCTTCAGAGGTTTCCGATGAACAGAACCGGCCTCTTATTGATTCTAATAGTTCCGGGGAAGAGGAAGGACTCCCTTCATCACAACCTGAGCCCCAAACTTTCTGGCAAAAGATCAGACCCCTTTTGAAATTTATGCTTCCGTTGTCTACCGTATACTTCGGAGAATACTTTATTAATCAGGGATTGGTAAGTGGAATATCAAGAAAAGTCTAGTTTTAGGTGGAATTAATGGTATTTGACTGCTCTCATGGTTTCTCGATGTCCGTCTCTTCGCAATATAGATGGTACCAAGTGTTATATCAGATTGGCGTCTTTGTTTCCCGATCCTCTTCCAGTTTTATAGTGCTGTTGTGGAGAACGCTCCCTTTGTTGGCTTTTCTTCAACTTATGAATGCCACTGGTATTCTGATACAAACCACTTCCAGACTGATCCCACATATCTTTTTCATTTTTTGGTGGATTTTATTTGAGGGGTTTTTGGGAGGCGCTGCCTATGTTAATACTTTCCGTATGGTGCACAAAGACATTCCAATCGCTTCTAGAGAGTTTGCCATGAGTTTTGTGTCCACTTCGGACTCCTTTGGTATTTTGTTAGCGGGTTTTGCTGCAATTCCGGTTCATAATTACATCTGTAACACATTTTATCAGTTTTTTTGATTATGGGTTAAGTCGTTTTGTTTTTTTTTTCACTTTTTATCTGTACTCTAGTCCGCCAGATATCATGCAAATCATATTTATGGGTGTACATTATGTTATAAAATAAAACGAAATACCACGTGAAAAGAGCCTTTGTTGCAGGAACCGGTCGCTCTGTGGGGCGCGCAAGGAATTGAGGAATGGTGGAAGTGGAAGGCGAAAAAAGAAATCGCTCAAGGTTACTCCCAACAACGCGAGTCTAGGGTGAATGCCACCTTAGCATGAGTCGCCCGCATCTTTTGACTCCTGCCGAGACCTTCGAGAAGTACGAACGTCGATCTCCAGCCTTCCATTCTCCAATACCAGCCACATCCACCCCTAATGAGAGTATAATATTCGTGGGGGACGCGAATGCTCTCACCGAACGAAAGGGTAAGTCAAAATAGTCAAAAAAATTAGGTTCAGTTCCATTCGGCTGGATAATCTGCGTTGCTGTTTCTGTCCCAGTTTTCATCATGGTCGTCCTTTTCGCTGCTGTATGGCTTCAGGAACTGGGTTGGATATGAAATTTAAAAAATGGTTTTTGTCCTCACATCCGCACAATACGTTACATTACGCAAAGGTCTAAGATTTTTCACTAATAAATTCTTATTCAAAATAACCTAATGACCGTTAAATAAAGGAGAATTTATTCGTAACCGGGTAACGTTCCTTTTGTAATCGAGTTAAAACACCTCACGATGAAGTTAGAAAGATAGTAAAAGCGTCGGAATAAATAAGTCTTAACGTAAACAAGAGGAAGATGGCAATTGTTTGTGCGGAATGTTTTCCCAAATAGAAATCCAACAATATAACAACATAATGAATAGAGACTTTGGAATGTAGATGTAAATGACAGTGTAATTTCAAAAAGAAAAGAAAAGGCACTTCGAAGCGGGATAAAATATCGCCGAAAGACTAGGAAAAACGTTGGGAGAGTGGAGAGAAGATCGAGAGGTTAGTAATCAGATGTTATCCTTAGGAAGTTACAAGTCTAGATGCTAGTCTCGTACTACCCCATGCTCACGACTTGACAGCCTTCAGATTCAAGTTTTTAGTCGGATCCCAGGAATCTGCTTGCTGTTTCCATTTTTCATAATTACTTTCCAAATGTATCAACAGGATTGGAAGATCCGCGAATTCGGCCCAAATAGCAAAGGTCTCTCTCGCAAAGAGATCGACGAAAGTGCATTGGGTCATGGGGATATTGCAACTCTCGCGGTCGAAGCCTTTCATTGTAACAGGGAGTCCCTTCTCCATCTCCTCACTCGTCTGAAACATACATCATTTGACCGTATAATGAATTTTGAATAGAATATCAACGTCCACAGTAACCACCCACCTGCTCGAAATACTCTTCGACTATCCGCATTGCCCATTCGTGACATAGTTTCCATTCTCTGGCCGGATTCCCAATATCAGCACATTTTATCAGCATTCGACAAACGGTCAGCGAATTGTTTTCTCTTTCATCGTCCTCGTCCTAAATCAATTCATCAATTTTGGGATGTGAAAAAATAACTGTTCGAAAGAGTCAACTTACAGTAGGATTGAGTAACATCTGTTGGAATTTGGTGAGATATTCGAAATGCTTGGTCATGTCAGTGGCCAACACCATCTCAATAATGGCCTGGCGGAGCGATGAGAATTCGCATCGACTCATGCGAGCGAAGATGTTGACTCCAGACTGGGACAAGGTCAGATGGAACGCCAAAGCGACGTGATGGTTCTCGAGAACGGAGTGATCGTTATACAACAAGGCAAGTCGTTGTCGAGTGTTCATTAGAAAGGCATTCCCCCGACCTGGATGATCCAAATCATGAACAGTTGCCGCTATTAGAGCCGCGATCGCATGATTGTCTTGCACATGTTGTCCTACATTTTCTGAATTCAGAAAGTATGAGGTAGCTTGAAGGACGTCGGCCGCATGAGTAGCGTTGTGGTAATGATTCACACTTTGATAGTTGGCTTCGATTAGAGTGAGCCAACGTTGGATTGTGTCGGGATTACAACGAAGGGTTTCAGCCACATTCCATCGATCAAAAATCTTTTAAAAACTTTGTAATTTTGGTTTGAAAATTACCTTCATTCCGAGATGAGAGAGGGGGTGATGATCAGTGATTCTTTCCAATTCTATTACATCAAATTGCCAGACATTCTCGGCTTCCAAGGCGTTTACAACATCAGAAGAAATCCGACGTCTGGTTTCACTTCCAGAAACCCGTCGTTGATTTTCCCTGAAGGCATCGACCACTGATCGTTTCCTTTGCCGTGGTGGATGATGCAACTAAAACACACATTTATAAAGGGACTTGTTTGTCTCAGACTTACTCGTATAAGACCGTCGTAGTAACCGGAAGCAAATCTGTCATTACTCGTAAATCGGGTTATCGTGGGAGCATATAATTCTTGGACCGAAAGCATTTTGATCGCTTCTCGAAGATGGCTTTGTGTGTCTTCGTCGCACTTTGGAAGGACTGTGGAGATAACGTTTAAAGCTTCTGTGATGGGTGCATCCATCATAGCACTGTTGGATCTCAGACTCTTGAGAGAAAGATCTCGACAGATAGCATCGGCACTACCTCGTTTCACATAAACATATTGATTACCCTGAGAACTGGTAGGGACTGTGATACAATGCCATTCGCTGGACCTTCTTCGAGTTGAAGCTTGAGAATGGAGGGGACCATGGGGTGCATTTGGCGCGCCAGAACTTCCAAAACTACCCCCGGAAGGCACTAGATTCTCACTATCCGGATGTCCAGCTTGTGTTTGTCCTGGCGTCGTCGCGGTTGAAACTGACGTCGGTGCGGGTGGAGGAAGGGAAGCCGAAGCTGGGGGAGCCCCGTTGATAGTCTTCAAACGCATTTCGGTGGCGTCAGTTCCGAGGACGTCGTTCCGGCTTTGTCCACTAATTACTTCGTAAGCTCGGTTTACGTATTGTACTAGGTTCTGATCGTCACAGATCTTTATGGGTTGCTCAGCTTCCTCGACAACAGCAAACAGAGCCGGAATCGCGCGCAGTCTGGAGAAAAAACGGCCGAAGAGCTCGCAAAGCCGGATATCAGATGAAGTGGTAAGGAAAAACTGAAAATTAAGAATGTACATCTTACGTTAATAGCCGCCGTAGAAATTCAATAAAATTTGGCACCTTCGAATTTTTTTTTTACCTGTGATAAATCTGCCTTAGCCAAAATCTTCAATCTTTTCTCTGATGGAACCCGATCAGTCAACACGGCGTAAAGAAGATCCTCCCCTTCAGGCAAACTTCTTAGAGTCCTAAAGAAAAGACATTACTTAAACACTGCTAAACCATATCTAGCGTTTCAAACTGTGAGTAAACTTACGTTTGGATATCCAAGATTTCGCTCAATTTGTGATCGAGGAAGACGACAGAAGGCTTGTGTTTTCTAAGGTCGACGCTGGCATTGTTCGCAGCAGTTGCGAGGACCTGCCAACCAGATTGTCGCAGCCTCTGTAAGAATACACAGTCCATAGCATGTTGATGGCCATTGTTGACATAAAGCGCCTATAAAAGGAAATGAGATATGTCTTGTTTGAGTTGCATGATTTGAAGCGTGACACCGCCGTGTCGCCTTCTTTAAGTGCCCCTTTCTATGGCAATTAATTCCTCAGGTTACGATCCTCATGATCACTATACAGTAACCCCAATACTTGCATCGCAACGAAAGAAAAAAGCGTCGTAATGTGAGTCCTGATGGTATGGCACCACAAACAAAAATTTCGATGTAGGCCAAAGGGTCGTAGCGCCTTTCAAGAAGCAGTTAAAAATAAGGTTAAATTACCAGTTTTTGGGCCTGTAACAACATCGGACCAAAACGATCGTATTGCAGAACGCCCTGTTTTTTATGGTTGGGGGAAGCAGCGGACAAAAGAGGCCCGGTCACTGTCTCCTCGTCATCTAGAACATCTCCAGCATCGCCGCGACGGTTGATTATATGCACCCGATTTCGTGATTCGGATTGTCTTGTGGTCGGAGGAGAGACGGTGGTAGTGCTGGCCGCTCCCATATTCCTTACCAGACTCTGTTGATGGACCGAGGCAGAAGAAGAGGTCGTATTGTTACCACCGCCACAACACCATCGCATTCTCGCCCGCACCCAATGCCGAATAAGACACCGGATTCGGCCGGAAGGATGCCTCTGAACAGAACAGGGACCTGGACTCCGTCGATGGGATCCTCGAGAAGAACGGTGAGGGGAGAAACGGCGGACCAGTTGATGGACACGATTGCAGGCTGTCCTGGCGCCCGGCTCACGACGGACTGTGGGTTTCGGGCCGGGGGAGAGGAGATGGGCGGTGTCCAGCACCCCGCGGCCCGGCGTCACTGGCGAACAGCCTTCGGATAGCACGGGATCCCGGAGCGGAAAAAGCTTGGGCTATTGTTGATCGTCTTTCAGAATACGCATAAAGTTCTTAGCTTGGGTGAAGATCGTGACTGGCTAGCCGCTAGCCAATCCAACGAGGGCGGCAATGTAGACCCGTCTTATAGGGAGGGATATTGGATTGGGTTCAGCCAAGGAAGCCCACAAGAAAATACGGCGGATGAGGTCGTCAAGGCGAGGTCTTCAACAGGGCACCATTAGAATAAGCAAATTCATCGTACACGCAAATGATCCGCAGCCACAAAGATTACAAACAGCAATCACAAATCAAAAAGATTGCGCGCAAATGTATACATGATTCAGCGTCGGATTAAGGTGGCAAGAGCCGGCTAGAAGCCTACTTTTTATAAGAGTTAAGACAAGACAATAGCATAAGAATTCTGAAGGTGTCGATGAAAAAAACGACCTCAACCGAAAACAAGCGGAGCACCCGGACCGTCTTCTTTTCCAGTGCATTAGGCAAAGAGAGGGGAGAAGCAAGGGCCGCATGCAAGGGAGCCGGACACAAATGATCCAAGAAAACTGGAGCTACTTTATGGCCTGGACTAAAGGAAGGACACAAATTGGGTTCAGCAGTTAATAAAGATTGCAATTTGTGGAATGATTCGGAACAAAAACTGATAGGAAGTATCCAGAAAGAAGTCATGCCGTATTCATGTTCTTGAAGCAAGTTACTCATCGCGCAGTAAGAACATGATTCTTTTTGAACGGATGCTCAGCAGTAACAATTTTGTGCCTAAAGAAGCCATGGCGCTGATCAAGATTAATATGCAACTAAAACAGAAAATTCTGAAATAGATATACGATAAACAGAGAAGAGAAAAGTCCCACAAACACGATTGTCATTGATCTCCCTCTCTCTCCCGCTCTGTGACCGTTGGATGCCTAATTGTGGCATAAACATTGGAAAGAATTGTAATCAAATCACCGAATAAACAAAGATTCAAAGGGAATCTGATTGCTACTGTTGTTTGAAAGTTGTTCCTCTTCGAATTCTATAAAGCCTTGTTCCCAGAGCAGAAAAACCATGGCATGTCGACCAATTTGTGCCGAAAGAGAAAACCACAGAGAGGAACAAAGGCAGTCATATATGCCCATCTTGTGCTCAGAAAGATGGCTAAAAGACCGACCGCATGACTGGGGCCCTCCGTAATGTCATCGGCCTGCATCCAATGACTGAATTTTTAGAAAGATGGTTAAAATTCATGCTGATTAATCAAATCTATTCAAAATGCTCATCTTCGGCAAATTCTCCGACAAATTGTAAGCCCAGAAAGAGAAAGCGCTTGAATCATTATTGGTGTAATCGAATCAGCACCAAACATAATTAAAACAAAGGACCTACTGACTCATTTCACGCAAGCTTAGGACTTGATTCATAAAATGGAGAGATGAAACTGATTCAAGCTTTTATCGCCACAGATTGGAAGTAACACAGCGCTTCAACTATACTAAGATCTTCTTCCAAAAATTTCAAGAATGGTAACATTAAAGTTTGATTAAAACAAAAGGATAGAGTTAATCCCCGAGAATATCCGTCCAAAAACCAACAGTCATGTCTGGAGCCATCTACTCTTTTACTACGAGATGAAATCGCGCATGAAACGGGAATTTCCAAAAGTTTTAGCTCGCCCAAACATTCTTATAATAAAAAATTATGAGAAAGTTGAGTAGGACCAGCATCCGAGGACACGATAATCAGTCTCAAGGCGGAATTATTTATGAAAAATGGAATGAAAATAAATTATGTGACCAAAAGATACCACAAACCCTATGAAAGCAGCAATCCATCACCATGCAATTACGCTAGATAAAGGTCAGTGAATAGCCTGATCCGCGGATAGTACGTCCTTTTCGGTAAGCGAAGACAGGCCTACGACTTGGACATGTTCGAAGACCTCGTCCTCCGCCTCTTCCTCCTTCCACTGCCCCCTCGGGCCAGCAGAGAAGAAGAGGAAGGCCAGATGCAAAAGGCGCGAATGGGAAACGAGTCAGCGAACCGCCTAATGAAAGTCGGTCCCTGTGGCCATAAAGGCCTTTGGCCGAACAAATCTGGCTATGCCCAACAACGGAGAATATAAGGATAGAACATGTATTCCAAGGATTCTATATAAAAGAAGCGAGCCCACGTCAGTTCTGTGACATAGATTCGGAATGAATACAAAAGATGCTTCAAACGGAACTTGTCTTCAGACTTCATCTTTCGGCATTGCTATTTATCTTCATTTAGTCATACAGAGTGGTTTCCATTCATTAAAAATGGGGAACTTAAACGAATTGTAAGTAATATTGAGATTAAATTAGAAAAAATAAGAGATCTTCTGTTTTTTCGGAAAAAAGTGTAACTCAATGAGAGAAACAAAACAATGCTTCTCAGACTTTTATCTTGTGAATTTTCATTTTTACGTATAAATTACGTGCCAAGAATTCAGCATCTCACACGTAAGAAAGATAAAAAACAAAACGAGTCCAAAAATGAAATTCGTAGACAAAGAAAATTATCAGCGGATAAGATTGATAACCACACAAGAATTGCCCATGTCTTTCTAATCAGCGCTTGAAAAATGGCCTCGATTAGAGTAATTGGAGACAATCGGGACCCTTCTTCTCGACCCAAGGAACATGGCCGAATATCTCTATTTTGTTCTCCCCTTGGTTCGTAAATGGACTATGGCCAGACAGAAAAGAAACAAGCAAAGATACCAACAAAACAATGAAAACACTGTTACATTAATGCAATGAGGTTAACACTCAAATCCCCCTTCTATAAACCACGTAGGTGCCAATACAGATCAGGGATGCCGTTCATCATATACGCACAAAATTAACGAGTGGGTACACCCATTAACAGCAACTGTAGACGTCAACAATCCCTCGCCGGCCGGCTGCACCTTTTTCCCCACAATCCGGCCTTGCGACAAGAGATAAAAAGACATAATCGCATCTAGGAGTCGAACAAGTGCACACAATCAATCAATGACACCTCCAGCAATTATTATGGCCTCTGTTAGGCGTAAAAGCGGGCGTCTTGGCCCCCCAAACAAATGACGCAAGACATTCTCGCTGATGGCCTTCTTCAAGCCGGATTTCCGCATTGTTTCCGCGGAATTAAGGAGTTTCTCTCCCCTGATTCGTAAAGTTATATTATCCATAAACTCCCGGGATAATCCCATTCAGGCCCAGCCAGAACTGTTGCAGCCAGTTGAAAGGACAGTCCAAAACATTTACACGGAAATGAGAGAGCGGATTATGGGGTAAAGAGGTGGATTAGAGATAGATGAAAGTAATCATCTGCGTCGATAATTTCTGCGGAATCCAGCCGGACTTAATCAGATCGGTCCAGGTTTCGTAAGGACGCAGGAAATGTCATCACAAGCAGATTAAACAAAACTATCCCAAAAGTCAGAGAGAGGTTCGTTAGCGGCATGTCACCATTGAACATTAAGAGCTATGACCAAAAGGATAAGAAAATCTTAAATAAAAACGGAAAAAAACTCAAATATTAACTTATAACACACAGTATTCACCGTGTGCAATAAATAGTCGAAACATTTTAAATGGACTGATAAAATTAAAAGAAACAAGATACCAAACATTATCAGAATAAGCAGAACACTCCCTGCATTTCGTCAAGTGGTCAGCGACGAGCCAGCGGTCAGTAACCGAGAGTGGAGGAAGGCGAAAAGAGAGTGCGGGCCCTGGACTAAGGCAGCCCGCCTCCAGTCACTTTTTCGTGTAGCCGAACCCGGGCTTATGGGGGTAGACTGTTTTGTCCTCGTTTCCCTCCTCAATACCTCCCCTCAGGGCTAACAGACATAAAATAAGGCAAATGCGGACAAGAAAAAGCACGGCTTGGAGAAGCCCCCGTCTAAAACCAAATGCACTCTCTTTCCCGCTCTCTCGGCCATTCCAGTCATCCCCTATCCCACTACGACAACATCACTTCAAAAACCCATTTGAAAGCATCCGACATTTATATTACCCACGGAATTAGATTCTATGGCATTCTCTTTTCGATTTCTGTTCTTTGTCTGCAATTATTCATTAAGCATGTCTCTAGAAAGTGGCGCTTATTTATTCCACGAGCTTTTTATTTCGCCGGCATCGAAAAAAAACAAGACTGCTCCCCAATTTGTAACTTACAGTCTTGGAGGCTTCCTGCAACATACGGCCAAACCCTGGTTCCAAAGTACTTGTGTCCATGTCGACATCAGTCGGAGCAAGCAATAACCCTCACCGCGTCATCACTAAAAAGAGGCATTAGTCAGTCGGACAAAGCGTTATCAAAATATTTGGTCAAAAGAGATTTCTGGGTCCCGCTACCAAAAAACATAAGGGACCGTGTACGAGCAAATAAAGAACTTGGCTTTACCAATTGACCATAACAAGAGTAATCACAACCACACTGGCTCACCACAATATAAGAGAGGAAGACCAGACAGTTCGGCCATAGAATTTGCTTTAAATAACGAAAATTCCCGTAGACCTCGGCTTTAGGGACAATATGAAGAGAAGCGGGACAACAAGGTTTCAAGGAAGCCACTCTGCATAGAAAATCATTCTGCTGTAAAAAGTGGACGTGAAGGGATAAAACAGAGCACAAAAAACAAAATTCTAGTTCCCAGGCAGTCAAATTTTTGGCCAATGGTCACCTGTAGAAAAAAATCTTATTTTTTGTTTCTGTTATTTCATTCGAATAAAAGTAAGTTATAGCCCAGAAAAAAGAACGGTAAAATCTCAATTTCAAGAGCCTATAAACTCGGAAAGCGCTTACATGAAAAAATATCTCCACAATTTTTCTTGTTCTCTTCAGTGAAACATTCATCGACTACCGCACCCAGATCTTGAGGTAGACTGCTTGGACTCATTGGGCACCGTCGCAGAGAACACGTCCACGGGTTGAATGAGATTTGCAAAATTCTCATTGTTTAATTCAAAATAAAGATTTTCGTGTTCACGTGCACGTGTCAAAAAATCGACGAATAATGCAAAAATTAATTTTTCATGCAATTTTTCGCAAACTTGCGAAAAATTTGCAAATTTATTTCTTTGTTTCACCGCTAGCTGATTTGAGCCTCACAACGAAAATCTTTCTTTGCCAAAAAAATGGGCAAAGCGTCTTTTCGTGTTTCGTTCAATTTAAAAAGTGTTTTTTTTACATCACGGTTTTTATAACTGGGGCCAATGCGCTATCTGAAAGTTTGCTGAAAATCATAGGGCGCAGCTCGGAGAATTTGCACGGGCGCAGCTCGCGTCTTGGGCGCAGCTCGAAAACAAGCCGAAACTTAGCTCCGGCGAGCTGCGAAACGTTGTTTTCCGAGCTGCCCCCGAGATGCGAGCTGCGCCCGTGCCAGTTTTCCGAGCTGCGCCCTACCATTTTCAGCTAACTTTCAGCAAACTTTCAGGTAGCGCATTGGCCCCTGAGCATGACCGAAGAGAATAAAAACGGATCAGATGAGATTTTGACACCTATAGACAAGATAATCGAAACTATAAAGGAACTTCAAAGCGACTTGGAATTTCTTCCTCCTTTTCGGGATGATGTTGTGACTGTTTGTGTCGAAGAAATAAAGCGACTATATGAGTTGAATGATGAGGCTATGTAAGTTTTCGTTTTCTATTTTATCGATTTAGACAAAATACAAGGAACACAACAAATTCGGCAGATTCCCCTGAATTTCAAATTATAAGAATTCGGCAGGAAATGATGGAAAGAATAAAAAGAACTACTTACGCCTATTTAAATGAAAGAATAAAACGGATTAAAGAGTTCAAATGGACGCATGCTGGGGCGTTGTCATCCGTTTTTCAGGTAATTGCTAACTTTCTTACGTTAGCACCGAGTATTATTATTTTCTTGTTCATCTGTATTTTTAGGCAAATATGTCGGACAAAGAGAAGCTGTGGTTGAAGGAGTACACTGGGAGCTTGTTCTCGTTTCAGCAGAATATTGGGAAAGCCGTAGACGAAGAGACAGATGGTGTAAATCTGATCGATGCCATGTACCCACCCAAGAACAACTTGGTTCCGGTTAGTGTATTACACGATTATGGAGAAATAGAGACGATCGATGGAGTCGTGGTAGTCATGAAAGCCAAGACGGTGGTCAGTTTTTTATTTCTTTTTTGTTGAGTTTAGCCAAATTACTATTGCGTCGTTTTAGCACTGCATTCCTCGGATCGACATTGAACCTTTGATTCGGAAAGAAATCATAAGGCTCTTATAATACTGTACATAACTGTGATATGACTTTATTCATCTTTATACATCGTTTCGGTTTTTAACTTACTTAGTTTAATTAGTATATTTTCTGGCTCCAAAGGAACAATAAATGAAAGAGAGGCAGAAGAAAGACTTATCACAGTGACAACCCTCAGACGAGGAAGAGTAAGTGAGTTGAGTGCAACTAAGGAAGACCCGACAGATCTAGCATAACATAAATCAAAGAATAGTACAACAACATATCTTTTTCTCAGAGCGGCCGTAAATACCCGGTTTTCCATTTAGGGCGGTGGTTGAGGTCGGGGATGGGGAACTCATTTCGATCTCTGAAACCGCGTTGAATTTAAATTTTACGGATTTAAATATATTATTCATGTCGACGTGTTTGATCGTGCTGAGCATTCACCCACCTTGTCGTTCTTTCTTCTTTTTCCTGACTGTGGATCCCCTTGAATGCAGACTCCGGAATCCCATTTCTTCTTCCTCATCGTTCCCATTGGCTTCCAGCTTCTTCGTCCACTCATCTCCCCCTCCGTAAGCCTTTCCGGGTTTGTTGGATTTATTCAATATCCTTTTGTTGGGGGAGTCTCGTCGTGTATCAGAAAGCGATTGCGTTCTTTGGGGGGCATTGCCCATGTCATCCTGAAACCAAGATCATTGTTTACGAATTCTCTTTATTTGTAATGATGAAGGTATCTTACTGTAGCGGAGACATCTTCTTTGCTCCATGATTTCATGAGGTTGGACTGCTCTTTTTGCGCTTCCAATCTAGCTAATGTTACTCCAGACCGATCTCTGAGTGACTGCCGCCTGATTGCCCCCCTGGCGCTGAAAGGATTATCAACCTGGCCTGTGGGAGAGGGAGGTTGTTGAGGGGATTCGAACTTCTTTCGCCTATATTTATATTTATAGTCATTTATGAAGCAACTCACTTTCTGGATTGCCTTCGACTATCCCGAACACCGAACGCAAGTCGTTTCTTCTTTGCTTCGCTTTGCTGAAGTTGTTGTATTACTTGTTTTGTTTGGTCATCCGTAGCTAGATCTGAAAACAAAAAATTGTTAAAGGTTGCGTAATTCTTTATATCCCTTTTTTCCTAAGGGGATAAGGTACTTTCGTGGACCTTACCGTCATTTAAACTTACCCAACGGCGTTTCGTCGTTGGCGGTTTTTGCGTTGATGTCAGCTCCATAATCGACTAGCATCTCTATGATCTCAGGCTGACTCCAAGATGCTGCGGCATGTATTGGCATCCAGCAATCATTATCTCTATCACAAGGATTGACCCCACAACGGAGAAGGAAGGCAGCCACCGAGCTGTACCCATTGGCTGCTGCAATATGTAAATAAGTAGATCCATCAGGCATCCGCGCATTTAAAGGACCTCGGTTTAGATGCAAGGCCCGCATATCGTCGAGCATATTGGCTTCTGGTTGACTGCGTCGTTCGTTAATGTACTCTTGAGTTATTCCATTGTTTGCCATTTCTGTCTCAATTAAATCGAGGGTTTCCTCATCGTCACATATGTCATATGGCATATTTCCTTCTGCATTTACTGCTAGTAGGTCTGCACCACTAAAAGCGAAACAATAATTATCAATATTACGTGCGGTATAGAGAAAAAACCAGAAAACACATACTGGTGAATCAAAACGGCAACAATGTCCCGATATCCGCAACACGCAGCGGCGTGCAGAGGAGTCCATAGCTCTGTGTCAGTTGCGTTTACATCTGCTCGGTATTGGAGTAACAACTCGACGATTCTGAGATTTTTGTCGATTGCACACTAAAATCAAATCTGTTGCGAATAAGAACTAACTTGATGGAGTGGCGTAAGACCGTCTTCATTGTGAGAATTAGGATCAGCCCCATTGGCTAAGAGTTCTTGAACTTCGTGATATGCGCCTCGACTTGTTGCCTCAAGTAGAGCAACATGGGGACTGAACCGAAGTCGAGGATTTCGTGGTCGCGGAGGGGGGAGCTGATGTTCGCGTCGTTCGGCCGATATCTTCTGAATTCGCCGTCGTCGTTGAGCTAGTTCGAGTCGTTGTTGAATGGCCAACCGTTCTATTTGGGGCATCTCGCCGATCAGCTGGGCATGGTCTGGGGGTTCGCTCATGTTGCTGAGGAATGCGCTGATCGCGCCGCTCATCTTCTCCCTTTGTATCCTCTATTCGCACATCATTGACCCTTTAATGACATTTTTAGGAAACGTTATACGCAGATAGCAACGACGTCAAATTAAGTAATAAAACGCTTATTAAATCTTAAACGTAAATCATTGAGAATTTTCTCTTTTCCAAATACCCTTGAAAAAGAACAATTCCGTATTGAGCTCTTTGGAATAAAGAACCGACGTGGGACTATTAAGCACACCCGGGAATGCGATAAGAGAGAAAGAGTGAAGGTGAAGATGTGTTGATAAATAAGCAGCAATGTGCGACATCCTCCATCCCAAAGGCCTGAAGGCTCGGGCGAGTTGTTGGCTCGTCAGGAGTAATAAAGGAGACGCCTGACACGCCCCGATTGCCTTCATCCATTCATTCTGCGGCACTCATCGCCCCTTACTTTTCCTTAAGAAGCCGGAGGCGAGGTCAGGCCAGGAAATGCGTGTGGTTGTAGCAGTGTAAGTAGTTAGGCCCTATTTCTGGGACCAGTCAGTTGGCGACGCTCGCCCAAAATGGGAGGGGGAGGGGGCACTCTTCGCTTTTTCTTGTTCCGTCGTCCGAAAACAAAATCCGAAAATGGAGAAGAGAAACACACCGCAAATGCCCCAAGAACGGTGGTCTCTAATCAGAACAGTCACCGCCGTTTTCCTCTCCGAGTTTGTTTTAAGTTTTCCCGTACTGTTTGGTATTAAGACTTCTGGTCGGCAATGAAATCCAAGGCTAAAGAGGCTCACCACCAGCATAATTAGAATTGCAGGCTAGTAACAGATTTGTGGCCAAGGGAATTCATTAATTTTATGAGACAAAGAGGCTTAATTCCGAGATTTTAATTTCACGGCCCAATAGGAGGAGGCAAACAAATTTGATCTTGACACAAAAATAACAAACAGCTGGGTTTAATTTCATTTCAAACTTATATCCGATCTTAAATTAAAAATGATGGAAATTCTTAATATAACGGGACTCCCCGGCCCAAGAAATTGAAGCAGGAAAGAAATCTAAGTTGTGGGGAAACGTTCTCTGACTACGAATTAATATCGCCGACCAGTTACATCAAAAAAGAAGAGTTTTGCGCGAGAAACGAACGAAGATAGAAGATGAAACAGGGGATGCGTTGTGATGCTTATAGGATTGAAAACAAAATCAGGAAGAGGCATCGTTGAGAAAAGAAAAACACTGCTGATTTCGGTAGGGCCTCATTTCGTGTGCGCGGAACAGTAACGGATCAAGTGAGAAAAAGAATGCAGGGGGGGGAGGTCTTTCTTTTTTCGAGTTGTCTCTCAGCCAGCTGATTTGGCCTTAGGGTGAAGGAGGAATGACACATAACAGAAGGAGAAGGTGCGGCCCAACCTCGGCGGTCTCGTGCAGCGCCCTCTCAGCCCCAGCCAACTGGACGGTGAGTCGCCACCGCTATAGCGAGCGCCTAAAAATGGCGTATTCGAGGCGTTTGATTCACGCCGACTGACCCCTTCGGAGATCAAGGTGGGCAGTGGAGAAAGGAACGAGAGGGGGAAGAGAACGCAGCGAGAGAAGTGCGGGTACCTTCACTACTACGACTTTTATTATGACCGAGGTCGGTCCCGAGCTGTCTCGAGAATTCCCTAACCCCCGATCCATGTGTGCTTTTACTCCGACACTAATTGGAGTTAGGCCCAACATCTTATATAAATATAAAATCATTATACCAACAACTAGGTTTCCGTAATGTCATTCCAAATTCTTATAAACCAAAATGCAAAATTCTGTAACAAGCCCAACACTCTTTAAAAGTTTAGCACGCTTTCAAAAACAGCCAAAGAAGTCCCCACATGATGCAAAAGGCCATTTGTCTCGATGAAAACTCATAAATCCCTAAAGCAACTTTGGAAAGCTATCCATACGAAAATTAAAGGCAACGTTTTGCTGTCAGTAAAGGACATCTGTTATTATGATACTTGAATTTCAGCATTAATGAAAGAAACAGACGAAGATTGAATGGATGGAAACGCTTTAATGGAATGACTCTACTTTTAATGGTCAGAACTAAAGATCCGTGTGTATCGAGTGATAAAGTAAACATTATAGTATCATTGAAGACTTAAAAGTAATGGGAAGAAACCTAATATACACACTTGTTCGTAATCGAACTCAGTTTGTACTCAATTTGGATGATGTCCTCCCATGATTCATGTCAAAATAAATGTTTTTTGGCTCCCTCAACGAATACAATGTTTTGGCGTTTCGATACGGAGAAGCATAAGAAGAAATTGTTATTCTGCAAGAAAGTCGGGCTCTGACGGCAAAGATGTATTGTTTGCAATTTTTATTACCTGTTCTGCTTATACCAAAACCGATTATTCATCCGACTTTCTTAATTGATCATGCTCTTTTCCTCTGGTTTTACATAATTGGTTTTATAATAAGTAAAAGGTAAGCGTATTCCTTAATTAAAATTAGTCAGTTTAGGCCTTGTCATGTTTGTCTGTTGTTATTTTTTGTGGCAGCATTCTTCCTCTGTTACAGCGATATGGACAACTGCAGCTTATATCCGTTTTGTTCGTCGAATGTCGTTTAGTAATGCCAAGCATCGCTGGGTCTTTATTTTCTTCTAAACAGACGGGTTTTCGGACAATGTACAGCAGGTATTACGATTTTTACATATTATTTCTTTTATTTGCAGTAGAATAAAATTACATTAACCGAAAGACACATAAAAAAGTGGTTTTACTTCACAATTCAAGATGTCTGCTATTAGAAGCGACTTCGGCAGTCCCTGAAGCAAGGGTCGCGCTAGGAGATGTTTTTTTTTTGTTATCATCGCCTACATCGTCCACGCGTTTTCAAAAGTTCTTCCGAAAAGGTTTTGATATCTAAAATCGCTCGGTCAACCGATAGTGTGTTGGAGAAATCTCTAAACGGTGGAACGTCGACAATTAGGGAAAAAGACGATTGGGGAAACCGACAAGTATTGTTTTCTTCGGTGCAAGTGTCGAAATTATTATACTAGTCGCGGAAAAAAGTCCTGGGATTTTTCTGCGACTCTGCACTGTGCATGAAAAGTGCTTTTGCACAGTGCAATTTTGTTGATTTTGCCTTATTGTCGCGCGCGATTCCCGCGACAAATCAACTTTTCGGAGGGCGACGGAATTTGGGGGGCGCGAGAAAATCCCAGGACTTTTTTACGCGACTAGTAATCAATGGCGCTGATTTTGAAAATGGCATTAATCTTTTTGATCGTTATTTTTTCCTTATTTAGTACGTACTGTAAAGTAGTAATTTTCGAACGCCCCAAATTTAAGTCTTTGACGTGTCAGTGGCCGCTATTTGGGTTTATGTATTATACTTTTTACTTAAATCCTCTCCCGTTTTGTTTGATACCAAATATGTTATAGGAATCCAGAAATTCCTTCATCGCCATGGTGATGGCCAAAAAATGACGGAAATTGGTTGTATCTCGGGAACGGTCGAAGATAGGTGTGGTACAGAAGTCTTACAATTATGTGAGCAATCACAAAATCGAAAAAGGTTCCCTCCTAAGGGGTGACACCCGGAGATCACAGATGCCAATCAGAGATTGCCACGGTCAAAATTTGCGCTCCGGCTCTTACAAGGGAAGTCACTTTTTTCGCAGATCGATCCATACTGGTGACCTAGTGGACTGTGAAGGCCTCAGGCTGTGTAAGAAGAATCTGGCGTCCAAAAGTGTTTACGGGCCCTGAGGGCAGAGTTATGGCTCATCAAAGTTCGCGCAAAAAAGATTCCGAAAAGACCCTCCAAAAAAACGGGATCGGAGAAGTGAGCTTCGGTAGCAGAGTGGTTCGCAGATTTTTCTTTTGTCTGGAAGGGCCAGGGTTCGATTCCTCTTCCCGGCAATAAATAAAAATAATATTGTAAGAGTAGCGAAAAAAAAAAAAATATTTTAAAATATTTTTTGAAAAATATTATTATCCTGTCGTTAAAAAAATGACGATTTTGTTCATATCGTCACTAAATTTATCATCTGCCCAGACAGCCAGCATTTGACTCAAACGCTTCAGCATCACCAAGGGCGTCTTCTAAAACATCAGAGATATACATATTGAGAATCCCAGTCCAACCTTTACGCCAAAGTTCCCGCAGTTTTCTCCAATGATACGGCGTCTTGATCCACCGTAATCGCCGCATTATTCCAGAAATTGAATGAGATCATCGGTGGAAAAATGCCCTCGCATCCCTCACCGTGTCCAAGCTCACAAATTTCCCCAAATTTTTAACGACAAGATAATAATATTTTTCAAAAATATTTTTAAACAATTTTTTTTGTAACTTACGCTACTCTTACAATATTATTTTTAGTTATTGCCGGGAAGAGGAATCGAACCCTGGCCCTTCCAGACAAAAGAAAACTCTGCGAACCATTCTGCTACCGAAGCTCACTTCTCCGGTCCCGTTTTTTTGGAGGGTCTTTTCGGAACCTTTTTTGCGCGAACTTTGATGAGCCATAACTCTGCCCTCAGGGCCCGTAAACACTTTTGGACGCCAGATTCTTCTTACACAGCCTGAGGCCTTCACAGTCCACTAGGTCACCAGTATGGATCGATCTGCGAAAAAAGTGACTTCCCTTGTTAGCTCCCAGAGCCGGAGCCGAGACCAAATTTGCAGCTCCGGCTCCGGCTCTTGGCTCCGTGCAAAATTTAAAAAGGCCTCCGGCTCCGAGTCCCGGCTTCTATGCAAAATGTTTTTTTAAAAAAGTTTTTCCAAAAATAAAAGTTATTAGTGCCAGAGATCATACAGCCGACGTTTTTGCAGTCAAGTCACATCCTCCGCAGTGTTTTTCAAGCAATTTGGATTAACAAGACCACGAAATTTTTACTTTTCTGACCGCTGGGAAGCCTGGCTCCGACTTTGGGCTCGGGAGCCGGAGCCGACCCCAAAATTTCCGGCTCCGGCTCTGGCTCCCGGCTCGGAGCCGGAGCCGCTCTGAGCCGGAGCCAAGAGCCGGCTCCGGAGCCGTGGCAATCTCTGATGCCAATTTTGAAAATCTGCAAGGTTGAGTCATGCCGTCTTTCCATCGGGTCCTTGGTCGTCCAAGAGGTCTTTCCATCGGGAGTTCCCATTTCAGAAGTTTTGTTTTTTCTTCTGCATTCATGATCTTGGCTGCGTATTTCCATTTGCCCTTCCTGGCTTCCACAGCAACATCCTTGAGTTTGGTTTGGCTTAGTATTCTTGCACTCTTACGTCCATGACTCCCGCCAAAATGAAAAAATTCAAAAGTGTAAAAACTTCACAAGGCATTTAATTTGAGCATCTACAGCCATGCCAAAAGACAGTCCTACTGTTTTTTAACACTACATTCAGTTTTTCGGACAGACAATTGTGCGACGCTCAGATTTTCTTTAAATTTTGCACACACGATAGACTAGATATCAATTCCTGAAAGTTTTAGCTCGCGCTTTGCACGCGCAGCCGCGATATTCAACGATCTTTGCGGCTGAGAGAGTACGCAAAACGCGGAGAGCGGTCGGAGAGAAAAACAGTTTTTTGGCCATGTTTTTTATCCACAGATACCTGTGAAAATTATAAATGAAAGATAACGGCATACACCATTCATTTGGACAAAGGCAAGACGTTTTGACTATTTTTTTGCTTGTGAAAAGATCAATATGGCAACGATTGATTCCACTTTTCAAAAATTGTCTTTTAATTGATTACTAGAAAAATATCTGTTACTATAATATATATCTTCAAACCCAATATTGGTTATCGTTGAGCCTCGATGTTGGGGGTTGTTTTCCCGAAGGGCTGCCTTCTTCTACTGCCCGTGCTATTGCTGACAACGCTGTTGATTTGTAAGCTGGCCCGAATGGTGCCTTGCGAGGGATATGGCTTTGATCGAATGTTGTCAGGTTTCGTGTAAGCGTGCCTTCTTTTTGTTCCATCGTTTGATGCGGATTAGGCTTTTTTTGATCTACATAAACCGTTTGGCCTAGCAAGTCGTTACCAGGCCTTGCTGGCCCAGGCCTAAGCACTTCAGAACGGCCTTTCTTCAGTTTGGGCGTGTCATCATCAGGGTCGGGTAATTCGCGAGTCCCGATGTTAGGTATGGCATCTCCGCTAACAATACTTTTCCTTTTTTCAGCCTCGTGATCCGTTTTCCGGCACAATAAAAAGCCTATTACACCGGCTACAATTGCGAGTAGAATCAAAACAGGGAATCTATAGTTAAGGTCCAGTTGAGAACTGTTATTGGTCTTGTCTAATTTCGGCGTTTTTACTAGGACTTTGTTGCCGGCTGTATAGGCTATACCGGCCTGACCAGTTGACGACGTTATTCTGATAGTCCAATTAAATCTTGCTGGTTGAACGTCGTCTGATCGCAATTCAAACAGGATTACATCATCGAGAGGCCCATCGAAGACATCTGTCCTATAGAAGAGGCGTCCTTCGTTGATATTGCTTTGGGTGAAAAAGGTTACTGTGTTGTTTGTTTTTGGGTACAAAAAGAAGTTTCCGTATTTTGGTGATTCGATGACTAAGTATCGAGGGGTACGTCCTTTAAGTGTAGAAGCGTTAAGGTGAACATCGGCGATCTGGTTGACACTCAAAGGCGCGACTTGTAGCTCTTGTAAGACAATGTCAGCGTCCACTTTTATCTTGCAAACTTTAGGCATCAGTTCAACCTCTTCGTTGCTAAGGGTGAATCTGAAGGAATCTTCATATGCGTTCATGTTTAGCTGTGCGTATAGAATGTCTCCGTCGTTAATGTTCTTTTGGGTAAAGACAGTGGCTGTGGTCTCCCCGGCCACCCAATACAACGATCCATTCTTCGGTGGTTCTGTTACATTGTAATAAATCTTTGACGCTGGAATGTTTGAGATCGCTCCAAGATGCCTCCTTAAATAAAATATTGCTTTAATTAACACAGGACTCTAAAAACACCTACCTATCCAATAACACGTATGTGTTTCCTTGGAGGTAGCTAACTACAGAATGGTTAAACAAGTCGAGCGCAAGAGGTTCTATTTCTATAACCATGACTCTGCTCTGTCCTCCCATCTCTAGCATTAGAACATCGAATCTGTCATCAGCAGCTAAGGGGGAGTGCTCCAATCTTACTAGTCCGGCATTTATTTGATCCTGGCGGAATTCTTTAACCTCGGCAGTGCTATTTAACCTGACTTTAACTCCATTCGCCGGCTGCTTCACAACATGGTAAACTAAATCTCCGCCCGGAATCGACAAGTTGTCGATTAATAGCTGTTCCGGGGTTAAAGTTGTTGATCCCCCTGATACAACTGATACATGGGAAGAGAACCTTTTAATCTAAAAGAGAATGTTAGCGACGTCCGCCACTTACTTGGATGTCGAGGTCAACCCGTTTGCTGATTCTGAGCTTGACCTTTATCTTCAATTTATCCGCTTTTTTTGCCCTTTCCCGCTGGCCATAAACGCTAATGACGAACTCATCGTTTCCTGTTTGTTTGTTGTGTTTGTACATCAAGCGTTGTCCACCATGAAGTTTCTGAGCTGTTAATTCATATATTTCCTCATTTTCCTCGTCATCTTGTCTCTGGTGACTCTTTAAAATCTCTAGTTCTCCCAAGGTCGGCTGTCGCTCGATTTCTAGGACAAGCACGTCGTTGCAGTAATTCTCCAGTTTCTCCAGGTTTATGTGTGTAGAATTTATCAACACTTCACTGTCTTGCGTGAGGTTGATTACATTTCGCTGTACAAAGTTTTCCAGCTCGGTCTCGGGGAGATAAGAATAAGACACCGTGATTTTGAAGCGGAATTCATTTTCCCTCGGTATTGTGATGGATTCTGAAGCGTTTCCTCTCTTGTAGACCGTAAAGCCAAAATAATCCCGACTTGTCCATAATCCAAGTTCAGCTGTATGCGATTGGAAGTACAAGCGGTCTTCATCCACATCTGCCTGAGTGAAGTATTCAACCGGCCGCTGCAGATTTTTGAGAACCAGCTTTCCCAGAGTCGGCATTCTGGATACGTGGTACATGACCTTGTCCGAAGGGACCTATAAAGCAAATTGCTCAACTTTTACCTATCATAGAAAAAAGCGTTATTGCACAAAAGACGGACGCCTAACTCACCTTTAAAATTCGAGCCTTCAATAAATCAGGGCCAATCAGAACTTTTTGCCCTGGCGCTACATTTAACCGCACATTATTCTCCAAATGAATCTCAGACTCCGCTTTCCGGATAACTGAGAACCATTCTGGAGGGCTTTGGTAAAGACCATCGGTCAAGATGAAGGCAAATCCTGTCTTTTCTTGATCATCACCATCAATTACAAATACGACGTCTCTGTTGTTTATCTCTTCCTGACTGAAAGAAGAAATGGATTCGGTTTGCCGATTAATTCTGGCAACTCTTCCACCTGCAGGCTGCCATACCAAATACTTAAGGTTTTTCGGTGAGGTATCAGAATCGGCAGCATGAAGATGTCTTGAGGTAATAATGGTTACGGGTTCGGCCGTCTGTAGAGGCTCGTTGCGCAAGAGCTCTGGTTTTTGAATGTTGTCAGCTTCCACATTAATTGTGATTTTCTGAGGATTGCTACAGCTTGCTTTACATGCCCGCAGGGTAATTGATGTTTGTGTGGGATAATCTTTCAATTTAAAATCATCCCCAGAACTGGCAGTAAAATAAACACGTCCAGTGCGAAGTTGCTGTTGTGTAAATGAAGGATTCACAGGATTCAAATCGAGACTCTCGACCAACAACCTGCCCACAGCAGGTCTCTCTGCAACCTCAAATCTGATCGTTTCATCGTTCTCATACTGCGCATTTGGGACTAAAGCTCGAATGTGGCTGTTGTTGATTGTGATGCTGTCGCCCCATGGCAGAGAGACATTTTTTAATACGATCAGCACCGGCTAAATTTGTTTTATTTAGCAACAATACGTTCAAACTTGCCCTAGAGCTGTCAACAATATTGAATTGTAGTTTGAACGGACCAACAGAATCAAAGGCGTCAATAGAAATGTTGAAAGTAAGGTAATCGAGCTCCGCCTCGTTCAAAACCCCGTTGTGAACATAGCTTATCAATCCATTTTGCAGGTCGATTTTAGAAAAATGGTCAATATCCACACTTACAGTCTCCGAGCCAGCTGAAGACTTTATCGTTGAGACCACACGTCCATACCGCGCTGCTTCGTGAATCGAAATTGACGATTTAGAAAAGGAGCCGTCAAAATTGATGACATTTGTATCCAAGGAAAATACGGCACCTAGGGGTAAGGTTATATGATCGAAGATGTGTATTTGGAAAGGATTTTGAGAGGATGGTTCGTTGGGGGCTACGGTAAGATCGAATTCTTTTACAAGTCCTCCACCTTCCACCTTCATCTTTATGACACTGGGTTCGAGTTGCGGTAAAAAGAATACTCGAAGGAACGATACATCCTGTAATGTAAAATTAAGGAACATATATAAATTCTACGAACTCTCAGCATTAAGCCGACCCAAAACAGTGCGTTCGGCGCCTATCGAGGTGCAATTGTCACCATTCCAATATGTAATCTCGTCTGTACTCACCTCTTGCGAAAATTTGAATGTGGAGACCAGCTTACCATCGCGCAGAATTTTAAAAGGATTCTCCCCTTCATCGTTGAAGAAATAAATTAACGTCCAGGGATCCAAATCCAAGTTTGTATCTGTCCAAAGATTTTTCGGGTCGACCAAAATGACAGAAGTTTGTGTCAAAGGGGAAATAGTCGGAATATTAGAGCACAAAATCTTCATGAAAGGGTTCTTAGCAGCTATAAATTTGACCGTGCTCTCGACTTCAAACTTCCCATCACTGGCGATGTAACTGGGAGATGCTTCGGTCTTCAACGAGACATGTCGAAGAATCAAAGAGTTCCTTTGAAGATCTGCGAGAGTGAAGTTTCTCACGGGTATCTCGGGGAACTGATTGCGACAAATAGTAAAATCCTTGAATAAATTGGGGAAAAAGAAGTGCACATCCGACTTCAAAGTCTTCGAATCAGGATCGGTCCAAGGGAATAGAGACGGATGCAGTGTTCTCTCTCCCCCTTCAGAAACATATATGGTTAAGATTCTGTCAGCAGTAGCATAAGCACCAGTGAGACGAGGCTTCTGAGTATTCAACGGAATTATCCGAATATTCAGCCAAAACGAGAAGTTCGGGACGGTGTTGTGCAGGCTTTCTGCCCGGAGGAAAGTTCGGTCAGTCAAGGATTTCGAGCCGGAATGTTCGTAACTCAGTCTGAAAATATTTCAACTTCAACTCGTGCTTACTTCTTATTTGTAATATCAATGGAGTTGAAGTCGTCATTCTGATCCAGTATTTCTCTGATCCCAAACTTGTCTATTAGTACAAAGTTTCCATAAAATGGTGGGATGATTACAATAAACTTGAATGCTTTTTCGTCTGGGGTTTCCAGCCATAAAGTGTTATTAGTAATCTAAAGTCATTGTTCGTTGCTTTTGCACTCACAAACCTTTTGTTTTCTTCCTTCGTTGACCAAAATAGTTCGATTTATCAGCTGAAAGGAGTTCTCTCCCGGCAAGAATGTTATGTCACAGCGTAGTAACTCAGTTGTTGTTGTAGGGGTCAGGATTCTGAACATGAAAAAGTCATTGACGACGTTATATTGAACGTAATTTAGTTTGTACACGATAGTTAAGTGGTCGATATTGTACTGCGTAAAGTTGGAGGCGAGTCCAATCCTTCTCATCTTCAAATTGGAGACTTGTCTGGATAACATCCCGTATTTGGGAGGCTCCACAATGTGATAGATGAAGTCGTCTGGCTGAATCAGTTCGGGAAAAGAAACGGCCATCAAATTGTTTCTGGACAGAACCACCTCTTCGGTGTTGTTGAGGACGATCGGTTCTTGATAATACACCTTTACACTAATTGGAAAGAATTCAATTAGGAATTCGAATAGTTCTGATTGTTGGCTTCCGTGAACGACCTAAAATTAAAGCACTTGATAAAACTTTGCCACTTTAAGCTTACTTACCCTGAAGGCAAAACCGTCCCGAGACGGTCTGTTGTCAGAAGAATGTCTGAATCTGACTCTCATCTTCTCCAAATCCATCTGTGTAAACTGAGAGCACAATTGGAATTCTTCTAAACCTCCAGTCGGCAGAGGTTTCAAGCATTCTATGAATCCAAACTCTGGATTATCGACCACCGAATAACCCAAGCTCACTGGAAAATTGGCTCGTGCTGTGAGATTGTCTGCAGTAATCAATCGGCTTGAACGAAAGGGAAGTCGAAGGCCAGTGTTTGTGTCGAGGCGGAACTCTAAAGGAGAGGATCGTATCTTCAGAGCAACTTGTTTGGGCAATGAATCTCTGGTTGAGATCTTAATGTAACCCTGTTCTTCTTCGGCTTCAATATAAATCTTTAAACATTTATTGCATCGTCATGAATTTCTAGACATACCCCATTGCGCAGAAATTCGGCCAGGGTGAATTGTTTAATGTCATTTCCGTCTCTATCAACTAGATGAGCGTTTTTCTCTTCAACGACATCCAACCATAACTTATCCGTGGGAGTATCGAGATCCCAAATTTTGAGAAATCTTTCGTTAAGAAGGGTTTTAGTAGACGGAGTTACAATGATGTTCTCGGCCTCTGGCGTGACCTCTATCTGTGTCTGATCGTCCTCAGGGATTATATTTATAGGCATTGTCAACAGCTTAGGCTCAGTTGATGTTCGGTTAGCTTCCGTTTGAATCCAGACACTAACCTCGAAAGAATCTTCTGCGTTCTCGGAGCCGTCGTTCGCATACTTTAGACTTTGATTTATAATATCTTCGTAAGTAAATTCTAGTACTGTGGTGTCTCCAACAAGGAGTCGGCCATACGCGGGAGCATGGATGACTTTGAAGTGAATATCTCCATAATTCAGATCAAAACGATGATGATCCGGAAATATGTAAATGTTCTTCCACAGTATCTTGACGTCAGATCCTTCCCTACAGCTCAAAGGTTCTCCGATATACGCAGGTTGAATGTTTTTTGGGAGAGATGATATTTTGTCTACAGTCTCTTCATGAATGGATCTCTTGTTTTTAAGCCTAATAATCCATAATTTCAAATGAAAATTTTTTGTTCTCACCTGCACCATCTATCCAGAATTTTATTGGGTCCAAATGTAATGTTATGAATGCAGCCGTAAAACAACTCGTCAGTTCGGTCATCTGGCCCAATTAGAATCTCTGAAAATGTCTGCCCATAAAACCAGGTTCCCATAGAACATCTGTGGCCATTAATTAAATTCTTGTTGAAACCTACTGTTTAGACCATGGTTTGTGCAGAAAGACGGCGATGCCAATACGCGCTCTGCATCATCTACGCTGACTTTGAAACTAAAACCATGCTGACAATTAGCGGATATGGCAAAGGGTCCTTTTAATGTGTACAACCCGCCGGATCCAGCTAATGGCAAATTGTCAACCAACATGGCGTTTCCTCGGAATGTTAATGACATGTTTCTGTTGGGTGAGATAAGTATTAGGGGAGTTTGAACGTCATCTCCATTTACGGAAGTCGCATCTTCGGGCTCCACATGGATCCTTAACGTGGAGATCAAGAACGAGCTCGTTAGGTGTAATAATAAAGGTGACTGAAGCAACATTTCGCATAGAAAGAGCTCATTAGGCAGGTTAGTAAGAGATGAAAAACGATCTTATGAATGAAACCAGAGAGACAAATGGCCGTCTTTGACCGATCGGAAGGCGGCCTTTCAATCTCGAAATGAGCCAAAACGGCCATTCCCTCCAAAACCTGATAATCCGAGAATTCCTTCGCTCGCTCAATGAGACAAAGAAATGCCTTCAGAAAGCCAATGTTTACAAACTAAAAAAGACTATAAACATTTCAAAAAACCGAAAATTTAAACTTTCAACTTTATGAAAACCGCAAATCAACAATACATAGCATAACAAAAATTAAACTCGGCGGTTGGATTGTTTGACGTCAACGTTGGCGACGGTCAAGTGCTGAAAGAAAGAAGTTTTGTATCGACATAAACAAGAAATCCCAAATAAAATTAGAATTGGCTTAGTAAACCCCCCGACCAGAAAAATACTACTACGCATAGCATAAATAGGGCAACCGTAACGATAGAGGCGGCCTTTGTCCCAGACCACCAATTGGAGATTAAATATTTTAGTGCTCCAAACATAAAAATAAGATTTTAAGACTAGAATTTCTTCTTTAAGCCACCTAGAAATATTACTAAAGAAAAAGTGCAAGTGATGAAACCATGTTTTCACTAACAAGGAAAGTTATGGCGATGGAGAGGGTAGAATGGCGATTTCGAATCTGGAAACCGCTACATTCACCGGCCTCTGTTAGTCGAGATAACCGACCAACAGAATTGACCAAAAAGAGTTGCCCCGGAGTTTTTTGGAAAGAACGAGGGAAACGAACCGAATGGTTTTACGATGAAACTTTGATGGGCGATGTTTGAATAACCATGTTAAAATTAAAGTAAAATAGGCATAAAATCTAAAAAAATCTTACTTGTAAATTGAATTACAGCATCAGTTTCATAATTTTTTTTACAAGTTTGGACCCATGCAGACTCGAACATGAAAAGGTAAAGGCCTGGAAGCGCGTTTTCAGACCACTGGACCATTCGGTTCGCTCTCTCTGCTTTCGGAAGGGATGACTATTCGGGAGAATTTGGTCAAGCATGTTGGCCGATTATCTTGCCCCACAAAGGCCGGTGGGGGGAGCGGTATTCAGATTCGATATCCCAATGGCTGTACCAGCCGTTTTGAAAAATCGATCCGTGATTTAAGTGACTTCACTTGTAAGAAAAAAATCAATGTCAGGCAAGCAAGAGTGGCCAGAACCCCGAAGTTTTAACGACGCTGTCTCGAAATATAAACTGTTATTAAAAAAATTACCAAACGGTCCAACATGTTCTTGGTATCTTGGTCGATCAGCAAAGTTCCGACGCTTTCTGGGTCGACCGCAGAAACTTCGGGCATGTAGTTGTCACGACGTTCTCTCTCCTCTTCCTGGAGCTTGATGGAGATGCCACGAACGGGACCCTTCTCAATACGTTTCATCAAGTGAGTAACAAATCTAAAAAATAAATACGTGTCATAGACAACAATACATACCCAGCAATTTGATTGCGCATTCGCTTGGACGGAATAACGGCAACCTCTTCGCAAAGACGCTTGTTGGTATGGAAGTCATGAGTGAGGTAAGTATAATACTTCTCAATAATGACTCTAGACGCTTTCTTCACGGTCTTGGTACGAACACCACCCATCGTTTAGTCCGAGTACCCTGGAACAATACACAATCATGAAATTTATTTAAAAAGTCAAATGCGTGCACGAATTAAAAAAATCCGCCTATGTTTCAATACGGCGAAAAATTGGGCTGATTTCACACATATGTGTCCTTCCTTGAATTCAGCCCATTTTCACACAGGCCCGATTCCTGGGAACACCACCCACCGCAAGAAAGAGGAAAATTCCGTATTTTAGACAAAGTAGAAAACTAATTTCTATGAATCGGTGAATTTTTGCACAGTAATGCGAAGCATTGTTCACAGAAAATCATAACACGTAGCCCATTCAGGGATATCGTTGCGGGACGAAGACAAAAAATAGAAAATTTTTATTTAAGTCTGGGCGCAGCTTGCTGTAGGCCTCATCTCAATTTTAGCCACTTTTGTGCAAAGTTAGAACAATTTCTATGTAAACTTATTAGTAGCGCGAAAACTTCACACATTTTTATTTATCCGTGTTTTAGGACTTTCCTAAACGAAAATGGTGGTCGAAACCAAGGAACAGGTAGAAAAGCATACCTCCGGCGATTCTTCGTCTGATGAGGATGAGGAAACTCCAGGCGCCCAAGTTATCACTGAAGAACAGGCGAAAGTTGCGGAAGCTGCTGGTCTCTCCGAACAAGTATGTAAATATTTTCATAATCAGTCTTTTTTTAGGTCACTGAGAAAGGTTCGAAACAGTCCCGGTCTGAGAAGAAAGCAAGGAAACTTTTCTCCAAACTTGGTTTAAAGCCTGTTCATGGAGTGTCTCGTGTTTCTATCAGAAAATCCAAGTCGATTTTATTCGTGATCAACAAACCTGATGTGTACAAGAGCCCTGGCTCCGATACTTACATTGTCTTTGGCGAGGCAAAGATCGAAGATTTGAGTCAGCACGCTCAGTTGGCAGATGTTGAGAACTTCAAACCTCCATCTGCCAATATTATGCAGAATGTGAACCGTTTGGCCCCCCAACAAGAGGAAAGTGACACTGAAGAAGTAGATGCAACTGGCCTTGAGGAGAAGGACATCGAACTGGTTATGTCGCAAGCTAATGTTAGTCGCAATAAAGCTATAAAAGCCCTGAAGAACGCGGACAATGACCTGGTGAATGCTATCATGGAGCTGACAATGTGAGCAAGTTGTGCCTGTCCAATAAGATCTGTTGCCTTTTATAAACATTTGTTTGTGTCAGTTGTTTTTTCTTTGATAAATTGTTTGCTTATTTTCCATATAAAATTTCTTGTTTCTGAGGGTCAAAATGTTGCGTTCTGTCTCCGTTTATCAAATTGTAACAAAACCGCTATTGAGGGCAAAACAGAGGGCCTCGACGTCACTCTCAGATTTGTCGTAGTTATGGGCTCACACGTTTATCAGCCACGATTCGATCCGAACAGTGCACCTGGCTGAACGGTGCACCTGGGCGAATTGTGCAACCTGGGTGAACAGTTCACCTGACATTTTCTTTTTTTAACAGTGCACCTTGAAAAAAGTTTCTTTGTGTATAATTGAAGACAATTTGAAAGGTTTTCGCTTCAGTACAGGGAAAAAGGATTTTTTGGAAAATTTTTACAAAGTTTGAAAGGTTTTATAAAAACCTTTCGCGAAAAAAAGCTTTCGTTTTTAAAATTTTTGCTTCGCGACAAAGAAAAACAAATTTTTTGAAAAATTTTTAAAAAATCTGAAAAGTTTTCGTTTCGGAAGTAGAAAAAAAGAAGATTTTTCGTGAAAATTGAACAAAATTTTTAAATGTTTTCGCTTTGGGACTAGAAAAAAGGAATTTTTTTGTATTGTAAGGCTTGTCAAGGCCTCGGAGTTTATTTTAGCACAAAACAAATTAACAGTAACCCGGTTTTCATATTCAGTCAGCTCGAAAACATTTCAAAATTTGTTCAATTTTCACAAAAAAAAGTCTTTTTTTCCAGTTTCTCTACATAATGGTATTTGTTTCGTTTAAATCCATCCACGTTGAGTAGAGTTACACAGAAAACAAAAAATTGACAGTTTTTTGGCAGCTACCGTATATGCGAGAATCCTAGCCCGCGCTTTGCAGAAACAACCTAGATTTTTAGATCGAAAGTCGGCGAAAATTTAACACTTTTTCCCGAATTTCGGCATAGAAACTTTCATTCCTATTTCTACCAGAGAGGGTAATGTTTCCACAAAAAATCAAATTTTTCCGCACGAAACTAGCAAAGTTATGGCCAAAAAGTGTTTTTCTCTCTGACTGCTCTCCGCGTTTACCGTACTCAAGATCGTTCAATATTTCAGGATAGAGTTCGTATTTCTTGTCAAAATCAGAAGAGTGTTCAGTGTTAAAAAAAGGGGAGTTCGGCTGAGACGTTCAAATTGGGCCAAATTTAATTTAAATTTAATGCATAATCGACAGGAAAAGAAAGGTTGATAATACCCTAATTTTACAGAAAAATACGCGTCCCGACATTTCGGGTCAGGGACAATTCGGGTCGCGACAACTCGGGTCAACGACTACTCGGGTCAACGATACCGTTTAATATTTTCGCTTCGGGACTGGGAAAAAAGAATTTTTTGGAGAGTTTGAACAAATTTTTGAAATGTTTTCACTTCGGGACTGGGGAAAAGGGATTTTTTGGAGAATTGAGGTATATATTTTTTATTTTTTTGGGAAAATAGTGTCTATAAGCGACGAGCAAATAAGAAAATCGTTATGTGCACACAATCATTACGACTATCTTCTTCTTACTCCACTCTCTGGTACTGTCTGTGTTTATATCCCGTGCTTCCAGTTAAAAACATAAACAATGGATACAATTTTCTTATTTGCTCGTCGCTTATACACTACAGGGTGCGGCAATTTTTCGGCCGGATTTGAATTGGCTATAACTTTTTTAGTTTTTATCCGAATGTTAAAATTCTTTTTTTTCCCTGAATCCTCAGACAACCCCATTTTGTTTAATACCAAATATGTTATTCATACAGGGACCTAGTTCATAGTTATTGGCCTTTCGGACGTTTTCTCTGCTTTTTCGGCGTGTGTGAAAATCGCCAGAAAAAAAATGATATGGCCAAAAAGTTTTTCTGTGTGACCACTCATGTGCCCTCCTGACCGCAAAGAATCGTTGAATATCTTGGTCGCCCCTGAAAGGTGCGGGCTGAAACTTTCATGAATTGATGTGTGGCCTATGTCCGTCCCATGTGCAAAATGTAAAGAAAATCTGAGAGTCGCACTAGGGGTAATTCCATTGTCAGCTATGAAAATTAGAGTTTTTTCTTTTTCTCGAATTTTTACTGTAGTCTAACGAACGGGTATAACATACAGGGTGGTCCAGCTAAGTTCGCGGATGTAAAATGCTTATAACTTTTTATAGGATTGTTCAATTTTTATGAGCAATAGCTCATTTTATTCCTTAGTAGTTGCCATTTTGTTTAAAAAAAGATCATTAAAAATGATCAATCCTACGTCGAGTTATGACCCTTCAAAGTCAAACATGCTTTTTCACGTAAATTTTTTAAAAAATTTAATTTTCAAAAATTTTTGAATTGCGGTGTCACCGCTCGCTGTTACCGGGAAATGATGGTGAACAGAGCGATCCCAGCTGTGCAAAATTGGCCCAATTTTGCCAGTCTTTGGTATTCTTCCATAATTTGGCGCCTCATTTGTTCATCCTGGCGAACTAGTTCCACCTCTTCTTCGATTACGCGCTTCAATTCCACGTCTTTGGGCGCCAATCCCTGATGAAAATCCGCTGTTTTAAGAACCCCCAAATGGAGAAATCTAGCGGAGTTAGATCAGGTGAACGCGGAGGCCAAGCAATTGGAGCTGGTTGCCGCGCAGATCACCGGCCCATCCAACGACCTGGAAAAACCTGGTCAAGGAGTTGACGGACCGCTATAGCAAAATGAGGTGGCGCGCCGTCTTCTTGAAAAACAAGACTGGCAAAATTGGGCCAATTTGGCATAGCTGGGATCGCTCTGTTCACCATCATTTCCCGGTACCAGCGAGCGGTGACACCGCAATTCAAAAATTTTTGAAAATTAAATTTTTTAAAAATTTACGTGAAAAAGCATGTTTGACTTTGAAGGGTCATAACTCGACGTAGGAGTGATCATTTTTAATGATCTTTTTAAACAAAATGGCAACTACTAAGGAATAAAATGAGCTATTGCTCATAAAAATTGAACAATCATATAAAAAGTTATAAGCATTTTACATCCGCGAACTTAGCTGGACCACCCTGTATTTGGTATTAAACAAAATGGGGTTGTCTATGGATTCAGGGAAAAAAAGAATTTTAACATTTGCCGAAAAACTAAAAAAGTTACGGCCAATTAAAATCCGGCCGAAAAATTGCCGCACCCTGTATTTTCCTAAAAAAATTAAAAAAATAAATCTCAATTCTCTATTCTTTTTCCCCAGTCCCGAAGCGAAAACAATTTAAAAATTTGTTCAAACTCTCCAAAAATTCTTTTTTCCCAGTCCCGAAGCGAAAATATTAAACGGTATCGTTGACCCGAAATGTCGTTGACCCGAGGTGTCGTTGACCCGAAGTGTCGTTGACCCGAGTTGTCGCAACCCGAGTTGTCCCTGACCCGAAATGTCGTAGCGCCGAAAAATACACGTATTTCAAAATAAGAAGGACCTCGATAATACATCTTTACGATATAAGAAACTAACTTAACATTATTAAAGAGGAGATCGGTAGATCACTGAGAATAAATATTGGAAAGTAACTTAAACATCAGATGCAAAGAGGACCACGCTATTCTTGTCCGTTTCCCATAATTCGATTTTGTACAGAAGCTGAGGGGCGGCCATCACTTTCTTCATAAAAGTAACAAAATACACGGCCAGATTTTCGCTCGTCGATACACGCGTTCTGAAATGCATTTTAGAACTGTGCGTTTTAGAAACCTTTTGCTTACTTAAAGAACACGACGTCATGATCAATGTTTTTGTGGTCCAGTGTGTCAATCACAATTTTCATCTCTTCTTTCAGATCCTTCATGTTGTATACCATGCCCGTATGATTGTTGATAGGGCCCTTCAGGAATACCTTAACTCGGTAGTTGTGTCCATGCCCATTGTTGCCATTACACTTGTCGAAGATCTTCTTATTTTGAACAGTGCTCATGTTCGGATTGTGCAGGCGATGGCTAGCACTAAACGACTCTTCCCGCACAAGTTCAGCAATGATGGGTTTCATTCGCTCCGGGGGCAGGACTATCGGTAATACTTTTGGTCTGTTCAGAGTAGACTGGGAATTCAGATCTCTTTGATCTCGAATTAGGTTCCAATCTGCAATATGGAACTCCAATCGAATCTGTTCTTCACGAAGAGGGCTGTTGCTTGCATCCTGGCTCGATTTGGGTCGACAGGACCTTGCAATTTCCTCAGCGGACAAGAGCTTCGGTTTCTTTGACTTTTGAGAAGAGTCCAACACCGATTTCCCTGTTTCTGAAGCGCTTTTACCATTAAAACGTTTTTTTGATCCGACTTCCTGCTTCGAAGCATTTGAAGAAACTTCGCTACTCTCTTTAGTAGTCTCCTTTTTCTTTTGATCCCCAATATCAGTCTTCAGTGATCTCTGTGGCGGGAAGTAATTCATTACTTTCTTTGGCCTCAACTTTCTTCCTTCGCTCCCGCTGGATTCACCGGAGTCCTCACTCGAAATGGAAGGGGATGGCGTCGTCTTTTTGAGGAGATCTGTAATTTCAGAAGTTTTACAATTTCAGCAATTTTTGCAATGGGAAATTGTCCATTTCCTTACTATTTCTTATCCAGATAATATCATCTCCCTGTCTGTGGATTATGACCGAATCTTTCCATATATTTCTGTCGACAAATGCCGGAATCTGGTCCGTCGAGGTGATTCTGTTGACCATAATCGGATCTGGAGGAAACGCATTAACGTTTAAAAGACGTTCACAAAGAAACAGTGAAAATAAATTATCCCGTTAATTAATCTCCTGTGCCTTGTAATTAGGCAAGCATAAGTACAAGCATAACAATATTCCTTTATGGTCAATCGGCCGCATTGCGCAATAAATGGCTGTCAACCACGAAAACTACCTATAATTAAAAGCGGAAACAAAGAGACAACATATGTCCACATCAAGCGTATTAAAGTCATAAGAGAAACGCTCATTCTTAAATGGTGGAAGGTTATGAGATGACCCTGGATCCTCGAGAATTCCATATATATGGTCTACTAAACCCATATGAGTACACAGACTTGGATAATATCCAACCAACGCTGACTCCACATAGTTGCAATACTATAAACAAGAGGTAAGCAAGTTTTGAAATATTTTTTCGGCATGGCAAAAGCGAATGAAGCCTTAAAATTTTCATTTGTAAAGCAATTGCAGAAATTCCTCCGCATATGCCTTATTCTTTAAAGAGCAGCAAGCCTCCGTTCGGAAAGAATACCCCAAAGCCACATTCGGTGAAGTCTCAAAGATAATCGCTGTCAAGTGGGAAAGTTTGAGCGATCCACAAAAGAAGGTAAGGAAGAAAAAGGCGAGTGCGGATTTCGTATGAAACTGTGAAATTAGCCATTCTGGACAACGCTTATCCATATCAAATTGCAGATGTACCGTGATGAGATCAAAGACAAGAAAAAGAAGCAGCTCCTAGAGAAGGCGATGGAAAAAGCTCTTGGATTATGTAGAAATTCATTTTAATATGGACAAAACAAAATATGAAAGTGTTCCTTTCTTTGACGTTCTCCGTTAGATGACTGTATGTAATCTGTATCTGCTTATTAGAAGCGACTCGAAATCATTGAATTTTTTGTGACAAACTTAAAGAATTCACTGTAATTTGATGACTCGATGTAAATGAAAGTGTTTAAGCAGTTTTTGATTAAACATGTGGCCTTATAACGTCCATATTTTTAAATAGCCATAAAAAATCCGACACAATCCAACTTTTGGCTAGGTTTTAGCTACCTTCACCGCCATTCCAGACGTCCCACTAGACGTTTTAATTTCACTCATACACGAGTAAAAAAACTGGAGAGCATAAAAACTTCCAGTATAGAAAGTATAAAGACTTTTATCCAATCTTTTGTATTAACGGACCAAACAGGGCCGAACTTTCACCAGGCCGGCCTGATCAATTCGGCCCGAATGGAAGGCGGGCCAGTGTATTCTAATACAGCCTTCATGGAAATTGGACAGACTTTTTTCACTGCAATCGTACGAAATGTCACTAGTTAATTGTTTTTTGCAGTGAAAAAAATATGTCCAATTTCCATGAAGCCTGATTTCTCAACCGACTCATACAAGCGTGTTTTACAACTAATACCTGGAAAGGGCAGTATATTATATTCAACGTGATATAGAAGAAAAAATTCAAAAATCCCAGAGATATTCAACGTGGTGCACATACAGACAGAGACAGACCCCAATACACACGCACCACAAATTCGATTTGATCCCAAGTTTACTACGCCAAAGCGGACAGGGGTGGTCAGCGGACCCTATTTTTCCGATTTTCGGCCCGCGGCCCGGCCCGTGACGGGCCTGGCCCGGCCCGTGCAGGCCCGTCTATAGAGGGTTCTGCGAACTGCGCCCAGGCTCGGGATCTAAACTGAGGCAAAAAAGGCGTTGATCTAGCTAGTAAAGGATCAATGTGATAGTTTTGTGGTTCTATAATGGAACTATAGACTTGTAAACGTTTTAGAACTTGAGAAACAGCAACTATAACAACATCAATTACAGGGTCTTACAAAAAACGTGAAGGAAAGTGGAATGCTATAACTTCCGGCGGAGGCGGCGCAGAGACTTCGTATTTGAAATATGTATTTTTAGAAGGCATACGTTTTTGACTGTGAAATAACAAGCTTTTAGAGTGCAAGCTGAGGTCGCTACGACCTTCTGAAGTAGAGGCATCTCTACCCCGAAAACCAGGGTTTTTTCGGTTGAAAATGATCGAGAAATTATGGACCTTTTCGGTTGAAAATCACCAGGAAATGTCGGATTTTTTTGGGGTTTCTTGATATAGTCTTTAAGAAAACGTGATAATTTGCAAGTGTTGGCAGTTTCCTCATATTTTTCAACATCACCCATATCGAAACCCCCCAAAAAATCTGACATTTCCTGGTGATTTTCAACCGAAAAAGTTCGAAATTTCTCGATCATTTTCAACTGAAAAAACCTGGGGCCCGTCCCACTAAGAAAGCGTAGCGCGAATCACGAATTGGAAGCGCGAAAAATCATGCAAAAGCGAGAGAGTCGAGAGAAAAAGCGGGCTCTCTCGGAAATCCGCGCTACGGTTTTTTTGTGCTAACAGGGGAAGTACTCCAAGTGCGACGCTCAGATTTTCTTAAAATTTTGCACACACGTCGCATATGGACTAAATATCAATTGCTGAAAGTTTAAGCTCGCGCTTTGCGGGCGCCGCCGAGATATCGAACGATTTTTGCCGCCGAGAGAGCACGCTAAACGTGGAGAGCGGTCAGAGAGAAAAGCGCTTTTTGGTCATAACTTTGGCAGTTTTGAGCGGAAAAATTTGATTGTTTGTAGAAACATTATCCTTTACGGTTGAAATAGGCATGAAACTTTTCGTGCCTAAATTCGGCAAAAAGTCCTAAATTTTCGCCAACTTTCGATCTTAAAATCTCGGTTGTTTCTGCAAAGCGCGAGCTAGGATTCTCGCATATATCTTAGAGAAAATTATTCTAATTTTGTGCCATGTTTCATCCAAATCTGAGCGTCGCACTTGGAGTACTTCCCCTGTAAATACCGAAATGTGTTTACTTTTTTGGCTGTAACTCCTTTCAATGACGTCCGATTTACATGATTTTAAAAATCATGAACAGAGGAGACCAACAGCTTCCAGAAAATGTAAATCTTGTTTGCTTTAACGCAGATTAAGGCTTCCCGCCTGGACGAATTACATTTTCCTCCTCAAGAATCACGATTACAAAATGTCGTATTTTCAAGTAAAACTTATCCTTAAACTACTCATCATAACCCCCAACGTTCATATTGTCATTTATCAGCCCAAACTGCCCCTCCCAAGCCCAAACTGCCCCTTCCAAGCCCAATTTTGACCTCCTCTTGCCATAATTTGTTTGGATCGCAAAAAAATTTAAGTTTGATTTTTTTTTTAAAAATACTCTATTCGTCATTCAGAGGGACTGGGTCGGTTTTATCAGCCCAAATTAGCCCTTCCAAGCCCAATTTTGATCGCCCCTTGCCATAATTTGTTTGATTGCACACGGAGACACTCCTGGAACGTCCCATTGAATAATTAATCGCGCTTTCGTTGTTATTTGAAAACGTTCGTTGAAGAGGAGGTCAAAATTGGGCTTGGCAGGGCTAATTTGGGCTGATAAAACCGCCCCAGTCCGAGATGAATGGAATAATTTTTTTAAAAAAAAATTTTAAATGTAAATTTTTTTGTGATTCAAAGAAATTATGACAAGGGGAGATCCAAATTGGGCTTGGCAGGGCTTATTTGGGCTGATAAAACCGACCCAGTCCCTCTGAATGACGAATAGAGTATTTTTAAAACGGACTTTTTTACAAAGTGAAGCATGGCCCGGACATTGTTGCGGTGACCATCACCGAATTTCTTCAAATTTGGCTCATAGAACACCCACAGGGCATATATCAAAAGCGTCAAACGTTTTCCCAAAATTTGCATTATTTCGGGATTACTGTAACAATTTGGGTTTTGTAAAGCAGCCGCTGTCGTGGGCCGGGCGACAGCCCTACGGGGCTGAAACTTCCTGTCTGTATGTTTTCGAGCATGGCCAACATTTTTCTAATTGAAACTTTTTTTGTATCTTTTCGTCTTTCGGTAGTACCGTAATCGTCATGATACCATATCGATTACTGTAAAAAATTGGAGCGAGTGTAACAAATTTTTAAACTTGATTATAAAAGTTGGACACCCTTCCCGTAAAATAAGACAATAAAATCAAAAATAAAAATATAAGTTTTTGAGATATAAGCGTTCAAAGTTGCTATGTTCGGTTACTGTAGGACCAAAATAGAGACGATCAATTTTTAAACTTTTCCATTAATCGCTACGGTTCACATATTAATAGAATGACATAAGAGGAATGTTTTCAGGTTGAAAAATTAATAATTGAGCTTTTATTTTAGGGTTTATACAAAGGTTACTGTAATTTCCAACTTTTATTAAGTTCGCTAACAATTTTATTGGAATGACGAATTTAGACAAGCTATCCGGGTCAGAAACGCGCATACATCATGGAAGACAGAAATCAGAATCGAAATACTACCCATTCCTGAAATAGTGGGAGATTACGGTAGCCGTACCCACTTTTTTCGCCGCTTGGCCGCGGCATTCTTTGGGACAGTTAGTGTAACAACTTTTGAGGCGTGAAATTCATTCATGATGGATAGAAGAGTATTTCAGCAAAAAATCGAGAAAATAAAAATATAAGTTTTTGAGAAAATCCTGGATTACGGTCATTTTAGGGGGTTTTTGAGCCGTCTGGCCGCGGCATTCTTTGGAGCTGCTAGTGTAACAACTTTTGAAGCCTGAAATTCATTCAGGATGGATAGAAGAGTATTTCAGCAAAAAATCGCGAAAATAAAAATATAAGTTTTTGAGAAAATCCTGGATTACGGTCATTTTAGGGTGTTTTTGGCCGCGGCATTCTTTGGAGCTACTAGTGTAACCAGATTTGAGACTGGAAATTTGTTCAGAATATATAGGAGAGTCTTTAAGAAAAAATAGGGAAAATAAAAGTATAAGTTTTTGAGAAAATCCGAAATTACGGTCATTATAGGGGATTTTCTGTCCGGAACTACCGTAATCCGGGATTTTCTCAAAAACTTATACTTTTATTTTCTCGATTTTTTGCTGAAATACTTCCCTTGTCATGCTGAGTAAATTTCAATACTCAAAAGTCGTTACACTAGCAGCTCCAAAGAATGCCGCGGCCAGACGGCTCAAAAACCCCCTAAAATGACCGTAATCCAGGATTTTCTCAAAAACTTATATTTTTATTTTCGCGATTTTTTGCTGAAATACTGTTCTATCCATCCTGAATGAATTTCAGGCTTCAAAAGTTGTTACACTAGCAGCTCCAAAGAATGCCGCGGCCAGACGGCTCAAAAACCCCCTAAAATGACCGTAATCCAGGATTTTCTCAAAAACTTATATTTTTATTTTCGCGATTTTTTGCTGAAATACTGTTCTATCCATCCTGAATGAATTTCAGGCTTCAAAAGTTGTTACACTAGCAGCTCCAAAGAATGCCGCGGCCAGACGGCTCAAAAACCCCTAAAATGACCGTAATCCAGGATTTTCTCAAAAACTTATATTTTTATTTTCTCGATTTTTTGCTGAAATACTCTTCTATCCATCCTGAATGAATTCCAGGCTTCAAAAGTTGTTACACTAGCAGCTCCAAAGAATGCCGCGGCCAGACGGCTCAAAAACCCCCTAAAATGACCGTAATCCAGGATTTTCTCAAAAACTTATATTTTTATTTTCTCGATTTTTTGCTGAAATACTCTTCTATCCATCATGAATGAATTTCACGCCTCAAAAGTTGTTACACTAACTGTCCCAAAGAATGCCGCGGCCAAGCGGCGAAAAAAGTGGGTACGGCTACCGTAATCTCCCACTATTTCAGGAATAGGTAGTATTACGATTCTGATTTCTGTCTTCCATGATGTATGCGCGTTTCTGACCCGGATAGCTTGTCTAAATTCGTCATTCCAATAAAATTGTTAGCGAACTTAATAAAAGTTGGAAATTACAGTAACCTTTGTATAAACCCTAAAATAAAAGCTCAATTATTAATTTTTCAACCTGAAAACATTCCTCTTATGTCATTCTATTAATATGTGAACCGTAGCGATTAATGGAAAAGTTTAAAAATTGATCGTCTCTATTTTGGTCCTACAGTAACCGAACATAGCAACTTTGAACGCTTATATCTCAAAAACTTATATTTTTATTTTTGATTTTATTGTCTTATTTTACGGGAAGGGTGTCCAACTTTTATAATCAAGTTTAAAAATTTGTTACACTCGCTCCAATTTTTTACAGTAATCGATATGGTATCATGACGATTACGGTACTACCGAAAGACGAAAAGATACAAAAAAAGTTTCAATTAGAAAAATGTTGGCCATGCTCGAAAACATACAGACAGGAAGTTTCAGCCCCGTAGGGCTGTCGCCCGGCCCACGACAGCGGCTGCTTTACAAAACCCAAATTGTTACAGTAATCCCGGACTGATTGAAATTTCGCGAAACCCTTCTTCGCTTTTCATCAACATGCTCAGGCCCTTCTACTGGCCAAGTTTCAAGAAATTTGGTGATGGTCGTTGCAACAATGTCCGGGCCCCTTGGAGCACGCCACGAAAAAAGTGGAAATAGAGAAATTCGCGGGAAAATGTTTTCGACATTTCATACGCTGAAACCTTTACAAATAAATAATAAAAATGATCCCAAAGTTCCAACAAAACAACAATTTACGTGTGAAACCAACGAGAAAGCATCGAAAGGCTTTAAGGAGATGCAACCCGAACTTCTCAGATTGATCGAAGAAGAGAAAAGAAATTATATTGTACTAGGCAAAATTGGATCAGAATCGACGAATCTGACCGAATTCGAGCTTTCCGGGGGTAAACAAGACTAGCAGGGCTTTTATATTGCTACAAAACACCCCTACTAAATTGAAATTCATCAAATCTTCTTTATTTCCACCTAAATATCAAACCAACAAGAATAATTAAAATTACATAAGTTTTCGACAATCCATCGAATTTGCCGGATGCAATCTGAACTCGGAATTCCATCTCCACACCCTTTGGTACGTTATGCTGGCCTTCACATTCTACTTCAGCATGGACCGGCTGAAATATCAATTATATTATTTTAGGTAACACCAGAGAAAATTGTTAGCTCAATGGCCTAGAAAAACAAAAAAATCAAAAAGGCAACGTCATAAACTTACCTTGAAATGTTCTGAATCGTCTGCTTCCTTTGATCCAGCTTTCCTCACGCCTTCTCCAGCCCTTTCTCGCATTTCTCCATCAGTCCTGCAAAATGATGCAATTACCCATTGACAAGTGCCCTTTTTCCATTGTCAAATTTCGAGATTTCTTCTTTATAACGTGCAAGGATGTTTTACACAAAAGGATTGGCTAATTTGATCCTAATCTGGATGCAAAAAGAGAAATCTTACATTTTCTGGGACACTATCAGCTGATGCAAAATGATGTATATAATCTATTGACAAGTGCCCTTTTGCTATTGTCAAATTTCCAGATTTCTTCTTTACAACGTCCGCTGGGATGTTTCGCACAAAGCAGATCAACTCCTTTGTCCCTAAACCGGATGAAAAAAGAGAAAACTTACATTTTCTGGAGACGCCATCAGCTACTGCAAAATGATGCATTAATGAACTAGGAAGTGACCTTTTTCAACTACGAAATTTCCTAATTTCTTCTTTAAAACATCCGCTAGGATGTTTCACACAAATGAATTGGCTACGTTGTTCCTAAACCGGATGCAAAAAGAGAAATCTTACCTTTTCTATAGACACATCAATAGCTGGAGAATCATTTTTGTGTCAGAGCGCAATGGGCTGGCCTCCATGAACTCATCCATTATATTCAACACTTGAAACTGACAAAAACGTAATTTTTGACATACTATTCATCTCTAAATTATTCCAACTCTCAGAGTTACAATAATATCTACCACAATATTCATGCGCTCAAAAAAGATTAAAAATATTGGGCGCAGCTCGAAATCTCTATTTCCAATTTTGCCTTACGTTTTTCGTGGCGTGCTTGGAGGGAAGCTTCAGTTTGTAAAAAACTCTGTTTTAAAAAAAAAATCAAACTTAAATTTTTTTGCGATCCAAACAAATTATGGCAAGAGGAGGTCAAAATTGGGCTTGGAAGGGGCAGTTTGGGCTTGGGAGGGGCAGTTTGGGCTGATAAATGACAATATGAACGTTGGGGGTTATGATGAGTAGTTTAAGGATAAGTTTTACTTGAAAATACGACATTTTGTAATCGTGATTCTTGAGGAGGAAAATGTAATTCGTCCAGGCGGGAAGCCTTAATCTGCGTTAAAGCAAACAAGATTTACATTTTCTGGAAGCTGTTGGTCTCCTCTGTTCATGATTTTTAAAATCATGTAAATCGGACGTCATTGAAAGGAGTTACAGCCAAAAAAGTAAACACATTTCGGTATTTAGCACAAAAAAACCGTAGCGCGGATTTCCGAGAGAGCCCGCTTTTTCTCTCGACTCTCTCGCTTTTGCATGATTTTTCGCGCTTCCAATTCGTGATTCGCGCTACGCTTTCTTAGTGGGACAGGCCCCTGGTTTTCGGGGTAGAGATGCCTCTACTTCAGAAGGTCGTAGCGACCTCAGCTTGCACTCTAAAAGCTTGTTATTTCACAGTCAAAAACTTATGCCTTCTAAAAATACATATTTCAAATACGAAGTCTCTGCGCCGCCTCCGCCGGAAGTTATAGCCTTCCACTTTCCTTCACGTTTTTTGTAAGACCCTGTAATTTTCCCGGCGCGAAAACAATGAATGCCAACGGTTTGGCATTGTATTTTAGACGGGCCGGGCCGGAAAAAACCCCAGGCCCGCGGCCCGGCCAGTGACGGTTGTTTTTTGCGAAAAAGTAAAGTTACAGCTTCATCCAGCGTCAGAGATGTAACCTCAGATAATTAATGGGCCCGGGATTTCTGATGGAAATTTACAAAAGTTCATTATACATTGACCCATATCTAGAGGTGGCAATCGGGCCGGGCCTGACCAGCTTTGAAAAAGCCCCGGCCCGATTGCCACCTCTACCCATATCTAGAGTTTATATTGCACTAGACAGACCTTTCCACCAGGTTCGAACAAAAAAGCTAAACATCGAACAAAAAGCAAACATAACGACTTACTTTCTTACTTGAAGGTTCAACACCGACTTTCGAGCTTTCGTCTTCTTGCTCCGGCTTGAAATGGTCGATATTTTACAGAAAATATAAAAACGAATTTTCCGATTTTTGCACGACGCCAAAACTTTTTGGCACAAAAAGGATTGGTCGTGGTGGGACAAACCTAAAATATCAAGAGGGAATGATGGTCACACACTGGGCTTCGTGGAAATTGGACAGAGTGAAATTGGACAGAAATAATTTGGACAGAGCGTGGAAACTGGACAGGGTGAAATTGGACAGAGTGAAACTCGACAGATTTTTTTCACTGCAAAAAATAATTATTTGATGATTCAATAGTGGCATTTCGTACGATCGCAGCGAAAAAAATCTGTCCAATTTCCACGAAGCCACACACTGCATTTATCGCTCTCAACTTTCACAACAGAAGTCAAGGTAAGCGTTTTTTAAATCGGTGGTTTGAGGCGGTGGATTTCTCTTTTTAAGGGATCAATGCTAAATTGATAAAAATTTATGTTCTCTTTTTTCTTTACTTCAAAGTACTAATATTATGAATTCTAGGTTCATGACAACCCTACAAGAAATTCGATTGTACGAGAATCATACGGAAAGGGAGAATGTGGATAATATGAGCGAGTTATATGCCGTTCTTAATGCCTTAGAATGTCTGGAAAAGGTCTTTAGTCGCGATTATATTTTGCCCAATGAATACACAGCTGAGTGTTCAAAATTATTAACACAGTATAAAGTAAGTTATGGTGTGTTCTTATAATTATTTTTTAATTCAATTTAGGTAACAATCAGACTTCTTCATGGGATGAGCGTTGAGGATTTTGTTAGAAAGTATCGAATAAACTGTCCGGCTGCACTTGAAAGAATCCGTGAAGATCGGCCGATCACTGTGAAGGATGACCGCGGAAATGTCCTGAAGAATATTGCTGAGATCGTCGAGTTATTTATTACATTTATGGATCATCTCAAATTGAACATGAGGACTGTTGATGAGCTCTATCCGACTTTGTCAGACCTTTACAATGCGTTGAATACGATGAGTTCACTTCCTGACAACATTGGAATCAAACAGAAGATTAAGAATTGGTATTTTTTTATTTTAATAGTTTTTTCCCATTTTACTTACAGGGTCTTACAAAAAACGTGAAGGAAAGTCGGAGGCTATAACTTCCGGCGGGGGCAGCGCAGAGACTTCGTTTTTGGAATATGTATTTTTAAGCGGCATTAATTTTGGTCTATGAAACAACAACATTTTAAAATGCAAATTGAGGTCGCAACGACCTTCTGAAGCAGGGGCGTTCTACCACGAAACCAGTGTTTTTCGGTCGAAAATGGTCGAGAAATTTTGGACTTTTTGGGGGTTTTCAATATAGTTGATGTTGAAAACAGGGAAGGAAATTGCCAAAACTTTTCTTCATTTGAGGATTTCGGAGAACATGGATCGGCTAGCCGAAGTGTCAGAATGGCTTGAAGTCTCAAAAAAAGGTTGCCAACAGGTTTGGAATGAGTGTCAGAGAGTAGGAATGACAGCCAGATTGTTTAAATGGCTAGCCGAAAAGTCAGAAAGAAAGGCAGCCCGGGTGTTTGCATAATTTTCAACGTTTTGGCAATTTTCTTCCCTGTTTTTGACATCACCTGTATTGAAAACCAAAAAAAAAATCCGGCATTTCTCGAAAAAGTCCGAAATTTCGCGATTATTTTCAACCGAAAAACACTGGTTTTCGGGGTAGGAATGCCCTTACTTCAGAAGGTCGTAGCGACTTCAATTTGCACTTTAAAATCTTGTTTTTTCATAGACCAACTTTAATGTCGCTTAAAAATACATATTTCAAAAACGAAATCTCTGCGCCGCCTCCGCCGGAAGTTATAAATTCCGACTTCCTGCATATTTTTTGTAAGACCTTGTATTTACTAATTATGTGAAATAGGCATGACAAACTTTCATCGATGGCTGCCAGTGAAGAAATTTCTGAGGAAGATGCTCGTCAAATGGTGTTTGAAGTTGAATCGGCGTATAATGACTTTAACCGTCATCTTCGCAACACTTAAATGCTATTTCATAGTTATGTATAAAAAGTTGTAAATTACTCGCGTTATCATAGTTTGGACGAGGTCTTAGTCGTGTTTATAGCTCACAAAACGGGTAGAAATAGGTTTAAGTAGACATGAGGGAATAATCAAAATCTTAAGTTACAAATAGAGATGGCAGTAATAATTGCGTCTTGAAACTTCCCTTTAAAAGACAAAGCGAACGTTCTGGAATTGATTACACAGAAGATGACGGAAGAGATCGGAAAAGAGGGGCTCCAAATGAGATCAGTGACAATATTATTATTACTCGGGTCCTAGCTGAAGATGATCTCGTAACGGCAAGGCGTATCGGAGACATACAAACGCTGGTAGTTGATACCCCATCCGACTCCGATGCTGATAGTCAAAAAGGAGACGCCGATGGGCGGAGATTCAGTTGACAAAAGTGCGTGTTCCTGTTCCGGGGTTTCAGTGTTCTTTCGATGGACACGAATGCAATAGCCAGGTGACAGTCGGCGAATGGTCTCTGCAGCTGACTTCATGCTCTGTATTGATTGGGACACACACATAAAGATTGGCCTTTCGCCACTAAAACAATGTCGTAAAAATAATATATTTTTTTCTCACCTATTGTATAACCAGATATCTTCAAAGTTTTCAACTTCAGACTGTTTTAGAAGTGCAAAAGAGGCGCGATTGTCCACATCCCAATTGCATTTTACGTCTTGTCCATCGAAGACGGTGCCGGCTAATTGGCCCACGGCCACGAAATCGCCTACCAAAGGGATCATATCACCTATCCTCTCTTTTCTCTCCCACCTGGCCATCCGACCCCACGCTGCAATGGAAAAATCCGGAGCTTCAAATGCCTACCTACCGAGCGCCTGGGAATGTATACTAGTCAAATGATTTAATAAGATAGGATTATCGGAGAGGTTATTGTTGACGGGACTCGCAGATCCACTTGGAGGAAGAGGAGGAGGTTCAAGTGGAGGAGTATCACTCTGTCCTTTCATCTGGAAGTCTGCCCGGACGTGGCCAATTGACCGAGCTGCCTGAGCACTCATTTCGTCACCGAATCCCGTGTCAGTTTCTGCAGTTATGATCATTAGGATTTAAAAAATTTCAATGAGATTTACTTGCTGAAGACATACCGGAACGTTCACCCAGCCGTCCTCCGCCGTTCGCAACAATACCCGAAATACTTTTGTCTTCGGAAGCGGTTGATGAGAACTCGGCTAAAGATTGTGGATTACAGGGATGGATGCCGAAACAACTTACGTCTGATCCATAGTCCATAGTGATACGGATTGCAACAAGAAACAGTAGCGTTGTTGATAGTCACTCTTCCGAATCTACACCAAGGTAATGGATCAAGACGATGAAGTGCCGCATCTACCTGGAGATCTTTCCATCGCCACATCTTGCAGCATAGGTATGGCATGGACATGGGACGGTCAATTTGAGGAATGAGACCGCGTTCTTGAAACTCGCCAGTGTTGCCGATCAAGTTCATATTGTTGATATCCATCGATGGACCAGCAGGTGTTTGTCGCTGGCTTGTAGGAGCTTGCAAAGGAGCAGGTTCAGGGGATATTGCCGTCTGAAGAAGGTCTTCCCGAGCTCTTCTAAAAGTCATGATTTGTTATTGGTAATGTCATCGAGACGCACCCTGATCGCGGAGAACGGTGAGAATGACGTTGAGATCCTTGCCTGTGATGGGGAGATACATGGTTGGCTTGATGATGTCGATGTGTTGGAATGCGCGATATATGATTACTTACGGGTACAACTGTCGTGACCATAGTCGTTCCGCCCAAATGGTCCATTCGGACGGTCGAATATCTTCGCAAACGGGAACTCACCACGGACGCCCTGCGGGCAACAGAAGGCGGAAGCGGAAGGGCCTCATCCTCTGACTCAGAATCTTCAACGATGTCCATTGGAGGTCCCGGAGCACACTGTTTTATGTCCAGACCACGGGATTCCACGGCCTGCAAGCAGCGATATACATAACGAACTTATCTACCTTCCTTAACACATCAAGATCTTCAGTATCAAAGCCACGCATCAGATTCATGAAGCGGCGTTTGGCCTTACGCTCATCGGCCGTTACGAGTAACCGATGCCTCCAGAGTATTTCGATGTAACGTCGACGATCAGTGAATAAACAAAGCAGGCCACAGTCCAAGGGCATGGCCAGGCAAACCGGTCGAGGGCTGAGAACGGGGGGATCGGGCGGGGCACAGACACCTCCACCTCGCCGCCATTCACGCCCGCGCCCTTACCGCCTCTGGCGCCGCGCCGACACGCAGACGTCTTCTCTTCGCCGAAACCCGTCGATGGTCTGTGGCTGGTGGATGTACGTACTCGTGGGATTAATAACTGGGGTCAGCAACGAACCACGCATGCCATAGAGAAATAGGAAGTCGATCAATTTAAGGCCCAGACCCTCCAGCCTTTATCGCGGTCTCAGCGCTTCCACCCAGGGCCGTTCTTCTACAAGCAGGAGGTATGGTAAAAGCACGCTTCTTCGAACCAAAAATGTATAATGAAAAACGGACAGGAATTATAATGCTTGTTTAAAGAAAAGCTGACTGACTTGGCTACAAATATAAACAAAGGGAATAACAGAACTCGGTGGCCTTTTCCAATTTTCGTTGTACTCGCCGTGAATTAATACACAACAAAATACATCTTTGTTTGTAAAAAAAATCACCTTCCCACGTTATTTCCAGATTTAAGGAATGAATACCGATTAAAACACTAAGATTCTGTTGTCTTTATTCTTATGCCTGAAGGGGTTCAGGAGTTAATTGGAGCGGAAAGGAGGAGCAGGCAGTCCGGAATGTATGCAAAAAAGAGCAACGTCCAGAAGGTGTCACTAATTAACCGAAGAGAAAGAATACGGCCATGAATTCCTACGTAAGCCTTTGAAAGCTACAGCGGTTGAAGAATTATGGGAATGCATGTTATTATTGACCCTCAAGACGTGTTATACGGAGTTACGCAAAATAAACGGGATAGTGAATAATACTGAGGAATCAACGAAGTGAAAACAAAGTTATTGGTATGTAAAGATGGCCAAGGTCCTCGAGGGATTTGCGCGGTTAAAAGCGGAAGGGGGGGGGCAATATGTATTTTTACCAAATCAGAGATTCTTTGAGCCCAAAAATAGAATGTGTTTGTGGTCACTCAGCGGGCAAGAGCAAGGAAAACTTGGGGGAAATCAGATTAGCTGGGGGTCGGCATCGTTCCGCGTCCTTCATCCGTTCCTTCCTTCCTTGGCCCGACTTTTACCTTTTTTTGTATTCTGAAGTTCTTAACAGTACCTTAATTGTGAAACTTCTAATGTAGAAATCACTCGCCTACGTAATTACAGAGACTGTAACGTTAGAAACGAATCGCGCATTTGCAATTCCCTGCATTTTAATTCATAAAGCAAAAACAATAATTTGATGGGTATGCAAGCATGTGGATTATACGGATGGTAATGACTAAACTAGTCTGTCATTCGCAAAGTCGCTGGAGCGATTTTCGTGACATGCATTGTGCGAAAACGAAAGTGCACCGCGCACTGTGCGACTTGTTGATTTTTGCACTGTGCAATAGGCTTTTCGGGATGTCGTTCGCAGCCCGAAAAACAGTATAGGCTATCTTAAAAAGTGGTGTCCAAGATGACATAAACAATTTTGTTGCGTAACTGAAAATTTGTTCAGTTATCGGCATTTTACCCCCTTAAAATGCGGCAAATCTTGGAGCCTTTTTTGTTGATTTTTAACGCCAAACCCGTCGGCATGATGGATGGCGCATTGAGTTGTCTCAGTCTACCTTACTTCTTTCTCTTCTTTCGCCTGTCAGGAAGGAGAAGGGATCTCGTTTAAGGCTCTAATGGCATTCTCTGGGTTCCTCCCCCCCCCCCCCTTCTCGGCTCAAAAAAATCAAGCCAAACAAGCCTGGTCATGAAATCCGAACCGGACCTTAAAAAATGGGCAATCTGGGGACAATAAAAACAAAATTTAAATTTTCTTGTTGCTGTGGCAAACTTCGTAAATACGGAGTGTCTAAAAATTTCACATTTTGTCAAAATTGTTAACTCATTGAAAAACAATATAAAACAAACGATTAAGCAGGTATAAGCAGGTTGGTTACACAGCATCAAATACCTTTGTAAAATATTTGGCGTAAAAAGAAAAAAATGAGGAGAAGTGGAGCATTCGAAGTGCTTGTAAAATTGTTTGGACACTGATAAGAAGACACCTTTTGGCAAAATTGGATTCGCTCTTATCGCGCCGCCTTTCTGGCGCTAACCAAGGGAATGATCAAAATATATTAAGGGCACTGGTGTGTGACTGCAGGACATATTGCAAACCTGATCGCTTGACCATTGGCTTTTCTTAGAGTTCAAGAACCGAGGAATTGATGCTTTGGAATCAGACAATACTAACGGCAGTAAATCCAGCGCTTTCTAGCCATTTTATCGTTCCATTTGTCTTTAAAACCGCCTTAAATCCCAAGAGATTTGAAGTCAAAAAGGGTCAAACAAGGTCAAACTCAGGTGAACAAGCCGTAAAAAGCGCGCCACAGGCATTCATAAATTTAACAGCTTGGCGGCCGAAACAATTGTGGCACATTCAGCACCGGCCGAACCCCATTCCTCACGACTTCCGAGAGGAATCGAATAAATTTAACCTCTTTAATTAATCGAAGGTGTATTTAGAATGCGTAAAATCCAAAAAGACGTCAGAATGACTCCATTTTCTCACCTAAAAGTATCTACTGGCACTGTCATTTTTATGCATGATCTCACAATCAACGCGGGAAGGAAATCAGGTTTTCAACCAGGCATGTAAAAACTGATCCACAGAGTTAAAATGCGCGGGGTCGGGGTTACAAAGCAGAGACACGACCTACACTCCCCATATTCAAAGAAACGAAGATTTTGGGATTTCTGGAGTCGCGTGCGTGAAACTCCCAGCGGGACATGGGCCGTCGGAAATCGTGGCCGTACAAGTCGGGTCGGCCGAGGATCCGGCCGGACTCGGGAGGAGACGGGTTTAGGCCTTTAACCAATACTACTCCTCAGGGCGTCTGCATTGACTTCAATATGATTTTAAAACCATTAAAACAAGCAAAATACGAATACCCACAAACACCTCAATCCGTATCACCAACCACCCCACATTTTGCTTGAAGGCCTTTGGAATGCCTGGCCGTCCCTTCGAAACGCAATCGGCCCTCAGGGCAGCAATCGAGACGAACCTTCTCTGATGACGAGGGGGTGGCCAAGAGTTTCTCTATCTCACACCACTGAGAGCTCAGCCGAAAATTCCTCATAAATACTCTGCCTGGAGGTGAGACTTGTTTTTCAAATCCAAAAGACTCTTTAAAATTATAATTTATTGGTAATATAGTTATCGTACAAGTTAATGTCGGTCATCCTACCCGAAGACGGGTGCTTTCCATCCGCCGAATCCTTCTTCTAAATCCTGTGCAATTGCAATCAGGAGGGCCTCGGACCCATTGCTTCCGACCACCTGAACCCCAACTGGCAATCCATTCGAGTTTAGCCCCATCGGACAAGCTACAACAGGAAGTCCTAAGGCACTCCACAAAGCTGTATAAGCAAAATCGAATGGACAAAGCACAGCCTCGTTATGAAAGTAAGCTGGGCGCGGGAATCCAGGGAAAACCAGGATTCCATCAGTCCCTAACAGACTCGCAACTTCCCTTCGAAGTTGATCTCTCTTGCTGTTCACCTTAAATTCTTATCCGCATAATAACACCTCGTGAATAGGGGGGTTTTTTTTAACTCACAAAGTCTAGTTGATCTTTCGACTTCATCTGGTGATCGTCAACAAACGCCGTGGCCAGTGAAATAAAGGTGTTTTTTGATCGGCCAAGGAAATAACGGACCATCTCTTTCAGAGGATTCATGCCTGAATTAACCTAGAATAATTTCAATAGCTATTCCGTCGTGGGCACCTTGTTAGCCAAGACGTCGGCAAATCTCTCGTTGTCAGCATGCATTCGTGTCATCCACAGATCTATAGCATGATGGGCGATAGGGAAGTCGACATTGTAAGCCGAAAGGTCATATTTTTTCTCAAAATATTTTACCGCCTTCTTCACAGCACGTGAACAATCAGGATGAATAGGAGAAGTAATCAAGGAATCAAGATCTTTCATAAAAAAGACGCGAGTCCTTGCCAGTGGTACAGGACGATCCAATTGGAGACGTGCACTGATTTCGGGGCCGACCATAATCTAATAATTTTTTCAAATGTACCTGATAAATTACCTTGAACATCAAAGATAGATCGCGTGCATACCGACAAAGGGGACCAATTGAAAACATGTTAACGCGGTTCTCGGTTGTGGCACGTGGAATGTGACCGCTCGTTGGAATAAAACCGGAGCTGGGTTTGAGCCCGAAAACTCCGTTAAAGAACGCTGGGATCCGTACAGAGCCTCCAATATCCGAACCAATTCCGACTACGGATCCGGCAGCTCCGATCAGACATCCCTCTCCTCCAGAGCTTCCGCCGACTCCTCTTCTCAGGTCGTAAGGACTGTTGGTTTGGCCATAGATCCCATTATTACATTGCCACCAAAGACACGCTTCTGGGACATTCGTGACCGCTAAAGGAATGGCTCCAGCCTCTCTCAAAATGGAAACTATGGCGGCATCTTCCTCGCACGGAGGAGAGTCTGCCAAGGCGGGGATTCCGGCAGTAATCACCAGTCCTTGTACATACATACTGTCCTTAAGAGTAAACGGGACCCCAAGCAAAGGCTTCGTTGACGCCAAGTTCTAAACAACCTGTTCACATCTATCTACCCAAACTGAACCTTGTATTCATCCGAATTCGAATCAATCGTATCCAACCATTCATCCACTTGCTGTGCTTCCTTTAGGGCTTCATTGAAGTTGTCTTGAACAACCACATTGAGAAGAGGATTTATGGCTTGGATCCGTCGAATGTATACTTCTATCAACTGGTATGACGAGAGCTAAAAACTACCGTAACTCAGAAAAACCTTCTTGCCTCTTTTTTCCTTATCATGTCGGCGGCCTGGGAAGCAGAGATCAGAAGAAGTTGTTCAATGTCGTCTGGAGCTGGCCGGGGGATGGTTCTTCTCGGTTTAAACAAAAAATTATACAACCAAAAAAGGAGATGGACCACTTGGAAATAACAGTAAGACAAAACACCGAACAGGGGTTTCAACATTTTCTGAAACGGAACATCAATGCCATCAAATTTAATTCTCAAAAATATATTGTAGTGCACTACCTATTGGATCGTAAGTCTATAATCGAATGGGTATGTTTATTTACAATAATTTGAACATTTTCTCAAGCAAAGCCGCCTTCGTTTTATCGCTGAGCGACCGATATTCTTCCGATTTCTTTAAACGTTTCATCTCGTCGGTGGTTTTAAACTCGGACATGCAATGATGCTAAAAAAATATTGGTTTAAAAATAGAAGTAAAATCTTAAAAATTTGAACAAACATATACCTGTAACTGTGGGAAGCCGTACCGATCTGCATAGACAAGTTTCAACTCTGCTGAAATTTCCGTAGTCTTGATTAAAAACTTTTCACATTTTCTGATGACATAATCGATCTGGAAACGGTCAGCCAGTATCAAAATGTATTCTATGTTCTCTGCATTCAACTTCTTGTGTGACGGATAGACCACTTCAAGCAGTTCCTTGAATTCATCATACTTTAGGTCATGAAGTTCAATCTTTTCTTGATTCTTCTCCAAAAAATTTTGGTTGAACAACGAGTCAAACACTGGGGAGTATAACGATAGATACTGAAAAGCTTCATTAATCAAAAACGCGCTTACATCTTTATTTACGAACAAAGGCCGGCCTTCAACCAATAACACCATGTTAGTCAAATGGGTGGATGATGTAAAATCGAATTCCGGAAATTCCCGAACCCCCATACAATTTCTAATGTCTATAAGAGCTTCCAACTCGATAACTCCATCCTGTATAAAACCATTCTTCGGATCTCTGACTGTATTCCATTCCAAGAACGCCGGGAATCCCCAATTATTCGAATTCAAACTAAATTTGTTTGTAAACTAGAAAGAGTCTATCCTCAAATCATGGACTCACCTTCTTTGTATAACAATTTGTGTCCGCTTTCTTGGAAAGCAATCGTATGTCTATGACTGCATCACATGACCATAGAGTAGACTGACTTTCCGGATTACAATCCACATACACGCTGAAATGATTGGTGTTGCTGGTTCGCGCTGAACACTCCAACTTGGCCGACAAACGCCTTAAAGTTATGCTTTATTATAAGCATCCGTTACCTACCATGGGAATCCACCAAAATAATAAAAAGGAGAACTTGCTTTTTGTTTTGAACAGCAACTCTCAGGAATACTCAAAAGGATCCGACCGAGATGTCTCTCTTCTAAATCGAAAGTAATATAACTTTTAAAACTTACTGTCAGCAGTAGAATTAACACTATCGTTTATAGAACCTAACAAACAGCCGTTATCCCCTAAAATTAGGTCCTGGCTACGGGACGTATTATTTACTAAAACACTTCTATTAAACTCTAATACTGAACTTACCTTGTTCTATCATCTATATTGATTGAACTATACTTTTAACTTTAAAATGTGTTCTTTTGTTTAAGAAGTGAGGTAGTGGAATAGAACCGCTCTCTCCGGACGTAAAAGTTTATTGCCTGCCTCTACCCCCGTTTATACCGCGGATCAGACTCATCCATTTTCCACAAGTTGATTAACGTCTCCAAGGAACAACTTCTTGGTACTCACAAAAGGTCTCTCGACGATCAGAAAAACGCACACCCGCGGGTGCACCCGGCAATAATTTCGATAAAAATTGCAAGAGGAAGAGTTGACACAAATTTTCATGAGACATCTCTTTCTCTTACAGTACTCGATCAGGGGTGGTCGGCGGGCCGGGCCGGCCCGGCCCGGGCCGGCCCGGCCCGGCCCGAACGGGCCGGCCGGCCTCGAAAATGGAAATTGACAAACGGGCCGGGCCCGTCACGGGCCGGGCCGGGCCGGGCCGCGGGCCTGGGGTTTTTCCGGCCCGGCCCGGCCCGTCTAAAATACAATGCCAAACCGTTGGCATTCATTGTTTTCGCGCCGGGAAAATTAATTGATGTTGTTATAGTTGCTGTTTCTCAAGTTCTAACACGTTTACAAGTCTATAGTTCCATTATAGAACCACAAAACTATCACATTGATCCTTTACTAGCTAGATCAACGCCTTTTTTGCCTCAGTTTAGATCCCGAGCCTGGGCGCAGTTCGCAGAACCCTCTATAGACGGGCCTGCACGGGCCGGGCCGGGCCGGGCCAGGCCCGTCACGGGCCGGGCCGGGCCGGGCCTGGAAAAAGACTAGACGGGCCGGGCCGGGCCGGTGATTAGACGGGCCGGGCCGCGGGCCGAAAATCGGAAAAATAGGGTCCGCTGACCACCCCTGTACTCGATAGAGTTGTTAGGTCTTCAACAAAAATGGCAGTCACATTGTCAAATTTTCGTCATGTCAAATTGAGTTTGTCATTTTTATCGTCAAATTGACCTTTTTTGGAATGCCGGAGAAATTAAAATTTCTGGAAAATAAATTGTTCCTTCTTGTCAAAACGACAATCTTTCCAAGAGCCGCCCTAACAACTGGCTACACGAAAATTCAAACAGCTTAGAAACATAGCGTCTTGACCAAAATCTTCCCTAGTGTCAAGAAATGTATTTCTGTAGGCTATGGAAAGGTTCGGGAATATCCGGAAGGCATCAAAAAAATTCACAAATTTGCAAAATTTTAAATTTTCAATAGATTCCGCTCATTTTCATTGCAAGTTATGACAGTAGAATCTCTTGCGATTCCAATAGGCTATTGGTGCACACGCTGGAATATATTCATAAATTTGCGTATTTTTTTTATTTTTGCACGTTTGCCCGAATAATGCAAAACTTTGTGAAATACGAACATTTATTACATACTCGTATAATTATAATTTATATGTCTTCGATTACATGAAAAGTACCAGAATCGGAGAGAATAGGCTTCCGCTGCGGCATCGAAAATATCATGTCACAACACTGAAGAATTAACAAAAAGTTAAAAGATACAACGATAAACAAGATGTCCATAACCAGTGCGAAGGATACCCAATTGACAAGCGTTCCCCATTTCATTTCTTTGATCAACACAAAAAGAATCAACGAGAATATTGTCAAGGTAACCCTAAATAATAAGTCATTATTATGCGTTCTTACCCATAAATAAAACTAACTACCAGGAATAGCACCTTCAGGACAAGAAATGGTGTCAGCAGGTATAAAATGTTTCTCCAGATTCCAAATAACATTAAACTGGTCGATAAAATTTGGAGTAATGACCAGGAATCGAGCAAAGTCCTTCCAAAACAAATCATGTTCTGAGCAAAATATTCTAATTGTATTGGGAACGAATCCTTTTTATCTTTGGGTAACGAGATTGGAGACATGTCTGACGTAGACATTGTGTAATTCGTCTGAAAAGTATTGCTTCATTGGGAGTTGCCTACATTGCAATCGCTACAATTATTCAAAGTTACTATCGCAGCGGGTTCTGTAGTCGATTCAATATTTGTTTCTTCCCTTTCATAGCCCAGGATTGTCAAAGGTTTTATTGACGCGGTAGTTGCTGGTAGTCCTCTGCTGCCAGGTCTTTTCTTGCGCCGTTTTCTTTGGTTTAGGGTATATTTGTTTCTTGTAGTTTTGGTTTTGATCTCGATAACGTTATCGATTCCTAACAAAGTCTCCATTTTCACATCAATCTCCATATTTGGGTACTTGAAGATTTCTCTTCTGTTCATTCTGGGACTAAAACTATAGAAAATTTCTGATTACTATTATATTTCATTACCGCGGAACGTCATCAACGATTATCGTTGACACACCAAAGCTATCCCGGGTCTGTATCTGAGATAAGAAACACGTATAATCGAACTCGTAATATTCTAAACGATTGTAATTGTTATAAAGAATTTGTCCTTATACAGTACGCATATCACAGTTAACCGACCTTTAATTAGCCACGTTATTAACAGGATTGACTCCACCATAATAACCAATGTGATGATGAGCTTGGACTTCTTGGCCTGAATTGCCATCCCTCGACGTGATTTAATGCAATTCGGGAAATCTTTTCGGATATTTAAGAGAATTAATCCCTAAAATAGAACGAACGTCACATGATAATCCCGAAAGCCGATTGCATATCGTACTTCAACAATTTGTTTGTTTTAGGAAAACCTTAAAGAAATTGCAATTAAAAATATAGACTTGGCAAATTACTGGAGAATATTCTGAGGCCGCCCCATTCTTTACTCTGAAAGGTCACAAGGAGTAAAATGCCGATAGCGTGGTGAGAAACTCCTTTCTCTTCCGATGAAATCGACCAAACTTCCCCATGAAAGCAAACAGCAAGTCAAGAAGAGGGATTTTCCAATATATACGACAACATACTATTTATATATCTGTTTCCGGTGCCCCTGCTAAAGAAAAATAAATATTAGTTTACTTAATAAGGTAAATCAGAAAAAAACAATGCGAACATTAAATTAGAAGATTAATAGACCTAGTATAGGTAGCTTGGCATCTTGATCTTCATGAAAAGACGTGTCACAGAATATCCCACGGCAACCAGACCTATTCCAACACCCAGCATAATCAGTCTGTTCTTCTTACCCATCTGAGAGCTGTTCGCTTTGTCAAGCACAATGAAACCAATTGCTAAAAAGAGACTTAAAAGTAAATGTGAATAATTTCTCATAGTATAAAAAACCGAACATACCCGTCAGACTAAACATAAAGCTCGCCACAAGCCCTTCCATGATATACTGTCCATTGATTCGGTACGGCATGATAGCTTGAGGTCTTTGTATTCCTCTTTCATCGACGGTAGTCCCTAAAACAAAGTCAATCCACTTAATAGATAACCTTACCGATACTCGGCGGCTCGTTGATAATGTCATACACAATACCCGCTGTAACTAAAAAATACACCACAATACTGACGAACAACGTCTGGTTGGCCGAGGGCAGCTATAACAAGGATAATTCAAAACTTGTTGTTATACCGACCTTTGCCCATCTTGGAGCACTAATATTCAACTTTGGTGGATCGATGGCAGCAAAGACAGTTGATGACAAGATTGTCTCCATTTGTCCAACAGAACAAAAAAAGGGTAAACGTTCCGCAGATTGACAACCACCCCAAAAAAATAAGCCTTTGGAAAATGAAAGGGGCGCGACCTGCGGAGGCCATTTTATACTATGAAAAGTTGGCTAGGCCCAAGGGTGGCCACCGCGTTTTTTGCACGAAGGACGGAAGGTCCGCTAAACCAAAAGGTCCGCTGTCCGGAAAGTCCGCTGCCGGAAAGGTAAGTCATTTTTTCTCCGATTTTAGTCTATTCGGGCAAGCCGTGCCTGTCGAGTTTCCATGAAGCCGCAAACGCCACAGGAATGTGACGAAATGTCACCGATAGTATCGTCGGAGGACACGGAAATAATATTGGAAATTTTTATATAAAATTTTCCAGGGTGGTTGCGTGCATCCACTCTTCTTTTCTTGAAGACGGGCATTATTTGTACTGATCCCAAATGGAACAACTGGACACAGCTCGTCAACACGTAGAGGTCGGACGGTATCAGTTGGCTTTCAATGCCTACAAGACATCTTTAATTGCCTTGAAAGAAGAGTTAAAGCAGGACTCAGATGGAGAAAGAACTAAACAGTTGATTGAAGTAGGTCTAGCATTTGTGATATTGCTGAGTTTTGTTTTTAGCTAGTCCGGATAGTGGAAAAGGAATATGAAACACTTCAAATGCTGATTAATGAATCTAAGAACATTCCTATGTTGCCCCAGACTCCAGAAACCCCTTCAGATCCTATGGTGTGGGCGACACCAAAGCCGAACAAGATAACGATGTCCCGCATTACTAAACCTCCAGTTCCAACACAAAAGAAAGCAACCGGTACAAGGTCTGCCCCTCGAAAAACCTATGGGTCCACTTCATCCGCTCCAAAATCTATCAACGACACTCCAAAGGCGGGTATTCGACGAATAAACTCCCAACCTCGGTTGGCTGATGTATCCTACAATTCTGTGCTTACCGAGAATAAGGATAGCGATGTAGAGAATGGAGAGAAAGTATTCGATTCTAGCATGTACGATCGAGAGTTGGTACAGTTGGTTGAGAGAAGTGTTATCCAAAGAAATCCGAATGTTACTTGGAATGATATCTCCGGTCTCGAAAACACGAAGAAAACACTAACGGAAGCCGCTTTATTGCCTCAGATATTTCCTACATACTTCAAGGTAAATACATACAATTATTTATTTGATGTTTTAGGGAATCCGCCGTCCATGGAAAGGAGTTTGTCTGTTTGGACCTCCGGGAACAGGAAAGACTATGTTGGCAAAAGCTGTGGCCACCGAATGTAAATCCACTTTCTTTGCCGTGTCGGCTTCTACTTTCGCGTCAAAATGGCGCGGAGATGGCGAGAAACTTGTACGATTGCTATTTGAGATGGTATGTGTACTAATGGGTGACTATACGTATGGGTTGGGCTTTTACGAGTCAGAACGTACGAAGTAGCCTTTACGGGTTAGAACGTACGGAGTCGGGGCGCCTACGGGAAAAGCTAAATACCGGGGTTCCGGGTCCCGGGGGAATAAATAATTATAAAAATATCTTATAAAATACTAGAAATGGTTGAAAAGAAGGTAGTTCCGCACGCTGAATCCGAAAATAATTGTGACCGTTTTTGTCCCCAGGCCGGTTTTGAAACTAAAGACGGGTTTGTCCTTTGAACGTTCTTGTCTTCAGACCGATTTTTTCCCCAAGTCGATTGTGGCTGGGCACATTGCGCATCGCTCTTCGTTGATCGTGCTTATCTCCTGGGGCTGCCTGCTCTTCCACGTTGGCTCGAGAATTTTAAAAGAAAAAAGCAGACTGAATGCGCCTTACTTTTTTCCATCCATAGTTGCAATACCATTTTTCACAAGTATCTCTCCAAAAAGTAGAATTTTCTCAAAAGTTTTCTTTTCGGATTTCTTATTTGTAAATATGAGTAAATAACAGATTTTATAAGAAAAGCAAAGTGGGTTCCGCTTTTTTAACTTATAGGAAAAAATTCAAAAAGTCCCATTTTTACTCTACTCCGTAAAAGAAAAATGTAAAAATCAAAAAATGGATAACATTTTCGAAATTAAGAGCAGTAAATTTCTTCAGATGATACTGCTAAGCTTATTTTGTCTTTTTTCCGGTTCGGGAAAGAAGTTTCACTATTCCGTTATTCCGGAAGTGTATAAAAGTGAGGACAAAAACGTCACAAACGCCAAAAATCACAGTAATTTTCGCCGTATTCTTTTCCCCGTATGTTCAGCCGCGTAAGGGCTCACCTCGTACGGGCATGTTTCCTTATAATGCAGATTGATACGATATCATTAGGCTCGTTTCCATGCTCCCTCAACAATTTTCATCGATGAATTGGACACGCTTTGTTCAAAAAGAGGTTCCGATAGTGAACACGAAGCCTCCAAACGTATGAAGGGAGAGCTTCTCGTTCAAATCGATGGTAAGTTGTTGTCAATTAAATTGGTTGTATCCGAAGAGAGCATCTGGGGAAGAGTGAACGTTGAGGAAAAAAGATATGGCAAGGGGAGGCCAAGACGGATTTTGAACAAAATTGCTACCAAAAGAAAACTTTATAATTTATCTTCAACATTGATTTTTTTGAGGTATAGCCAAAATTTCTTTGTTAAAAAACGCACCTTCGGGTCCCGTTTTATTTATATTATAATTTAAAAAATTCGTTTTGATCCCATCTTACCATGTCATTTTTTTTGGCAAACCAAAAAAATAATTCTTAACAAAACGGCCTTGGTGCCCTCTGCGCCTAGATGCCCTCTTCGTTAGGTGCCTTCTTCGGGCCAAATCAATTGAATTTATTTATTACTTAGGTATGGGTGACGAAGATGATCGTTCAGTGCTTTTGTTGGCTGCAACTAATTGTCCGTGGGAATTAGATGAGGCTTTCAGAAGACGACTGGAGAAGAGGATATATGTTGGATTACCAGATAAGGCTACTCGATTAATACTTTTGAAGAATTGTCTGTGCAATGTCAAATTGGGGGAAGATGTGAAATTGGATGAGTTGGCAGCGAAGACTGAAGGGTATTCTGGAGCTGATATTACCAATCTTTGCCGAGATGCTGCTCTCCAACCGATGAGGGAATGTCTGGATAACCTTGAGGATTATAAAGCTGCAGGAGAACAGTTATCTGCCAGTTTTTTGGAGGAAAAGCCAATTAAAATGTCCCATTTTAACAGCGCTATGAAGCGGGTAAAGTCGTCTTGTAGTCCGGATACTATCAAGAAGTACAAAGAATGGGAGAGATTGTTTGGAGCTGTCTAATTTCACTCAATTTAAATTACATGTACGAATAAATAGATTTATCTGTGGATTCCTGTGGATTTTTTCAGAAAGTATTCTTTCTTTGTACTGTGCCTATAGCTTGTCTTCATTATGATTTTGTAAAGATGGAGGCTTCCACTTCGTCTAAGCCATCGATTCCTTCACACATCCCTACTGTAACTGGACTGACTTCTTCAAAATTAATTGTAAATAGAAAACAGCAAGGTAATCCTGTCTTAAAATACGTTCGCGCAGTTCCTTATGAATGGTCTAGTGAGATTCGGCCGGATTATTTGTGCGGGATGTGTGGGATACTGTATCTGACTCTGAAATGGCATAAATTACATCCATCTTATCTCGAAACTAGGCTCAATGATCTCACCGTATATGACTTAAAGGTAAGTTTTCTTCATATATTTACCTCATAAGTTGTAGATTCTACTTGTGTTGAATAATGTTGAAGATCCATCGTATCTGCTGAAAGATCTCAACATATTATGTTATCGATCCCATTGGACAATGGTCGTTGCTCAGTCGGTAGAAGAAGCCGGAGAATATATAGAGAACCTAAAGCTGAGCGAGAGGAGGAATCCCGCAGACACAATCAGAACCATTAATGAATATAAACTCAAACGGAAGAATGACGGAAAACCTTTGACCGTGAAGGAGAAGCACAGACAGGTAAATTTATGTCAGTTTTAAGGCATTTATGGCCTTTTTTCTGCCGTTATTGCTTTAGAATTACGAATCGGCTGTTAAATTCCTAAGTTCCATCAAAGGAATTACTGTGTCCGATGCAAAACGACTCCTGGGTTCCTTCGGTTCCATCCAGACGATCTCCAAGTGTTCGGTAGATCAGATAAATCTCTGTCCCGGACTCGGCCCTACCAAATCTCAACGGCTGTACGAGTTCTTCAGATTATCACTTATAAATATCAAATCCAAATAAATAGTGCTTGTGAAATGTGAAAATTATTGATTAAGGTTTTGTTTACCGTTAAATATTTCTCTTTGTCGTGATTTTTATCTTTACTTTTAAGATGTCAACCGTTCCAGAGAATGCAAACGAGAGCTGTCCTGGGACGGAGAGTCAGAATGCAGGGAAAGTCGGAGCTTGTGCTGGATGTCCCAATCAGAAGTTTTGCGCTTCAGGGGAGAAACCAGTAGATCCAGATGTTGAGTTCATTCGACAGAGACTTTCAGAAGTTAAGAACAAGGTAACTTATTTCCAAAAATTCACTAGTGAATAGCATGTCCATTATGGGCCGATTTCTGAAATCCTTGCAAATATCCTCAACAACATTGTGATGATTTCGAGTGGCCCGCCCTATACTACTACTTAAGAAAAAAGTACATCATAAAAAGTACATAAAAATCATAAAAATGGATGTCATTTATGAAATCAGCACCATTTAAAATCCCCCCATAATCGAGTATTTCTATAAAAAATTTTAAAAATTACTTTTTAACAGAAAATACAGTTTTTACAAAACTACAGGGGTGTTGAGGATATTTTAAAGGACTTCAGAAATCTGCGCATTATGGTACCTGCCCGTAATGGGCCGTTGCCGTGAATAGTTTCCTCAAGGCTTTTTGGTACACATTTTAGATATTGATCCTCTCTGGAAAAGGAGGTGTTGGGAAAAGTTCGGTTACCTCTAATTTGGCATTGGCTCTTGCTGCAGATCCTAACGTCCAAGTTGGAGTTCTGGATGTGGATATTTGTGGCCCTTCCCAGGCCCGTCTCTTTAATGTCGAGGACGAAACCGTACATGATAGCGCCTCCGGTTGGTCTCCCGTGTCTGTAAAAGACAATTTGGTGATAATGTCGATAGCTTTTCTTCTTGAGAGTCGATCCAATGCCGTCGTTTGGAGGGGTCCACGTAAGAATGCAATGATCAAGAAGTTCCTCAAAGACGTTGATTGGGGACAGCTCGACTATCTCCTCATTGACACACCGCCGGGAACTTCTGACGAACACATTTCTATTGTTCAGTTGTTGCTGGAAGCGTCGACTGTAAATGGCGCCTTAGTGGTTACAACTCCTCAGGAAGTGTCTCTTTTAGATGTTCGAAAGGAAGTAAGTACTATGAATTGGTATGAATAAATAATCTAATTAGTTACGGTATTGATATGTATATTTAGATAAATTTCTGCCAGAAAACCAAACTTCCTGTCCTCGGTGTAGTGGAGAACATGAGTTCGTTTGTATGTCCTTGCTGCCAACATGAGACCGCTCTCTTTCCGCCAACAAGCGGTGGTGCTCAACAAATGGCTAAGGAATTGGATCTGGAACTCTTGGCCAAACTCCCGCAAGATCCTAGACTGGCCTCGACCCTGGATGTTGGGGAGGATTTCTTGGAGAAATACCCAGACTCGGCTGTGGCCAAAGCTTTTATTGGGTTGGCCAAAAAGTTAAAGCAGATCTGCGGGAATTGAACAGTTTCAGGCCGGAAGTCTGTTTTCATTGTTGATCGACTTGAATTAAACTTTTATGAATAGTTTTGGATGACTTTGTTTCAAGTGTTTTGTCGGAGAGTATTGAAACATTATGTGATGACATACAATTTATTGATGTAGATGAGTCAGCGAGTAGTTGTAACGGGCCTTGGTACGGTTTCACCGTATGGAGTCGGGGTAAGGCGGTTGTGGGATGGTATAAGGCAAAATAAATCGGGTCTGAAGTACGATCAGACATTGGGAGTGGTCGTCGGTTCAGTGCCTCGAGGGGAGGACGAAGGGAATTTTAATGTAAACGAATTTACTGTGCGGGACCAGAGGGAGATGTCTATCCCAACATTGTTAACCCTAAAAGGTGTCGAGGAAGCTCTCCAGAACGCCGATCTTCATCAAGTTGACAGAGAATTTCATCGAGACACAGCTGTGAATATAGGCATGTATTTAATTATGTTGCTGATCTCTTATTTGCTTTTGTTTAGGAATGGGAATTGCCGATTTGGAAGAGATTCATAAGACAGGAACGTTAATAGAGAACGGGAAGTCACGACAGGTGGGACCATTCTTCGTACCTAAGATCTTGACCAATATCCCCGGAGGTTATGTGGCATTAAAGCAAGCGGTCATCCTGAACTAAAATCTTGTTTAGGTATGGATTTAAAGGCGGGAACAGCTCATCGACCACAGCCTGTGCCACCGGACTTACCTGTATAGCCGAGTCTTTTGCTCAGATTCAGGCAGGAAGAGTTAGAAGAGCCGTCGCAGGATCCGTTGAGAGTTGCCTCAATCAAATATCGGTGGTGGGATTTCAGAGAATGAGGGCATTGGCTTCAAAAACAGACACTTTAGATGACACACATTGTAAGGACTTCAGAAATAATTTTTTACTTATTTTTCTGCCTATATATTTGCTGATATAGAACATTCTTACGGCTTCCTGCCCCCTTTTCATTTGTTCGCTGACCGGCCGGGGGGGGGATTACCCTCACCCTACGCCCTTGTATTTACCTACAAACAAATTTTTTTACAAAAAATTTTTAAGGCAATTTTAGGCCACCTTCATTTGGGACAGATTCCATTGACGGGCGCACACTTGCGGGCAACAGAAGGAAAGAAACACGTTAATTCTGTTGGAAATTTTGGAAATCATCTTAACCGGGGAAACAAGTTCCCTATGTTTTTTCCGCGGTAGGTGAGCCTGGATAACCGATCGCGTGTTCATCGTGGCACATTCGTTCGGTATGGTGGCAGCATTAACCTGACGAAGTGCCACTGTTTCTCACCTACTGGCCGTCTTCTAGCTTGCATATGAGCGAAAAAAGGCTGCCTGTAAACGTCGGCTAATTTCCAAAAATTCCAACATAATCAGGGTGTTTCTTACTTCCTGTTTCCCGCAGGTGTCGTCTGCCCGCAAGTGTCGTGACGCCATTTCGTTTGGGTCAGATCGGGTATCGGACCAATATTTATAACTAATATTGCAAAATTATTTGACTAGTTGGCCAAAGCTGGCATGACAGCCAAAAAGTTTTTTTTTCGTTTCGCTAGCCAAAAACCAGTCCATCCCAACCACGTTAGTCCAAAGTAAAAAGTTTACAAAAAAAAGGGAGGGGAGGAGGAGTCGACAGAAAGGCAGAAATTTTTTCAAAGAGAGAAATTGCGCAACGTTGTGTAAGATTGCACAACTTTTAACTTTGGGCTAAATCCGGGGGGTTGGGATGGAATTTATAAGTAACGTGTCATATATGTATCGACATCTAATTTTTATTTGATATAGACTCAGTATCGAGACCTTTTGATACCAATCGAAATGGGTTTCTTTTATCCGAAGGCGCAGGGATTGTTGTATTGGAACGATTGGACGATGCCAAAGCAAGGGGTGCCAAAATTTACGCTGAAATATTGGGTTACGGTAAGAATTTCTAGTGCGATTATATCAGTGGTTTAAGGTATTTCCAACGATGCATATCATCTAACTTCTCCACATCCAGATGGATTGGCTTCCGAATGGAGTATTAGGAGATGTCTCACCGATTCTGGACTATCCCCCGATGATGTTCAATATGTGAATGCACATGCCACCTCAACCAAAGTTGGTGACAAAGCCGAGGCCATCTCCATTGCTCGTCTCTTCGGTTCAAATGTGGCCTTATCATCCCTGAAAGGTCATCTTGGACATTGTGTTTCTGCTGCCGGATCAATCGAAACTATTGCTTCTATTACGGCATTATGCAACGGGAAGATCCCTCCCACTTTGAATCTCCAAAGCACCGATATTGAAGAAGACATTGATTTGGTTCAAGGGGATTGGAGAGATTGGCCTAAATGCAGTCGAAGAGTCGTAGTCAAGAATTCTTTTGGATTTGGAGGTGCTTTTGTGTCATTGGCGTTTGCCCAAATATAAGTTTTTGTTGATTCTAGGGTATGAATTAAAAGTTATGTTTATTGTGTGCTTCACTGAACTGGGATCTAGCTCTTTTTTTGAGTCAGATTACTCCTTTAGCCGTCGATCTTTTGTCGCGCTCATCCATCGGAAACTGGAATCAGGAAAGAAAAGAAAGGAATTTCACACTCTCGACTCCATCCGACGTTCCGTTCTTTTTTTTGGTTCAATTTTATAATCGCGGATACTGTTTTTGTTACGTTCATTAATCGAATCCCCTATTGTTATTAATATTGTTCCCACTTATTAGTCATTCTGAAAATCGATTTGATCGACTTATCGCCTCTGGCCGTCTTTCCCAAACTAGCTGAAACCATTCTGTTGTCAGGCGCTATGTTAACTCATCACTTTTCCAAATCCTTTCCGGATGCTGTCCGTAACCTCACGTACTTTTCGGTGCCCCCGGGCCAATTAGCGTTTAATGTTTCAAACCGGGTCTCAATTTGATCCGGCTGTCCGAGCGATTGGAAATGCCACAAAGACAATTAATTTATAACTTTAAAGTGCAACAGAAAGAAGCCGATGACGTTTCGTTGGGGCTTTAAATTACTCTTCGCCCAGACAACTGACCTCCCCCCCCCTTCTCCTCTTTAAACTGGAGCCCCTCCAAACACTTCTCGCACCTTATTTATGCCATTTGATGATCAAGTTGTTCATCTTCATCCACACAAGGGGTTTCGCGCCCAACTATTGACTCCTGCCTCAGGGCAAATACAGAAAAAAAGAGTCATTAAGAGTGTGGAGGATATTTTGATTCAAACTTTTTAAACAAAAGCTTAGATTTAAGATTTTTTTACGAAAAACGAGATGCAGTGGAACCTCAAATTTAATACAGGGCCACTCGCAACCTCCTTCCTGTTTTAGTCAATGGCTCAGTCATTACTGAATAAACTCTTCCAAAATTTTGGAACTTTAAAGTTGAGACCTGCCATTCTTGCGTTACCAAATTTGTAGATTTAAGATCAACGATGCACCTTACAGTGGCTTCCGAAATTTTTGAAAAAAAATTTGTCCCCGAAACCTGTGAAACTTGGACAATTTTTGGAATGATTTTCAGTTGCCTTCCTCGGACCTTACCTTTTGCTTTTTTTGCCGGAAATAGAGAGGTAAATTCCTGAAAAATTGCGGATCGTGACCATTTGCAACATCTAAGCAATCCAAAACTTATTTGTTTAACGGGATTCGGTAACAATTTGTTTTTCCAAAATGTCGGAGATTACTGTAAATCACCTTAAAGTCTTCAAATTGTGCAATGTAAAAATGGCGGGTCTCAATTTTAATACTCCAAAATTTTGGAAGGATTAATTCAGCATTGATTGAGAGAGACATTGACCAAAAGGAGGGGAATTTTGAGTGGCCACCCAGTATTAATTAGCTGTTTTGGATGTGAAAATCATCATCTTTTATCCGCCTCATTGCGCAATCTCACTTATTTTTGCGGAGCTCACCCTTAATCCTGTTGCCTGCCCTATGGGATTACCTTCTTCCCGCCTGCCAATCGACCATTAATTCTCAATGCGAACACTTTTGAACGTCGCCGGAAGCGTTTTCCCGTTAATAAATCGTTTGTTTCATCGACCGTGCAAGGACGACTGCGTACAAAAGTCGAACTTCCGGCGGGATGCCCTTAGGGCGGACGGAGAGTCCATAAAATTATTCCGTCGCTCTGGTTTCTTTAAACATCCTAACCACTTTACACAAAGGACGGCTCTTTTTTGTTCCCATCAGAGCTTTGTAAAGCGTTTGCATTATTGTCAGTGGATGTTTACAACCCTTTAATATTACTGTTTAAGGGCCGCCCTTTTTAGGGAGGATTATTTGGTCGTTATGGGCAGATTACCCTTCGCTTTGGAGTGATCCTCCCATCAGATCGCCCCTCTTTACACCCCATCCCTAATCTCATTATTTTTATTTTATTTATATTTTACAACTTGGGCCAAGTGTTTTAGGAATGTTTTATTTGAATGTCTGACCCCTGCTCCCGTCTTTCCTCAGTTGAGAATTGGAGATTTGGATGACGATTATCTCCGTAAATATATCTGAAGAGATCTTTTTTACGTTGAGAGCCGCATTTAGAAGGCGGGAGGGCTGCTTCCAAAAATGGAGTCACTTCAAGACTTACATTACTTTCAGCGAGCCTTTTAATTAAGAAAGATGTCGTTATTCCTAATGTCGTCATGTTGCTTTTGTGTATATAACGTTCCTTCTTTCATCCCATACTTTGAATCCATTTATATGAATTGATTTCAGATGCTCAAATTCCAAGTGAAAGCATCTGATCTGAGGTCCCGAGCTCATTCCCCCAAGTCCCTGAGGGGGAAATGTCCTCCGCCTCCACCACCTCATCGAACCTTGATCCATGTGAGGAATGGGCAGAGTCCAAGTTGTTCTTCTTCCATGTCAGGTTCAAGTCTCGACCTCTCGCCTTCCAGTTCGGGAGGTTCAAGCTTTAGAAAGTCGACTTCCTTGAGCTCTTTGAGTTCCATTGAGAGCTCGGATTCTACAGAAGGAGTAGGTTCTTTTATAAACCATCTTAAATTAGGAAACTAATCTAACGACGACTTTTCCAGGGATATGTTAAGGTTTTTACCGGAAATATCAAAGCCGATACTGATTACAAAACTGTCAAGATTACTCACAATACAAATGCCAAAACAATTATTGGGATGGTGATGGCCAAGTTCCGATTAACTTATAAGGACAGCAACCTCTTCAGACTCTGCATGGAAATCCAAACACCGCATCATGGAGAATACATCAAGACATTGCTTGAACTGGGTAAGAAATAATCAAGTTGTAATAGTCTTAAAAATTATTGGAAAATTAATTATGTTGTTTTAGATGGGAATGCCAAGGTTTTGGAGCTTCAGAAATGCCATCCTCAACATCTCTGCCGGTTTATTCTGATCATGGTGGACGACGCTGTCCTCGTTCGGGTCGATGATTCCTCCCTTTGTCCCCAGTCCAATTACAAATCCCTTCTTTTGGCCAGAAATACAACTTCCAGAGAAGTGACCCGTCTTCTTTTACAATTATGTCGAATTCCCGAGGCTATCGAGAAGGATTATCGGCTCTTTCTGAATCATAATGGAATCGAAGCCCCGATTCCAGAAGACGCTTTTGTCGCCGATATCTACATGGATTTACTCAGTAATCAGAAATTGGTGATAAAGAAGATATGAAGCAGGACTTTTAAATTCATGGTTTACAACAGTTTACTCACATTCCATTTGTAATAATCGCAAAGCATTTACTACCAAAGGTTTAATAAACACATGAATGTTTTTTGTGAACGAATCCTGCTTACCATATTTGGAAGTAAAGAAGATCAGCCGCGCCCCTGCTTTAAAATGTATAGGTTCGAAGACTGAAATTCTAACGGTTTTATTGCACAGGGTGTTCCTAGAATTATGGAAAAAACTATTCATTAATAACTTTGTGCTCGGTGGTCCAATCCGAAATTTTTTTGCATTCTACAGAAAAATCTCGGAGTTTTTAGAATCAAAAAAATGTTTTTCTTTTATCGGCGGTGGCTTCCGTAATCCGCGTTGGATTCGGCGGAGTGTATTTTTCACAAATGAGGCTGTAAATTGTTGTATGTGTAAAGAAAATGGGCGGGAAAGGATTCGGAAGATACAATATGACCTTTATTTAATATTTTTGTTATTTGGCGGAGACATTTTTTAACCTCGGCGGACGATTTGTCTTCGACTTTGGGGAGTCAAAATTGGCTAAACCCAAAACGTATGGTATTCCTGGTGGCATGGCGCCTAAATAAGACCTATTACGTCTTCGGCCCACCTAGAGAAGAAAAAAGGCAATTTGGCGGAGAAATCGGCGGAGAAAAAAATTATCCCATTTTTACAGCCTCATTTGTGAAAAACCCACTCCGCCGAATTCGAGGCAGATTACGGAAGTGTCCGCCGATAAAAGAAAAAAAATTTTTTTTGATTCTAAAAACTCCAAGGATTTTCTGCAAAACGCAAAAAAATTTTTTTCGGATTGAACCACCGAGTACAAAGTTATTAACGAATAGTTTTTTCCATAATTCTAGGAACACCCTGTAGATCAAAATTTACACGTTTTCTTTCAAACAACATTTCTAACAGTGTTACATCAAAATTAACACTTTTTTGAAAAATTTACACTCGCAATTCAAACTTTTTTCCTAATTAGTGTCTTTTTTGAAAATGAAATTACTAGGGATGAAATCAGGTTGCTCACATCTGGTAAGATGAAATCTGGGCTGTATGGACACTGGGCGCTGGGAAATTGAAAGCCGGGAACTTGGACGCAGTATTTTTTTTACCGCGCCCAATTTCCATGCAGCCGTAACCTGTGACTCTTGGTTGCTTGACTGACCTTTGTAACTTTGGCGAAGGCCCGGTGAAGTCTTCTTTATCGGCGGAGCCAATTTTGGGGATTTCTTTTACAAACAAATCAGATTGAAAAATTTTCTCTTCGTCAGATGAACATCTTTGGTTTATATTGCACTGCTTTCTCCGCCGGAGCAAGGGGAGTCAATCGGGCCTAAAAAATCTGTCATCTTTGATGAAACATCGAATCCGGCATACTTTTTTCCCCAATCGTCGCACTCCGCTACTCGGGACATAAGGTTCCGACGATTTTGTCGCCGACGTCGCGCGTCGAATCGCACGCAAATGTGTATGTCGCTTGTGCAAAAACGGGAATTCGCGATGCGCGGCGACGAACGCGAGAAATCAAAGGAAAACGCACAGTGCAAATTGTGGGAACCTTATGTCTCGAGTGGAAAACAAGGTTACAACAAAAAGTTTTAAAAAATGACGATCAAAATATTTAAATCGCGGCCCTCTAATGTCGGCCGGTCTCGGACAGTTTAAAGCCGAAAAAGACTGCGCGGTCGATATGTCATAAAGTTTTGACAGCTGAGGATCCACTCAAAGGAACAGCTGACCTGGAGTCACAAAGATTCCGCCGGCGGCAAATCGCTTTGTTTCGTTGTAATTCTGTGATGATATGCAAATATTGTCAGATATTCTTATTTAATCACAATCTGGCCGGAAATTATCGGAAGACAAACAGAAGAAGAGGGGCGGTCAGCGCCGCTAATGAATTTCGGAGGATGAATTGGGGCCGATTAGAGCGGCCGAAACGGCCCCGCTTTTTGTTGGCCATGTATGGGAATTAAATTTGATGTGTAAGAGACCGGGAAATATCAGAAAAGTGAATAATTTGGGTTAAACGGCCACGAATTAGTTAGGGACAAACTCGTCAGTTAAAGGAGGATTTAGGGCTATTTATCTACTGAAATCCGCTGCCATTTTGATCTCGCAGGTAGCGCTATAGACCGATTGGCTGCAATTGCCACTCATTGGGTAGATAGCAAGAACGCTTCGCGACCGTTCTGACCGTCTACATTAACTTTGGGCCGACTGTCAGCCATTACTTGCAACGACTTCGCTAGCGAATTTAGCATCCGGAACTATCTTCAATCTTTTGGAAAACGGCGTAAGCCGCTTTCTACAACCCTAAGCATTGACTTGCTATAAAAAAGCTGAGACTATTCCTATCGACCGATGAAATTCGGCCAGCCCCAAATGAAGGGTAGCCAACCTTGTTTTATTTCCTGTTCCCCTTTTGTAAACCTGATCAACCTTTCTATGGTTGTTTCTTTTCCTTCAACCATCCTTTCTGCAACCCTTTCCCCTTATTTAGTAGTCCCCGAAAAGATGTTCAAATCTGCATATTTCTTCTTGGATCCAATTTGTTTTTATTCCTAATGAAAGCCCCTTCAATTACGGCATTCCAGTGACTTTAATGGCAGATGGTCCCCCGACATCCGAGCCGTCCTCTGATTGAATAATAAGCGCGGCCTTCGGGGATTTGTGGACAAACACGGGACATTAGGCCATCCTTTTCCCAATTACCGCATCTTCGTATGTACGTGTCCATCTGGCTTCGGCTTCGGTTTCGGGGTCGAGGGAACGGCCGAATATGCCCGGTTAATCTTACTCTCTCTTCAGCCGGGACTTGAGGACATTAACCACTTAAGGGGAATACTTCTTATGGAGGGATACCCTCAGGGCATGACTAGGGGACATTCATGTTATGTGCACAACTGATGCATGTCGTGTCCCCATCCATCAGTTATAGGCGAATAATCGGGAACGGCCGGCCGTTCTGATTGTCCGCCCCCTGGGCATTGTCATAAGTCCCCCTTTCGAGTCCATATTCGGTTAGAGATTTATGCGGATCTGATGCGCAATAGGGACATTAGAAATCTCTGGATGACATTTTGTGTTGCGCCAGCGCTAATTCTGAGATTTGCATATTACAGACATTGAGGATGGGATCCGGCCCCCCGAAACGCCGGATTTCCGGCAGCGGCTTCTTTGATTCGGCTTCTGAATCCGCGAAATGTTTTCGGAGAATGTTTTTATTGACTGCTGCTTTCCCTTCTGCAGACCCCCAAAGATGTTTTAATCAATGGGCCGTCGAAACGGCCGATTTTTGTTCATCCGGCCGCTATTCGCCGCTTATTACCGTAATCTGTCATAACTGGAGACCTCTATGCCCGGAGGGCCTCTCTATGCAAGAGGAGAGAGGGAGCGGGAAGGGAAACAGAGAGGGAAGGAATGCCTTGGGGGTCTCTCTCGTTATGACGGACTGGGACGGGGTTTTTATACTTTTTCAGCTACCTTAGGCAAAGACAAATAACAACAACTTTTTGAGGATCCGTCATTTCTTGTAATGCAATTCTCATTTTTTTATTTACTCTGGTCGAGTTTCTAGGAACCAACGTTTTTTATTTGGACTATTTGAATTTTAAAATTTTAAAGTTCCCTTTTTGGAATACGGATTTGGAATTCGTTGTTTCTACACGTTTTGATCCGAAAATTATTCCGTTTTCAGTCGGGGGTTTATTAGGTATAAGTAGAGTAAAGGGGAGACTTAATTGTAATTGTGCCCCACTTTCCTCAGAAGAGAGAGGCCTGTTATCATAAAACTGGATTAATTTATAAGATTTATATGATACAAGTGTCAGTTGTTCCGAGTTTGTGACTTTATGAGTTTGTACGGTAAGGAGAGGGGGGGGGGGGGGGGCAGGCAGTCTGATTTATGATTTGCTGCGGCCGAAGATGAGATCGGCCCAAAACCCCGTCTTATGAATGAAAAAGTCTTAAAGTTGGAAGAGAGATGACGTTACAACTCGGGGCTACTGTTTTCAGGGAGCACTTAAAATCATTTTTCAAATGCCGAATGGGAGGAAATTTATTTTTGAAAGTTTTATTCTCATATTTGCCAGTATTTGGATGAATGTTATGCGTATTTATGTAAGATCTGAAGGCCTTTCGGGATTAGCACGACCCTGGAGTCTTAAACGCCCCTTTCGGTGAGAAGAAAACAGATCCGACGCCGCGAAATCCGGCGCTATAACGACTGATTTTATTGGCGGTTTTTAGGCGCACAAAATGTTTCTTCCCTCCGCCATTTTATGGCTGCGAAATTGGCGACCTTTAGAGACGTGAGAGTGCCGGCCTTGCCCTCCTCGAGCCATTTTCGATCAATCCCAATTACCGTAATAACAAAACTTTGGTCGCCTGCAGCGCCGAGTTGCGACATCCGACCGTTTAATAGCCATATGAGGATCCGAATTCAAAGAAATCAAAACAAAACAGGCGCCGTGCCGAACTGAGTCAGAGTGATTTGTTTGAATTGGTTTCGGTTCTGGTTTAATTTATGCAAAAAGAGGGCTAATTGGGAAATGGGGCGTGCCGCGATTCATAGTCTCCAAATATGGAAGACATCAGGTAAAGCGAGCGTCGAGATCACTTCGATTTCCCTGCATTGCTTCTAATTGATTTTTTTAATTGATGGAATGATCAAATGATTCCCTTCTACCGTACTTCTGGCCTTCAAAATTTGACAAAATAGTTTTCCAGCAAGTGAAGCGTTATTAGTTTTCGTGTGTCGTCCCTTCCGTTTCGAGTATTGGAATCTCTTCTGCCCTCCCCGTCTTCATTGATGTCTGCGTTTTATTTGGTTAAAGCAAATTTTCTCGATTCCCGTTTTTTATTTTAAAATTTGCGAATCGGGGATTCTGGGGATACGGTTTCACGGTTGGATGAGTTATCATCCAAATATTATCATAGCCTCCCTTCTTCACCTGGTCGACCTTCACAGCCTCATTTATGTGCTCTTAAAGTTTTTTCCTTCCCCAAAAGTTGCCGATCCATCCGGGCGATGTTCGGCCCATTAAACGACAAAAGACGATCGGGGCAGGGCCAGTTGTTTACAGTAGAGAATATCGCCCATTTCTCAGATATTAATTACATCGATGCACTGGCCCTCTTTATTTATTGCCCTCCGGACAGGGGCGTCTCTCGGCCCGAGATGATGGCCCGGCCGAGAAAAACTGATATGTTGCATAAAGGGGGTGTCAGGCGGTAATATGATTGGATACATGCGGGCTTTTCATACTTCCATCTGTAATTTCTTTCAGACTCAACTCATGATAGCACTTACGTCACCCAGATTTATTTCCATCATCCTCTTTTTTGACTTATGGTTTTGTTGTCCAGACTTATCCCAATCGATTTATTTAGTTCTCCTTGTCTTAAACATTTAAAGTGCGCGTCTTGAAATAATCTTTATAACAAAGAGTACAGTAAGTATAAGAATCAAGTTATGTGGAATAAAAAACAAATGCTTTTATTTGGAGATGGTAGCCGGACTTATGAGAGTGCGCGATCGCCCCCCCCCCTGGCAGGGTCCCCTTTTTTGTTCATAACGATTGGATGCCGCGAGCGAAGTTGATTGGTGGATTGGGGGGCTGGGGGTGGGTCAGGAAATAATTGATAAATAATTGGTTTTACTGATAAGAAACTGATCTAAATTCTCTCTCAATTTGGGAATTATTGAAGCAGAAGTCCGTCGGGGCTACTGTAATTGACGCAAGTAGTGAAGTTTTGGTGTTATCAGTAACCAAGTTCCCATTCTCCACAGCGTCCGACTACGATCAGTCCGATTTTTGTGTTTCTTTTTGATCATGTAACTTTATATTCTAATGTCCAAGATCCCCATCAGCCGAGGGTTGTGACTACTCCCTAGAGCGATGGGAACCCTAAAAGGTGTAATTTAGTGCGCCGCTTGAAGCGAAGCCTCGTCTTCTGAAGGTCTGCCCATAAAAACGTCTTCTAACCAATTCTATTTTTCACCTTTTTTCCTTCAAAAATGGCATAAAAAGTACAGTATCCGCGCTTCTCCATAACTACTGAATCCGAATGGAAGGAGGCGGATCGGAGCTTTTTTACTGATCAACCGAGGTTGCCATTATTTATATTGTTATTATTCCTCTCATATTTTTGGTTGTCCTTAAAATAGTGAGTTTGATATTTTTGAATGAAAATATCAGTCCGACATCAGTAATTTTCCGTGTACGCTCAAAGATAATCGATTTTTTTGGGTAGCACACGATCAATTATTGAAACTTTTACGAATTATATGAGAAAAATTATTGCGAAGAGCTGTGAAATTGTATTATAAATCATAGACGTTGATAGAACTCAATCAACTTATACCGCGAGGCTTCGTTGACAGATTCCGATGTATTCTTGTGAGTATAAGATTACAATTATGTCCCCAGCCATTCCCTTGCCCGTGTTTTCGAGTTCTGACCTTTTTTAGAGTTTTCTGTTTACCCAGAGTATTCAGTTGCGTTTGCATTGGACAATTTTTTAAATATATTACAGATGCCATCGTAGTAACTGGCGGATTATTCTGTCAAACAAGAGTTTTCGGGGACTTACGGAATAAAAAACTTACAATTATGTTAGAAAAACCAAATCCATTACTTAGGAGGTGTTAGAAATATCTGAATTTGAGATGATCGATCATAAATTACTCAATCATCGGCTTCTTTGAGAGCTGATATTAGTAACGCCTGAGGGTTCATCCATCTCCATTCTTCATAACTTATAATCTGGATAACTTTCTTTGTTTTTAAAACATTTAGAAATCTCTATAATTGTAACATAATGAATGTCTGATCGAAACAGCCGCGGGCCAATTATTTTGGCTACATTTGTGGGGCCACGTGCGGGTCCCATAAAACCCAGATGGAGGGACCTTCTCCTTTCCCCATGTCGCATATTTTTATGCCAATTCAGGAGTTTACGAGCATCGCATCCCGACTAATTGGAAGCACGTTCATCTCGAGAATAAATTAAAATTAAATGCGGCATAAAAGCGGGATCTGTATGGATTTCTCTGATAACTTTACTTTACAGCCACTTGCCGTCGTTTATGACCGCGCCTTTTTTCGTTGATGCCAGGGACGGACAACTATTTGAAAAGAAAACTATTGAAGTCTAAGAGTTGTTTGTTGCGTCATAACTCATATGACTTACTGTAGTCCAGACCCCGAGTTTTGATGGATGAATCAGTTTTGTGAATTTGATAACCCTAAGGATGCCCGGGAATACCTGTTTCCGGCGATTATTTATGGTTGAGACGCGTAGATTTTATGACAAAAGTCGGGAGTCGCGACGAGAAGAGATTCTTTTGGTCGGGCGACTTCAGAAGATCTCGTGGCCTTTATTAGAGATGCAAAGTTTATTCAGATTTGTCGCGTCGTCAGTTTAAGGTTAAGCAAATAGCGCGACACTTAATAACGTCGTGCATATCTCGGCCATTCATACTTATTTTCGCGCATTTCCCGCTGATATTTGATCTCCTCGAAAGCTGGTAAACCCAGTGTCGCGCACCTTGGCCCGACCGGGGTTTGTTTGTTAATTTGTTCTATTACAGTAGGAAAGGGCGGCTTAAGACTGCGCATTTTGCTGGGCCAAACGAGTTCCTAACAGAAAGCGAAGATCCAATTTGAAGGTTAGTGAGTACTTTATGTTACAAATTAATTTGTTTAAAATTCCCGTCCCCTTTTACACTATCGCCCCCGTCCGAAATTAATTTGATAATTAAGATTCTTATGTTTTAGCAATAAAGTATTTTTAGTCGACTGAGAGAGAGAATGGTGCTGTTGTTGTGGCAAAAGTCTCCTTATTCGATAATTCTTATGTGTTCCGGGCCTTCCGCCGCCCCCCCTGCCTTTTATGGACCAGCCTTTTCTTATGGATATAAGCGGGTTTGAAGTCCCGGCCTCGAGGCCATAGATTCTTATTGGATGAAAGTGCATTGCCCAAAGTAAACGGCGGCATTCATGTGGGGCAATTGCGCGGGGGGAGGCAAGAAGAACTCCTATTCCATTTTTCATAACGTGTGTACGGTGGGACGAATGGAGAGCGCCTGAGGGCAGGCAGGGCCGGGGCAATTATGGCCTTGCTCCTCTTCGATTATGGGAGAAAAAGCATTCAAAAAAGAAGGCCGGCTCCAGGCTTATCAAATTTTCATTGAATCCACAGACCCCATCTTCCTCCTTTCGGGCCCGGAACTCGCCAGGCCTCAGCGACGCACGGACTTTGCCTCGAGGGGAATTCGCTTTTGAGTCTTCCATAAGCAGCCTTGGCCTTCCCATTCTCTTGAGTACGGTAATATTGTCATAGCGACGGCGGTAATGCTCTCTTTTCATTCGCTACGATGTGCAAAGATTATTATTTTTGGCTACTCTCCTACGTTTATTTTATATGGCTTCCTACTGTAATATCCTTGCTCTCGATTCGTTTCTCTAAGCTTCCAAACATGCAGCAGCGGATTAATTCGGAGCTGGTCTTGTCACTTTCACACTGACAGTCGCTGTTTTCGGAACACCCGGGATCAACGTTTATTTGTTTCCCAGTCCTTTGTCATGTCTAATCACTCGAGTGCCGGGATGAACATGGTATTTAGGTTACTTATGAGGTCAAGGGTTGCTCGGAACACGAGTACGGTGCCAGCAGTCTTGCTCGAATTGCATTCAACTTAATCATTTCCTTTCGGTGCTTGAACCTCCAAAGGAAAAAAGATATTTATTTGATGTCGCGACATTATAACCTCGCTTTTTCGATTTCGAAAATAAATTTTATGAGTGGGCGGAGTCTTCTCCCTGCACAATTCCGAGTCGAGCGCGGTTGGAGATTGGTTTGGCCGGGTGTTGCTCTCTTTCATGTGGCCTTATCATGACTGTGGTACCTAAAATACCCCCATTAGAATGTGTTCCATTTATCATTTCCATTTTAATTCCATTCCGACGGCCTTGCCCCTTCCTTCCGTATAAAGTAACTCAAATGAAAGAAAGTATTGGTATTTTTTAATATTGGACGAGGCGAATTTTTAAATTAAATTTTAAGAAGTTTCCCCCCTCGCTTCTCGTATAACAATTTGGTCGACGTTTTACTTCATCATGAGCACAGAATTCTGCTTTTATTTTAATTCACCGTCTTTTCGGAGTGCGTCTTCTCGTTCGAGAGTCTCGAGTTTCAAAACTTTTTCTTTGATTACGGTAGAAGTTTGTTCTCGCATAACTCATATACTTTGGGAGTGTCTCTGAGGCCTCTCTTTCTCTGTTCGCTTTCCTTTTCCTTTTTTCTACTTTTTTCTCTGACCCCTCTTTTTTCCCATTCTATTTCCTCGAATGTTTCTTCCGCTTCATTCATAAACTCCGCCCCTTCTCTCCACATTTGTTCGAGTTAATAATTCGGACGTCCCTTTTTTGTTTAACGGCAACTTGGATCGCTGTTCCGAACCGTTTTTGAATGTCTTCGGGGTTTGGGATAATATATTTTTGGTTATTTTTTGATTACTGTAGCCATAATTCCAATATGATGGAGTTTAGTTTAAAGTTCACTGGATACTGTAACAGCCATCGTTTCCGGTGTCCGTACCTGTCGCTTCTTTTCTTAATTAGCGACCTTTTTTGATAATTTTGAATGAACTTCTGATTTTCCGCGCATCCCCTGACTCCATCTTGGTTGTGGATTCATCCGAGGTACCTTTTCTTGTATTACTTTTTGTAGAAGCGTTTTATTAATTCCCGGCTCACGGGTCTGTTTACAAGTTTTGCGCGCGGGGAATCGTTTCCCTCGTATTAAGCGATGGCCAGTCAGAGAGAATCGATAATATCAGAGTAATTATTTTACATAAACTTTTCGTTTTCGTCTCTTTTCTCGCGCCTTTAATTAATTTAATTAATAATCGAATTCAGGAGCTCCATGTGTTGATGATTGAAGATAAAATGCCGACGGCTCCGCGTAGAAAACAAGCCAAACCTCAGCGTCTGCCAGTGGAAGGTGAGTGATTGTTTTGCATCAGCCCCATCACACATTACATTGTAATACGCAGGCCTCCCTTTCCATCAGGATTAATCTCTTTAATAGTGTTGATGTTCTTTATAACGACCTCTCCCGTATTATAATTATGTGTATATAGTAGTCCTAATGGCTTTTTATCATATTGAATATTCAGTCTCTTTGTCATCCCATCCATTAGGCTGTTGTCGCCGATCAGAAGATGTCGCGCGAGGATGGCCATACTCTCTTTTGTGGCCGCTTCCGACAAAAACGGGGGCCTTTCCTTGGCACCGGAACTTGAATGCCATCGAAACGCTTCAAACGGAACGATCGCCGTTCCGGCATTTTCCTTGAGCGACGCCGACTTTTTCTGGAATTTTTATTTTGCGGCGCGCCCTTAAAATTAAATTCTTGGCCGAAAAAAAGGGAAAAGGAAAAGATGAGCGGCTTCTTGGAGACGAGGGAGTGAAACTCCAGATGGGTGTTGCTTTCTCTCCGTTCGCCCAACACATGAACTTATTATCACCCATCCGGATCAGGCGGTACTTCAAAGGCCTCATATTTTAACGCCAGGTGCCACTCCTCAGGCGCGCGACTCATAACCGGCCTTGAGACTCATAATCCAACCAACGGCCGTTTTCGTCAAGGCCATCCTTGTTTTTTTCGAAACAAGTTTTGCGCCAAACCCTCGACCCTTTCCATTTTGTGTTTCCCTCGTGAAAAGTAAGGGAATTATGATTTCTCAGCCCCAAATCAATCATTTCCCTAAAGTGTTTCACTGAAAAAGTACAGAAACGAAGAATCCAATAGGCATCGAAAAACACAGGAGGATTGGGACTATTTTAAGAACCTTTTGAGGGTGGAAATGGTTGCGCCCAAAAAAAAGACATCAATTGGCCGAAAGGAATACGGTAATAAGCGCGAGAAGGGACGATTGGCCGAGGAGGACCTCGCATATGAATATGAAGGGGAATATGAAGAGAAGGGAAAGGAAGAGAGCGCGTCCAGGTCTTTATTGCTTTGTCTCCTTCATCTCCTTCACCCGCAACAAACTGAACGGATTGCGCAACCAAATGTTGCGCAACATGTTACCGAATGATGACTTGACTGTTCGCTCTTGACGATCCCGAGAACGGTGTGCGCGCCTCGAACGTCCTGATGCCCTGCGGCGTTTGCTCTCCCGTCGCTGGTCGGTCTCTAATTCCTGGCGTCGCTCGTCAATTTCTGCCTGAATTCACCCGCTTCCAAATATTAATTTGATTGACATTAACTCGGATCGGAGCCCTTTAACTAAACGCCTTTATTGCGACAAAACGAGCGACGACAAACCGTTCGTCCTGACGTTTCACGGCGGCTCGTTCTCTTCTGACTTTTTATGCCCCGGGTTATGTTCTACAGTCACCGTAAATCATGCACTTGCGCGGCTTCAAAGAGGTGACGCCGAAAATGAGAAAATTTATGGGAAAACCCGAGTGATAAGATGGAATTCGGAAAAGAGTAACGACGAAAGTAACGTAATTACGCAGCGATTACACAAAGACAAAACTAATGCAGCGCACATTTCTTACAGTACTGGTTATGGGACCTTTGATACCGACATGTTTCCTTTAATTAGGATCATTTTGCGAGCCTACAAAACCTTAAATAAGGCCTTGTAAGGAACTTGTTTGAGTAGCCACATGACATCCCATGCCCTCGAATGTCGTGCCATCTCTATATTTGGAAATGATTTCCTCATTTTTCATTTCGGACCGCGCATTCGGCTTCATTAAACGTTTTTGTTCCCTCAAAAATGACATTATTAATTGCGCAGGGCCAGAATTCCATCGAAAAACATTAAATTTCAAAAAGCGGCACTTCCTTTTCGCCCTTCTTTAATGATCCAGGAAACGCCGAGTAGTTGAAATAAGAATTAAGAGACAAAACGAGGACTTAACGCGGGGTTCCAGTAATGAGACAGCCGTTTCGCATCGGGAAAGAAGCTTCAAGTTGAGGTGGGATTGCATTAGGAACACTAAAAACAGACTCAACCCTTCTTATTTCATCTTAATAATTACAATTATCTCAAATTAACTTCTCATCTAACTACCTCGATAATATTCCTGATCACACAAAAATTTGCGTGGATAAGAAACAAATTCGAATTCCGATGATGATTTGTCCCGTGATCGTATACTAGATTATTATGGGGAATATGAATCAAACGGAAAGCAAAATTAATTTGAAAAATTAGAGAATTGGCCAGGAAAGGGCCAGAAAAGGGATGGGGAAGGAGTACTGTCCGCCTCTCCTTTACTGTTTATTCCCTGCCCCCTTCGTTTTAAACAATCTCAGCGGTTTCTGATTTGGCCGGCTCCTCTGGGCCGGCGTTTTGTACATTGCCCCCACTTCTACTTAACTCTCCCATTACTTTTCAATCCTTTTGAGACCGCAAAAAGATTTGGTTCAATTTGTTGTGCCCTTAATTGTCTCGAGACCAGGGTCTGCATACTGTAATGTCGAGAAACACCTGGCTGCACTTTTTGCTCTTTTTGGTTGAATAGCTTATTAAACGGCATTTTCAGAAAGCGACGAAGAAGTGCCCAGCAAGAAAGAGTGCCATCGTTCCTCCACCCCCCTAGGCTTTCAACATTCCTTCAACTCCAGTCTGGATTCGACGCTGGAATCTCGGTTGTTTGGGTCCAAGGTGAGATTATGGGAATATCTGAGTGGTCGGGGAGATAATCCCCTAAGGGGATCTATGATTTTATTACTTTCAGTTCGATCCTCAGGGCCCGGACAACGGCCCGGCGCTGGATTTGAGTTTGTCTGGAGGCGCGGATTCCAAAAATCCCTCTGCTTCGCTGAGCGATCTGCTGCGACTCACGGACAATCCCTCAGGAAACTTCCTATTACAAACACTAAGTCCACAGGTAAGTATCCCTGTGGTTTATGTAATTTCCCCAAAAAATATACAGTAAGAATTATTTAGTAACAAAGTAGGCCCTTGGGTTGCCCCATTGTTTGTGCAGTTGATTTGCGGTAATTTGTGTCAGCATGTTCTCCCACATCTGGCAGTACCGTAGTTTTTTTGGTTATTCTCTGTTTCCCTGGAGCCTCTGCTGGGTGCACAAGCTGTGTCTCTGAATGCACCCGTTCCATATTTCTGATTCGGAAATATCACGGAGACAAAGGCCATAAAAACTGATCCGTCGGACCCTTCGCATCCGTCTTTTTTAAGCGAAATCAACACAAAAATTGTCAAATGTCTTTTTTTAATGGGAGCGAAGGAGAGAGGAGGGGTGTACTGTGCCGTTTATTACTCACGCACCCGTTCTTCCATCCATTCTGACTCATATTCGAAAACAGGACCCTCCTAATTAAGGCGCCGTTTGATCAGAGATTTCTGTGCCCTGGGGGGAGGGAAGGGGCAATTCAAAGAATCCGAACCGCGCTATTAATGCGCGTGAAGAGTGTGACATATTCTGGCCACAAAAGCCTGCGGGGCGTATTAAAGAATTCTTTTAATTAAACATTTATAAGCCAGACACCCGCTCGGGGCCACTAAATATGTCTCCGGCGTTATATAAACCGCGATAAACGATTGCGCCGACACTTTTAATGAGTTTCCCTAATGCCGCGCGCCCAAAACAAACCCGAATAATGATTCAGCGGCCCGAATGGAGAACAAATCGTTGCTGAATTGTAGCAGAAATTAACAAAAAAGAGTCCTGCAAAAAGGCTTACATTATCTTTTTAGCAATTACTTCAATTCTACACTGCCGTGGGGTCTTCTCAACCAGCGACCCTTGAACAGGATGAAGAAGAAGAAGATGAGATCGAGGAAAGAAACAAGGGCCTCTCCTGTCTCTTGTCCCCTCCCAACTCTTCCAATGAGGAAAGTCGGAATCTCTCCGCAACTTCGTCTTCCTCCACCTCCTCTTGTCCTGTCCCGGAATGTTCTCAACAATCCCGGTCTACTGCTTCAGCTTTACTTCACATCTCCAACTGTCATAAAGATCAAAGATTTATCGAATGTAATGATTGCCGGGAGAGATTCCCTTCCCTCCGACATCTGAACGGCCATAAATGCCGGAAGGATATTCGATCTGAGAGTGTTCCCGTGAATGAATACACTCATATTGAGGGAACAGTTCGGTCAGCGAGTGTTCCCAATATCAGTCAGCAATGGCCAACAATTGGGACCTCGAAGGAAGAGATGCAAGAGGAAGAAATGGCTTCAGAAATGCCTGATCGACCTCCGGTGTTGATGAACGAGAACTCGAGCAATGAGAAGAGTGAGGGGACGCCGAAGCGCAGTCTGTTCGACTTTTCATTAAATGGCCTTATGCCCATGGGATTCGGGAAATCCGGTAAGTAAACGATGACGTTGCTGGTATGCCCTCCAACAATTGTATCATGTTCCCCTTTTAGGCCTCTCCTCCTTCCCGCAGCCTCTCTTCCCTCCTCAAATCCCCAATTTTGTTCCTCCCTCAGCATCAACTCCTCCAAGATCTGGAAATCGTGCTGGATCAGCACAACCAATGCTGATATCTGATGATGATTGGGAGTCGATGATGGAAATCAGTAATATTGATGAGAATGAGAAGATTAGACAGCTGGTTGGAGACAAGGCTCTTCCAACCACCGACCCGAATCAATGCTTGCTTTGTCGTCGTATCTTGTCTTGCAAAAGCGCCCTTCAAATGCATTACCGTACTCATACCGGTTAGTTTAATACTGTTAAGTAATTATTACACAACACACTGATATTGAATCATCTTAATTATTGCTTTAGGAGAACGACCCTTCAAGTGTAAAATCTGCCAACGTGCATTCACAACGAAAGGGAATCTGAAAACTCATATGGGAGTTCATCGAGCCAAACACGCAGTCCGACCCCCAGGGCAATCCATCCCTTCGCTCAACTTCCAGTGTCCAATCTGTCAAAAGCGATTCTTCTCTTCGCCGCATCTCCAATCTCATGTTCAAGAACATATGAATGGGTAAGGACATAGGTTCAATTAAATTATTCTTGAATTATTGCAGCGCGCGGATTCAAAACAGTGCCCCACCATCGTTATCGCAATTCTTGGCAGACCGTACCCCCGAGCTACCAAAATCGGATGAGAATGAGGCCAACATGATGTCCAATCCATTCTTCCAAGCCTCAAATTTAGGATTTCTTCCTACAAACTTATTCAATCTTGGCCTTCCAATGATGCCATTTCACAATCCGATGAATTCGGAAAGCCAACGGCAGACCGAATCAGTAGAGAATACTTCAGCTGAAACCAACGGAATGCCTGATCTTGAAGTCGACGATGAGTCTAAACGAGAGAACCCAGTTCAATCCGATTCTAATTTGATGACGGAGGAGAATCAAACTCCTTCTTTCGCTCAGTTAGTAAAAGAAAGAAGTCCTGAGTTCCAAAAACCTGTATTCGAAACAGAACGGAAGGAGGAGGAACATTCAGTGTGTACTACAATATCAAGAGAAAGTTCTCAAGGCCCATCCACAGAGATTAAGCCAGAGAAATCTAAAATAGAACAGGATCCCTTACAGGCGATGCAAATGATGTATGCATCTGCTGAGCCCTCTCCCCCGGTCAGACCTCCGATCCAGCTCTCCAAGCATCAATGCGGTGTATGTTTCAAGCACTTCAGTTCTTCTTCTGCTCTTCAGATTCATATGAGGACACACACCGGTAAGTTTTTTCGAATGCTTAAAATTTTTGAAACTTGTTGATGCCCACCAATCCTCATTTTCAGGTGACAAGCCTTTTAAATGCGAAGTTTGTGGCCGTGCATTCACAACTAGAGGCAATCTAAAAGTTCATATGGGAACCCACTCCTCTCAGATCAGTCCTTCCCGCCGCGGACGGCGGATATTTGATTATGGGGCTGAAACTGTGATGCGGAATCCCTTTGGCCCTCTTGGTGGTGTCGGTATGCCTCAGGCACCCCCACTGGGGCTGCCCGTATTAGCCAGTCTTCAGCCCCTCTTCTCAGCCATGGCTGCAGCTAACAATGGAAGCAATGAAGGTCCCGTCAACCTCTTCCAAATGCTCTCCACAGTCTGTACAATATGTAAGAAGATCTGTGGCTCGATGGGCGAACTCCACGACCATATCCAGAAGGATCACGGCGACGGTGAAATCGAATCGGCGACCGCATAATGACTTTAATTAGGCACAACATCTCCCCTCCGTGTAACGTCTTATCTCCTTAAAACGCCTCGGTCTCTGCTTTTATGGTCTAAAATTACATCGCTCATTCTTGTAATCAAAGTCGATAAAGGCACCATAATTATATTGTAATTTACCTTCTCTTCCTTTCCTCGACCCGAGTATTTTGCTCAGACTGGACCTGCTGCAGTTCTGAGGGACCCAGTTCAAAAGTTTTAAACCCCATTGAGATCCTTTCCGGTTATTTAATGCTTAAGGAAGCCGTATATAATATCAGAATCAATCGGCCTCTTGATGGTCCTGCACGGGCACATTTGTGTTCTCTTCCTAAACAAATGTTGCATCTTTGTCTCTCAAAAGTTTATCTCGCTTCTACATGTATTGGTATTTATTCTTTGTATATTTGACTTAAAAATGAATATATTTCACTTTAAATTGATGCTTAACAAGGGATCGGCAAATACTTGCCACCAGGTTTCTTAAGGAAACCTACATCATTTAAAAAAAGCATGTAAAATGCTTTTTTAAATGACCCAATTTTCTTAGGACTAAGCTATGACCAAAATACAGGTCCCTTTCGGGCGGCACGTAAGGCCCATCCATTTCTCTGCATTTTTTCTCGCTATTTTAACTTAACTTTTTCTTTACGGCCAAAATCCATATAAAAATGGTGATATACGCAATCAAATCGGGTGTCGCTGCCAGAAACCGCGATTTCCTGTCTGTAGGCCTCTAGACAAGAAATGCGTAATTCTTGTCTCAAATTGCGTAACATTGCGCAATATTGCGGTTTCTGGCCACGACACGCGATTTGATGCGCACGTCACCATCCTTATAGAAGTCGTTTGTAACTCAGTCGTAAACTTAACCATGTTTGGAGACATATTCTTTATTTTCCCAACTACAACAAATAAAACTAGTATGTTAACAATCAAAAAGTTTAGCAATCCAATATTTCGCAGCCAGATTTGGAATTTTTACCCTGTCATCTTCCAACTCCGGTAACTGGCTGACTAGTTTTCTACCTTAAAACCAAGTTTTGGCCGGAAAAAAAACAAATTATGACAAAATGTCAACATTCGTTTATTTTTTATGACCAAATTCCACATTTTTTACATTTTTTGTGAAGGTACATACTTTTGAAAAAATACGAAAAATTGTAAGCAAAAAACGTAAATTATGACCCAGTGAACCTTGAGTCGACGACAGTTCGGGTCAACACAAAATCGATCGATACGGGGCGTAGGGCAGGTGGATACATAAAAAACAAAGGTTGAATGAAGTGAAAGGCTAAAATTTGTGGCAACAAACGAAGATCCGTAATTTTTATCTAGATATTATTGATGTGAGTACATGTAAAATACCTCAAAATATGTGATAAGCTATCCTAGGATCAGAACAATCTTATTATTTCTACTAACTTAGCCTTCTCCTAGCCTCCCCATGCATACAACAACGAACCGACGCGATTCATAGTGTCGTTGACCCGAACTGTCGCTTACCCGAAAAGTCGTAGCGTCGGCAAAGCCATTAAACGACTGCCGCAAACGTTTTTATATACTAGGAACTCAATGGAGACGATTTCAAGCTGCCAGGGTTACTGCAACATAGCAAACCGGCGCTTTGGCTGCATATGATTTCTTTCAAAAGAGGTCATGTCATATCTGTGCCCTAAGGTAATAGGGCAGCTAATTCGTCTGCGCTGTACACTATTTTTAATGCTCTTCCAAATGATACAGTTTCCGTAAAAAACCTGGTAGCAAGTACTTGCCGATCCCTTGTAAATATAATCAAGCTGGGTCAACAAAAAAGATAAAAAAAAATCAGGGGAACTAATAACAACGTCATCTGACATCTGTAGGGATAAAAATAATACATTTACCATTTGATTCAAACAACAGAATAAATTTATTTATTGTAGAGCGACGCATACTCAAATTTTAGGACAAAACTACTCAATAATAATCGTTCTATTTTGTCCGTTCATAAATAACTCTTTTCCTGAACACACGTGAAGAATATCATCGTTTAGCATGACAAAACAATATAAAGGAAGCGATAGGAAGGAGATTATCACAGAACGAAAAGTCTCACTGTCCTCCCAAAAGCCTCTCAATTGCAGCTGAAACATCACCAAACGTCGCCGTCAACGCTGAAATAATATTAAATTAATAACAGACCCAGATAGCCCTCTTACCTCGAATGTTGGCTTCCCTGTTATTGAACCCCATAGTTGAGAGTTGTTCCAATTGGGATCTGAATCGGACTTCTGGAGGCTCCGCCGACGGTGCAGGGTTTCCTCCTGCCAGCCCCAGGCCTTGTAATTGATTGAAGAGGACACTCATATCTGAGGGAGCACCACCTTCAGCTCCTTGATTCGCACCAGGGGCAGAGGATGAGGGTGGAGTCATGAAATTTAAACCTTGGGCATTACGGAACATCTGGCCAAAAAGTTCGGGGGCTTCCGTTTGGATGACGTGCATTGATTGTTGGATTTGACTGAGGGCTTGCATCACTCGAGGATTTGTCATCGAACGAAGAACATTTGGATTCGCCGTCTAAAAACATGTGAATTCAACGAAAATTATAAAAATAAAGAAAACCAATGGGACTGATTCTTACCAATTGCTGAAGGCGGAAAAGCATCTGTTCGGAGTTGTCCAAACCCATACTTCTCAACGCTTCTGGATTCTGCTGGAGTGCGTTAGACATTGAAGAGATCATCTCGGGAGTTACCATATTCTCCAAACCGCCCAAGAGACCCCCAAGCCCACCAGCGGCTGGCGGATTTGTATTAACCGCAGACCCTGAACCCGCAGCTTGTCTTGGAGTTCCACCCGAAGATCCCCAAGGATTTGGCAAGGCCTCTGCGTTCTCAACACCAGCTCTCTGACTACGCGACGCTAAAAATCAAAGCAAATAGAAACAATAAGCACAACTCACAAGTATCAGTGTTGTCTGTATTTCCAGCAGAATAAGGATTTCCTCCTAAAGATCCTGCCGTGCTATTCAACAAGGGGACCTGAACGTCCTCATAAAGTCTTTGAAGTGCAGCTTCTCCACCAGGAATCCCTTGAAGATTACGAATAGCTTGATCATGATTTCTCATCATTTCTTGGAACATCGTAGGATTGCGAATCATGTCCATGGTCTGACGCATCACCTCAGGATCGTTGAGAATGTGGCCCAATTCAGGATTTCTCTAAACCCGGAAATTAACGTTAATACAAGCCATACTTACTTGAATAATTTGTTGAATTTGAGGATTCTCACTAAATATGCTTCTCACAAGATCGGGATTGCTCAACATTCGTTGCATAACAGGAGAATTCATCATCTCACGCATCATATCAGGGTTTCCTAACATGGGATTTCTTCCGCCAGCAAGGGCGGAAAATGGATTTTGAGGAGTCGGTTGTGAGTTGGCACTCTGAACAATAAAAAAGGTTTAAAAAATAAAACGTACTGGTTGAGTTTGAGGGGCAGCCGCTGGTGTTGCAGCCGGAGCTGCTCCGTTTACCGCACGGAGTACCAAATGGACGGCCATTTTGTCTTGAATGCCTAAAAATAAGAGCATGCAACATTTCTCAAGATAAATTTTGCATTTCGTAAAATCTTACCATGACTAGAAATAGTATCGGGATCTTTTAGGATTTTTCCAGAAAAAATAAGAGTCAGACGATCTTTTGGATGGTTCAACTTCTCGGAAAGGATCGCTTTCACCTAAAAACAAAAAATTGTAATCAAAATTTCAACATTACCTGTTCTACAGTTGAATTAGCAGGAATGGAGACGTCATGACTTGCTTGGGTAGCTTTGAACGTCAAAGTTATCTCCGGAACTTGTTCATCTTCACTTTGGTCACCCATTCCGCGTCTAAATCGACAAAAATTTTAGACAGATTCGAAAAATAGACAGCAGTTTGATAAAAGAATCGAAAGAGAATGGAACGAGCCTTATGTGAAGGTAAATGGACAACACTCGTCCGTAAAAGCGCCTCACCGTCACATGTGACGCACCCGAGCAAGGAAAATTCTTTTTTTTCTCTCAAGACACCGAAATTCCGATTTGAATTGGCGCCACTTATTGCAGCCCGAGCGATTCGCAGAAGCTCACCATGCACACAAAAAAGGGCGGAGTTCGCGAGATGTGAACCATCAGTGAGCCTCCAATCGCAGAGGGCCACATTCATTTTTTGGAATCAAATATATTATCCCATCGGGAGAGTTATTTTATTTACGTTTTCGTAAGCGTATCAGCTAATAAAAGGCTCTATCCTAAATAATAATTGTCAGTTTTGGTCTACGTCAGCATACGGTGCAAGTCCTTGATCCACTTTTATATTCGCGAAGGTTCGGCGTGTATATTTAAGACCTTGCTAAGATTTTTCTGTTGATATTCCTAACTTTTCAGATCAGAATGTTGAAGGTCATTCTGGCCTTTGGCTTGGCCGTCGCCGTTGCAACTGCGGGAGATGTTGTTACTCTGACTGAATCCAACTTCGACTCGGACATTGGGAAACACGAGATTGCCTTGGTAAAATTCTACGCTCCATGGTACGTTTTAAACTTGTTTATTTGTGATTAGGATAGAATGTGAAAAAATGGATGTTTTTCCTTATTCGACTTCTGAAGTGGAGGGAAGTAGAATTTTCCAACAGATGGACGTCTATATCGCACTGTGCAGAAACCGTCGGGATAATAAATTGCAATGCATTGCAATGGGAAGGAAGTAGACACATTTTCATTTTTTAGTATTAAAAAATGTGGAAAATCACGGTAAACCTTGACGGATTTTTTTCAATCTGACGACAACTTTGCCTCATTTTCCTCACTTTAGTCGAATTGAAAATTCTGGTTTACGTTGCTTTCAAACACAAGTTTCATAGGCTATGGAGAATACCGTTAATATTATTCGCATCATTTTACTTCTTATTTGATCAGTCGTTTTGACAAGAAGGAACAATTTAGTTCTCAAATTTAAAAAATCAAAAATCAACAAAAGTTTTTTGAAAAACCTCAATTTGACGTGACGAAAATGATGCCAATTTGACAATGTGATTGAAGCGTGTGTTGACGGCTTAACAAACGTAGTAAACATTTTTTTCGCAATGCATTCGACGAGAACTTTTCTTATTCTATCCACAACTGTATTACTAGGGGTTGTCAGTGTAGTGTTTTTTCAATTAATGTTGCATGTCGGTTTTCAGCGACCGAAAAATTCAAGCGGAAACTTTCAGACAGGTGCGTATTTTGACTCTTCATGTAGCGTCCTTTCGACTTCTCGTCTTCGGGTGGTCTCTCTTTTAATAAAAGTATATTTATATTGGGAAAAATATTTTCGCCCAGAATTAAAAATATTTTCCCCCAGAAAAGAGAATTATAGGAAATGTCCTATTTTTCCACAGGAAAGAAACTATTTTCTCTCAGAAAGCGTAATTTTGTAAAAATAAAGCATGGAAGTAGTAAGAAGTGACGAATAAGTAATTTTACTGGTAAAATCAATTAAGTAGTAGTGTAAACTAGTATTTGTAGTAAGTTTTTGAGGAAATATTCAATATAGAATCGACAGTTCCGATTTCAAAAATGATTTTCATTTTTTTGCGATTTTTACTTTTTTGTGGTCAAAGAGTGCATTGACAAACTTTCTTTGTCGTCTTCTGCGCCGCGGCGGGAAGAAAAATGTCTTGTAAACCATTATAATTCTTACTTCTTTCTAGACTCAATTAAGAAGTCGTCTAAAGTAACATATATTTACAAAAATACCAAAATTATGCTTTCTGGGAGAAAATAGTTTCTTTTCTGGGAGAAAAAAGCATTTCTTTTATAATTCTCTTTTTTGGTGAAAGATATTTTCTTTCTGGGAAAAAATATAGACCCATTTATATTTAGTTAGGCAGAATTGTCTATGTTGTGTCATCAGTGGTATTTGGTTTGACAGTTTTTTTAACTCGTTTGAAGACGTATTTCCTTTAACTTGATTCATTAAGCTTTGTGGTTGTGGGGATATATAATCATTCGTCTATAGGGTTTTTTTACGCAACCTTTTATATGGGACAGATCGAATATTCACAAACTTGGCTGCCCAACTTGTTAAAAATGGGGTTGGCTTGCCATTTGTAAGGTTGGACACCAATTGCAGGACTATCCGATCATTCTTTCATTAGCCGTTTGGGAAGTTTTGCTGCCATTCCAACAAAATCGGCTAGCAGTTAGTCAACCAGTTTTATAACATTGTCTATAAGTTTTTAATCTGCCCAATATGGAGGCAAATCTTCTCGTTGTGCGTCGTCCTTGTCAGGTCAAGCCTAATTTGGACAATTTGGAATTTGTATTGCTCAAATTGAACTGCCAATTTGGGTATATAGATGGGTTTTAGTTATAATGGCGTAAGCCTTTCGGTTGCGCCAAGATTATCTGAAGTTGTAATGCTCAATGTATTATATTCCATCGTATTAGCGTATTTTGAAAAGCTGTAAGTAACTGTATCCTACGGCCACTCGGAACTCTGTTCCTGTTGATTAATAAATCAGTCAATACTAAATTGATCCTTCCAAATTTTTGGATGATTAAAATTGGGATCCGTCGTTTTTGGAAACAGGTCCTTGCGGAGTCGGAGTCGCCCTTACGGGGTTAGAACGTACGGGGATGGTCCTTACGGGTCAAGGCAAACACTGGGGCGCCGGAGCATAAATAATTTTATTTTTTCGACTACTGACTACTTTTTATGAAGTAATATTGTAAAATTTTTGAAAAAGAATAGAAACAGTCGAAAAATTTTCCATTCTGAGGTAGTTCGGCACGTTGAATTTGAAAATCACGTTCATTTATTCATTATCAGTCTCGGAGCGCACCATTTCAAAAAAGTGTGATGGTAAACCTTGTGACCAGAGGTCCCAGGAATCTACAATAAACAACGTTTGCATTTATGTTTTTTCCGGTCGGCGCGAGTTCAATAAGTAGAACAGGATTAAGAACATCTAGATTGTATAGCGAAGTCCGTCGAGTTTTATTTTGCGTATTTAGCGCTCGGGTTAATGCTAAAGGTGGAGTATATTAAAATTTTGAATGAAAAGAATTATGGTTAAATATACGCTGGAACCCAGTTAGCTTGTTTTTTAACTTATTAATTGATGTTTCTTGCAGGTGTGGTCATTGTAAACGTCTAGCCCCAGAGTTCGAGAAGGCTGCGACGAAGTTGAAGTCCAACGATCCTCCAATTACTCTTGTTGACGTGGACTGCGATGCCGAGAAAGATTTATGTCAACGCTTCAGTGTTCAGGGATATCCCACCTTGAAAGTGTTTAGACACGGATCGCTTTCTCAAGAATACGACGGTCCTCGGGATGCCGATGGTATAGCTAAATACATGAGAGGCCAGGCTGGTCCCTCCTCTAAGGAGTTGACTTCTTTGGAAGAGTTTGAGAAGTTCATTAGCGCTGATGACCAAGGAGTCGTTGGGTTCTTCGAATCTGACTCTAAGCTCAAGGACTCATTCCACAAAGTTGCTGACACCGAGCGCGATCGTTTCCGATTTGCCCACACCAGTAATCCTGAGGTTTTGAAGAAGACCGGGTTCACCGACGATATTGTTGTTTATGTCCCTAAGAAGTTCCAGAACAAATTTGATCCTACTGAATTCAAGTACGACGGAAATTATGACACCGATAAGATCAAGCACTTCTTGGTTCATGAAACAACTGGACTTGCCGGAATTAAGACCCCGTCCAACGAATTCCAATTCCAAAAGCTTCCTTTGGTTACTGTGTTATACAACTTGGATTATGTTAAGGATCCAAAGGGTTAGAACTTTACTCATATGCATGAAAGAACGATGTCATTGAATATTACATTATTCTAACTTTAAATTTCAGGATCTAACTATTGGCGCAACCGGGTGTTGAAGGTTGCTACCGATTACAAAAGGAAGGTATATTTTGCTGTGAGCAACAAGGAAGACTACTCCAACGAAATCGAGAAGTACGGTCTTGCTGACAGAAAGGAGTCGGACAAACCTTTGGTCCTGATGCTGACCAATGAAGGAAGATTCGGATTGAATGCTGAATTCAGCGTTGACAACCTTCGTCAATTTGTAGATGATGTTCTAAATGGAAAATTGGAACCGTTCGTCAAATCTGAGCCCATCCCAACAGAGCAAGGAGATGTCAAGGTTGCTGTTGCCAAGAACTTCAAGAAGCTGATTACCGATGCCGAGCAGGACGCCCTCATCGAATTCTACGCCCCATGGTGCGGACATTGCAAGAGCTTGGCTCCGAAGTATGACGAACTGGCCGCTAAACTTTCCGATGAGGATGTTATCATTGCCAAAATGGACGCCACTGCCAATGATGTACCTCCAGGATACGATGTCAAGGGGTAGGTGTGGTTATATTAATCTTATAATTTTCCTACTTTAGGTTCCCTACTCTCTTCTGGCTTCCAAAAGACACCAAAGTCCCTGTTCCATACAACAGTGGACGTGAAGTGAAGGACTTCATCAAGTTCATTGCTCAACATTCTACAGACGGACTCAAGGGATACACCAAAGACGGAAAGAAGAAGAAGAAGACTGAGCTCTAAATGGTCTAATTGTCGCTAACATGTTAATTCTTGTATCAATTATTTATTGAGGTATTACATTACAGGTTGTTATGTTTTCATTGCCTTTAAGTCTATAAATATAATAAATTATTATACTAGGAATATTCTTGGATTACTTTTCTTGGGGTCGGTGAGGTGGACCTGGTGCTTAAAATTGAACAAAATGGAACCAATCGTGGATGTCTGAGTTATTTATATGTTGCAGTTGTAAAGGACAGTATCCCATAGTTATCCTCATTCTCGTGAGACAGTTTGCAAATATCGATTAGTTGGCTAGTCGCTTTATTTTTCTTATGAGTTAGTTGTACCAATTTTCTTAAAGTTTGCGCCGTTGGTTTTGGTTGATTCTACGCGTATAGTTGATTTTTGTTAGGATTATGCATGTTTCATATTCAGTTATGTAGTTTAACCATTTATTTACCTTATTTTAAGTATGAATTTACACGTATATTTAACTTACGCGGGATTTATCGAAGTTTAATACCTAAAATTTCTCTGAAGAAAATCTTGTTCGACTGTTTTTGGTGAGACTCTATATTATTAGGATGTTATAATGTTACAATATAGCTGTAGCTTCAGCCATAGAAGCTATGTGTTAACCATGTCCAACATTTTCGGCCGATTTGTGGAAATTTTTGAATAATGTTTTAGGAATGCTGGCGCATGAAGGTGAAAGTAGTCAATCAAGTAGCTCAGAGTCAGACTCAGAGGAAAAACGGTCTACTGAATCTGAACAAGAATTCAATGATCAAGTTGAAGGTGAGAATTATTTTCATTTTTTTATTTTTTCTTTAGCGTCCCCATCACAAACAGCAAGTGAGGAAGACTCGGATGATGCTGGTGGAGAATCAGATGATGAAGGACCGAAAAAAAAAATTCCTCGACGATCTAAAATCGATGATGCTACGCTTAACGTAAGTCCTGGTTTAATTATTTATTGTTTTAATTTTAGTTATTAAAACAAGAAAACCTGGTGCGGAGATCAAATAGAAAACGAAAAGTAGATGAAGATTCAGAAGACGATTCCCCTAAAACGTCCAGGGGAAAGAAGAAGAAGTGGGTTTCCAATAATTTTGTATTTATTTTTAGACCGTCTAGTTCAGAATCTGATCCTTCCACATCCGAGTCTGAGTCGGAAGATGATTATGGCGAAAGTCCTCGAAAACGAAGGCGGCCGGCGAAGAAGGCTGGAAAAACCAAGAAACCAGTGAGGAGGGCCAAGGGAAATCATCAAAAAGTCAACTACCAGGAAGATTCATCCGAGTCTGAATACAATTCAGATGAAGTGTTGGAATGGGACGAAGGAAAAGCGACTCCATCTCCAGAAGAAAATCACACTGAAGTTGTGGAAAGGGTGTTGAAGCATCGTTATGGACGGGCAGGAGCAATAGGATCCAATACGACTGAATATAATGTACAAGTACAAGGTGACCCTAACGCAAACGCCGATGAAATTCCGTTTGAAGAAAGGGAATTACAATTTCTGATCAAATGGCAAGGTTGGTCTCATTGGCATAACACTTGGGAATCTCCAAAAAGCTTAGCTGCCAGTGGAGCCAAAGGTTCCAAGAAGTTAGATAATTACATAAAGAAGATGCAGGAGGTTGAATTATGGTATGCCGCTTTATTTTACACGCTCTATCTTTGTTTAGGAAGAGACATGCGGACAAAGAGTATATAGAAGTTTATGATTGTGAACAAGAAATGAATGACGAGCTTTATGAACAATATAAAGTTGTGGAAAGAATCATTGGGCACCAAGTGTCCCGGGACAAAGGAAACGAAGGTGAGAGACAGTACGAATACTTTGTCAAATGGAGTTGCTTGTCTTATGCTGATTGTACATGGGAGGATGAGAATTTGATCAAGAAGAACTATGGGGTCAAGATTGAAGAATATATGAGACGAATGGAGGCAACTACAGTGCCACATAAAGGCCAGACTGTAAGTGTACATCTGTTTAAAGATTTCCTTGTTTAGTATCGGAAGAGACCCAAGTTCCAAAAGCTGGAGACGATGCCAGAGTATCTGAACCATAAGAATAATTCTGAAATGGAACTCAGAGACTATCAATTACAAGGTTTGAACTGGTTGTTGCATGCGTGGTCTAAAGGAAACAGCTGTATTCTGGCAGATGAAATGGGATTGGGCAAGACGATCCAGTCCATCAGTTTTATTTCGTCACTGTTCCATCTCCATGAAATCTACGGACCTTTCTTGGTGGTTGTTCCTTTGTCGACTATGGCTGCTTGGCAGCGGGAATTTGATGCATGGGCATCCGATGTCAATGTTGTCACTTATGTGGGGGATGTGACATCGCGCGAACAGGTATATAAAAATTGGAATATAAAAAATTTGTCTAGATCCGGCAATATGAAGTATACCAACAAGGAACTAAAAGATTGCGGGTTAATGTTTTCTTGACCACTTATGAGATCTTATTGAAAGACAAAGCTTTCCTGGGTACGTTCGACTGGCAAGCTCTGTTGGTCGACGAGGCCCATCGATTGAAAAACGATGAGTCTTTGCTGTACCAGTGCTTGAAGAACTTCAACACGGCCCATCGTGTTTTAATAACCGGAACACCGCTACAGAATTCATTGAAGGAACTGTGGGCTCTATTGCATTTCATTATGCCTGAGCAGTAAGTTATTCTTTATATTTTGATCTCTTGTTTTAAGGTTCTCCAATTGGGATGAATTTGACGCCGCTCATCAAGACCGAGATCATAAAGGGATATCATCACTTCACAAGAAATTGGAACCCTTTTTATTAAGAAGGGTGAAGAAGGATGTGGAGAAGTCTCTTCCGGCCAAAGTGGAACAAATCCTCCGGGTGGATATGACTGCTCAACAAAAACAATTTTACAAATGGATTTTAACTAGAAATTATGAAGAGCTCAGCAAGGGTGTGAAAGGATCTATCAACGGATTCGTGAACGTGGTTATGGAACTCAAGAAGTGTTGCAATCATTCCTCGTTGGTACGACAGTATGACAATATCGAATACGAGGCACAGGCCAGATTGCAGGTATTTTACTATCATTGTTTCTCATTGCATAATTTAGCAATTGCTCAAATCGTCTGGGAAGTTGATTCTTCTGGACAAATTATTGGTGCGATTAAAAGAAACCGGTCACCGAGTTTTGATCTTCTCCCAGATGGTGATGATGTTGGACATCCTTCAAGAATACATGTCTCTCCGAAGATTTGCCACTCAACGATTGGACGGATCGATGAGGTCGGATCTCAGAAAACAGGCGCTTGACCACTTTAACGCCGAAGGCTCTTCTGATTTCTGTTTTCTTTTGTCCACTCGGGCTGGTGGATTGGGTATCAATCTTGCCACTGCGGATACCGTAATTATCTTTGATTCTGACTGGAATCCCCAGAATGATCTCCAAGCAATGAGTCGAGCCCATCGAATTGGCCAAAAGAAACAGGTTAGGATTATTTTAATAACACAATATTAGGGTGTCCCATAAGTCTTCCTGATATTTGAGGTTGTGTGAACCTTATCAACTCTGAAGTGCATTATGGGGTATGTTGGAGATACGGTTTGTAGCTGAGGAATAGCGCTTTTTAACCGTATATGGCAAAGCGACATAAAGTCAACCTGGGACCTACACTACCCCGGTATTGTATGTGCCCCTTTCAGAACAAACTGTGCTACAATGTTATCTTTTCTCATGACGACGTTTTTGGGTTGCGTAAAGACCCCTTAAGTTTTTTGGGCTTTATGAAAATCTAGAACAAGGTATCCAGCGGATATATAGTTAAAACGGATGAATTTTGTTTGATTTTTATTCTGGTAACATGGCCTGATTGGGCACCCTCAAAAAATTTTATGCATTAAGATATTCGTTTGATAAAAAAAGTCTGAAGAACAGCGTTGTAAGTATTAATTCAACGGAAAACAGTGGACCCAGTAGATAATCTCAAGGGTGCTCGCCTAGATACCAGAAGGCTTTCCCCACCTAGTCCCAGAAGTGGATCATTATCTGTCCATAGGGCCTGTCGTTAGTTTGGGATTTTATGCTGTTTAAAGGTGACGGATGGCGGGTTTAGCTGAACCAAACATTAAGGAGTGCAGTCATTTGTGCCACCGTAATGAGGCTTTAAATCTTAACCCCGAAAATCAGCAATACTTATAGCACTCTAATACTTACTTCATGTCTATAGGTCAACATCTATCGATTTGTCACCAAGAATTCAGTGGAAGAAAACATCGTGGAAAGAGCGAAGCAGAAGTTGGTTCTGGATCATCTGGTCATTCAGAGAATGGACACCACGGGAAAGACTGTTCTTTCAAAGTCAGCAGTGTCTAATTCCAAGATCCCTTTTGATAAGAATGATTTGAATGCCATACTTAAATTTGGAGCTGAAGAATTGTTTAGAGAAAAGGAAGGAGAAGAGCAAGAGCTTGAGCTGGATATTGATGACATCTTGAACGGAGCAGAAACCAGAGAATGTGACAACATTGTAAATTGAATCATTCATATTTACGGATTTATTCTTTAGGAGACCGGAAATGAACTGCTCAATTCATTCAAGTACACAAACTTTGTTCTGGATGAAGAAAAAGATTTGGCTATGTTGAACACTGAAAAGAACAAAAATTCAACACAAGCCGGTATGACAGAAGTTGAAAACAAATCTTGGGATGACATTATACCGAAGGAGAAGTTGGATCAGATCAAAAACGAAGAGTTACTCAAACAAGAGGCAATGCTCAACTTAGGACCACGAAATAGAAACAAAGTCAACGGAGACGAAGCTGCTGATATAAGTTCAGGGGATGAGAAGGGGAAGTCAAAGAAAAAAGGGAAAAGGAAATCCAAGAATACAGTTTCGGATTCTGATAGCTCCGGATCTGAATCAGACAGTGGCGGGAAAAAGAGAGGCGGGAAGAAGAAGGTCATCTTCAATTTTACAGACAAAGAAGTCCGCAGATTCATGAAGAGTTATCGGAAGTTCGCCTATCCGTTGGAACGGTGAGCATTAACTCTATTCAGATAAATAATATAATTTTAGACTTGATTCTATCGCCCAGGATGCTGAATTAGAAGACCGGAGTAAGAGCGAACTCTCTGAATTGGCTGAGGAGATCAAGAATCGGTGTATTGTAGCAACAGAAAACTATTCAAACGAATCCAAACCCGAAGAAGAAAATGAAAATGGAAAACGGAAACAAGTAAGGTCCCCTTAAATATTCAATTTCTGTCTTTAGGATCGTGGGCCAACTTTTAAAATCGGCTCTCTTGATGTATACGTTCGTCCTCTTCTTAAGTCACAACAAGAACTGGAACCCCTTCATGAATTCGTCAAAAAGTGTGGACCGTCCTTGAAAGGATTCAGTCTCCCCAGTAAGGTCAAGGATCAGAACGGATGGGATTTAGTGTGGACAGAAGAAGATGACATTGCCCTCCTAAAAGGCATCTACAAGTATGGCTATGGAAGTTGGGAATCCATAAAAATGGACCCTGATTTAGGATTGGCTGAAAAGATTCAAATTAAAGATAAAACGAAGAAACCTCAACCAAAACATCTCCAGAGCAGGGTCGATTACATTCTAAGGAATTTGGGAAAACTTAATGGAAAGACTACCAAAAAGAGCATCAAAACACCAACGAAAAAGAGTGTCAACAAGAAGATGAAAGTAAAGAAAGACGAAAAAGTGGACAGAAATAAAGACAGAGCAAAGGAAAGGAAAGAAGACAAGAAAGAGAAACGAGACGATGATCATAAGGTGGGAGACATTTGCTTTACTTATTTTCAATTCAGGATGACAAGTATCGACAGGTTCTGAATATCAAATTCAATACTGAAAAGTATGGTAGTGCCCTGTTGGACAAGACCGCCGACCCCTTCCAGAAAGTGGTCGAAGCTTTCAGGCCAATGATCAAGTACATCAAACGTCTTGTCAGTCCAGAAACAGATTTTGCACACGAAGGGATCAAGGCCTTAATTAAGATTGGGGATTTTATTGTTGATTTCCTCAAAGCCAAAAGGTATGTCATCATTACTTATATACGATGGGCGTTCTGTAGGAACTCTTCCTGGTCAACGGATCGATGGTTTAATTTGATGTGGATCTTCGTCTCGTCTTTCTTCAACCCGGCCAAAGAGCCCAAACTTTTATTCGACTTGTACATAAAGAATGCACGCGACCACAAACACACGAGTAAACACAATTCGACCTCATCCCACAACCTCAGCGCCAAGCCAAGCAGTCATCACCGTGACTCCCACCGCAGTCGACATCATCACCATCATCATTCAGAAACCCCGAGTCGTCATTCCGGAACAATATCAGTACATAACAAGAGAATTTAGAGTATCTATTAAATCAATCTATGGGTGATTTGTTATTTCGTTTGTGCTAGATCATTTTCGTTCATTAGTTTATTTGTTATTCTCTGGTCTTGGCTCACTCCAATTTTTGAATTTAGCATCGAACCGTCTTATGAATAAAAACATAAATATAAATAGTTACAAGTTCTTCTCCCTTCGGTAATCCACAGATTTCTTGAAGTATTCGTTGGGATGCGTAATAATTTGCCCAAGGCCTTCTGGAGGGAGTTTGTGAGTGGCTTCAAAGTATCTCGTACAAGCGATGTCGTATCGGAAGTCCTTTTTAAAGCTCAGAATCTTAAAAAGTTAGGAAAGTGAGCTCAGTCTCTTACCTCTGGTATTCGGTCTCTCGAAACCCTCAAGCCAAGCAATTTATCAGAGAGTTCCTGTTCTTCCAAATACTGGAAAGGACAACCACTGCATCCGTCTTGCGGGGGTTTCCCTTTGTTCACAATGTATTCACAATTATATGGCTTCTTTTTATTATTATTACTGGAACTCCCACGAAAGTTGTAAGTAATATCGTATTGCAGTTCTTTGTACTAAAACAATGGGTTTATGAAGCTGCATCTTACCTTGTTGGCATCATAGACATTCCTAAAGTAGCTCAAAGAATCCTCTAAATTGAGGCCAGCACCCATCAAAAACCGTGTAAATTGTAATCGACCATCATTCTTGAGTCTTCTATTCTTCACCAAAAAGTCGTGCATGTCTCTCATACACAAGGGGAACGAAGTGTGAGCCATCTAAAGTAGAGATCATAATACAAACCCCCAACCCCCAACCTACACTCTCAATTTGCTCAGGTTTCAAGTTGGCAGAGTTGTCTTCCATACCCGTCGATGTTTCTGGATACAAATGTTTGTACATTTTATATATGATCCAGTCGTCGCTTTCAACTTCCTTTTCCCGTTTTTTCAACTAAACATTTAAAGGAGTAAATCATCATCAAATTCAAACTCACCGCCATTGTCCGATTGAGCATAACACGAAACTTCTGAACAATTCCGTTGACCAGATCCTCATCGGTTGCAAAACAGAACCCATCCTTCAGAAGAACCTTCCGCTGCCCAACCAGGTCGGGACAATCAGCAAAGAAGATCTTGTAAACTTCCCTCTTATCCGTCTCGCTTTCTAATGTCCCACCAAGAACAAGGTCACTGACCAATTCCATTCTCTCCTTGGCATCGCATTCGATTGGGGGGATTTGGCATCGGCTAAAGTAATCTTCCTTTAATGCTCCGGCTCCATTCTCCATTATCCTGATCTTCAAAAGAGCACATTCTTGTTCCACAAACCAACTTTGTTTCTCTGGTTTTTGACTGCAGACCAATCGTAGCAAGAAATGTGATATCATATCCCTTCTCGCATAATATTCCATTTTGTTGGAACTACAAGCGTGGAAAAATAATGGTTGAATAGGCATTATCTCCTAAAATTAACAGTTTCAAAACTAATAAAACAAAAAATCCCCACCTTCTTAAACTTTTCGATGAAATCTTTGCCCATCATTTTATCTCCAAGCCGCAGATTCTCAAGTTTGGTCAGAATCATAAACCTCTCGTCGAGTAATTCGTATAGCTCATGTTGTCCTAGCTCTTCCTCTGGCGGGTCAGCATAAAACGTTAACTTTTTGTGCTAAAACGAATGTATTCTATAAAGCAATACTTTAGAACTTACCATTTTCACAGGATTCGTCCTATCTGTATATGGCATTTTCTGGAGGATGTTGAGATTTATAAGACTGGAAACTGCTCCGCCTTTATTCACCGCAGGTGAAGTTATCGTAAAATTTGTGGAGAACCTTCCACGAATTTACTAAATTTTTATAAAAAAAAATTTATTTTCAATCTGTTCGAATTTATTTTTGGCGGGAAAGGTCTCGCTGCGGGAGACCAAACAGTGAATTCACTAGTGAAGCATGCTCATCAACCATGATCTTCCATTTTAAAATTTTACACAGTAAAAAGAGCGCACCAAATTTTTATGAATGTAATGTATGTATGCAATCAGTGCAAATGTTTTAGATGATCTTCTTCGTAATAAATTACACGTTTGAACTGACAAGGGAAATTCTACTACAGTGCAACGCTCAGATTTTCTTTAAACCTTGCAGACGTGTCATGCCACATATCAATTCCTGAAAGTTTTACCTCGCACTTTCCAGAGATGGTCGAGACATTCAACGATTCTTGGCGCCGAGAGACTACGCGAAACGCGTGGGGAAAAACTTGATTTTTTGTGGAAACATTACCCTCTACGGTAGAATTTATTCCTAAAAGAGTGTCAATTTTTGTTGACTTTTGATCTAAAATCTGGGTCGTTTCTGCAAAGCGCGAGCTAGAAGTCTCGAATTTATCTTACAAGGGAAGCACCCCAAGTGCGACACTCCGATTTTCTTTAAATTTTGCATACACCTCGGTCATGAGCTAATTATCAATTCCTGAAAGCTTTAGCTCGCGCTTTGTACTAAGCGCCGCCGGGATATTGAACGATCTTTGCCGCCGAGAGAGTACGCTAAACGCGGAGAGCGGCCAGACAGAAAAACACTTTTTGGCCATAACTTTGCTAGTTTCGTGCGGAAAAAAATGATTTTTTGTGGAAACATTACCCTCTATGGTAGAAACAGGCATGAAGCCTTTCGTGCCGAAATTCGGCAAAAAATGTCAAATATTCACCAAATTTCGATCTAAAAATCTTGGTTATTTCTCCAAAGCGCGAGATAGGATTCTCGAATATTTTTTAGAAAAAATTATTCTGAATTTGTGCCAAGTTTCATCAAAATCTAAGCGTCGCACTTGGACTGAAAAATACTTTTTTTGGGGTCCATAATGGGCAGAAACCACAATGGTTAGATTTCTAAAATGCTCGAAAATATCATCAATATGTACTCTTATGTCTTTGTAAAATATCTGTATTTTATGTTATTTTTATGTTAAATTTTTTTACAGAGTGTAATTTACGAAAATAGTACACATTTTATGTGATAAAAATGTAATTTTCGGATACGTATAAGCTTTGATATAAAACCGTTAGAACTGTTAGTCGAAAATCCACTATTCTTAGAAAAAATTAAGAAGTTACATTTTCATTTTACTCTGTAAAAGAATAAGGTAAAATTCGAAAATATTGATACGATTTTTGTAATCAGCTACCTTGATTACCAAAAATAAATCCACCATTTTTGGCAAAAAAATTAAATTTTTAATTATACTCTGTAAAGAATGTAAAAATAATGTAAAGAACACCTTTTTTACAAAGATATGAGGGTATTGATGGTATTGCCAGGATTCTAGAAACCTGCCCATTACGGACCCCGCAAAAAGTATTTTTCAGTTTCCGCAGTTGACGAAGTTCCTTGACCATCATGTTTTTCACCTATTTAAAGTTGTATACACGGGCAGAAATGATGACATGAAACTCTATGATTTAATTTTATATTCTTCTGTTCATGAGAGGATTACCGCAATTGTTGACAACAGTGTCATCGACAAGCTCATCTATGTACACAAGTTGGTCGATGAGTAAACATGGTGATGATATCTAAGTGGTGGAACAGTTGTTTATAACAAGGGCGCTGAACGACGGCACAGTCGGCGTCGCGACGGACTGATTCCACGCCCCTTTCTCGAACAAAAAACTTACGGAAGAGGATCCGTTTGTCGAGATCTTGGTCTTCATCGCCGTTTTCGGGGGATCAGTGCTTTCTCTCCCGACCCTGCGGGCATTATCTTGTCGCCGCTTTCGTCGAGAAAAAGCCCCTTGGGGTTGTTCACTTTTTTGCCTCCGGCATTCGCACTGATAACCGGTTGTTTTCATATTCTGATTATCCTGGGCCCAAGCCCCGCCCTCTTTTAAGAACGGTGGATTTGTGGATGTTCTTCTCAAATGAATGTGAGTGCTATTGTATTCTAGTGATTGTTGAGCTGCAATGGGACCAAACGGAAAGTTTATGAGGGCTAATTGTAAACTAATCGAAACAAATTAAAATCTTTTACAGAGTAGATTCAGGCGCTTTCTTTTTCCTGAATTCGATTCCTCAAAACAAATCCCAAAATTCTGGTTTTTCTGACGAAAGCAGTAAAAATATCAAGAGATCTTGTCGCGAAACAGGTTTACTTCATCAGATTTATGTTAATGAACGTAACAAATTGGGTATCTTCAGAACATCCACCTTTGCCTCACCCAAAATGGAGGAACCCAGGCAATCCAGCAAGGCCAAGTCGCAGGACCATCATGTATCCAACGACAGAACAACAACAATTCTCGGGACAACAATGTTTTGCAGTTTAGTCATCCTGAATACACCTTCCAATATGAATCCGAATATCTGCAACAACCTCATTCTTACAGTAATTGCATGAATGTGGTGCAAACACAACAACTAACGAGGTTACAACATTACAGTCAAGTAAGGATTCAGCAATCTTTAGTACTAGTCGCGGCATAAAGTTCCGGCACATTTGCACAGTGCGTTTTTGTTTTTCTTTCGCGCCCGTCGCGGCAATTCCCCGTTTTTGCGACATGCACTTCCCACGTGAGTTCGCAACATCCGCAACAAATGTGTCGGGACTTTATGCCGCGACTTGTAGAGTGTTGTTTTAGAATGGAAACAACTATTCAAATTCTTCTCTTCAACCGGGCGAATGTAGATTTGTGCAAGTGGATCAGCAACAATTCAATAATCTTAGTTCTTCCTTCCCTTTCCCTCTCAAGCATGAAAACGATACGGTAAGAAAAATGAAAAAAAATGTATGTTCAAATTATAGGAACCTTCGTCAGATGAATCGAATATCAGTGAACATCAGAATGGAGTCATCAGGAAAGGTGAGGCACCCCAAACTTTACTACGCAACACTTTTTCAGCAGAAAGAATCCGCACCATGAAAGATTTCCTGCCCAGCACCATCTCGATGATCAACCCCCAGCTGAGTTGTCTGATCCATTCCGAAGAAGCCGGTCTTCTGAATCCCATGGCTACTTTCTGCTCCGTACCGGGCCGTCTTAGTTTACTTAGCAGTGCAGCCAAGTACAAGGTTACAGTAGGAGAAATCCAGCGTCGAATAAATCCACCAGAATCCCTGAATGCTTCCGTCTTAGGGGGAATTCTAAGACGAGCCAAATCGAAGGATGGCGGAAAGTCCTTGAGGGATCAGCTGAAGGTCGTAGGACTTACATTACCAGCGGGACGACGAAAAGCTTCCAATGTAAATTCGTTGACTGCACTTGTTGAATGTAAGTGTTATATTCACAGTGACATGTCATCGTTTTTTAGACGAAGCCAGCCAGCTAGCGGTTGACTTTGATAAATTGTGTGAGAATGACTTCCCATCCAAAGAAATGGCGGAATATATTTTTAAAACAAGGTGTCAGGACGAAGCCGTCCGAGAACAAAGGAAAAGCATGATCCTCATGACAAAGTAAGTACACGGCCACTTTTTGCAACCTTGTAACAGACAGTTGGTGCAAGAATTCAACACTATTCTCAGCTTGGATGGGAGTCCGTCTTGTAACAATTCTCCTCGACAAACGCTGGATCCTGTCATTCAGATACCTTTAACGCATTTCTCATTGGTAAGCCTTTATCACCCTCGACTATACAGGGTGTTTCAAGAAATTTTGGACAAATTATTTGCTTATATCTTTGTGCTTTTTGTAGCTATCTCAGAGGTTCAAGTTGTATTTAAAATTTGAAGTCGTGCGTTTTTAGAATATGCAAAAGAATTTTTTCTTGTCTCGGCGGAGAGACCATTTTTCGGCGGAGACATTTGATGTCTTTTTTGAAAATCACACCTCGATACAAAGCCCAGTTATTTCTACTACGGATGAAATTATGTTTACCACATCTAGAAGGACGTAATCTGTTAGTCTCGGTAGCTTGGCGGATGTCTCGCACATCGGCGAAGGCTCGGCGGAGACTTTTTCACTTGCGGAGGCCTTTTTGGGGACTTGGCTTTTGCATATCAAATTGAAAAATTTTCTCCCGTTAGATAAACTTCCTTGGTTTATCTTGCATTGATTGCTCCATTCGGAGCAGTGGAAGTCAATTGAGCCTAAAAAATGTGTCATCTTTGATGAAAGATTGGGGCTAGCACTCCTTTTGTGCCACTTCCGTGCCCTGAGACTTCTTGAAACTTTAAAAAATCCTCCGCCGAATTCTCCGCCAGCCTTTAAACATGAAAAAAAGAAAAATCAAGGCAAGGTAGATGGTAATGCGAAGTGACTAGCAAAAAAATCATCAACTTCTCTCCAATCCGATCTGCGTAATTCAAGCCTCCAAAACGTCCTACGCAAGTGAAAACGTCTCCGCTGAGCCTTCGCCGATGTGCGAAACATCCGCCAAGCTACCGAGACTAACAGATTACGTCTTGCCAGATGTGGTAAACCTAATTTCGTCCGTAGTAGAAATAACTGGGCTTTGTATCGAGGTGTGATTTTCAAAAAAGACATCAAATGTCTCCGCCGAAGAATGGTCTCTCCGCCGAGACAAGAAAAAATTCTTTTGCATATTCTAAAAGATATAAGCAAATAATTTGTCCAAAATTTCTTGAAACACCCTGTAAAATATAATAAATACAGGTCACACATGGATTCGGTGGATCGGCGGTTCAGTCTAGTCTCAATGCCTTCAGCAATTACCTCAACGAGTTATTAAGGATCATGGAAACCACAGAACTGTAATATGTACATTCCAGTATAATATATTTATTGCATCCGGTATAAAAGAATCATTACATTCCTTGGGGATAGATGGAATGTGATGGAGTGAAAGAGCGAAGTCAGTTGGTGTCGGTGACCAGAAGTTCAGGGACTTTCAGGTCCTCGGACCCATTTTCTAATTCGAATTTCCTTTTTCGACACTTTGAGATGGGCCATTCTTGATTTGGAAGGAGGCCTTCTTTCATTTCTACATTAAGATCTTCAATTATATCACATAATATGGTACATAAGGAGTTGATTCCTAAAAGATATCCTTCATCCACTCCCTCGTAGACTTTATCCTCCAGAAATCCAGGGAAAGTTGAGTGAGCGAAGTCGATCATGCTGACAACAACATCCGAGGAAGATGAAGGGTTTCCATCGAAGGCTATCAGCAGGGAAGAAGAGAAGAAACGAAAGCCTTCAGAGCTGCTCATTACTTTAGATAAGGCCAGTAATCGTTCCAAGAATTGTTTCGATCTTTGAAATCCCGCTGTTCTAGATGGACATAACAATTAATATGATTTACATACCTAAAGTAAACAGATAAAGCCGAAATGAATTGGATCCTGTCCATCCTTCTTCCCTCATACTTGTTAACATAGACAAAAGATTTGGTTCTCCGATCGTATAATTGCATCCCCACCATCCTGACCCCCATCTCCTCACTTGTGGATTGTCTGCATTTCTGATGTTGACTTAGTCTTTTCTGAGCAGAGGCATCGTCCCCGTATTGTCGTGTGCCCATTTTAAGATCGACGACACACGGCCGAGAGAAGGAGGAGACCATATCTTCCAGGACGATGAACCACTTGTCATAACCGTTCACCAGTTTTTGAACAACCTGATAAATGACCGTATTTTGGAAATTAGATCATGATCCTATCTTTTCCAAATCCTTACCTTGCTCTGACATTGTCCAGCCCAAGCGTTGGTAACACTCTCTGCCTCAACTCTTTTGTTGCGCAACCGAAAAGTCATCTTTCTTTCGTCACCCCCATTCCCGTCGTTCTCGGCACTTGTAGAAACCGCGTCATCCTTGTCACAAACACAAAGAATGTTCTTCGGAGAATGGCATTGGATCGTCTGATCGGTACTCATAGACACGGCCCCATCTTGAGACGTACTTAAGTTCACTCGAATTCGACCTAAACTTAAATATTAATCATTAAGAAACCAACTGACCACAAAAATTTGGCGTAAATGACTGCAGATCAGCAGTTATTTGCTGATAAAAAGAATATTCCCGCTGATTCAGTGGTTTGCAAACATGGCCGGAACAAGTCAAGAGGCCGAAATGTCCACCAACTTGATGCGGAAAACCAGTTACATCCATAAAATTATACAATCCTGAAATCATTTATATTAGTGATCGACAACAAAATAAAAAAATGCATATGGACAGAAGAAACAAAACCCCAAATATTGAATTTAAAAGCAACGAAAGCGAGATAAACATGGATGGGCGAGACGGAGAGGTGTCTCTTCGAGGGAAAAAGAAAACGGCCGAGACTCCTATGTCCCATGCCGACGAAAAGGAAGAAAAAGAAATGCCCCACGGCATTACGCCGGGAAGAGGCCCTAAAAACCTTTTGCTTTCACATTCTTAAAACCATTGGGTCCCTGGATGAGGAATGGGAACCTTAAGGTCATCCCAGCTCGAGGTTCTAGTACAAGGTCATTGGTATTGGGTGGCCGCTTCGTTGGATGAAACAAGTTTGACCCTGAGGACACTAGATCCTGAATCAGATCCCAATACTTCCAACAGACCTGCTCCTGGGGCCGAAAACGAACCCCGGTTTGTGAGGATTCAGAAGACCGATGGCAATGGATTGGGAATCAGTATTACAGGAGGGGCCGAGAATGGACGACCGATCGTTATCAGGCAAGGATTGCATTTAAAGTAGAACATGTTCTAACGACCACTCGAAAAAACCTCTCCATCAATTTATTTTTAGTAAGATATTCCCGGGAATGGCAGCCGACTTGACTGGACAATTATTTGTGGGCGACGCAATCTTATCAGTGAACGGCGAGTCTCTCGTTAATTCTAAACATGACGAAGCAGCCAGAGCTCTAAAAAGAGCTGGAAAAATTGTAGATTTGCAAGGTAAAATAAGAATAAGAGATACGATTACCCTAATTGCAGTCAAATATGCCAAAGATACATACCACCCAGAAAACTTCCTAGATATCATAGAATGGGAGAATGACCTCACAATGCAACGACCTCAAATCAGAAGATTCAACCTCAAACTATCATTTGTCACACGGTAAATTTGCAACTCTCATACTCAAAAAGACTTTTAGAACCAGTTTGGATCGAGAAGATATTGAGAACAGAACATTTGAAATCCGCTCTCACAGCGCAAGACACGTTCTGACTCTCAGATGTATGAACGCTATGGAAGCAGACTCCTGGTTCGAGAGTGTTCATGTCTGTGTAGATGCTCTTCTTACTCAATCACTGGCTCAAGTCAACCTCATTCTAGGACAGAATCCCCAAGTCAGGAAAATGGGATGGTTGGCCGAGCAGGTACAACTCCATAAAAAATATTTTAAAATAAATTTAGACAGTACAAGATGGGATTCTAGTCTGGAAACCTGTCTTTGCCGCTCTCACCTTGAACGACCTCCTTCTCTACGACTCAGTCCCAGCCATAAAGCAGGAATGGGCTACTCCCACTACCACAAGACCATTGATTGCGACTCGAGTTGTACAAACTACAGCCAGAACATATCCAGTCATCAGCGGACTGTCTGATGTCATCAGTTTTACAATCCGAACAGGGACCCAAGACGGAATTCGATCTAATCTTCTTCGGGTTGAAACCCATAGAGAACTCTCAGCGTGGGTCAAATCCATTATCCACTGCACTTATGAGGCTTGTTCTGACACTGCACAAGTAACAGCTCGTAAGTTTACCCACAAAATATATTTTTTAAATTCAGCATGCGTATGGCAAGATCAAGAGTGTCAACTGATAATTGACCTTGATAAAGGAATCTATCTCAACAACCGCATAGGAAACGAACTTCTTTGGCAGCATCCATTCGAATCCATCAGAGCGACCGGGGACGATGGCCGCCAATTCCTATGGATAGACTTCGGTCCGCCTAATGGAGAACAAGAATTAGACCTACTGGGTTCGCCTAAGGCCGTTGTCTTCATCCTCCACTCATTCCTCGCTACCAAAGTATATCAACTCGGACTTTACGCATAAAGTACAAAAGGCGTAATAACCTCTATTACAATAATTTCAAATCATTAAAAATTTTTATTCAAAACAAACAACAAGAACCATAAAAAATAAAAACAAAACTCATCCAAGCTTGGGAGCGCCATACGCATCCGGCATTCTCTCGATTGTGTATCTGTGGTTCTTTATGAACATGATCGGAACTCCGGGCAGTTTCCGGATCCTCATCCGCAAATCTTTATCGCATGTGGCAACAATATAACATTTGTGCTAAAAAAATGAAAGCGAAATCCGACGTGCATACCTGTGTGACTCTCTGCACCAAACAATCATCAGCATAAGTTCCTTTATGAGTGCATTGAAGTCTCTGGAAACGACTGTCCTTGATTATCTTGAGAGCCAGCCTGAACTTTCTTCCCATCTTTTCTAATTCTCCCATAACACAATCAGTAATGTAAGGGATCGCTAAAAATATACTACTAAAAAACTCATGAACTTACTCTTTGCAAACAGACAGTCCATAAATCCCTGCATCATATCGAGTTTATTTTGGATGGAAAAATTGACAAAATTTGTATCAACCAAGACGTGGAATGGAGGGCCAAGTTGACTGTTATACTTTAGAAACATTGCTGACGATATACGAGGACTAAAGCAACAAATTTGCTGTTAAGTTTTGTTTCATGAAACTCACGCTTGTGTCAATTTGAATTCATGTTCATTCGCTTTCTTTTGCTTCGTTACACGACTCTCAGCCTTGCTAAAAGCATAACTTCTAATAAATAAGAGTCACTCACATTCTTTCGTCTGTTTGTTTTATGACCGCTTTCTGCTTCGACAACTTTTGTTTGAACTTCTTGTCCGCCTTAACTCTGCCCTAAATTCATAAAATAAGTCACATACTTGAAATACCCATATTACTTACCATTTTGACTTAAAATTCACCGGGATCAGAAGCGCTGCTCGCAGCTAGCTGCTCAAAACTTTCCAATCTTTTTATTCTTTTTTACTACGAAAATCAATAGTGTCAACGACGGAATGACAACAGAAATTAATAAATATTATTTTCTTCGTTGAAAACTTTTTTCATATGATCGTTTCGTCAGAATTATGTCCGGTAGAGCCAAAACAAGCGATGAGTTACTCCAAAGTCTTTTTCACGATATCCAACAGACTGGCCCGGTGGGATTTCCCTTTATTATGTTTATTTTTTAGGTGAATGTGGACGACATTTTAATTGATGGGACGACAAATAACAAGAGAAAGAAAGGGAAGAAGTCCAAGAAGGAGAGGGAAGGGGAAACCAGCAGTAAGAAAAATAAAAAGGAGAAGGAAACTATCGTGGAAGACAATATAAAAGAAAAGAAGGTAAGTTACTCAGTTAGTTAACAACTGTTATATAGGAAAAGAAGCATAAGGATAAAGAGAAAAAGGAAAAACACAAAAGCAAGGAAAACAAAGACGGGAAACGAAAAGAGGACAAGGAAAAAAAGAAAAAGGTAGGCGTAAAGGGTGGAGCAAGTAAGTTATGCCAATTCAAATCGGGCTAAAGATTCCCCACCCAATACTTGAACAAAAAGATATGTTTCAGGATAAGAGCTTATCAAAGGAAATGAAAGAAGATGAGAAGCTCCCTGAAAAGAAGGTCAGAGAATGGGATATTGGGAAAAGGCCAGTGAATCAGAATGATAGAAGAATTCAGAAAAGCAGAAGCAGAAGTCCACTAAGAATTAAACGAGGGCGATTATCCCCAGTATATTCCGCCAGGGGCAGTAGTATACGTAGTCCTCCTCGAAAGTCCGGTAGAGGTAGAGATGGATCGAGAGGAAGTATATCTCCAATCAGAAATGGCCGTTCCTCTCCTAGAGCATCTACTAGAAGAAGCAGATCCCCTTATCGGCATCCCTTTAGGGCGGAAAGGTAATAATTGAACTTATCTGAACAATTTTATGTTTTTAGGTATTATTCAAGACGCAGTGGCTTTGGTTTTGACCGGATATCTAGGTCCAGGTCTCGTTCGTGGTCCCCACACAGGTTTAAACGGAGGAAGTCATCACGCTCTCCTCAGCCTAGAGAATTGGATGAAATGAAGGTAGACAAGAAAGAATTGATTGCCATTGCCGAGAAGAATGCTTATAAATTGATGATGGCTGGAAAGTTGCCTAAAAACTTTAACATCTCTGCGAGTTTGCGAGAAAAGAGTATAAAGGAATTGATAAGTAAGTTTTGATAGATCTTTAGAATTTACTTATTACTTGTAGAATATTGTGAAGATATCAGTTCCAAGAAATTCACTCTTCCTGTAAATGAAACTCTGATCCAAGAAACGGATCAGGACTTTGACTTCACAACTTTACCCGTAAAGGCGGCTATAAAGTTAAATGTCGGGACTGCCATGAAACCGAAATCAGCATTGGAACGGTTGATTGAAGAGAGTGCGCTGAGGAAAGCATTCCCGGTTTCTTCAGGCGATAAATACGGCGATGAAGAATGGGAGCCAGTTCCTGTTGAAACGACCGTGGTTACAGCGCTCAGCAGCAAGAAAGTGAAAGTGGCCCCAGTTTATTTGTTCTCCGATCCTCCGCCACCAGCCCCAGTGCCGCCACCACCTCCAAGGGGCTCCGAGGTACGACTAGTTTAGATGCAGTTTGAGTAAGTATTCTTTAGGTCTTAGAACCACCTTTCCCTCCACCACCGTCCGCCCCCATCTTGGACTGGGCCTTGCTTCAACCCCCTCCGCCCCCTCCTGTTTGTGCTGGATTTGATGCCCCAGCCATAACGAAGGAGATCCCCGCACCACCTCAGATTATATCCGACTTTTCTGAGTTGTTATCAGAAGACGAAAAGAAGGACATTTTGGAGGGACGTCTTCCTCAAGAACCGGAGCCTATGGACATCGAGGAGGGAGAGATCATTCCTCCACTAACCAGATGGGAACCCATTGCCCTTAATGGATTTGTGCAAATAAAAAGAAAAAAGAAGGACAAGGTTAAAAAGGACAATGAAAAGAACGGTGGTGCCAAAGAAAAGGAGATTTTAACAAAAGAATCAGAAGCTGATGATGTTAAACCGGCTACATCTAGTGCGAAACCTTTGGACGAGGTTGGATGTATTGTTAGAGATCTGTTGGAAGAGTTAGTCTCAAAGATAGTGAAAGAAGAACGGAGTTTTGTATGTCTGGATCAGGATGAATTGGAAATGTTAACTGATATGTTGGAAGACAGCGAAGAGATAAAAGGCGCGGACGCAGGGAATAAGGAAAAAGAAGCGGAAGTTGATCAACAGGATGCTAGTCAGGGTGATGGTAGTTCAAGTGACAGTGACGACTCAGAAGAGGGGCCTATGCCCATGCTCGAGAGGGATAACGAAAAGATAATAGCCATTGGGGAGTCCGTCTTTGGATCATTTCTGGAGATCCCTAATTTCTCATCTGATATCTCTATGCTCCCTGCTGTTGTATGTTTTCCCTTTATTTACATGTATGTTTTTGTTTTAGGCACCAGTTAGATGTGGACATCTGGTAGCTGAGAGGGCGCGGTTAACACAACATCTCTCTCAATTTCCAAATGATTTTGCGACAAGAATGGCATTGGCCGACATTGAGTTAAAGGTAGGGGGACAATACAGAGGGGATATAATCGAAGATAGATTCGTGAAATTTCTGATGTGTAAAATAACACATCTTAGGTGTTTTTATCTTATAACAAATGCCGTTTAAAATACAATTTTTCTAAAAGTCAAGCGCAGGTAAAAAACCCTGGCTACACGAAAAATCAAACTGCTTGATTTTTCTTTAAATTTGGAAAACTACAGGGTGGTTCAGCCGAAGCTTCCACCCTTATTTCAAGGATTTCTCCGTCAATAATGCACCAATTTCTATAAAATTTACATCAAATTGAAGCTGATGCGCCCCATTTTTTGTCCCCCAAATATGACGTACCCAAGTTGAAGGAGGCCCCCGTACTGACCTTTGACATTTTCATTCCAAATTTTAAAGCTCGAAATCGGTGAAACTTAGAAAATTTTTGCAATGATTTTCAATTGAGTTTCTCGGGCTTGGAAAATATTCGAGTCTCTGGCGAAATGAAACTTTTATAAGTAGCAGAAAAAGTTGACGGCAGGCAACGGAATAGCCATAATTATTCTTCAAGGCATTATTCTTGTTATTTTGGGGTAGCAATCTTAATTAATCGAAATTTTTAAAAATTCGAACAAATGCTCGAGACTGTCCACATGCATGAAGACATTCACCCCCGAAAATGCATAACAAGTTTCCAGGCCTAGATTGCCCGAGAAGAGATTTTGTTCTGATTCGTCCGACTTGGTACCTCGCCTGGAATAAAATATGCGTTTTAAGAACTTGTTACTTACGTGAACTTCACTTTTTAAAATTTTTTCATCGAATTTGGCAACTTTGTCTTAGCCGAAAATCCAAAAATTTTCCAAGTCCGAGAAACTCAATTGAAAATCATTGCAAAAATTTTCTAAGTTTCACCGATTTCGAGCTTTAAAATTTGGAATGAAAATGTCAAAGGTCAGTACGGGGGCCTCCTTCAACTTGGGTACGTCATATTTGGGGGACAAAAAATGGGGCGCATCAGCTTCAATTTGATGTAAATTTTATAGAAATTGGTGCATTATTGGCGAAGAAATCCTTGAAATAAGGGTGGAAGCTTCGGCTGAACCACCCTGTATAGCTACGTACCATTCTAAGAAACTTTCCCGTTAACTTTTTTTCGAAATCTTACTGTACTTTGGGTTACGGTAACATGACTCGTTTTGTCATAACTCGAGAACCGGATGTCGTAGCGAGACGGGGTTTTTACCAGTATGTTCAGCATACCGAAAGACGGTTTTTTGTTAGCTACACCAAGTTTCGAAGACGCCGGTAAGTGACCAAAAAATTTGAATATTTATGCAAAAATTCAAAAATATGCAAATTTCTCGAAAATTTAACCCAAATTATGCTCATTTTTATTTGATGTGTCGAAAATAGAAGTCATAACGGTTCCAACGGTGTAAAAAACTTGAACGTGCGAACCGAGCTGTCTGAGAACGGGCTGTTTGAAGTTGGGGCACCCAGTCACGAATGAGCAAAAAATCGGAGTAAACCGCATAAAATCATTGTTAAATGGCAAGAATGGAAAGTAAATTTTGTTATTACATCGTATCGGTCACAATAGAAGATTTTCCACATAATTTTCATTAATTTGCATATTTTGGAATTTCTTGCATTTACGGCTGCATCAGCCGCCAGGTAGGCGTGGACATGGGAAAAGATCGATTTTAAGTTTTTTACATTAAAATGACTGTTGGAAGGTGCTAAGCAAAAGCGAACAATATTTTCTCCCAAATCCTTCATTAAGGTATATTTTTACAACATTTTGTCGATAATTGCAAGTAATTCCAAAATATGCAAATTTATGAAAATTATGTGGAAAATCCTCTATTGTGACCGATACGATGTAATAACAAAATTTACTTTCCATTCTAGCCATTTAACAATGATTTTATGCGGTTTACTCCGATTTTTTGCTCATTCGTGACTGTGTGCCCCAACTTCAAACAGCCCGTTCTCAGACAGCTCGGTTCGCACGCCCAAGTTTTTTACACCGTTGGAACCGTTATGACTTCTATTTTCGACACATCAAATAAAAATGAGCATAATTTGGGTTAAATTTTCGAGAAATTTGCATATTTTTGAATTTTTGCATAAATATTCAAATTTTTTGATCACTTCCCGGCGTCTTCGGAACTTGGTGTAGCTAACAAAAAGCCGTCTTTCGGCACGCTGAACATACTGGTAAAGGCCCCGTCTCGCTACGACATCCGGTTCTCGAGTTATGACAAAACGAGTCATGTTACCGTAACCCAAAGTACAGTAAGATTTCAAAAAAAAGTTAACGGAAAAGTTTCTTAGAATGGTACGTAGCTATAATTTTCCAAGTTTAAAGGAAAATGAAGCAGTTTGATTTTTCGTGTAGCCAGGGTTCTCCAAGCATAGAAAAAACGTGTTTTAAGTCATGAAACCAGGGTAATGTCATTCGAAAAAATCTATTTGGAATGATCTTTTCACGATTTCATGACTCTAAACGGCGTTTATAGCCTCGAGATGATACAGTGGTGGCATGGAGGACGACAAAGTGGTCAAGCAAGATGGACGACTCGCCTTTTTTACTTTTGATCATTTTTATTCCGTTCTTTTCGTTGATTTCCGGGAATTTTTATGTCGCGGAATGCAAATGATCAAGGGTAAAACAGGTTTCAGGTTAATTAATCGATCATGAGCGAAGATTGTAGTCGGCCAGGATTTGGAAATGGTCTCCAATATGATTGGATCGCTTCATCGTCGTCATCAGAATCATCATCGGTACTTGTATTGTAATTATAATAACAAAAGAGTGTTATAATTACAATAGAATAAGCCTAAAATGGGGTCAGTCAGAAGATAAGCCAGAAACAGGGCTTAATTGCTTTGAAATTGACAGTCTTGATTTATCTTCTGAATGATCGGTCCAACAATAATCTTTTATCCCATAATCCCATTTCTGATGATTTTAGTTAAGTCGATGGGCCGAGAGCAAAGAACGAGGCTCAGCCAAGTTTGGAGTGGCCCCGTTGATGGACGCCAACTATGAATCCAGGGTACCCAGCAACAGTGTCTGGGCGACTAAAGTAAGGTCTTCATTTTTGTTATTCCCATATTTTAGGACACCCTGAGAAATGCTCCTCAGCTGACGACGGGAATTGGAGCTCATCTTCTTCAAAAGATGGGATGGGTGCCTGGACTGGGGCTTGGCCGGAAGATGGATGGACCAGTGGAACCTCTGATCTTGGACGTGAAATCAGACCGAAAGGGACTATACTCCGACATCGATAAGAAACCTCCCAAGCGAGAAAAAGTCGCCGATCTTAATGGTAAGGAGACCTAACGGCCAAAATTTGATTTTGTCAGGCAAAAACCCGGTCTCTGTTATAATGGAGCACTGCAGTAAAAACGGGCTCCCGCCACCCTATTTTACTCAAACTGAAGAAGGATCTCAACATTGTAAACGTTTCGGATGCACCGTAGGTCATGGTTAAACACAATCTTATTACTTTTTAGGCCGTTTTGAATGGAATCGAATACAATGCCGCCTGTGCCTCGACAAATAAAAAAGCGGCCAAGGCACAAGTATGTCTGATTATGTGTCGAGCATTGGATCTGGGTCAGGATTGAAATCAATCTTGTTACATGTTATTGTTGTTATGGGTATACAGAAATATTAAATTATAAATTCGTAGATTAATCAGTCCAATCAGCGAGGAATAGATTTAAATCGTATGGGGATTTCCCATTCCGGCTGCTTCCCCAGATTACTTTTTTCCCGTTTCGACTTTGCATTGGAAAAGCATCGAATCCACCTTCGTTGTAGGTGATCTAAAGTAATGTTGGCGGGGAAGATAACCCTTACCCTCTCCACTCCTTCACCATTCTGATTGACCATGTAGATATCAAAAGCTCCAAATCTACCTGTCTGATTAAAATTGGTACTGTATAGAATACGATTGTTGTCGACCAAGAAGAAAGGAGCCCAATTAGAGCCCCCCAGTTCTGTGATTTGTTTCATTCCAGTCCCATCAACGTTTATTTCGAACAATTCCATGGCCAAGGGTTCAACCAGGTTGTAGCTAAAGTTAAATAGTAATGGTTACTCCGTCATTTATAATACCTCAATAATTGTTTGTATTTTGTAATTTCTTCCTTTGTTTTGGGTCTTGAAGCGCGGAAAATTACTTTTGTTCCATCTGGAGAGAAGAAAGGACCTCCATCATACCCAAGATGGTTGGTTAACTAAAGCAAGATAAATCAGAATCGTATTCTACCTGTCTCAAATTGTCACCATTCTCGTCCATCAGCCACAACTCCGGATCTCCAGTTCTGAGTGATGTGAATACAATATTCTTACCATCCTTTGAAACTGCACCTTCAGCATCATATCCGGGGACATTAGTCAGTCTTTTGATTATATTCCCGTACCTATTTACTTTGTAGATGTCGTATTCGGGGAACAGATCCCAAGTATAGGATGTATTGCAAAGTCTTTTGAGAAGAGGATCAGTTGTGGCTTCCTTACTTTGACATCTCTTCACGGGGCAAGTATTTTCGAGATGATCTGGTCTGACCGAAGCAAAGGTAGATGCGTATATCATAGTCTGGTCATTCGGAAAGAAGTAGGAGCAAGTGCAAGCTCCAAGGCCTGTGCTGATTCGCTGCAAAGGCGTTGAGGAATCCACGGATTGCTCGATGTTTAATTTGTATATCTGGGAATGACGCTTTAATATTTATTATACAACTTTCTTACCTGATCGCACGAGGTGCCGTATCTTTCCCTTCCGGTTGCTTGGAATAGAATATTTTTGGATTGGAAATCAAAATACCCTTCGGCATTTTGTCCGCCGAAAGTGAGTTGTCTGATCGAATTGAGATGTTTCTCTCCCGGGTAATGTAATTGTGACATTTCATGTTCCTCGTTCAACTTTTCTATGCCGTTTTTTCTTATCCAATTGGTGTCAGCTACTAGAATATTCCATTCCGAGTCTTCTTTACTCGCCCAGACCACTTTCTTTCCGTTTCCGGACACCATCGGATAATCATTTGAGTCGGTGAATGTAATCTGTAGACAAATTCTACTTTGTTTTTTATAACTACCTGACTCAGATCTTTTCCATCAATCCCGATCGTATAAATTTGGCGTCCCGAATTGTGATTGGAGCTGAAGATTACTGTAGTTTCATCGATGAATTTGGGATGTCTGACGCTTCCTCCAAGAAAAGTTATTTGTTTTCGATTACTTCCATCAGCATCCATCGAAAATAATTCTGTCTTACTTTTATCCATCAAAGAGTAACTAAAAAGTAAATTTTCTTCCTTAATACTAGCTTACTGTAACAATTTCTGATATCGTCCAGTGTTTTTGATATTCGCAGAAATAAACACAATTTTCTTGCCCTCAGGGGAAATAGCTGCTTCTCCATCATAGCCAATGTGATTTGTGATCTGTATATCAGTCTGTCGGAAAAATAACGGCGGATCGTCGCATCAAAATGTCTCGCCTCGCCGATGTCGCGCACCAAATCCCAAGCCGCGGCTTGCAGTCGCAAAGCGATGATGGGCGATTCGGAGGCGCGACGATCCGCCGTTTTTTTCCCGACAGACCGATATTAAAATCTACAGATTAAGATATAATAGTACAGGGTGATCAGAGAAATAAAAACGTTTTTGTCATCTCCTTCGCGTTATATTTCTCTTTTCTTATATTTAAACTTTAGAGACTGGCGTACAAGTGGCAATCGGGCCGAAACGGTCAGACCGGCCTTTCCAAACTTTTGCTCAGGCCCGGCTCGATTGCCACCTCTATCTAGGCTGACGGAGATAGGCTCAAGCCAGCCCCTAGAATGGCCCCGTTGGTAAAAAAAAGTCTCCACCGAGCCTTCGCCACAGTGTAAAACAACCGCCATACCCTCGCCAAACGCTTGGTAACCATAAAAATGAGCAAATACCTTCTTCCCAGCCATCAGCAACATAAAAAACGCTTAGGATTGGTGTGGTGACCAAGAAGTGCCACAAAAGTCTCCGCCGAATACACTACTTTCCGCGTTGGCGGAGAAAATTTCTTTTTTGTGCGAAAGCCGCCCATCTTCTTCTTTCTTCAACGGAAAGAATTTCTTAGATATCTTGAGCGCCAAGAAACGCCCTGTATAAGTTAATTGGTATAATATGTAGCAAAAATGGCTGACCCTTTCTCTCTCTTTTTGTTCTTGATTATATTTCCAGATTTCAGGATCTCCAGATTCTGTGGAGGAATACAGTAGTCCTCCATCCGCGGTGACTGTAACTTCTCCGTTAAAGTAAGGCCCTCGAGTTATTTGTTTTTCGATGTTTCCCAACCAATTTGCTTGGAATAGGTCAATTTTTGAATCCATTTCTTCAAATTTTTTTGATCTACCTGAAGAAATTCCTCCTTTTTTCACTACTTACATAACTTTTGCAGAGTTTTATCACTTTTCTTTCGCTCGCAAATGTTTTGTTGACAAGTTGATTCAACGGAATTGTTAAGTAAGGGAAGGAAATGATGGAAATTGGAGGAGAAAAAGAACTTGTTGTTGATGAAAGAAAGGCCTCGAGAAGACCCGATCCCATTGCTGATTCTGAAAGGACCTTGTTCTGGATCGAGTAGATCTATCCGGTAAATCTGCGGACATTTGTGGCCATAATCCCCTCCGCTTCCTTCATAGAAAATGTAACGCCCATCTTCGCTAAAAATTACAATTTCTTCAAAGTAACTTCAAACTTACGAAATAACGGGATTCAAATTATTCCCTGTAAAAGTAACTTTAACATAGGATTCCACAGATGTGAGAATGAAGATGAGAATAAATAAATGCCACATTATGGGGCAAAGTGAAGTGGAAGGAACAAGAATAACCAGGACAAAACACAGCTGACCATCCGACCTCCCGACCTCGCAAGGGTCATAAATCAGGTCAAAGTTACGTCATATGATCGTATTTACAGATAAAATAGCTAACTTGACTTCAATTTATTTCTATAACTACTCATTTTGCTGATTAAAATAATAATTTGAAACAAAATTAAAAAGATTTATTGGGTTCCGAAGCTGGGATTTAAACTTGTTTTGGCAATCCCATTACCATTAACCAAATTAAATTGTAATTGTTGATTCAAAAACAGTTGGAAAGCAAGAGGATTACAGAAAAAATTATTTGATATAGTATCGAGGAGAGGGAGATGCTGATGATGGGACTTGATCTTCCATTGGGCCTGCCTTCTTCGGTAATCGCCCTTCAAAAAGTCGGCCAAATTGGCCGGATGGATTGTCCAAAAATGTCCCTTTCCATTGGCTGCCCTCCCAGCTTTAATAAAGCATTCGTTTAGCGAGAGATTGTGTCTGACCGAATTTCTCCATCCATTTCCCCGACTTCTGAATCGTATTTTATATTCACCATCAATATTTACTCACCTAAAATACGGGTATTCCATGGCGATCCAATTGTAAATCTGGGATAAAAGCATTTTCCTCTCCGGATTGCTCAGAATGGCCATAGAAATAAGGCCAATATAGGAATAAGGAGGTTTGAGATCACTTTTCGAGGGTGGGGATGCTGTAGCATGAGGTGGAAGAAGACTTTGCAGGTAGAAAGAAGGGAATTTGCCTTCTGGCAGGATGCTGCCGGGCTCGGGGGCGCTCATAGTATTCGAATTCTTACTTTGTTTGGGTCTTTTATTGTTCGCGCAAACTCTTCGATGAGAAATCCGTTTAGAGTTTTTCTTTGTGTGGCCTTCTGGCGATTTGATTACCCCAAATAAAAATATATTGTTTGTGGACAATCAAAAAAAAATTCGATTACTTACAAGGGAATGGTCTGAACTTCCCCCAGCGTTCGGTAAAATGACTAGCACAGGTGGATAGAGCAGGTCAACTTTGGTAGAAACAGGCAATTTTCAGCTGCAAAATAAGCACGGCCGACGAGAAAAATCGACCGAAAGTTCCGAAAAAAATTCCTCTTTCTCTTCCCTCGGAAAAGAGAAGGAGCATCCAGTGGTTCGGTTGGCCGAGTGGACAGAGCGTCCGCTCGGTATTCTTTTGGGGGTTGGTTCGATTCCGGGGCAGTGCGAGTGGCTATGATAGGGCTTTGGTGACCAAGATAAACTCTTGTGGACAAAAAAAATTATTTTGCAACTTTTTACGCCTTCTAGAGATCATAAAACGCATAATAAAAAAGAATTTTCATGTAAATTCCGCCGATTTTTTTTCTGGAAGATTCCAGAACGTTCCCAATCATATTCCAATAAGGAGCAAACTGAAGCACATCGTTCCCACTCGCGCTGCCCCGGAATCGAACCAACCCCCAAAAGAATACCGAGCGGACGCTCTGTCCACTCGGCCAACCGAACCACTGGATGCTCCTTCTCTTTTCCGAGGGAAGAGAAAGAGGAATTTTTTTCGGAACTTTCGGTCGATTTTTCTCGTCGGCCGTGCTTATTTTGCAGCTGGAAAATGCCTTTTTCTGCCAAAGTTGACCTGCTCTATCCACCTGTACCAGTCATTTTCCCGAACGCTGGGGGAAGTTCAGACCATTCCCTTGTTAGACTTTTTTGATGGGTTACTGTAGTTTGCACTCAAAAATAATTTTTTGAATATAAAGGGTGTTTTAAAAGCGAGGAGCGACGATTGGGGAAAAAGACAATGGGGAAACTAAAAAGTAGTATTTCTCTTCGATGGAATTGTCGAAATTAGGATAATCCAGTTCGTAATTTTTTGAATTTTTTCGGAGATACTCGATTTAGGGTTTTTCGATGGTGCTGATTTAAAAATTTGTTTTTTAAAATTTTTCTTGTCAGTACGAGTGCAGTCTCGGCAGAAGCGAGTTTTTTTACGCATGAATGCAATCAATACCATCCACAGAAGAAGTATTAGAAGAACGGCACAACTCCAAATAAATTTTTGGCCGGGCCTTACCATGAAAAACATCATCAACCTTGACCGATGCCTGAGGTCTTATGTATAAAACGAAAACTAGTAACGTTGATGAGCATTTGCATTGTTAAATCAGTTCAATTGTCTACTGCAGCAATTTCCCACATGAATTGTGGGTGGCCATTTTTCTTGACCGCCACTGTATGTATTTTGGGATATTTGCCTGGAAAATAACGGCGGGTCGTCGCCGCAAAATGTTTCGCCTCTTCGAAAAATGGGGTTAGTCGCGCACCAAATAAGAGTGAAGAATAAGACCGACTTTGAGATTTTGAAAAAGACGCTAAATTTGCTTTCTCGAGCTTTTTTTCTCATGTCGGCCTCATTTTTTCAATTATATTTTTTCAAGACAAAAGTGAGGAAAGCGTTTTAACGTTTTGCTTCATACCGGTGCGATCTTATTTCTTTACTCTTAAATCTCCAGCTGTGGCAGCCGTCGCAAAGCGATGATAGCGATTCCAAGGCGCGACGACCCACCGTTATTTTCCCGACAGACTGATATGAAACAACAAGATTTTAAAGTGCAAACAGGTCTGAAGTATTGCCATTTTACCCCGACACCAGTGTTTTTTTCGGTTGAAAATCGCCGACAAATATCGGATTTTTTCGGGGTTTTCAATAGAGTTGATGCTGAAAACAGGGATGGAAAATGTCATCACGTTACAAATTATGCAAAAAATTGGCTACCCTTCGCGCGGGGCAGATTTTATTATATTTGGGCTTTTCGTTTGGGGAACATGGATCGGCTATCCAAAGCGTCAGAATGGCGTTGAAGTCATAAAAAAACTATCAAGAGATTGTATGGGTGTCAAAGAATATGAATGACAGCAAAGCTTTCTACCCCAAAACTGATTGGCTATCCAAGGTGTCAGATGAAGGGTACCCGAATTTTTGCATATTTGGCAACGTATTGACATTTTCAACATCAACTCCATCGAAAACCCCGGAAAATCCGATATTTGTCGGCGATTTTCAACCGAACCTCCTTCAAAGGGTCGTAGCGATTGTACTTTTGAAAAAAAATTTTGTCATCAATATTTTTATTCAATGGATCACAAAAAAATTTAAAAAAATAATTATAGTTTACACGTTTTACAGTAAAATTTTCGTATTACTGGCCATATCGGATATGTGACCACAGAGAGAAAGACAAAACACAGAGACTTAGAGATATCTGGACGAGAAATGGTAAGTAATTTACATAAACAACAGTCTGGTTTACCGAGACAAAACTTTGGTAAGATGGAGATATAATATTTAAATAGATTAGTCTGTAATTAATTTAATTGCAATTGCAAGTCTTAAGGAATGTGATGAGGCTGAAAGAAATAAGTATTCTGACTTTTAAGAGGGATCAGCAATGCTGGAAATGGCTCCGCCCATTCTCAACGGCCTTCACATCCAGCGGCAGGAAGCCCTCCGATGCCTTCAGATTGTTCTGATTCATCAGATTCTGCTGATGGATCAACGCTGCTGCTGTGGCCACGTCAATATGGGGCATATGGAGCGAAGGAGGGAAGCCCTGAGGCTGGTTTGGATCGAAGAAACCCATCTGAAAAGATTATTTTCGTGAGCTTAGACCTTACATGTTGTTGTTGGAAATGAGTAGTGGCAGTGTAAAGCTGGTCATTGGGGAAAGGACAAGGCAATTGGCCAGGCAAGGCGCCGAATCCTTGGCCAAGAATATTCAACTGATTGGGCGCAAAGTTGAGATTGACAGCTGCTGGAGGAGCATGGAAAGTCATTTGCCCCTGAGGCATCACATTCTGATTCATCATTGCACAAATCCGCTGATAATTATTGGCCATTGTGAATTGAGGAGCCAGTTGTAATTGATTCGACAAGAGGCCGGGAAGGGTCACAAAAGTATTTGGGGGGATTCCAAAGGGCAAATTGACATGCCCGAATTGGGCAGGAGGGTTCAGAACTCCCTGGAGCTCCTCCACACTGCATTGGAACACCTCGATGTATCTCTTCTTCTTCCCCAACTCCATATTCTTGTTATGCATGGCAATCGCGGCCATAGAAGCGGCCGAATCCGATTTCATTTGGATAAAAGCTTCCCCTGAGGGGGTTCCTTGATTGTTGAGTATCATATGGATCCCTTTGTCATTAATATTCTTGGCATGAATCCCCAAGAAATCAGCGATTTGTTCCGGTTTGGCCTCATAAGGAAGTCCCCTCATCCTCAAACAGTCCCTTTTTGTTGTGAATAAACGGGGATTTGTATTCATAGGGGAAATCGAAGCTGGCTGAAAAAGTTATATTAGGAAAAAGGATACTGTAGTTTACCGTAATATTCTTCTGTTGTATCCGACTGATGATCTGCTGGACTTCGGCTTGCGTTGTTCTGAATAATTCGATGTATCTGGAGCCGATCCGATTCTTGTGTTTGGCCAAAGCCCTGCGGCCAGATTCGTCATCCCCGAATAAAACAAAAGCGTCTCCGGTAGGTCGGCCATCTGGTCGATTCACGAACATGACCCCTTCTTCCATGATACCTGATTGGCCATCGGAACTAAAGAAAGCTCTCTAAAACAACATAAAATTAAGTAATATTTTCTTGGAATACATACATATCTCTAGAATCACTTACAATATCATGCTCCGTACAATCAAAGGGGAGTCCCCTCATTCTGATGATCATGGCGGCGTCTCTGCAGACAAACTTGAGGGTCTCGGAGTCAGAGCCTAAAAATTAATCAATTCCCCATAAAAAACCAATTCAGATATTTTTGGACATGTACAAAAGAGAGGGCTCATTCATAAAATATTCCATTTTCTCGAGACTCTCGACCCAAAAACTGATTTTGAAAACAAAAATTGGACTGTAAACATATTAATCTGCCCATCTGCACTGTCTCCAATTTGCACTGTTCCCAAAACTTGGGCTAACTTCCCAAAACATTATTATTTTTGAGTATTAAAATTTGCTTTAAAGACATTAGACTCCTGCTGCCCTTTCTATTATATTATGCAGAGTGAGGCCACAAAGAAAGTTTCCCTAAATAAACCATTCTCAAATTGGGCCAAAGGGCATGTGATTCCTTCCAAGTGTGGCTACAAGTACCTGTTTTTTGGTATGTTTTTATGTGAGTATTCTCTCTCAAATTGACTACTTGTTCTCTTCAGGTTAACCAACTTACCCACAGCTACTTCCAAGAACTCTTCGGCTGTCGATCTGTAGACCTCGATGTAGCGATTGTGAAGGAATTTTCGATGTCTTTTGATTGCCAATTCTCGATGGGAATTACATTCGAAACAGACCAGGGACTCGCCATTCCGTCGTCCTTCATTCCCAAGGCAAAGGGCAATCCCGCCGCTATAAATATTTGAATATTAACCACACAAAACAACATTTGTGTAATTATGATTATGTCACGCTTACGGTGCAATGTTAAGACCGGCAAAGAAAAGGGCAATATCTTGATCGGATGCTTGCCAGGGTAACCCTCGAGTACGGACAATCAACGAGGAATCTACTCGGCGATCGAAGCTGAAATGGAATAGTCATAAAGATAATCAAATCGTGGGCATCAAAAAAACTACTCACTTCACAAAGGGAGTATAGCCTTCGTTTATGTTCTCGACCAGATTTAGGAGATCCAGTCCTTCTAAAAGACATTTAATTCTTGAATTAAACCCTTACTTTCTTGAATAATTTTGTGTATAATTTTGCATCTTTCTGTAACATTTTTTAATCCCAATTCATCCACATCTGTTAGAGTCTCGAGATTTACAAACTGATTGAAGACTGCAGGTAATCTTTGTCTCAGAGTGCTGTCCATAACTTCCCCCACATTATAGTTCTTGGTGGCCTGAATAGCAGCAATTGGATGTAACACTTGTCTAATATCTTCTGTACAACAAACGAGGATGGCGTGGGGACCGAGATCATTTGTAATCTGTAAAAGTTACATCAGACTGCACAATAATTCCATACTTTCTGCAGATCCTCTTCAATATTGGTTGCTGTAACCTCGATTATATGACTTTCTTTTCCATCTTCATTCTGTATACTGTAAGCGATTTGCAATTGTACTTGTTCATTAGACCCGGGAGAGATTGAAGCAGTGGTCGAGGGAGAGGTTGTTCCAATGGCCGAGTCTCCAGATGAAGATGTCGAGGCTGCCGAGGCGGGGGATACAGTCCGGCGATCCGCCAAAGATCTTCCCAGGGTGTTGTTAATCACGTTCTTCTGGGATATTGCCAATGCCACAAACACCGGTTTCTCATGTAACATTACTGCATAAAATTATTGCGAACTTTAATATGGTAATTGTAATTAAAAGATTAAAAAACATTAAATTCTTACTTTTGATTATTTGATTCTGTTCTTATAAGAGTATTACACGTTGATTGCCCAAGAGATCCTGGAAAGGAAAGTGAACAAAATATATTCATAAAGCCCGAAATATGTTGGGACGATAACGTTGTTTAAGAAGGGATAATGAAAGGATGTGCTACTTTCTAAAGAAACCCACTTAAAGTGGCATTCTCGCTGATCTCTTCCTTCCCGTCAAGCTCCCTTCCCTGCCTCGAGATTCCGCCACTTAAGACGCATTTAAGGAGAGATCCGAGCGGTCATTACCTGAGGCGTTGAGAGAGCGAACTTCCACCTCAACCAGCCCCGAAAAAGGCGAAAGTAATATCTCTGGGCCATAATCGGATGGTAGAGATTAGCCAAACCGCGGCCAAGAAAGGATTATGAGGTGTAAAAATTTAACGCAGGCGCCCTCATCTGGTAATTGAAGAAGGCCCAGAAGGATTGTAATAACACCGAGGACTCACAAATCGAGTTTAGGGCCTGTTAATAATTGATAATAAAGAAGAAGAGCCAATGACCCGAACCCCATTTACAGAAGGCTATCATCGGAGTCCACTCTCGCAAAAAAACGAACTACTCCGATGATTCCTTACAATGAAGAAGAGACGTCTTTCCGAGAAGTCGCCCAGGTCAGCACTACGGAGTACCTTCGGGCGGCCATCTCACCTTCTCCTTCTTCTTTTTTTTTTTGCCTCCGTCGACGTCTTCCGAAGTCCACTTCAAGGTCGAGAACAGCCTCGAAATGTCCGAGGAAAAAAAGAAAAATCAGTTTGAGGGATATTGCATAACTAATATCAACCGTAACCTTAATAAAAGCATCACTTTACATAAACGTTCTTTGAAAACAAAAATAATATTTCAGAACGAATATAATTTAAAAAAATATGAATTTGAAAGTAGTCAGACTCTGGAATTGGAAGGACTTCTTCAATTACAAAGTCGCTCTTCCTCCCTTTTTATGTAATTTTGTTTAGATGCTAATACCACGAGAGAGGATTTACTAGAGAAGTCACCTGTTTTACATGCATAGGAACATTACATTTGCCCGGAACACCCGAAAACAGGTGAAACGAAGGAAACTTTAACTTCAATTAGACGATGCCTCGGCAAGATCTAGGGAAGTTCGTTCTTCAAGGTCATCGCCCCACCCATCTCTTGTAGTGGACACAGCCTCGGGCGCGCCTCGAGAAGAATGAGTCCCGGCACTCCGAAAGGGAAGGCCTTCTTCTCACCTTGATTTTCACGTCATAATCCCCAGGATGGCCTCGATTCGTGTCCAAGCCTTCATCTTTCTTCCATATGCCTTTATTCAGTCCCTTTTGTGCTCAAAAAGTAATGAAAGGGAAAATAAGCCAAACAAAATAGTACGGCAAAGTACCAATAGGAAGGAGATCATGTTTAAAAATCCCCTCCAAAGTCAGAAAAAATGCCTACTGAAAGACTCCAAGATAAATTTGCAACCTAAAATCGCCCTTCGTGTGCTCGAGAATCAACAATTTAATAACACAACCGAAATCGCAGATCGCCCAAAGTTTGTTCAGCCGGCGATTCCCTGGGCGGACTTTGAAATCATAATGGAAGTACCATTAGGACAGTCGAGAGAAGAGATTTGAACTCCCTTCGGGACAAAAAATCATGTAATAACCTGAGGACTACCATAATTCCCACCACTTCTTTTGTCACTTGTTTCGAAGCGAGAGAGTGCAGGAAATGAAGAGGGGACAGAGAAATTTAAGGAAAAGAAGTGAGAACGGGGCTCCGGCGATCGCCCCAGCCTCGACAACTCACGCAAACAAAGAGACCATGCAATTTCAGAGTTGATCTTGAGGTATGGGCAATGACCATCCAAGGAGACGGTAAGGGTCAGCAAGTTCAACATGCAGGGATATGAATGGAAAGTCCTTGATCCAATGATAGAAGTCATTTATATACACGAACAACAGGCTTTAGTTTTTGGATTTCTTGGTCTCCACCTCTTCGGCATCATCCTCTTCCTCTCTATGCTCCCGTTTTGACCGATTTTGAGGAGTGGCATCTTCAATCAATTCATCGTCGCCAAACTGAAGGCAGTTGTTTATTATACCGTGACCCAACACGGACGAAGAGTCCCCTTCCTCAACATACCAAGTCATCATCATCCAAAGAAATCTCATCGGTTTTGGAGACCTCGGATTGATCATTGAGATGAGCATAATACGGAATTCCTACTGCTTCTTCATGCAATTTACACATCATCTCATTCCAATCGGGGATTTGGAGTTTCTCACAGAATTCCCGAGTTTGGGGGTTTCTAAACGAATCTGTTTAATCCAGTAATATTACGGTTACCTGTAATACAATGCCATCTGACCGTAAAGATTGCCCTGAACGGCGGACTCTGGAGGAGCGGTCATTTTGAAGTTCAAGGGGATCCTTAAATCCCCATTAAAGATATGGAGAACTGATTGTTTCTGCTCCTCGTTAACCGTAAATCCATCAATTTCATTTGGAATATTACTGAACGCTTTCTTCGTACATTCTAACGATTTGGTATTCCTGAGGACGACCAGCCAATCAGCATCGTAACTCAAAACCTTCTCTCCATCTTCAGAAGGCTCGATGTGAAAGAAGGATAAATAATTTGGGGTTTTTATCTTGTGGGCGCATTTGCTGAGAGCTGTGAATTTAGTCTGGCATCCCTCTTCATGTGGTACAGTAGCTTCAAAGAATGCATGCAAGTGAGCAGAAAAGTGATATCGAGGCTTCAGTTTCCGTATTAAATCCATGGAATGACAGTTCCCCAACTGATTTCGTTCAATATCCGGCTAGGGTAAAATTAATCTTGAATGAAAACAACTACCCTAAAATAAGGTTTGAACCGTAATAACTGTTCTTCCTGTCCATATTTTGTGATTCCATTCGGCCAATCATGAGTCATAAAAATGTCGACTGCCGATCCTAAAAGGCACGACATCAGCAGTATCACCAACGAAGACACGGCATTATTATTAAACATACCACCAGGGGACTTAAGAAGTTGCAATCGAAAATGTTCGATGGCTCTGACATGATATGCCGAAACATGTTGTCCATCGGGGAAGGGAGGGGCTTCGTAATGATCTAGAAAGTTTAATCGGGCATCTTTGATCTTACTGTATCCATAATCATTTTGTTTGTAAATCCCACTCCATCCACAAATCCGTAATCCTCCAAATCGAATCACACTTGCAAAGCCAAGGTAATAAATATTTGGGGCCACCCAACCTCCATGAGGAAGTTCTTGACTAAATGCTGAACTCTCATGGTTTCCACCGATGAAAACTGTTAATACTGGTGCAACCTAAACCTTAACGTAGAAAAATGAACTAAGACAGTTACCCTTTCACCTGAGTAATACTTGTAAAATGTGCGAATATGACGATAATGAACCGGACAATGTAAATGATGGAGATCTGATTGGTTTCGAATTGCCTAAACCAATGAAATGTAAACAATTCACTTTGAAAGCTCACTTGGAAATCTCCACAACATAAAAGAAGGTCCACTTCCTTCCCAGATTCTGTAATATCTCGATAAATCTGATCCAACTCTCCATGAGCACATCCGACAACAGCCACTTTGACAGTCATGATCTAATGATTTCTGTTCTGAAGGCCCATCTTACGCATAGTATGTATTCATGAACTCAACATAATTGCGAACTCCAACATAAGAAATAAATAACTTTATTTTAGAACAGTACCCGTATGTTAATATTACAGATCATAGGTTGGTAGGGTTTTGACCGGACTTGCTCAACTCTTCTCTGAGCATGGCATGGAAGTCCTTTTCGATGTTTTCATCGTCCCAATTATCAGCCCATACATTCAACTCGGAATCAAGCTCCAGTGCATTTTTTTGAGCTCTAGCTTCACATCGAGGGAACTCTTCAAATTCGTCTTCATCCTCCAATTGAATCGGCTTCGGCTCCTTGACTCGGCCTTCGGCAGACAAGGATTCTTTCTTTGGTTCTTCCAATTTCACTTCAAGTTGAGATCCCATATTGCTAAAAACAAGACTGAGTAACATACTAAAATTACAGAACTTGCAAACGTGACAAAAACTTTGGAGTTTACGAAATTGGAATTTCAGGCTGAAAGACAGGGGTGCCTCTTTTTACAAATTTCAGATCCGGGAGCCGGCCCGGCAAAAATCAGGCCCGCCCCGGCCCGGTAAATATCAGGCCCGGCCGGCCCGGTCCGTTTAAAAATTTGTCAGGCCCGGTCTGGTGGCCACACCTGCCGCTGAAATCGCGAAAAGACAAGGGGACGCGAAACAAACTCGAAAAAAAACGCACGGCTTGCTGAAGTCGGAGAAAAGGCTTCGTGAAAATTGGACAGAAATAATTTGGATGGAGCGCGGAAATTGGACAGAGTGAAATTGGACAGAGTGAAACTCGACAGATTTTTTTCATTGCAAAAAATAATTATTTGATGATTCAATAGTGACATTTCGTACGATCGCAGCGAAAAAAATCTGTCCAATTTCCACGAAGCCGGAGAAAAAACGTCAACGCGGTTGCAGCCTGCGGTCTGAAGATATCCGAAATTTTAGCTCTCCAAGATGGGTTCTAAACTCGGTAATACCGTCAGGAAAAAGATGAATACGGATTAATGTTGCATTCCCCGAGAGTTTACCTAAGAACTTACCATAGTCGTAAGTCACCTGGACACAACAGGCCCGTTGTAACAGGAAGTTCGAATTAAGAAGATTAGGTACAATTTTTGAGCGATATATTTTCTTACAGCTGTCGGTCCCTAGCACAACTGCGTGTGAGCCGGAATTTCCAAAACTCGCCTCCAGAAAAATCAATTTTGACACTTCGTTAATGCAAAAAAAAGAATTTTACGGAAAAGCAGTTAGCCATGGCCGGCAATTGTGCACTGGTTTTTGAAGCTTGACATGACTACCCCAAGCGAGAATGATCGAGCTCTTCAGGCAGTGAATAATTTGGAACAGTATCTTATTCAAGTCAAGAGCACGATCATCGATTTGATTGTAATGTTGGAGATGCAGGATCGCGTGCCATATCCGGAACTTCTCGATCAGTTCGCTTCATTAGCAGGGTCATTCACTGAAATTCAAAACGCTATGAGGAAAGGAGCATTACCGTCGGCACCAGAGGATGGAGGATTACTTCTAAAAAATAATGTGCTAGTCCCTACTATTGTTTCTATGGAGGAGGACAAGAATTTAGAGGTAATCTTTACCAATATAAATATTTTATTTTTTAAGACAATTACAGAAGGCCGAATAAGGACGTGGAGTCATGATGTCGTCCCAGATTATATGAGGACAAAACTTTGCCCTGCGGCCGAAGAGGAAGAGACCAGACTGGATAATGAAAGACAGCAGAAAGCGACTGATTCTATTGCCAAGCAAGTAAGCACTGCTGGTGGTATTTTATTGTTTTCTAGATTCAAGCTATGAACAAGCACATCGACTCAATAGTTAGTTTGAATGGGGATATTATACACAAGACGTCAGATAAAGGAAAAGAAGCCATCGCCTTCGATGCCAATGATACCAAAAAACTTGTACGAGCTATTATGAAAGGAGAAGGACTGAAGCCGAAGGCTCCCGCGATGCATCCAATGGGACAAATGCCCCCGAGTGTTGTTAAGAAATAAATTTTTTGTAAATTTTATTGTTGAGAAAAGAGTCACTTCGTGTAGGTCGACGCGTATTTTTATTCAACGGGGGTTGTTTTTTTTGATTATTTCATTTCCTCAGAAATGAATCGGAAGAGGACATCGACACTGTCCTTTAAATCTCCTTTACTAAACCGTGATGAGTGTGATAGTCCAGTTCAGAAGAAGAGTTTTGTTCCACCCGTTTCGTCTGCGACTCCTTCGATCCGGACTCAATCCTCCAGATTTGTGTCCCAAAGTTACTTTAGACAGCCATATAAGATGAGTTCTGTCGTTCCAAAAATCTCTACTCTTAAACCATCGGTCCTACAAATGAAGTCAATAAAGCCTTCAAAATCCGTGGAATCCACATGCGCCTCTTCAAAACCAAGAGTTCTTGAATGTTCCTTTAAGCCAGCCGATGCAAGTCCATCTAGACATTGCCAACAAAGTAAGTCAGTGTATTTATTTCAATTAAAGTTTTGAATACAGTATCATCCAATAAGGGGGAGATCTCAACGGAACTCCAAACACTTGACTTCCAAACGGCCAGCCAAGCGCCCATCAAAATGTTAGCGAGCAAATTAAATACTGCCAGATCTTTGCTCAGAGATGTGGATATTACAGTAAGTAAACTCATTACGAATTCAGTTACCATAATTTATTCTTACAATTAGGCTAAAGAGGAGGCAGAGAATACAAATTTGATATCTCATGGAATCCAAGACTTCCCGGATTCATTGGAGCAGGATCTGGACATTGACTGGGCTTCCGTAGGCAGGTCAATAGAGGAAAAGCTGAACGAGACGGTTTGACCCAAAATATCTACTGTAACTACACTTCTCTTAACCGCCGTAAATGTTGTCGTGCACCCTTACAATTAGTGTATTTTATTCTTTTCTTAATCTTCTTTCCCGTTTTCCACTTTTTTAACGAGACCATCAACTTATGTGTCCTATTTTGTGATTATATTCTTATTTTTAACATAAAAAATGTAAAAACCTCGTTAAATAAATGTCAACCAGTTATGGGGGATATTTTATGGACGAGTTAAAGACTACGCAATTGTCTGTTGCATTTCCGGTCCACTTTCCTATTACTATAGTATAATTCCAATATTGCGTAATTGTCGCTCTTGTCACCCTCTTTGTCTGTAATAGGGCGCGAGCTGCCTTTTCATTTTATAAATATTCTCTTTCGAACGCGGGATGGTTGATCGTTGTGTTCCTTAGTCGACCCAAATTGCTTATCAAAAATAAAACGAGAAGTGGGGGCTCATTGGATCGTGGGAGCTCCCCCAGAAACTGTCGCCTTCGTTCATGTCTGCTTTTGACATACATTCCAAGCCTACTGATGTAAGTTTATACTTTTTCTTGTTTTTACTTCTAGTTTTAGCCCAAAGCATTGGGTGTCTTCGATTATTGGTATCTTCAGTACTGTCTAACAACGGGTTTGTACATGCTTGAGCCTTGGGAGCGACGCCTCTTCAACTCCGTCGTTCTCGGAGTTTTAACCGTATCTGCTGGTATAGCATACAGAGGGATCTCCGCGTTCTTCTGAAGATGGCTACCACAGAAATAAAAACCTCGGATTCTAAAGTTACAATTTTACTCAAGGCAGTTGGTTCTACTCCGATTATGAAGCAAAAGACGTGGAATCTTGAGGGGAGCAACACCGTCGCCTGGTTGGTCTGCTTCATCCGTAAATATCTGAAATTACCGTCTTCTCAGAGTTTATTCCTCTTCATTAACCAAGCCTTTTCTCCCAGTCCCGACCAGACTATCTCCAATCTTCAACGATGTTATGCTCCAAACGAGCAGAAGCTAGTTATTCATTATAGTACTACCAATGCCTGGGGCTGACTACTTTGTTTCCATATCATTTGAAAAATATATTTATCTTGTTCATAAATATAGCCGCCGTTATGGGTAGTTTACCTCGTATATTTATTGTGTTTAAAAGAGTTTTTTGCAACGTGAAGCGAGGCCCGGACATTTCCAAAAAAACGACCATCGCACGTAAATCCAGCGTAGTTGAAGCTATTTCCTGACGAGATTTAATCAATGTTGCTTCTCGTCACAAATACAATAGAATTTCGGAGAAAATCTTTGGCTGTGTTTTTCTTGGCTAGCCGGGACAATACTTTGTTTCCCGGTCAGAAAATAACTTTCTAAATTTTCCTTAATTTTTTAGGGCCAATTTTGTCCTTCAAAATTTCTTCCGAAAGAATTTTGATATCTAAAGTCTTGTAATGTCTCTGTTATATTCAAAATGGTACCTTGGTATTTTGCAAAGTAATCAAAGGCCACATCCTACAACAAAATGGTTGATTATAAAGATGCTTCCCATAGTCAAAAACGTAAAACAGCGAGGGGTTTTCCTTTTAGCCCTAATAGTTTTTGCACACGAACCCAATTATTTTCAAAATTTTAACTACCGTAACCCCGGTATATGGAAATTTGCGAACCTTTAAAATTTGCACTGACGTTCAACGTCAGTACAACAGTTATGCAAGATTTCAAAAAATTCTGAGATGGTCAATTTTTGGAAATGTCCGGGCTTTGTTATGAGGAGCTTCAATCTGAAAAAACGCTTTTTTTTAAACAGTTCAATAGACATGTTGATTTGCGAAGACTTAAGTGACGGAAAGGAAAGGATTCCCTTAAGAGTTGTGAATAATTATGATGGAAAATTGTTTCCGAAATTTGAGTACATAACAACTTCCGTGTATCGAGATCCCATTATGCCCATTAGTTCAGTAATTCATGGACCCTCTTCCAGTAACGACAATGCTGATAATGCAATAGCCGGGCAATTCCGTTTTGAGGTATGGCTTTTTTCTTACTGGGATGTAAATAGTTGAATGACCCATTAAATATCGTTGTAGGTGTACTGTAAAGCCACCGATTTTTGGGGTGTCCGAGCTCTCGAAGAAATCCCCAGGGGCCAATTAGTCGGAGAATACGTGGGTAACATTTCGCGGACTCAGCTTCAAACAGAACATGACAATTACATCTTCTCCTTTACCGATAAAAACGGAGTCAATTGGGACGTGGATGCTCACAAAATGGGTAACTTTACAAGGTTCATGAACCATTCTTGTGACCAAAATGTCGACTCCAATGTAACCGAGGACACATTTCCACCCAGAATCTTGTTTTACAGTAATCGCCGAATTAGGATCAACGAGGAATTGACTATCGATTATGGGCATGAGTGGTGGACGGCCAAGGAGGATCTCAAATGCATTTGTAAGAAGGAATGCTGTAGATATAAAGACAGAAATCAATTTATTCTGATATCACAATATTAGGGTTGTTAAGTCGTCAACTTGAGGCGTCAGTCACGTTGTCAAATTGTTCCATCACTTTGACTGTCTAATTGAACTATTTTTAGAAATTTTTTGTTGATTTTGACTAAAAAATCGTAGGAATTTTATTTTTTTAGGAACTAAAATTTCGCTTCTGGTAAAGACGACTAATGAAATAAGCAATAAAATCAGTTACGGCATTAACGGTATTCATCATAGTCTATGTTAAAGACGCGTTGAAAGCTTCGTATATCAAAATTTTCGATTCATCCAAAATGACGAAAATGACGCTAATTTGACGTCATTTTAAAAAGTCTAATTAACAACCCTAATAATGATTGTCATGTGCTGTGTGTTTCTCGTTGTTGGGTGATATTAAATATAAATAATATGAGTTATGAGTTAATCAAACGATTTTCTGTCGAAATGGTCGTTGATTGTGGTTGTCCAATATATCTTTGCGTATTCTTCGCCTTTGTCATCATAGATTACTGTAGTCATGGGGATCTGGGCTTCGGGATCAGTAACTGGTTTGTTCTCCTCGTCGAGAGCTGAGAATCGGAGTTGAATATTTTGTGTTTCTTCGACCTTCAACGCCATTTCAGTGATCCCTTGGTTCTCATGTCTCAGATAGAGATTCTCAGGAGGATTTTCTCCCACGAAAGCGTGTATCTGAAGAGTGTAGGTATCTCCATGTCTGAATCTCATCCCACTTGTTTTCACTGGAAGGTCAGTCATACTCATTTCCTTTTAATGAAAGATGCTTACCGCATCTCGTGGAGTCAAAGTAGAGTCGGATCATTGTGTGGTGATTGAAGATTTGCGTCACGTAGTCGATTCTCCATTCTCCGTCGTTCTCTTGGTCAGAGATCCGGCTGAGTCGTCCGTCTGTATATCCTAGGAGAGAAGATCAGTTTTTATGGACGGAAAATTTAAAATTGTTAGTCAAAGGACGGACAAAATTTTGGACAGTGACTGCCGAACGAGTGCAATGCGAATTTGTATCGGAAAACTTTTCCGAGATGGCAGCAAAACATGTAAAGAACAAAGTCAAAAGCAAGACTTACCATCCGTTAGCATACTATTCAGTTCGAATGTCCGAAGGTTACTGTAATAAAAGAGGAAATGAAACGAAAGGATACGAGGACGGATGTCACTGCAACAAAGTTTTTTGAGAAAATGACACACTAGCCCCTGTCACCAATTACAGAGGTATTCACGTCCTTATTTATGCAGATATGTATAAGAGACTTCTTTCAAATAAATAATTTTATTCCCGGAATAACAAGGGACACAAATCTATAACCAAAACGATATATTATACTCAGTAACAGCCAAATTCCCCGAATGCATTCAATGACGCGACAGTGCCGCCTTCAGAAGCCAGAAGTCCGCTGCAGGAAGCGTGGACTCTTTTCTTGTCCATCTTCATGGAGGAAATGCCGTTTACCTACAAGAAAGCCGTTATTTAAATTAAAATACTCGAGAGAAGGTAGATAATTGCATGGGAGACATTATCCAACCTCCCATTCGAGTCTCCACCCCAAATGAGCATTCGGGTAAGTGTACTATTGCGCAATTACTCAGATGCCCTGATGATGATGCGTTTCTTTTATTAGAACTTACATCAGCAGTCATGTAGACCTTATTCGCATTTCGAATTTCGACTTGGCCAGTTCTGGAGTTGCAGAAGATCTTCTGAGAAGAGCATGTGATCTCGACATTCCCATCCGCATCTTCTACAATCAGAAGGGGACCAATGCTGATCTGATAATGGGTCTCTTTCAGCAATCTCATCCGGCTAACGGTAGCTGTCTTCAACCAGAATTGGCATCGTTCAAGTCTCTGAAAGTAATGTTTAACGGACTTCTTTGTTCAACGTATACCTTCTTGCTGAATGGACATTTGGAAAAGAAAATGCTCGAGGCAAAGTCGAATTGCATGTTGGGAAAATCAACTTCGACACTGTCAATGGGAGTCACTTTACACTCCGTGTCCATAAAGTAAGTCAGAGACGAATTGGATGAGGAAAATACAATTCCCGAGGGTCCAATAACTGCATTATGAGAGATGGTTTTGAAGGAATTAACTGCTGAAAGTGAGTGAGTTCTGGGATTGCAATATTAATCATACGGAAGAAACCATTCATTATTCGACCGTCATGAAGAAGCATCCCGGACTCATGGATCAGTGCTGTGCAGCGATTGTTGGCTGAGGACATCGCCTATGAATGCAATGAAAGGTTGAATAAGAATACTTACAGTAAACAAGGGACTTCTAACACGGACATTCTGCTCAATACTCAGGTCAATGTCAAGATCGTTGGAGAGCTGGACAGTGATAACGCCGTTGGAAGTGGCGCTGATAACGGGCATTCTTCCCCCGACGCTCCTTTCCATCGTTCCTTTGACAACAGTCTTGAAATTATCAATCTTTATTCCATTCAGACTCGGCTCCGAAGGCAAACAGATGGGTTCGAAGCCAAAATAAAGCCGCACAAAGTCAGAGCTCAGGTCTGTAGAGGCTTCGGAGTCGGATCCACTTCTGAATCCATCGCCAGATCCTGTCACGGATCTTCTAAATGTCCATTTCTTGGGCGTTTCTGAAACAAGGCTCAGAAGTGGGTGCATACGCAGAAATCACCCCCTTCCGCCGTCCAATCGTTTTATAGCCACGCGGAGAATAGGGATTCTATGGGACGTATGGGGAAGGCAAAGCCCGGGGTAACCCCCACGGGGCAACAAGAACGTTTTACTTATATAACTGCTGGCTACTTTTTATGCCGCAATCTTGTAACAATTTTTTAAATGGGTCCAACATTAACGGGAAGGAAGTTTCCCTCTGCATATAGTGGTATATATAAACAAGATGCTCTTTTCTATTGAAACCCGGTAAAACGGTTGCGGTCATCCGTTATTATAATAAGCTCCATTTATTATAAATATTCAGTAATTAATAGGACTGTAAAAACACGAATGTGATGATCGGATTCTGCGTGCCGAACTACCTTATAATCGGCTCTCTTTCAAACATTTCTGCCATTCAAAAATTTTATCAGTCTGTCGGGAAAATAGTGGCGGGTCGTCGCGCCTTGGAATCGCCCATCATCGCTTTGCGACGGCTGCCGAAGTTGGAGATTTGGTGCGCGATTGCATCCCTTTTTCGACAAGGCCAAAGATTTTGCTGCGACGACCTCCCGTTATTTTCCCGACAGACCGATAACAAGGTGACGTCTAAAAAGTAGCCAACAGTTATACTACGGGCGCTCAAAAAAAGTTCGGACAATTTTCGCACAGTGCGAAAGTTTGGGTTTTCATTTACCGCCGACGTCGCGAGCGAAAATTCGGGTTTGTCGCACGCAAAAGCACACGTATCTAGTAGTGCAAAAACGGGAATTGCGGCGACAAATGCGGAAAGATGCGGATGAAAATAAAAGAAGAATGTACAGTGCGGAAATTGTCCGAACTTTTGAGCGCCCGTAGTATAAATTTCCCCAGGACCCGGCAACCTCGGTGCTTGCGTTGCCCCGTAGGAGCTACCCCCGGGCTTTGCCTACCCCATAGGTACTTTCCCTGTGGATCCCCGCCCCATACGGGCCTGCTTTCCTCTACAGTCACCTTACAGGCACCCCAAACTGAACGTATCTTTGACCCTTTCCATGTAAAAGATGTAAAAACAGTCTATGAGCATACTTGCTATGACCTTACCTTTTAATGGATTGAGTTTGAGGTTTTTGGGGTCAGAATCCTCTTTTTGGGGCAAATGACCGGTAAGACAAGAGTCGCCACCTTCCATCGAGAATGTTTTGAGCCACGAAACGACACCGAAACTCGTCGAATAAATGAATTCCCCAGTACACATTTTATTTATTCGGCATTTTGTTGCAAACATTATGCAAATTAGATCTCTACAAAAAGGGTAATTCTGACGTTGTGAAAGCAAATTTTCGACATTTAGAAATGATTCGAAATAGCAGATTTTCTCATCGGATTTGTGAGTTTTACTTTCAAATTTTATTTTGAAATTGTGCCGTTTCGATGCCCTGAGGCTGTTTTGTCCAAATCCATACTAAAATCTGAGTACTTTTTTTAATCCGTCTGATTCAAAAAAGGTGCACTCGTTTTGGATGGTCTTATGAATCAGAACTCGGTTACAGTAGATCGGTGCAGCAGATTACCCTCTAATCCCTATTCTCTGCAAATTTTAAACTTTTTGACGTAATTTGGGGTTACACTTTTCCTTGTCTGATCCCTTTACATCACCATCTGGAGTGAGTATTTTTATACTCTAATCCCGAAAGAAAAACTTTTTGACTTGGTTACGTTGTTTACTTCGTAATTACTTGTAATTCGTTTGCTGGATAGGAAATGCTTTCCGAACAGTAATCACTTACATTACTACGTAACAGGGCAACCTACGTACAACGTCAGAGGGAAGCTAGTGACCTTAAGTAGTAATTAATTTTTTTTGGTAACTTTTCTGCGGCATATGCTTGTTTCTGTTTTTTGAAATGATTTTAATAATGAAAATAGTCATCGTTACGCAGACCGGATATAAAGAGGCCCTTATCCGGGTCTTATAGACAAGATCAGGATGTCCGGAGAGGCTGTAAACATATGGATCCACACGCAGCCACATGGATGTAGGCTTGTTCCAAATCCCTTCACTCTTCATTATCTACGTCACAAATATCTGTATGTGACTTATAGATGTTGTTTTAGATTGAAAGTGAACGTGCAAAAGGAATTGCCCATAGATTAGGGTAAACCAGGATCCAATCTGTTTATCCGGGCACACAGTAACGGTTTCCGAATTAATTATTTGATTAAGGCCTCTTTTAGAACACGCGTGACATTTCCAGAGATTTTTATTCAAACAAGTAACCTTTTTTGGCTTTATTAACTATGTTACACTGTCTCAAATTTTAATTTCCTTACCTTTTCTGGCCACTTTTTACAAATTTTCTCGCCTACATTGAGTAATCGTGTAACTAGATGAAAATGCTTGGCCCGAAACTAATTTCCGTCTTTTGTCGTGTCCTTTTCTTACGTAATGATTAAAAATAAATATCTCACAATCAGACTTCCGTCAGGTAGCGCTGTTTGGTGTCGCGGAGAGATGGAGCTGTGCCGTCAAGTGCCGCCAAGTACAATATAAATTTGGATCAGTTCGACTAAAAATAACTCTTTTTTTAGTACTCTTCCGGAAATGTCCTGAGGGTGTGTAGGTGGGCTTAAAGGACTCAGTCACCGTGCAAATCAGTTACTTTTTATGGCTTTTGGAGTATTAAAATAAAAAAAAGATGTGCAGATTATCTCCAATTAATCTAGTCCCCATTATAATGCAAATTTTGGTCAAGAAACGACCTTATAGGAGTACTGTAAGGCTACTCTAGTTGATGGTCTTTTTTTAAATATTTGGCAGACATACTGACACGACTTTGTCTCTGAAACATGCGGATCCCTGTCTTCCCAGATTTATTTCGGACTTTTTTTGCTCCTTAAGACTATATTCCATCTGTAAGCCCCCTCTGAATGTAAATACGATGAGCTTCCGCACGTTATTTTTCTATGTTGGTGTTATCCTTTAGGAGTTGTAGGTATGAGAAGATGAAAACATGACATGGTACTTGCAACTTTTATTATAGGCCCTTTTCTCATCTGTTTTATACCCCAGACCTTCATTTATATTCTGCTCCGGTGCATAGAATACTGCGACAATACTCATGGATGTAAAATTTTATCGAAAAGAAATACAATTCAGCAAATTGCAATTTAAAAATTTTGAAAGTTTCATTTCGGGTATTCCCCCTGTTTTTATAGAAAACAACAGATGTCTTAAATTGGCTTTAATTTTCATAAATCATTTCCAAAATATATTATCCATGCTAAACTCTAGTAGAACAAAGACCAAATATAGCATTTAGCTGGGGATTAGAAGACCCAGGTACTTTCTGGCCTCTTAATAGTAATCTTAAGAGTATTACTTCCTAAATCCGGTTGAATTGTAAGGTTCAGCAGTAAAAATGCTTTCTGTTTACAAATACCTTTTTTTCGATTTATTATTCGAATCTAAGTGAGAGTGTAAGGTTCAAAGATAACGGTCCCTCACTCTCCGCTTGAGGGTCCTAAAATACGAATAAATCGGACACTTATAATTGAAACCACATTTTATCCATGTTGGGTATTCCCGGACTCCAAAAGGGCCGTATGGTGTAAAGTTTCCACAAAAACAATAATTTTTTCTGCACGAAACATGCAAATACAGGGTGTGCCACCTTTGTGGCCCGATTTGAATTGGCTATAACTTCTTTATTTTTGGCCAAATTAGCCAAATTCTGTATGGCCGAAATTTTTTTTTCTGTGACCGCACTCCGCGTTTCGCATACTCTCTCATCGGGAATGATCACTGCCGTAGGGTTCCATTTCTCTTTTGACCCGAATCAACTTTTTTTGAAGTTGAAGGTCCGGAAAATAAATTTCTGTGCCAAGATTTACTAGTCGCGACAAAGCTTTGTGCAAAGTCCTGACACATTTATCGCGGATGTCGCGCGACAAAATTGGAGTGAGGTCGACAAAACGTATATCATTTAAACGAGCATTGAAAATAGTGTACAACGCAAGAAAAAATTAACTGCCCAATATATGTTTGGGCAAAGTTATGACCGTTTTATTAAAGGGGTTATATGCGGCCAAAACGCTGTTTTCTTATATTACAGTAATCCTGGCGGCTTGAAATCGTCTGAATTGATTTCCTCGTATCCAAAAACGTCTTTCACGGTCGTTTTTCTGGCCTTACTAATCCTCGGTTATGAGTTATTAGACATTACTGTTAGTTACAAAAAGTTGTCAGTGAAACTAGGTTAATGGGAAAATTAGAGGAAAAAGCTTTGGAAATACATTTATACGACAGTCATTCACAAACGCAAATCTCAATTTTTTCTGTCCTAGCCTTACCAACTTCCACCGTTTCAGCAATAGTGTTTTTGGCCGATTTTACCATTTTATCGTATTTTTTCGAAAAAATTTATATTTATAGGCCCTTGTAAAACAACTTTGATGCAATTCCAAGAGCTTATAAAGTGACGCGGAAATTAGGCTAAAATCTTTATTTTGGCCATAACTTTGTCCAAAGTAAAATTGGGCAGCTATTTTTTTTTTCGTTATACACTATCTTTAATGCTCTTTCAATGTTTCGTTAAGAAAGCAGGTGACAATTATTTGCCGGTCCCTTGTTAGAAACTCATGAAGCATCATTTTTTAAAATATTGTACAATTTGTACAACTGTGAAAAGTTGAGAGGAAAGAGGTTTCTGTAGGAGTTTAAGGCAACTTGCGATTGATTCGTCACCCCTAAATCCCGAAATTGGGCAGCTAGTTTCTACGTGTTCTTAAGCAGCTTGATTTTACGTATTTTCTGAGATATGCGCCGTCTAAAAGTAGGAGCCTCCACAGGACGTAGCGGACCAACAATTCTGGGGGGAGGTCGCCATCTAATTTGCAAAATGTGACCTAAAAAGAACCCCAAAATAATTTTTCGTCTGTGTTTGCAGACACTAGAAGACCGGCTTAAATCGTCCTCGGATTAGTAGTAAGTAGTCGAAAGTGATGTTTTACACTGTAAGGCTTGCTTTGATATTTGTCGACTAAATCCCCGGAGGGCATCGGTTATTAGACACCTCCTAATCCGATCCAGTGGACTTTCTTCTATTAATCCCGTGTTTGTTTACAGTAATTAATGATATTTAGGATCAATTAGAGACATCTGGAAAGAAGGGACAAGATTGTTTTATTTCAGTCCAGGATCTTTGGCCCTAATCTCCCAATTGACCTGAGTTGTTGTAATCGATTGTCAACAAACAAGATTAGGATGTTTTGAAGCGGTCTAATCTTCGTTGCATTGCTGACCTTTCTATTGCATTTGATTCTTTTGAAAGATCCCTAGAAAAGGCACTTTCATCATGTTTGCTGGTCGGATCAGCAATAAAGGACATTTTTTGGAGACGGATGGAGATGTAAAGTAAATGTGACGCTTAGCCGGGTGTAATACTTCCAATTTTTAGACCCTGAAATTGTAATTTTTTCAACAGAACTTCTCCTTCTTTTCTGGACGTTGTAATCTTTTTTTTCTTTCGATTGCTACGTAACGGACTTACTGCAGAGCAAATTACTTGTTTATGGGGTATACTGTAACTGTTTCAAGGCCGTTTTTAGATGGAAACAAACAGATTGGATGTAATCTTTTGTCTGGGGCCGAGTTAATGACCTTGGGCCTCGGGAAAGGGGAGAAGTAATAATAAAGTAATGAAAGGGACCCGTCCCCCTCTCAGATCGGTATTGTTCCTTCTAATATATTACTTATTACTATGCTTGTTTATGATCCCCATGCTCTATTAGACATTCCGACGCCCGGTCCATCTGGTATGGCTTCGAAAATAGTTACTTTTTGCATTGAAATCGCGCGGAAATGCTAATTAGTAATTAGTATTTTACATAATTTTGAAAGCGGATTTAGATGCAGAGAGTTTTATGCTAATTCTCCCTATCAAATAATGAATAATCGGGAAGTAATTGGTCGATTGAATAAGAGCCCGCGTGGATAATATCGTTGGGTAATCCGGGGATTACCTCAGGTTACCAACTTCCACGATCTTGGGCAACCGAAAAAAGAGGATTATTCCTGGATCAGGGCCCAGGAATACTACAGTTAAGTGCCTTTTGTCAGTCTGGGTGGTATAATTAGGAACAGTCGACAGTTTAAACAGTACAATGAGGACTGAAAAAGGCCTTTATCCA